TTTGTTTCTTTGTTGTTTGCACCCCCCCCCCCCCCCCCCCCCCCGGATCTCGCTGTCGTTCTGCTGCCGCTGTTATACCCGTTGAGCTGAGTCGGTTGCGTCTCAGGCTCTTCTGTCTCTCTTCAACCTTCTCTTTCTTGTGTCCCTCGTTGCATTCTGGGAGTAGGATAGACACGATAGAAACGAAAGCCTAGCTTCACCTCCATTAGCCTTGCTTCAACTTACAACGAACACGACTCTCTTCAAAAACCGCTCACGCATACCATCCTCACTGCACCAATGCATTACAGCCCGGCAACTCTCCTCCTCCTGGGGGCAGTTGCCTCTTCCGCCCGAGCAAGCAACGACAATCAACCCGTACCCAAATCGGGTCTCCAAGAGTCATGGGCGTCGCCGGCCAGAGAAACCGTCGCCGTCGGCCACGAGAATGAGCAGCAGCTTGCCCTGGGATGGTCCCCAAAGCCGACGCAGGCGCCCAAGCCTTTGCTGGGTCGCATGATGATTCCGCGAGCAGATGATTTCACAATCGGGCCGCAGACGTGCGGGTTTGTTCCTGGGACGACTGGCAGTGAGTTGGGTTTGTTCTTGAGGCTCGAGTTTGGGATGCTGACGGTTTCGTAGACTCATTCACGTGTATATCGGTTGGATTTACATGCACGCCTCAGGCCAACTATGTCGGCTGCTGCGAGCCCAACTCGTCCTGCAGTCTCATCAAGACGACGTGCATCGACTACCAGGCGTCCAAGGGCGGTGCTTGCAACCTGCCCTCTGACTATCACACTCTCTGCTGGTAAGCCTCTCCTCCTCCACTCTGTTCTTGTTCCTGTCAAGTCTCGACTAACATGATTCTCCTCCTTTCCTTCTACCAGTGACACATCATCAGCCGGTGCCTGCTACACCTGGGTCGTCTCCACGTCCGGTTCCGGTGACGAATCAGCCCGTCTGCACACCCTCTTCGACTGCTCTCCTACGGCCGGCAGAGGCACACTCCTGACCGTCGACCCGGGCTGGTCGTTGACACACAGCTTCGGCTCAACAACAACCACAACTTCCGCATCAACCACCGCAACGACGACCACCGCCGCCCCTGAGCCCACGCACAAGAGCAGCAGCACCAACGTGGGTGCCATTGCCGGCGGCGCAGTCGGAGGCGTCGCAGCCCTCGGCCTCGTTGGCATCGCCGCGTTCCTCTGGTTTCGTCGCCGTCATTCTCCTCGCAACGCTCCTCCCAACGCCACTCTGGGCGGCGCTCCTCCTCCTCCTCAAGGAGGGAACCCTCCCGCTGGAGCTACCTATCCCTCGGGCGTGCCGGCCGGGTATCCCGGCGGATACGCGCCCGTGCCGATGCAGTCGCCGCCGCAGGGCTACGATCCTCACATGAACCAGTACGGCCAGCAAGGCGTCTATCCGCAGCAGTACCAGGGACAGTATCCTCAGCAGCAGTACAGCTATCCCGTCCAGACGAGCACTTCGCCAGTCTACACGACTCCTTCTCCCGGTGCTTTCAAGGAGGGCGACATGTCGCCTCAGCAGCAGGCGCCTCCGACTGAACTGGCTGCGGTGAACCCCGTTGGAGCAGAGAACAACAGAGCAGAGCTGGGGAATTAGACGCTGGTTTCTGGGGTTTGGGGGTATATCGAGTGATTTGTTTTTCCTGGTATGGGAGGGAATATGCAAGCCAACGTCAGTCTTTTTCTTCTTCTTTCTGCTGAGCTGTTGGATGAATGGGTTTTGAGATGATATCATGAATTGGCTCGGGACATAATGAGGGACGATGCTTTTTGAATGGGTCTCTTTTCTTTTGCTACCCTTTCTAAAGCACAGGGTATATATGATGTCTTCAAACGTGTAAATCAATAAACATTACGAATAAATCCACCTTCGTGCCTGGGCCGTCAGCTTCTCATACAAATCTGAATAGGATTGTCTTCCGGCGTCAAATCCCTTACTCATGACAATGTGGTTACGGCTTTACTCCTTGGTGGCGTTGTCCCAGAATTGGGGCCAGCTGACAACAGTATTACTCACACGAGCCTCTTCCGCGGCAAAGACCATTGCGTGGCTGCGAATCACTTCTTCCACGGTGCAGCCGACAAACTCGTTTTGGGCCTTTTCAGCCTCCCATCCGTGGTTCTTGACACGATCGCAGGCCAGGACAAACTGCCTCGTGAGGCCCAGGTCGCCGCCGCCGTGGCCCTTGTGCTCCATGTGCGGCGTGTAGACGGCCGTCTTTTTCGTGGCAAAGTCCTCCACGACAATCTTTTCAGAATCAGTGTAAATCTCGCCATGCTCGCCGTAGAAGTAGGAGAAGCGATAGCACTGCTTCTTGGTCTGAGCCACCATCTGGATGGTGACGCGCTTGGCGGGCTTGACGGACTCGGGCCACGTAATGGTGACAAACTGGTCGTCGCACACGTTGTTGTCTGCTTCATAGACGCATCGGCCGAACCAATTGCGCGAGCTGACTTCGTCCTTGGGAGTTGACTCGTCCCAGTCGTCCTCCAGGACCTTGGTGATTACCTTTTCGCGCTCTTCAATGGTTTTATAGTCTTCAATGTCGTGTACGACGGTGGTGACGGGCCAGTCAGTGTTGCCAGTCCCAACTCCCTCGCAGTTGGCACTCAGATATACATTCTTGGCGGAATACTTGCAACCAGAGTCACCGAGGGGACAAGTCATGCAGTTGGTGGCTGATCCGGCGGCAGCAGGCTTGCGGCTCTTCCTGAAGTACTGTAATCCTCCAGTGGACGAGACAAAGTCGGGAAGATGAGGCTCGCCCTCTCCAGCCTTTTCCGGAGAGCAGAGAAGCCACAGGATGAGGTCGACATCGTGGCAGCACTTGGTCAGCAGCGATGGCCCTGAAGTGGCCGAGTTTCTCCAGTTGCCTCGCACGTACGAGTGTGTAAAGTGCCACCAGCCAACGGGCTCTGTGTGGACGACGCTGTTGATGTCGCCAATGACTTTATCCTCGACAAGCAGTTTCCTCAGCATCATGTTGTGAGGGCTATATCTCAGGACGTGGCCGATGGAGAAGATTTTATTCTTCAGCTGAGGCTTGAGAGACTTGTAGATGTCGAGACAGTCTTCGAGTGATGGTGCAAGCGGCTTCTCGCACATGATGTGAAGGCCCAGGGGGGCCAAGCCAACGACAACCTCTCGGTGCATCTGATCCTGGACGCAGACAAAGGCGCCGTCAACGCCCTCGGGGACATTGATTTCTCCGTTGGCAACTCGCTGGCGCCGCTTCTGCTCGTATTCGACGAAGTCGCGCCAGTCCAGGAACATCTGGCCTTCGCTCGGGCCGTTGCCACCCCAGATGTGATGCTTCCCAAGCGTCTCCCGCCTGTACTTGTTGGGATCAGCCACGGCGGCAACGACACCGTTGCTGGCAATATCGATACACCTAGCATAGCCGATTCCTCGGGCTCCGGCACCGATGATGATGAAGCGAGGCGGATCTTCCGACATTTCAGGCCTCGGAAGGGGCTTGACATGGGGGTCGTCGGAGACCTGGAGCGAGGCCATGGCGACGATTGGATATGAGATAAGTTTAGAATGTCGAGCTCCTGTTCACGATGATGTTGAGACTTTGCTTTCTGTTGATGTAAAAGGAGTCGTCGATGAGTGATTCGGCTCTGTCTGTCATATATAGCCCATGGCCCAAAGATGTTAGCCAGGGACGCCGTCCGTAGCCCAACCCGGGTCGCCCAATCAGGATCGAGCCGATTCAAAACAGTGGCTCGACGGCATCTTAGCAATTGGACGAGAGAATGTGCAACGTTCCAGTGCTAGAACCGCTAGCAATGAGGGGGAAGAAGGGCGCTGCTTATCGAGGGCATGTTTGGGCTTGGGTGGGGGAGGGGAAGATGGGTTTCACTTGATGCCACGTGAATCTTGTGAGAGACGCTGGACGGAGAGCTGGAGGGGCGCCACATGGCTGCTGTTAGCTCCCTAGATCGCTGAACCGGCCCCCTAAACAGGCAACAGCCGGCGCTGTAGTCGCTGTCGGGCTTAAGGCGATGCCCTGGAGCTGGAGCTTTCTGCGGTACCGGTGCTCCTTAGCTTGGATCAACCAAACCAAACCAGAGACATCCATTGAGCAGAGTGTTGATTCGACTCTTGTTCTCTTGGTCATCTTGCTCCGCCAGCATTCATTAGGCACTACATATTCAAACTAAAGTTTTGCCGTGTGGTTACATCCGATCGTTTAGAATGCCGGGTTCCGAGTTAAGTCATGCCTCGGCGGCGGACGATGCTTTGGTCTGGATCGACTGCGAGGTGAGATATGACGTCGAATCCCCCTGTTCACCTGATCTTCTTCTTCTCCTTACCAAGGCTTGACCGTCGTGTATAGATGACGGGCTTGAACCCCGACACCGAGGAGATTCTGGAAATCTACTGCATCTTGACGACGGGAAACCTCGACATCATCGACCCCGAGGGTTTCCACGCCGTCATCCACTGGCCGGCCTCTCGCCTGGACCAGATGGACGAGTGGTGCACAAACACGCACGGCAACTCAGGCCTGACGGCAGCCGTGATGGCCTCAGACACCACGCCGGCCCAGGCAGCCGAGGGTCTGTACCGCTACATCACAAAGTTCATCCCCAAGCCGCGGACGGCGTTGCTGGCCGGCAACAGCGTGCATGCCGACAGGGCCTTTCTGCGAAGAGAGCCGTACGGCAGGGTCATGGAGCACCTGCACTACCGCATCATGGACGTGAGCTCGATCAAGGAGGCAGCTCGGCGGTGGAGCCCGCAGCTTCTGTCGCGGGCGCCGGCGAAGAAGGGGAGCCACAAGGCGAGGGACGACATCCTGGAGAGCATCGAGGAGGCCCGGTACTACAGGGAGGCCATCTTTGGGGCATCGGCTGATGTCAGGTAGGCCGTAGGAATTGAACTGAGAAGAAACCTGTTGATGCACCCCGTTGAGGTCCATCTTGTAAGAAGCAGCCCAAAGCAAACCAATTGCGCGTCATTGATGTCATTGCTGGACGGGCGCTGGGCTTTCGTTGGGCCAAAGGCGACGACTTTGACCGCCATGAGGCAACGGCTGCAGCTCCAGTTTGGCATTGGGATTTGCAATTCAATCCGCACTGTACGACATCACTCAGACGATGTATCGGACACAGTGCCAACTGACCTTACACCAGCACGGCTTGCCCCTCCATCGCTTGTTCAAGATGCCCAATCCCCACCACCAGCTCCTTGAAGCTTCCCCTCATCGCCCCTTAAAGCTTCCAACGTCCCCTATTATTCCCGCTTGTTAGGCTTCCTAGGAGCTCGTTGGCAATAAAAAGCTCTTCCTATAGCCGCTGGCTTCAATTCAATCCAATTCTATTCTTCCAATCTACAGCATCAGCAATCCCCCTACAATCTCTCACCCGCCGCCATGAGTGCCAGCATTCAGACTGTCGAGTTCGAGCCCTTCCAGGACCAGAAGCCCGGAACGTGCGTCACAGCCTTTCTTTGCTGCCCCGCCATCGTCTTTTACACTTGACGGATTCAATTGCTGACATTGGCTTGCCAATCCTCCAGTTCTGGCCTGCGGAAGAAGGTCGTCGTCTTCCAGAAGCCGCACTACAGCGAGGCCTTTGTCGCCAGCATCCTCCTGTCCATCCCCGAAGGCGCCGAGGGTACGAATTCATCTGTGTTTTGTCTCATCTGGCGAAAGATGCCGTCAAGATGCCGAGCCAACTAACACTCTCCCGTCTCTCCAGGCGCTTTCCTCGTCATCGGTGGCGATGGACGATTCTATAACCCCGAGGTGATCCAGCTGATTGCCAAGATCAGTGCCGCGTATGGCGTCAAGAAGCTTCTCATCGGCCAGAACGGAATCCTCTCTACTCCCGCGGCTAGCCATGTCATTCGCCTTCGCAAGGCGACGGGTGGTATTCTGCTCACAGCCAGCCACAACCCTGGCGGTAAGTCCCTCAAGCTTGCCACACTGAGCGCAAAGGACAGTTGCTGACGACGCATGTTATTCGGCCAGGCCCTACCAACGATTTCGGCATCAAGTACAACCTGGCCAACGGTGGTCCCGCTCCCGAGTCTGTTACCAACAAGATCTACGAGACGTCCAAGACCTTGACGTCGTATAAGCTTGCTTCCATCCCCGACATCGACATCTCCACCATTGGCACCTCTACCTATGGCTCCCTCGAGGTCGAGGTCATTGACAGCACCGCCGACTACGTCACCATGCTCAAGGACATCTTTGACTTTGACACCATCAAGAAGTTCTTCTCCTCCCACCCCGACTTCAAGGTCCTGTTTGATGGCCTCCACGGCGTCACTGGCCCCTACGGCAAGGCCATCTTTGAAAAGGAGCTTGGGCTCACCGGCGCCACCCAGAACTGCATTCCCAGCCCCGACTTCAATGGTGGACACCCCGACCCAAACCTCACCTACGCCCACTCCCTGGTCGAGGTTGTCGACAAGAACGAAATCCCCTTTGGTGCCGCTTCCGATGGTGATGGTGACCGAAACATGATTTACGGCGCCAACGCCTTTGTCTCTCCCGGAGACTCTCTCGCCATCATTGCCCACCACGCCAAGCTCATCCCCTACTTCCAGAAGAACGGCGTCAACGGCCTTGCTCGATCCATGCCCACCAGCGGTGCCGTCGACCTGGTTGCCAAGGCACAGGGCCTCACCAGCTACGAGGTCCCCACCGGCTGGAAGTTCTTCTGCGCCCTCTTCGATGCGAAGAAGCTGTCCATCTGTGGTGAGGAGAGTTTCGGAACTGGTAGCGATCACATCCGTGAGAAGGATGGCCTGTGGGCCATCGTTGCCTGGCTGAACATCATCGCTGCCCTTGGCGTCCAGAACCCTGGCGTGACCCCTTCCATCAAGCAGATCCAGAAGGACTTCTGGACGCAATACGGACGCACCTTTTTCACCAGATATGACTACGAGAATGTCGACTCTGACGGCGCCAACAAGGTTGTTGGCGAGCTCGAGGCTTTGGTGGCCGACCCCAAGTTTGTGGGCAGCACCATTGGCGGTAAGCATTACTCCTCTACAACGAGCAGCATCAGACTAACTCAACCGAACAGAGCGCACCGTCACCAAGGCTGGCAACTTCTCCTACACTGACCTGGATGGCTCAGTCTCGTCCAACCAGGGCCTGTACGCCGGCTTCTCCTCTGGCAGCCGCATTGTCGTGCGTCTCTCCGGTACTGGCTCATCCGGCGCTACCATCCGTCTGTACATTGAGCAGCACACCAGCGATCCTTCCAAGTACGACCTTGATGCTCAAGACTTTTTGAAGGACGAGGTCAAGTTTGCTACCGAGCTGTTGAAGTTTAAGCAGCACATTGGCCGCGACGAGCCTGATGTCAAGACCTAAGCATCTGATGTTTTGATGAATCCTCATTATTATTTTAATTTGAAGCGTAGTGTTTGAAATGGGAGGGAAGGAAATAAAACCACATGAGATTATGCCCAGCAAGATATAGCTGTATTAAAAGCAATGAATTACAAAAAAATTTCAAGTTATATATTTCTTTTTCTTTTGAGTCGGATAAATCATTAGCCATAACAATAACGTGGTCATCAAACCAACTTGACATGTTCATATAAGTTCAAATAAATTTGGAGTCGTGAGTGGAAGATTCATGAAATTAAAAACACAACAAATCAAAAACCAAAATTCCTCGTAAAAGGTAATCGTCTTCAGTAAAACCTCTCAAATAAACTTTTCTTTTTGCGGAAAATATCAAAACGCCATTCGCCAGAGCTGAAATGAGTAGCCGGGCATCAAATTATCAGTCGTCTCGTCGTAAAAAAAAAAAAAAAAAAAAAAAAAACGTTGTAGGAGATGTTGATGGGGTATAAAAATATAGAATGGATGGAAACAAATTAAATTGACAAGCGTTGCTTGAAACGTGGTGGTTTTTGTCAAAACTGATTAAGAAGAGGGATGAAGAAGGGTGGGCGGAATCGCTTGAAATTAAGCTCTTGGAGTCGTCGGTCGAGATACCGCCCTGGGAGTATTTGGTCTTGGAGTGATGGGCCGCGATGTATTCGGCTTGACTGGAGCGCAGAAGAGATCTTTGAAGCTTTGGGCAGCTATGAAAATGTTAGAAGAAGAAGCAAAGGACCAAGACGTGTCAAGGAACTCACCCTCTTCGTTGTAAAACTGAAGCTCAAACGCTCCGCCGGAACCCTTTCGCTGCGCTTGCTGTCGGTACTGCTGGCAGAAAACGTACAGCTGAATGTCGGCCAGGCGGATTCTCTTGCGGCTGACCCGCCTGAGCCAAGTGGGCGACGCGGACTGATGGGTTACTGGGAGCGGCTGTTAGTCTATACCGATGTCCTTGATTCTTGGATTCTTTTTTTTTTCCCTGATGAGGCGGGAAAAATGACATACCAAAGGCCGTCCAGACGGGACATTGGCGCAGCTCTCCCTCCCAAACGGCGACGTGGAGGCGGCGGCCGCCTGTGTGTCGATCTTCGTAAACGATGAGTGAGTGCTTGAAGCCGTCGTCCAAAATGCATCTGGCAGGAGATGTTAGCAGCAAGAAACGATTTTGTGAGTGGGATGAATGGGACTCACGCTTGAAAGAGCTTCCGTTCACCCTTTAGGGCGTATTCCTTGGTCCCGAGCAGGACTGTCAGGGTGTTTCGAGACTTGAGAGCCAGAAAGGTGCAGTACATGAGAATGAGTTCTGAAAATACCCCCCCGTTAGCAATGGCCGTTTATTGCGGCGCGAACATTACTGCGAGAAAACATTCAACGCTTTAGGGCGTGATCTGACATACCTTCCCAGGTCTGAAAGCGCAATGTTGCCCAGAGCTTGGAGCAGTTTTCGGAGCGGCTCCATCTCTTGAACTGTATCGAATCATTCTCACGCTGAATGCACAGCTCGTGCACGCCACGGACTGAGAACCATGGTCCGCCCATGTAAAAAGTCCGAAGGAGAAGGTATGGTGAGCCATCTCGTCCATCAGAATAGGCGATGAGGGAAATCTTGTCATCGTCAATGGGTCTGAAGTCATCAAATTAGCAAGGCTGCCATGATGGCTGCTGGCATATCTCATGCGTATACGAACTTACCGTCTGAATAGAACCTTTGAATTGTTAGGGATGCTCAAATGACCCCATGGCCGATGTGGTCCAAAAGACTCGGATCTGTGAAAACGCCATGTTTGAGTATGCAATTTCTTATTGTAGCTAAGGGGGGGCTCTGATGACTTACGGAAGCTGGCTTTTTAGAGGTGACCGAGATGGCAGGGGCAGAGAAAAGATTTGCTCGGCCCAGTGAACGGACTGCATCAACACATGTAAGCGACATGTCAACAAGTAAAAAGAAGCAAAGAATTCCCTACCGGATCCATGTCTGCAGGTGGTATAGTCCCATAGCGAACCAGAGGGCCGGCCTGTATTGGAGGCGGAGCTATAGTCTCTTGTTAGTGTCGAGAGTATTTCCCTGACGTGGGCAAATTAGCTGAACATACGAATTCCTCTCGCTTCTCGCAGATTCATTATCTGCAGGCGGAACGCTTCCATCATGTTGAGGTCGAAGTTGGGCGATCTTGATGTACATGTCAGCAGCCTGGACCAAGACAACGTCAGACGTCAAAAGCATGTTTTGTTACCTGGATAGCAAGTCCCGAATAGCTGAGAGATAATGGTTATACACAACGAACCGCTGCGGTAGCTGCAGACCGCCAGCTTCGTTGGTCATCTCGTGAAACATTGTTCGCCAGCGGTTTACTTTGGTCAATTTTCGGTTCTCATAGTGCGTTGTGATGTCCCGTAGAGATCGCGACATGCACGGCAGGATGGTATTAAGGGGATCCAGCACCAGCGGCACGCGGTCTTGGTGGACTTGGGACAGGTCGGCCAGCTCTCGCAGAATCAGGCTAGAGGTCTTGATCTCGTCGATGAGTGGCTTCAAATGCCGACGATTGTCCTCTGGCATGGCGAGGAACAAGCCCTCGAGCCGCAGCCAGACACTATCTGACCTCTCCGCTTCCAAGCAGCATCCCTTGAGTAGATGGGCGTCTACCAAGGCTGCGGGATCCTCCTTAGGTGAACCAAGCTCCATGGCGTGATTAGAAAACATGTAGACGGAATATGGCGGCGGTAACAATATTAATACGAATCGAAAAAAAAAGACGAATGTTCCAAGAGGATCGCTGTGGCCTATCCAAGCATGGGCCTGGTCCAGATGGAATGAATCGGTGTACGGCGGTAACCAGTCAACTCGATACCTTTTTGTTTGATCTTCTTTCTTCTACCAGGCCTCTCTCACAATAGCTGGGCCAGCCGTTTCACGTCCCGGAGCCGATGGAATTGGATTGGCTATTACAACAACCTCATACGATATACGATTCGTTGCACACGTGAGCCAACCACAGGAAAAGGCTGGGGAGAATGGAAGAAAGAAGAGGAAAAAAAACTGCGTCTCTCTCGCCAGTGGAAGACAGCCAGACAACGATCCGAAAGATTGGGTCGGAGCCAGATCAAATCGAAATGTCGGAGTGGCAGGGTGGACCGGTAGTTAAAGTCGGGGCGGGCGGGGGATGGAGAGCAACAAGAGCAGAGCCATGCAACATCAAAACCCGGCCATGGAGGGGCATCTATCTTCCCACACCAGTGGCACGGGGATCCGGTGGCAGCCCAATGCAAATGCAAAATGCACGGGATGGGGGGGAAAGGAAAGGGAGAGAAGAGGAGAGGGAGAGGGAGGAGGAGGAGGAGGGCGTCACTGGCAACACCAACAGCAGACAAGGACAGGCTTGAGACACACACACATGCAGCGTGCCAGCGTGTCCGGCATAGAATAGAATAGATTGTGTGCTCCCTGCGTCAAGCAATGGAGAGTCGAGAGATGGTCGTAGACCCCCAAGGCCGTGCAGCAGCAGCAGCAGCAGCAGCATCCCATCGGATGACCAACTGGTGCATCGCCAGCAGCGCCAGAGCCCGTCACCCCATGTTGCGGTGGCGACCCAGCGCAAGGCTCGCAGCAGCTCACAGCATGCCACGAAAGCAAGCGTGTGTCGACCCGACGGTTTGCGGTGCATTGGGCCGGCACTTGCATGGTCCCCGATGCAGCAAAGCATGTTCATGTTCGCACAAGCCGCCCATCATTGGCTCGCTTCGGGTGGAGGCCACGGCCGCTGCCAACAGATAGCAGCCGGGCATCTGATTGAGCGGTGATGCTGCGCGGTGATGTGATTGTGGCTGGAGAAGATGGGCTCGACCATGTTGTTGCTTGGGCCTGTCTGGCGGGCTAACGGGCAGCGGGCCTATTCTCTGTGGCCGCATGTTAGTGCTTAGGACAGAACAGTAGTCGCAGAGCCGCCATTTGAGGCTGAGGAGGATGGAAGCGGAGAGTGTGGAGAGAGAGAGCGACGCTTGCTTGGGGCGGCCCGGGCTTCCGTCCACCGGCCTTTCTCCTCTCCCTTTTCTTGCAGCTATTCTCGCTCTCGTGTGTATTTCTTCTCTCTTCTTCCTCCACTGCGCTCATGTTAAGATTTGGCGTGGACGGAGGAGAGCTTCCGGATTCCGGGGTCTTGAGGCTCCGCTGGCTTGGGTTGATCCGTGCCGGTTGCATACCGCCACCTCCACCGCCATCCGAGGGAGCCTCTTTTTTCCCTCTCACCAGCCACGTCGAAAAGAGAGCTTAGTAACATGCAGCTCGAGTAGCAACAGGCGAGAGAGCTCTGTGAAGCAAATAAGCGTACTCCATAGAAATCACAAAATCCATCAGCTCAAGCCATCAATTCCAGTACAAGAGATGCGAGAAAAGAAAGGAAAAGAGGGATCGAGAGCATGTCATGTGTGGTTGCAGAAGCACATGTTGTAGATTTATATCTTGTCAATTCATGGCCGTGGCTTCATTGTTATTACGATGAATGAAGCTCACGCAAAAGTTAATTTGATATCGCATTGTAGCTCTGCCGGCCACTTCCCCGTCCTCAATTACAAGAATGCGAGACCCTGTTCCGTTGAATTCCGGCACCTGAAAGCAAATAGTACGCAACCCATTCCGTGCATTCGTACAACACCGTCCTGCCCATAATACAAAGAAATCGACATCACCAGCCTGGGCCTGTCATGTTTGGCTAAGCAAGGCGAGCGGGCCCGTTGCCATTAATCCTCAGCCCAATGCTTCGTGAATCATTGCAGAAAGAATCACCTAAACCATGATTCTGAATGTTCCGTCATGGCAAATTCCCCGCTTACGATGAGTCCTCTTCCTGGTCGGCCTGTCAAAGTCAAAGTCAGCATTCATCTTGATGCGATTCAATGGGGTTAGGGTAAAGGCGCGTACGTTGTAAGCCTGCTTCTCATCCTCATAACGCTTCTTGTCGGCGGCAGCCTTGGCCTCATAGGGGGCACGCTGCTTGTCATTCAGGGCCTTCCACCGCTCACCGAGCAGCTTGCCGACCTGGCCGAATGAAATGCCGGGGTTCTCCTCACGAACGTTCTCACGCTGCTCGTTGGCGAAGAACATGTAGGCAGAGAGACCGCGCTTAGGAGCGTTGGGGTCTGGGAAATCAAGTTAGCCAGATGCCACAAAGTTGTTGACGAGTACGAGGCAACATACCCTTCTTGCCGCGCTTCTTGCCACCGTCCTTGGCACCACGCTTTCCTGCTGCGGCCTTGGGCATTTTGACTATGTAGTTTCTAGAATGGAGTTAGTCGCGCCATCTTCTTCCATGAGATGAGATGAGCATTGAGTGAGTGAGTGAGTGGTGGGTGAGGCGAGGGAGTGGCCAGAGCAGAACGCGACCAAGTAGAGATGGCCACTAAGCTTGATTGCAAAGGTAAAACGAACGACATGGTGGAAGTGGGCTGTGTAGAGGTAGAGAGGCATTGAGGCAAGGTAGAGGGGTAGCTCTGCTGGTGCAGCTCCATGAGCTAGACATGAGGTAGCAGGTGAGGCACCGAAAGTGCAATTGAGGCCGCTTGCGCGGGTGAAAGAGGGTTTGAAGCTCAAAAAAGTGCTTTGCGAGGCCATCTCCATACTCTGAAGGATTTTTATCTCGCAGACGAGCGCGGTTGCGATGTCGAGCTTTTTCACTCTTCCAATGCGACCGCGCAAGTCAGCGCGTGTTGAAGATGGGCAGGGGAGCTATGCTGTGCTGTGCTGTGCCGTGCTAATGGGGAAGAGCAAGAGTTGCGTCTCGAGGTGCAGAGCTGCATCACCAAGAGCAACGCTGCGAGGGCAGGAATGAAGCTCAAAAACAACTCAAAAACACTCGGGACCAGCTAACCGGGTGCAGTGCACGAGGCAAAAGGACGTGGTTGCTGGTGACCTGGTGCTTGGCTGTGATGCGCGGCGAAGTCAAGGTACTCACCAGATAGGCGCGTTGTGTTGCGACGAAGACGCGGGTGCAGTTTGTATGGGAGGATTTTGTATGGGAGAATTTGTATGGGAGAGGGAGAAGGGGAGCGAGTCTGTATGGGGGGAGGGCCAAGCAGCCTTTTTACTATGGGCGAGTGATTGTGAGTGCGGGCTGCGGAGGGACGCGCGCACGCGCCGAACGGCCTAAAAAGCTACCACCCACACACTCTCTCCTTCGCCCACGCTCTCACTTTTTTTTTTTTTTTTTTTCCCCCTCCTGGAGGGGTGACGGGTATTCTGGCTTGGGGGTTGGGGGGGGTGCTGGGTACCTGCTGTACTGGGTACGAAGCGCTACGACGGAGGTACTCGTACTCATACGAGTACTCGCGGATGGAGCACGCAGGACTGGGCTGCTAGTAGGGTCCGGAGCGCTGCAATAGGCGGCACTATGGGCGCTGGGGACAGGCGGCTGTTTGCACTGGGCACACACTGGGCAACACACACTGGGCACGGGGTATGTTTGCCGACGGTAGGTACTCGTACCTGCTCCCTGGAGACGCCTAGTGTCCGAGTACCTGCTGCAGCGAGGTTGGAGGTAACAGCAGCAACAGCAACAGCAACGTACCTGGACGATCCATCCATTCGATTGGATCCAATTTGCTGTGCTGTGCTGTGCTGTGCTGTGCTGTGCTCTGCTGTGCTCTACTCGGCGAGGCGAGACGAGGCGAAGGAGGGAGGCGACTTTTGATCTGCTCTGCTCCATACAGCCTCTACCTTGTGCTCCATCCAGCCATCCATACGAGTACGTACAGGTACTCGTTGGATTCAAGGCATTTGATGTTGTCTCGCCTACGGCGCTGCAGGACCAATTCGTAACCAGTACAAACAAGCATGGATGCATCGAGCTTTTCCGCAATGCCTGCGCTTGCACTGCACCGCAACTGCGTGTAAGTGGCTCCCTCTCCTGCCTGCACTTGGACCTGTCCATACGTTCTCCGTTCTCCGCAGTGCAAATGGCAGCATGCATGCCGCTTAACTTGGGTCGCGACTCGTCCTCGGATCGAAAGTACGGAGCAGCAGCTTATACTACCAGTAACGGGTACAGACACGACAGGGAGGGAGATGGATATGGCAATGGATCTCCAAGCATCTCATCTCTAACTGGCTACTAAGTACGAGCATGTTTTGTTGCCATACAGTCATCGACAGTGCCTCAGTTTGGATAGAGCCAACAAGGTTTCAAGCATCAAATACATCTCAATGTACTCCGTACACACTCGTAGTGCAAGGCTCCTAAAGCCGAAGAAAGAAAGAAACCCGACGCCACAGGGAGCATGTTCCGTCAGTGTCCTGCGGCGCTGCTTCGTATCAGTGACCTTCAGTTGGTGATCCAGGCAAGCCTCGCGCGTCCATCTTCTCCTAGCTCAGCAACAGGCTGTCGTCATGGATAGGTACTCGTGTGCTGTTTTTGTTGAGTCGAGTTAGCAGCGGCGGTCACAGGCAAGGTGCCTGCTTGGTCTGCTGATTGCGCAATACTGTACAGGTACACGGCCTGCTTAGCCTTCCCCTCTCAAGAACAGTCCACGCCCTTTGTACCCCATCGTCCGTCTTGTAAATCGCACTGTGTACTTGCGACTGCACCAACCCTCCCTCATCCTTGAAGTGGCTGCGCTTGTACTCTCTCTCACCGGGGCGAATCCACCAAGCTGCGCTCCCCTGGACTTGGACTTGGCCGTAGGAAGCTCTTGGTGTCGCTTCCTCCATTCATAACCCACGTCGAAGCCAGGTGTCTGGTGCCTTTTTTCCCTCCCTCTACGGAGCACCGCTGCTCCATACGCCCAAAACGCACTGGCGGATCAATGCTGCTACTGCTGCTCCTGCTTCTGCCACTGCCACTGCCACTGCCACTGCCACTGCCACTGCTGCTACTACTGACACCCTCCTTGCAACTCTGGCTGGTGCCACACCTCGACCTCGAACTCTCCATTTAGCAGCACCCATGTTTTGGCCGGATGCGCTGCGAGGCGAGGGTGAGGGGACTCGATGGCACAGCCAACTCCGGCGGTAGCACGGAGTACCATTCGCAGTAGGCTGGATTGGAAGGTGCGGAGTACCACATGAAATGAGGCTTGCCCATGCGTGTGCTCGCACACCAAAAGTCTCTCTCCCCCTTGATGCTAGCTGTGAGTGTACCAGCAGTTGAGGTTGAGAGCTGTTTGAGCTGGACAGACAGAAGACTGCGTGCTCGTACGTGCCAGCAAGTACTAACTCCTCTGACAAAGCACGAGGTACATTCTACCCACGCAGAAAACAAGTCTCATACGATGAATTGCCCTTGGTTGCCCTGCCCCTCGCACATCTCCAGCTGCTGTGCTACCGGTTCGAGTACGAGTACTTGCATCGCTGCTACTGAATCGGCTTACTCCAAGTCTCAAGTCGGCTGAACACGGCCCTTGTTGGTGTTTGACATGCGGACGAAACAACGGAGCACAAGTACTCGTACTTGCGCCGGCCGATTGTTTTGGGCGCCAAGCAAGGTCAAGTTACATGGCCAGATGCATGCCTTTTGACACGCGGAAATTGAGACTGGACGGCCGCAACTCTCGCAAGAGGTACCTGATTTACGACATGCTGGTACTCGGTACCCATTGGAGCGTTGATTCAATTTCAAAGGAGCCGTGGAAATTACTATGGGTGGCCCTGCAAGGCCCTTTCTCGCACTCCTCACTGCAACACAGGCTCGCATTGGCGTGCCAGAGAGTTGCGCCGACTGCTTCCAAAGCTCTTAGCGCGGAGCCCATCCTCCTGCCTTTCCCCTCACCAGTGACTGGTCTCACGACTTAAACTGGGGCGTCTACTGTACGAGTGCTCGTTTCTTCTTTGCCACATGTTGGCTGCTCTGGACGGCATTGAACCCTCTACGCAGGTACTGCTAGAGGTATGCACTGTATGAGAGGTATGTACTAGTATGAGTCTCATACCCGTATTCTGCGACACGGTTTGCTTGTGGTCTGGCAGCAGGGCGCCCGACGCAGGCATGGAGACGAACGGGCTGCCGCCTGAGTCCGGACTTGCATCTTCTCGAAGCATTGATTATGATTACCTTAGTATGGAAACGACATGCGGCAACCAAGCGTACCGGGGAGCTGACCATTTACCAGCCAAAGCTACATACTAGCTTTGAGCTCTTTTGCTGCTGATTGCTCCATCGGCTGTTCCGTAGTGCTACCTCTGTCAAGTTGCGACTACTGGTGCTCGTTGTCGGACCTTCGCTACTGTCTGGTTCCAATATTGCATGCACTGGGCTTATTCTGCCCAGACCCGGTTGCATACAGACTGGAGTGCATGTACCTGACGAACCCCTCGTGCTACCTCGATGCTTTCTAGGGATACTTGCTGCAAGTGTTCGTCGGTGGTCGAGATAAAGACGCTCCGATAAACAAGCCACCCTTTTGCTCTACAGTAGGCATTGTCACGAGCATGCATAAAAAGCCAAATCAAGGGACTACAAGTACCTTAGTACTTGGATGACTTGGGCTGGGCACATATGGCTTACAGGTACGGAGTACACGCGGCAAGATGGAGCGGCGGAGGACTCGGAAGGTTCAAGGTTGTCACTGCAGGCTACTAACTGAAGGGTGTACTTGTAGTGGTGCATGACGAAATGTACCGTCATACGACTTTTGCAAGTACTGGTACTTTACCCTTAGTACCTTTTCTGCACACCAAGCGCGAAACAGGGACGACTCGGCCCCTCCCAAGATAAGGGACCACCGGTTTACCAGCGTCTCTGTGGCTAGCAGTACCGCTCCGTACTCTTACAGGTCCTCGCCTCACATTGGCGATGGACCGACAAGGAGCACAGACGCATTGATTCGGCCTGTGCCTGTGACACGGAGTAATACGGACAATGCAAGCTGAGATGAGGGCGAATCCTGCTGCTGGCTGACGAGCGGGATTGGGAGGCTTTTTTCGATCAATGCTTTGAGACGTACGGAGTAACGCGTACTCGTACAGTATGTACTCGGACTGCCAATGCAGCTCCAAGCAAAGCAGGCATGGTACCAAGGTAAGTTTAAGGCATGCTACTGATGTTGCCAGGTATTGCGAGTACAGGAGCAATTGATCCAGGTAGCATCGATGGATGGGCAGGGAAGAGACGAGGGCTGCTAGCCAAGACGAATTCATGTCTGATGAGCCTGTCCTGCCCAAGGCACATTCCTCGACCGGGTGCGTACAGCCAGTATTGCGAACACAGAGGCTGGCCAGCCATTCCGACGCCTGCGGCATTCCGATGCTGTATGAGTGACAGTATCGGCACTGAGACCCAAACAGATGGGTGGCAATACATGCAGGTACCTGCAATCACCGCTGACCGGCTACGAGCGTCGAGGTCATCCGCAGCTGCTAAAGCCGCAACCGCAATTCGTCCCAGTGGTACAAGGACAGTGGCGCGAGCTGGTTGCATGCACGAAGTAAGTCTCGTACCAGCAGGACTGGGCGTGCGGATACGCTGCTAAATTTCCAGTAGGAGCTCGGATGCCTGTCACGCAGAGGAGCCGGTTTTTATTTTTCTCTCAATTGCAAAGTAACTCCCCGGCCCGCAGGATACTGTGCGGTACAAGCCTCGACCCTTGGCAAATTCGAGCCAAATGGGGGAGAGCCCTTTGCTTTTTTTTCTTCTTTTCTCCCTTCTCGCACTCCCCACGTACGCCTCTGCAGGAAAAAATGAAAAATAAAAAATCAATGCCTGTAATTACCTAAGGCAGTGATGCTACTGCAGCGCTCCACTCAACATCAACATCACCCTTTATCGCGCGTGAAATATAAACAAATCAACCAACGACACGCTGCGTGCCTTGTATTAAAGGGACGGCATCTGTCGCGATCAACAGCCAAAAGGGCGCAATTGCAGTCGCAGTCGCCGTAACATTGAGTCTCAGCTTCCATCCTTCTTCCTTCTCGAAGAGGCCCAATGACAAGCTGCTAGGCATTATCACGTGGCTCCCATCAGGCAAGGTGGGTGGTCATAGCTCCCACGCAAGGTACCGCTCCAGGCAAGCGGAGGTCAGAAAAAGCGAGACCGCAAAACGATCAAGTACAGAGGTACAATACATTCAGCATGGAAGATACTAAGGTAAGCACCCAATCAGCTCATCAAGTGGTGCTTTTGTGAGGGAATGCCTATTCAGCCAGCACCCGAATGTTACTACTGCCTTGTAACTATAGTAACAGTTACTATAAACACATGAATGTAGTAGCAGTTACTAGAGAAATATAGATATAGTAGCAGATACGAGTACTTGAAGAACTGGTGTGTAATTCATCGTGTGGGTGTTCGGAATCGTCTTGGGGTTTTCCGTCCCCCGCTTGCCAGGGGCTCTCAATTTCGTCTCCGGCTCCAATCATGTACAAGTCGGCATGCTCCATAGGTACTCGAGGCTTGTTTTTTTTTTCTGGTGCCCCTGACCTGACCTGGCCTGGCCTGGCCTGGACTGGGCTGTCAGCTGGTCGTGGCTCTTCTGATCTTGCACCGCGGTTTAGACCAGGAGACTGATTAGTCATGCGTATATAATGCCCAAGACTCTCATCCCGCCTGCTTCCTTTAATATTTCGCCCCACGCGTCCAGAGGCGCGTGTCGATGCATGTCGCGCTTCCCAGAGCGTTGGACGCTGGTGTATGGGCTTGCAGCAGCAGCAGCAGCCTCTTCATCTTGTGAGATTGTATTCGAGGTATCTCGTAGTGGATCTACATGTGTTTCGTCTGACACGCATTGATCCGAGATGGGGAGAAGACAGAAAGTAAACTGGAGGGCAGCTCTTCAGCAAGGTCAAGGGTTGATGTCGAGATATACTGGGCAATACGGAGCATTTGGGTGACTCTTGTTTTGCTTTTGCGTTTTCTTAGTCTTCATCTTCGGGATCTAGAACGATATTGCGCAGATCTTCGTCTCCCGCCCAGTCAACGCCACTACCGGCGATGATGCCACTAGCTACACCCTTCATGACCTTCCACCGCTGCCTGCTCGACTTGACTTCCCTCGTCAGCTTGTCCATTTCTCGCTGGACTTCGGGATTGTCCGGCCGGATGGCCTTCTTTTGCTTGGCTTGCTCTGCGAGCTCAAACAGCTGCTTCGTAAGCTTCACGTTCTCGCGGCACATGCGTATACTCTGCACCTGGACGCTGGTCAGGTCACGGCGCAGCTTCGTCCTGCTCTCTGTGTGCTTGGCCACCGAAATGGACGTCTCGTCCCTTTCCTGCACGTATGGGAAGAGATCTCTGCGCACTGGGGTCAGCAGGGGGGAGAACCAGCCGTGGGACTCAGCTAATGATGATACGTGCCGCTCAATGGGGGATGCCTGCGTGCCGCTGTGGACTGCCTTGAGGATGGGGTTTGCGACCATGACAGCTTCAATTGCATCGTTTCGTAGTCTGTATCTTGCTCTCGCGGTGAGAAGTGCGTTCTGTGCCGCCGTGAGATCCTCGTCGTCCTTTGCGCCTGAGAATCCAGCAAACGTTCTGGGTGAGCAAAGTGATTTTTTTCCCCCATCGGCGCGTCTGGCATGTGATCTTACCGGCCTGCTGCGCGTTGATGATGGCGATTTCGAGCCGCAACTCCTGCAGCTTATCGTACAAGTCCAGCACTCTCGTCTCATCTTCGGAGAGGGGAAGATGCGATTCACCGCCGTCCACACCGGTCATGGCCTCGTCGACTTCACTCATCTTGGCGGTGAATGGCGCTTGATTCGCTCGAGCTGGCCGGGTCGGTCGACCGCTGCGTATCTGGCTTGTGCTTGTCGATGCTTCGAGTATTGCTGACTTTCATGGATTCCCGTCATCTGTGGCGCGCCATACTTTCCGCACGAATAAGCCACAGCGGCCCGGCTTATCTAATGTTGGCTTTCCCTGCAAATCCATGCGTAATGCAGGGCCGCCCCCCCAAAGCGCTACAAAAAGTCACAAGGCACCTGTCACACTACCTGAATGTCGCTGATAAGGCAGAGAGCATCTTCGGCATCATTTTGGGTTGGCAGCCTGTGCCGTCCAACGACCTTTGAGGTGGCGCGCTTCGGACGTCTTTTCCCCCTGCTCCTGACAACCGCGACTTGAACTACAGCTCCGGCATCCGATCATCCTCGATAACGAACGCTTCATATATGAACTCCGGCTCGGCGCCGCTTTGTGCTTGACGGGAGATGTCTTGGGATGGCTACACAGGTGTTGATTGCCCATACGGGCCAGCGGCTGGAGGTCGATACCACGCAGTTCTCCAGGTATTTGCTGCTGCTCTCGTCTGCTGTGTGAACGTGAACTGACTGATTGCTGCAGTCTTGACGACTTGAAGTCGTGGGTAGCTCGGAATAGCGCCGTGTCGTTGCAGCATATCGTTGTCTTGACTCCCCAGGGCCGCAGCGTCAAGTTGGCAAACCTTCACACCGAGGTATGTGGTAGCCACGGGCTCTCCTCTCTTTTGCAACCTTGGTAGGCTAACGCTCTCCCCCCCAGAAGGAGATATACGTCTACGATATCCGTGTCACGCAGCCGTCTGCTGGCAGTGCGTCATCGCTCATCTCCGAGGCCTCGCTGCCTCGGCGCCAGTCCATCCCCAACGCCCCGAATTCGATCGACGATATTCAAGCAATCACGTCATGGCAGGATTTATGCAAGGAGCGCCGCAATTGGGCGACGCGCATCATGGAGGACTGCGACCAATTGAACGCGGCTGCGCAGGCCCGATACGACGAGATAGACGTCATGATCAGGTGCCTGGATGCTGCCGTCACCAATGTCGAGATAAGCGTCAAACAGATTGAGCCAAAGTACAACGAACTGAAGAAATGGGTTACGCCGGCCCTGTCGGAGCACGAGCAGCTGGTTTCGTCCTGGGATCGTTATCTTGACCTGGCCCGGAGCATACCGATATCTTCGGGCTTGGTCAAATTCATGACCCGCGGCCAAGTGAACAAGGCCGACCCTACACTGGAAGATCTCATCGAGTTGGAAACGGCCAACAAGGCCGGCAAGTTGGCTCCTACGGCGCATCGACGATTCAGCCAAAAGGCCAACGAGCTAGACGGAGCCGCGACCCAGATGTACCAAGGGCTGGAAACACTCATCGGCGAGTTCAATTCATTGATGAACAGGTCTCTCTTGGGCCACAGCACCGATTCTTCGCAGCTCATGGAGGATATTGAGGCGGTGGCCAAACAAATCGACTCGGATTACCGTGCAGCCCTCAATTATGGCAACTCGCAGCGAGACTTGGCCCAGGCTTCAAAGACGGCCTCGATTCACACTGAAAGACTTGTCCCAACCCTCCGAAAACGAGCAAAGGAGATGGATGAAATGGCGCAGTATGCGACACAAGCGCGAAATGCCATTGCGGCGGATTCTGTAAGCTTCATGCGCAACATTACGGAAATAACCTCCCTGCACAGCAGTGTCAGAAACCAAATCAACGTCCTGAATCAATCCGAAGATGACATGACAACGTTCGATTACCTGCGACTCATCCAGCAGCTGCCATACATGTACGCCTCCTTCATGGTCGAGGCCATCCGAAGGCGAGAGTGGATCGACAAAGTCAAGGCTGACTCTTCAACGCTTGCCAACGAAATGGCCTTATTCCAGGACGAAGAATCGAAGCGTCGTAAGAAGTGGCAAAAGATGGTTGGCAGCATGTATGGGCCCGGACTCGATACCAATGTTATGGGTCTTGAGGTCAACCTGCGGGGCGAAGATATCCCCTGGCCCTCCATTGGGAAGCCCGAGCTGGAAGAGTTTCTTCAACTGCTGCAGGAGCGGAATACGGACCAAGAGATTGTGAATGACGTTGCCAAGCTCCTCCAAGAGCTCTCTGCCCCCACCAAACAGCAATCCAAGAGACTCAAAGCATTTAAGAACGGCAGCGTGCACGAGGCAACTCTGGGGAGAAGCGGGCTCTTGATTCGCGGCGATGACGACCTCATTGGCTCTCTACAAGATGAAAAGCTCAGGCTGGAAAACAAGCTCAAGACAGCCGACAGCAGAGTACGCCGCCTTGAAGATCTTCTGCACCGGCAGAGCCAAGCCTCGCGCCCTGGTAATCTGTTTCCGTTGCAAGGGCAGAACGGGCATTCGAGACATAATTCCATCTCATCAATCAAATCAGCCCGCGTTGAAGACCGACCACCCTTAACGGATGGGACGGAACAGCTGTCGCAACGGATAGCGCAGTTGGAGAACGAGCTTCGCGAAGAAAAGAAGCGCTCGGCGGACTTTCAGAAAGACCTTGACAATCGCGTCAATGAGAGAGATGACATGAGAGATAGGATCGAAGAAGTCAACTCGACGAAGAAGGATCTACTTGAAAACATGGAAGCCCTGAAGCGGGAATTTTTGGACGAGAGAATCTCCCTGGAGAATGAGATCAAGACGCTCAAGGCCCGGCTGGAGGATACTGAAGAAGAGATGGATCATTTTGGGGAATCCCGGGAGAACGAAAAGGCCAATTTCGACGAGAAAATCCAAGCCCTCGAGGCGGAGATTGAGCGAGCCAACAAGGAACGAAAAGATGATATGCTCAAGTCCCAGGGCCAGGTTGAGTTCCTACGCAAAGAGACACAGATGCAACGGGATCAGCTCGATGCCTCCGAGCGAAGACTACGCTCTGTACGCGAAGAGGCCCGACTTACATCCAAGAAGCTCGAGTCAGTGGAGGAGAGTGCAGAATCTCGACTCGAATGGCTAAAGAAGCTGTATGCTGAGCTGTCGCCAGACAAGGCCATGCCAACCGACGAGGCTGACCTGACCGAGGCTCTCATCTCCAATGCCGCTGATATCGTCGAGAAGGTGCGGAATTCTGGGAGCACCGCCTCGCTCTTAAGATCCGAGCTTGACAAGGCCACCAACTCAGCTAAGGAGCTTCGAGCCGAACTGACTCAGATGAAGGAAAGCCTCTCGTCACAAGAGATGTCTACGATGCACGCCCGGGAGAACCTTGCCGAGGAAAAGGCCAAGGTGACTGCCTTGGAACGCGAAGTGACGGAGAGCAGGGAGGAGCTAAACCAGCTCCGAAGCCAATTATCGGACGGCGAGACAGGATCCGAGATGCTCCGCAAGAAGCTCGAGAAAGAGGAGAAGAAGGTTACGGAGCTCTCGGAAGAGGTTGCTTGGCGACAGTCCCAGGTTGGCAGCCTTGAAGAAGAGTCCCGGCTCTTCAAGCAGAGATTTGAAGATGTCCAGTCGAAGCTATCTGCGCTTAGCGCGCAATACGAAGCGCGCGACGGACGAACCAAGGACCTAACACAGAGGCTCTACTCTCAGAATGACCGTCTAACCAGACTCCTCGAGCGCGTAGGCTACTCCATCAGTCGAGATGCGGGCCAGATGGTGATCACAAGGGTGTCTCGATCTGACAAGCTTGCTGTAAATCCCAACGACTCTTCGGACCCCGGCTCTTCCCTTCGCCGGTCGCTTAGCCTAGGTGGTCGTGCCATGACTGATAGTTCCGATTTAGAGCTCCTCTACTGGGTTAGCAATACGGACCCTACAATTGAGGATGAGAAATACCAGGCCTTTATGGAGAAGCTGGGCACGTTTGATACCGACCTGTTTTCCGATACGATATATCACAGAGTCAAGGAGGCGGAGCACAAGGCGCGAAAATGGCAGCGGGAAGCTAGATCATACAGGGACCGGGCGCACAGCTTACAAAAGGACTCTCATAACAAGATTGCGTTTAGGAACTTCAAGGAGGGCGACCTGGCGCTTTTCCTCCCAACTCGAAACCAGCAGGCGGGAGCCTGGGCTGCCTTCAACGTGGGATTCCCGCACTATTTCCTCCGCGAGCAAGACGCTCACCGACTTCGTCACCGAGAGTGGCTTGTTGCCCGAATCTCCAAAATCCAGGAGCGTGTCGTGGATCTTTCCAAGAGCCTACAGCCAAGCAACGAGACCGACTCGAATGATGAGGAGAACGACAACCCCTTCCAGCTGTCGGATGGCTTGCGATGGTATCTCATAGACGCCCAAGAGGACAAGATAGGGGCCCCCACAACGCCTGGGATGGGTAAATCAACCGTTGCCGCCAATAACGTCGAGGCCACGGCTAATATTCAATCCCACGCAGCCAAGGGGAAAGGGAGGAGCCGGGACAGCATAGCGAGCATCGAGGGCATTAACAAGACTCTTTCCAAGAGCCTAGAGAGCCGGCGGAGCAGCTCGGGGTCTAAGAAAGCCCTCCCGTTTCATATCAGTGGCGGAACAGCCCTGTTGAAGAACAGCGCGCTGGCGAGCGAGACCAACTCTCTTCGTGCCGCTCCTCCCGACACACCGACGGCCACAAGCCCGGTCCAGGGCAGTGTCCTCAGTGCTACCAATACCGATGGTGGGCAACGAGGCGGCGAGCCGTCTGTGCAGGACAAGTCGGGAAAGGCCCCCGAGGTACGAGCCGTTGACTCTCTACTTGGGCCCTAGGTCACTGATCGGTTCGTGACAGCCACAGCCACAGCCTCACAAGAGCAATCGGCGTAAGAGCTCGGTTGCTTTCAGCCCGATGAGGAGCTCCGGTTTGTGGGATCAGCTATGGAGCATGGACTATAGCTACGAAAGTACGCCTAGGAAGAGATGAAGTTGACGTTGAGTATTGGAGCATATCTGGGAAAAAACACGGAGTTGTGTGATGGAAGGCCTTTATGGGAGGGCATGCAGCGGTGCTAGTTGGACACCTGCGGCATTAATTTTATTTAATCACGGGCATTGATTTTAATTTAGTTCATTAACGGGGCTCGTCTTTTTGGTACGTCTTCTTTCGCGGCGTTTAGGAAGGATTACAGGTCGGATGCCGTAGTTGTCGTAGATTTCACTTACAAGACAACTCGGATTCTGGGCAGGGGTTTACCTAGGTAATTGTAGATTGTACTAGACAGCGTGTGAGGTAGACAACATGGTCTAGGCGTGATATTTAGTTTGGGAATAATTGATGAGGATGCTGTTGATTTTGAAGTTCTGCTTTTTTCTATGTCGTCTGATTGTTTGGGTTCCATTAACATAGTAGGGCGTTAATGAGGGTGGTGGAGTGGGTGGTGAGGATGTACCCTGTACTTTGGGCCTGAATTCATTCAGCTGACATCCAGCTGGTTTTGAGGGCAAAACTTGCCCAGAGAATCCACCATCAACCTCACTTGAACCACCGCCAAATGAGGTCTTGAGAGCATCAACAAATTCCCTTGTCTTTCTAAACATGTGACAGCCATTTTGAAGCTGATGGAGCTTCTTCACTCCTCTGGATCGGCAAACAAGATGCCATCGCCGTCATTGCCGCCCGAGCTGCTGCTCCTCGTCGTCGAAGCAGTGCTGCCGCCAAACCCATACCAGCTGCTGCCAGCCTCACACATCTCGACCAGGACGCTGCTGGCGCTGGCGAGGGTATCGCGGGCGACGTATGCGCAGGCCACGCGGCTTCTGCGGCAGCGGTGCGTGTTTGTGGATTCAAGTCGGCGGCTGGCGGACCTGCTTCTGTGCATGCCGCGCCTGGTGCCCGGGCTGCCCCCCGTCTTGTCGCTGCGGCACATCACGGAGCTGTACATTGCGCCGTTTGGGCCGTCGCTGGACGACCTGCCGACGGCGGTGTGGGTGCGGGAGCTGTTCTGCGAGGTGTGCGAGACGCTGCGGCGGCTGGTGGTGGAGATGCCGTTTGGCAGCCTGGATCCGCTGGACGACCACCTGAGCGTGCGGCGGACGCTGCGAGACGGGTTCGAGCAGCTTCACCGGCTGGAGGAGTTTGCGTGCGTGGGCGAGTACCCTTCGCTGAGCGTGCCGGACGGGCACACGGACGTGTGGAGGCTGTGGCCGGAGCTGAGGCGGCTGGTGCTGTTCGACGTGCCCATGGACAGTCACTGGCTGTGGTGGGACATTGCGACGCTGCCGAGGCTGGAGCACGTGGTGCTGGCGAGGCCGGTGCGGCTGGACGCGGTGAACATCAAGGACGAGTACTTTCACAAGCTGCCGAGGGAGGACGCGAGGCTGGGGAGGGAGATCAAGGTTGTGTTGATGGACTTGGTGTATGATTTGGGGGTGGTGAGGACGGAGCGGTGGGGGGAGATTGATCCGGAGGAGAGGATGACGGTGGAGGTGTTTGAGGTGCCGTTGCCGTTTTATGGGGATGAGACGCCGGCGGAGTTGGTGACGGGGTGGGCGAGGAGGGGGGCGTTGGATGGGAGTGTTTGGAGGTTGGATGGGACGAGGGTGAGGCAAGAGGATGGTGGTGATGAGTGAGTTTGAGGATGAGGATGAGGATGAGGATGAGGATGAGGATGAGGATGAGGATGAGGATGAGGATGAGGATGAGGATGAGGATGAGGATGAGGATGAATATGTGGATGAGGACGAAGACGAGGACGAAGATGAGCTATTCACCGGCAGTATATGAGACGAAGTCCTCCAAAGACTCTCAATGCTATCGATGTGATGGCTTATCTACATGGCATGATATAATTAGTATTTATTTATACATTACATATCTCTTCTTCTTTTGTACTATTCGTTCATAGCTTGTATCCTCGTATTTGCTATCCCTCCAATACACTCACAAGCTGTCCGGGCCTGAAGGGTCTCTGCTCGAAACCGACAGGTCTTCAGATTGTTTGGTGCAGTACTGCGTAAACAATTGGCGAATCCGATCATTCTTCGACAAAAGGGCGAAATCGATCATCGTTTGAGGGATTGTCATCTCATTTCGCATTTCCCTAAGCAACAACGCCAGCGCGTCATGTCCACCCTCGTTGTTCGTCACAGCCGCCCAGAGGATATCATCCGTAATGGTAAAACTCTGTCTCCCCCAATACAGAAGCAAAAGAGACGTTAGCTTTCCAGCATTGGCGGAATTGGCTACTGCTCTCTGTAATATCTCGGTTGTATCAGAGAGCTTTCTGCGGTGCACCAAGAGTCTCTCTGTGAGCCACACACTCGCATTTTTGTATTCGTGGCGAGTATCGTGAGTGCTTGAAGGGGGTATTCGGACGGCGAGTAATAACAGCCTTTTGGTCAAGTTGTCGTTGTCGTCTACCAGTCGGCCGATGATTTCCAGTTTCTTTATACGAGAGTCTCCCCAGTTTGCCACATTGTCGAAGATGTCGTCTGGGAGATGCTTATGATTATATTGATTACGAAGAATCTTTTCCATGATTTTGCACCCGCAGCCATCGTTTAAAGCTGCTACTCTCATTAAATCGTCTGATACCGGTAGATTCCCGGTGCCGTGTAGAGAGAAAAACTCGATAATCCTATCGCCACAAGCCTCGTTCTTGGCCGCCATGATTATAGTACGTCTTGTCGCGATGGCATCCTCGTCTATAAGAGGAAAGACCATCTCGGCCATGTCCGCGCTCAGCCTGCTCCAGGCTATGGTGTGAAAGTGCTTTCGGATTATTTTGACTCGCATTCCGCAATCCCGGAGGAGATGCTTGGCGAGGTCTTCATTGCCATCCGTGGAGAGTAATTCCACGAATATTTGACTTTGAACTTGAGGTGACTTGAGCTGAATGAGGGCCTTTACGTCTTCGCGAGAATATATCTCGTGGCAATTGGAAGCAATGCGCCTGCATATTCCTTTAAGATCATGGATGAGATCCCGGACTGTCGTTGGCGGCTTAATGATTGCCAGGTGATCGACTTTTATGGGATACATTAATAGGATGGCGTCTTGAACTAATTGTTGCTCCGATTTGTTGTAGTCCGCGTACAGGCTGGGCTCATTTTTAGCATCGGAAGACATGCCTTTCAATGCGTAAATCATGTCTCGAGGCTCCGTTGCCTGGCTATCCCCGAATTTCGTGAGTAGTGTATAAAGATCTTGGTTTTCACTCCACCACGATGACGCTTTCCATGGCCCCGGCATGACCTCGATGACGGCCTCTTCGTGATAGTCCGGCTGTACATCAAGAAGCTGCGGAGCAAGGTTCAAGATCCACGGCGCGATAGTCTTTGATCCGCAACACAGCAATGCTTCCCTCGCGTTTGTCACTTCCTGCAGTACCCAAACTCGTGTAAACCAAGGCTGATTGAGGACATGCCAAAGGCCTCTCTTCAGCCGGTAGAATGATTCCGGGTTTGCTAGAGTAGGCGCAATGGAATTTGCCCAAACGTGTATCCAGTTATCGTCGTTCTGGGTCCAGCTGCTGTAAGGGTAGTCGAGGCTGATCTGCTGCAGTTTGCCAAACACAGTCATGAAATTGTCAATGAAGGAAATAAAAGGCGTGCTCTCGCCTAGCCAGAATATAACTCGCGCTGCATTTTTGAAAGTGTCGCCCATTTGCTGCACTTGGTGGCCTCTCTCCTTATTGTCATCCTGGTTGATGCAAATGGCATCCACCCACAGGATTCTCTCTTGGTTGGGGTAGCGCAGTTGTTGAAAAGCTTTGTACAGGTTTTCCGTCACAGCAAGGAGCTTTCCGTTGACGGTAATGGTTTCGGGTGCTTTCGCAGAGCCCCAGGTGTACGATAGCGCCTCATACTGCAGGACTTCTTCTTCTGGATAGAGCCGTGCTTGAATGATTTCGCAGGATATTTGGTCAGATGCGGAGCCGGGAAGAAGGCGGAGCAGTCGAATCGCGTGTCCTTCGAGATCAATTTGATTGTAGTTGTATCGACTCATTTGTGCAATACAAGTCTAAAGAGGGGTAGCAGATTGGAAGGCGATATTGTGGCCGGTGTTTCTGGCGATTCTGTCTGTGGAACATAGACAATCAGGTCGAAATATGTATGCTTCGAGAGTCTTCTATAGTTGAAGTTTCCGTAGCACGCGTAGGCCCCATGGGCTTATGGTGCTTTAATTTCAGGACTGGTTGCCTCTAAAAGCAATCAAATGTCAGGAAGAGGCTGGGTAGATAGTCTTGTGTGACAACAATTCTATGCCGTCCGACGTTAATGGATCCCACCTATCAAATGAGTTGTGCAGTGACGCCTGGATCCAACTTGGCACAGGCAAACAAGTGTCTGGCAGCCTTGCTCGTCGAAATACGCCCAAGAGGCTTATTAGTTCTGCAAGGGGTAATACAGGCTGGTGGGGGACCCCGGCCAGCTGAATAGAACCTACAAGCTCTCGATAGACAATGTTTGCGTTCAACTGATCCGATAGATGAAGTATAATTTGATTGTTAAGTTTTGAACTGTGTTGTCTGTAACGGTCTCAACATTCATCATTCATTTTATGGCAGTGCTGGGAGATTAGGTGCCATTCGCTGGACTTACATGTAAATAGGTAGGTTATTGCCAAGTACTACGCCTTGGGTGTAAATATGCGAGTCATGGGTGCTCTACAAGATGGGACGCAGGTATCGGGGTATCAAGAGTATATTTTCTAGTCTGTCATTAATAAAAGGATTTAACATCACGATTCCCCCCGCTGCTATCTAAAGCTTCTTCGCTGAAAAAGTGCCAACAATACTCTCGCAACTGTCACCTTTGTTGCTATTATGCTATCCAGCCGCTCCCATCTGCACCATTTTCAAGAAGAAGCTTGACAATATCCCGATTCCTATATAGAACAGCCAGCTTTAGTGCTGTATTGCCAAAGTGGTCTTTTGCATTGATCTCCACGCCCTTCTCCACAAGCAGTTTCGCTATACCATGGTTGTTATATATAGTAGCCATTAGTAACGCTGTCCGTCCAACATCATCTCTTGCCTTGATGTCCGCACCATTTTCAAGAAGAAAAGTCACAGTATCCTGGTTTTCATATTTGGTAGCCATCAATAACGCAGTTCGGCCGCCAAGATCTTTTGCGTCGATATTAGCTCCGTGTCCGATAAGATACTTCATAATAGCACCATGGCCATGATGAATTGACAAAAGCAACGCCGTGTTACTTTTACCGTCTCTTGCGTCGATATCTGCACCCATTTTGAGGAGCTGCCTCACGGTTGCCTCTCGGTTGTTGCTCACTACCCAATGAAGAGGTGTTTGACGCTTGGCGATGGCACCATATACCCCAAATATTAAAGGTCGCATAATATCTTCCTCGTCAGTATGGTGTGCGTTCCATCCTAAAAGCGCCCGAACAGCGTCTTCGTGCCCATTGACTAGAGCAACAAAAAGGGGATACCGATATCGTGTCCCTGGAACTTCAACATGTAAATCCTGAGGGGGGCATGCGCGAATCAAATTTGGCAAGCCTTCTGCCGCAAGGATGTAGGCCAAAGTTGAGCTCGGCGTGTGCGACCAGTAAAGCAATGCATCGGAAGTGTTGAGAGTAATCAAGTGCTGGAGCTCCAACTGTAATAAGAAAGGTTTCTGAGAAACTTCACATGCCGCAATGTTTGCATGATATAGCATATGCAGAAGAGCATACTCGGCAAATGGAAATTTGGAAGGCAATGTTGCCGGGTCGCCTTCTAGGAAGAGCTTGTTTACCGAAGAGCATATCGGTATACATAACTTGAAATAAGCATAACAGCATTTCTTAAGCGTGTCATGGCTTAAGGTGTTGACATTGCCTTCAAAGTCTGGCAAGAGATCAAGAAGACCACCGTCCTTGAGTAAAAAATCTGGAACTGACTCGTGAATGAATTGGACTGTTGGAAACTCGGATTTCGTAACTTCAGCGAGCCCCTTTGAAGAGCTTATGACAAATTTTCTCATGATATCGCTAGTAATTTGAGAAATATCGCACTCTGAGAGGCTGTCATCTGACAATCCTGACAGAATGGCAAAGTAAAATTCTTCGGGCTTCAGTGGCCGCTTTGCATAGAGTAGCCATTGAACACAAAGTAGAAGCTCTTGCATATTCTCGCCATCCCTTTTCAAAATCGTTTTAAACAGATCACTCAATCCGGGAGGTAATTCTCGGAGTCGCTTCCGAACAGCAAAAATACGGCCTCGGTCGAATTCTGCATTGAGGACATTGACAACTAAAACAACCCACATAAAAACACCCGCTGCTTTTTGAAGAATTTGTGCCTTAATATCGCCGAAATGGTTAGAGTTGGGTTTAAACCGGCTTTTGATATACTGCTCTAGATCTTGGCCATGGCCTGTCTGATCTTCCAGTGTAAGCCGAAGTGCATGTTCAATATAGATATATGGGTAGTGGCGACTAGAGAAGCATATTCGAAGTTGGATATTGCTCTTGACTGCGTCTCGTCCCAGTTCTTCAAAGTATCCTACCATGTCGCGAATCTGCTGTTCGTCGCATTCGTCGAGAGCATCAACGATACAGGTAAGGGCGTGTGAGTTGAGCAAAAGGACTGCGCGGCGAAAAAGCTTCCGAATGATGTGTGTTGTGGGACAATCATGCCGATTCTCAGGAATGAGTGATAGATCATCAAACACTTGTTGGAGATGAGGAAATGCCTCTAACAATTGAAGCAACAAGGATCGATACAAGCCCGTTGTCGACTTTTCTAATAGCTCGCCTCGAGCATTGAAGAAGAAGGAGACAGTGGCAGACTTTGTGCCGTCTTCAGTCTCCTTCAAACGCGTGTAAATAAACTTCATGATTGTTGACTTGCCTGCGCCAGGCTTGCCACTGAGCCATAGAATGCCATGATGGTGGGCTAATTTTTCCGCTTCGAGCCATTCTAAGTACGTGGGATGATTGAGAAACCAATTGCACGTTTCCCCGTATGCGTTCTCAATGTTGGACCGCCGAGAAGCCATTTGATCGAATCTTAAAGAGCTTAATATCTTTTCTCGGCGACTTCTCAAGTATTTTGAGTCTTGAGCATGAAATTTTAGCAAGTAAAATCGGTTGAAAGGACGCGTCTAGCATTGCAGGGGGCTTGGCAGAACCTACTATTATTTATCGTTTCTTCCATTTGAAGCGTGACCGACTCGAATGCTGGTATCTCTTCTAACAATTCTTTCGCATATGCAGCCGCTGTCGCAGCAGCATACTTTTGCCATTGTTTGTTCTTATGAGAATCCGAGTAGTCGCATATCCCTCGAATCACCAAGCATGAGAAGTAGTCCATCAACCCAGCAGCCTCCATCTCGAAGCATATGACATCAAGGTTTCGGGCTATCTCATCTCTACTAATGCCATGTTTCATGACCTGATTCCCAGAAGCGATACCTCCATAATGAATCATTGGCACACAATTCATTCGCGGAGGCCGATACACTATGTGAGACTGTATGCATGAACTGCAATCAACTGCATCCGGATGATGGTCATAGGCAGCCCGAAAGAGGCAATCCGGCGAAGAATCCGGATAGTCGTACTTACTCATTCCAGGATAGCTATCATGCATCTCCTGGAGTATATGCGGGATCCTGCTAGGCTTCATTTCGTGAATCGCACGAAGACTGGAGACGTGGGATGAGTGATCTGGTGGAGTTATCCTTGGGACGGCAGTTCGCACCATTTTACCATCTCCAACAACTTTTCCCATATCATACTGCATTACTCTGCAGCCAACGACGACATCACCGAGACGAAGGTCGATATTGCTGCTAGGAACTCCGCCTCCAATCCCCACCATTAAGCGGATGCGAATGGATGGGAAGCTTCTATTCATATTGCTCGCCACGTTTGCCGCGCTGTTCGTCCCGTACTGGCCAACAGGCAAACATGCCATAACGATGTTGTGCGGCCCAATATGGCCTAATACATATGCGTTGCTGTCATTTGCTTCCATTGATAGTGGTTTATGAACACAATCTAGCATCGCGCGGGCGGCAGCCATCTCAATGTGAAGCGCGCAGATCCAACCAACAGTATAGTCGTCATGTTGGAGCGCTGGGGCGGTTGGCATATAACTGTAATTGTCACTGCAAACCCCCTTTTCCTTGTTTGAAGGAGTCAAGCTTTTCTTGGAAGAAGCTGCTGACTCGGAAGATATGCCAAACATCTTGGTGGCGCATATTTGATACGTAGGTATAAGTTGATCGAATCTCCGTGGTTAGGCAGCATTCATACTCTATGCCAGCCTTGCCAAGACGCTCACCACAATTAGTCTTGAGCGGAGAATCATGCAGTCTTCGGCTGAAATCTTCCAATCAAACAACCCACAGGAAGTCACTTAGTAACTGGCAGAATCCTTCGGCTTTTCAAGGAGGACTGCACGTGCTTAATTGAGAGGGGCAAAATCCAAAGAAGAGGCCAGTGAAATCAGCCTGATGTGGTTGAGGGGAATTTTTTGATAAACAACTCCCTGATTCTGAGCGAACTGCAAGCCATTAGTAGCATGAGGTGAATTGATGTCATGGATATACATGGGTGAACATAGTTCTCATGGACTTCTAGAATGGTCCCTAGGAGTACTTGAATAGCAGCAGGAAAGGGAAAGTTAATACAATAGTCGTTTAGTATATGCTATCAGAGCATATAAGAGTGTATTGACAATCTAGATTTTCAGAGTAGATGAGTAAAGGTAATGATGAAACCCAAACTTCCTGAATACAGCCAACTATGACCACGCCTCTCTTAAAAATTGCGAGACCTTTATCTCTGCTGTTTCAATGCAAAGTTCAATCGCATTACTCTATCAAATAAATTCACACCGCTGGATAAATGCAGTTATTTTGATCGTATTGGTGGCATCAATTCCACTGTGAACACCGCCCTTTTTTAGACTCTAGATTTCTCTCCGACATCATGGCTGACTTACTCAACTGCGCAATCCATGTATGAAATCTCTGGTACAGTCACATTTACTACGAGCGTTCCGCGTTACGAATCGCAAATCTCAATAGCTACCAATGAGACTATTTCTGTCCACACGAGAAACATGTCAATACCCGGTTTTTCCGCCTGCACCGTTGTGAACCCGCACGATATCTGACAAATCCTCGACGTAACACGCGCCAAACTATTCACTTGTCGGAGATATCAGGACCGAATGATACTGGGCTGGAAAAGTAGCTGATCAAGTGGGGGACAGAAAAACCAAGACAAAGAAGATTATCAACACCCACATAGTAAATTATACACCGGCCCGTTCTTTCAGTATCTACAACTATATCTACAGTTCTCTATCAACTACTACTATATTTATATTTCTCTAGTAGTTAGTACTATATTTATATCTCTATAATAACTGCTACTATAATTGTATAGTTAAATTTAGGTATTAGTTAAATAGGCGTTCTTTTATAAAAGTACTAGATGAACTTGGTAATTCAGTGCTTATATTCCTGCATATATGCACTATTTCTTTTGCGGTCTCGGTTTTTCTGACCTCCACTTGCTGATGTAGCCACTGCTGAGACATGATTTGTACGTTAGTTTCACCAAGTGCCACGTCAGATCGATCCGTATTGGATGACGGTTGCCTAAGCCAGCCAGGGTTGAGCTCAATGCCATTCCACTGAAAAGGAAGTGATTGGTGTACTGAATACAAGTGCCATCAACATTATCCGATCGAGGTGGCGATACAAGGACTCGTAGTCGATATCTGAGCTTGATAATTCAGGATGATTACACGGAATGTGGGTAGTAGAAATAACTCCTTCGACAAATATATACTTCATTATTTTTGCAGTTTAGTCGTCAAATATTCGGAGACATCTCAAGCCATACTGGGTGAGTGAACCACTAATCATGAGATCATGATTGGGATTTCGCGCTGTGGATCTGTGCCACACGACTTCATCCGAGTTTGGGCAAGTCATGAAGCTATAGCCAAACGCAGTAGAGCTAATTCATACTCATGATGTAGCCTAAAGATATCCAATACGGGACCCCGCAAATCCTGAATCCCATGGGAATTCAGAGACGTTTAGATAGTACGCAATGTCTCTCCGTCCAAAGATTGGTACAGCGAATGGACTCTTTATGAGACTTTCACTAGGTAAGATCAAAAGACTTGCGAGGTCACACGTCCTTTTCAATTCAGCGGACCAAAACGACAGCTGTCAAAGGAGAATTGAAACGGGGAATATTCTGTATAATGACCAATGGCCCACAGATATGAGATGTCTCGTTCATGAATGGAAGCGGTGATTGCTTCAGCTGATTCTGCAGCTCTTGCGCTAGGCTCGCTTTGGAAGCCGCTGGCTGTCGTGCGTTAGTGTCCCATTTGTTCAACGTTGGACTGTGTCTCTTATAGGCTGGTATCTTATTCTCCGTAACGTCACAACGGAGGACCGACATCTATATTGGGAATAGTAGGCCGGAGAGGCAGACTCTGGATTCCAATCCCCCTTCATCTTGGGCACGGAGTATACTTGTACTTTAGGCTGCTGTCGTGGGGTCTAAGCATCTCATATCTGGTATATATAGGAGCGGGTGCAACAATCCTGCCCTTTACAAACCCCCTTAGCACCCCATACACCTACTTCACAGGTGCTTTCATTCATCATGGACGCAATCAGAATGGAGGCAAACGACCTCTGGAATCATGTAGTGGCGACCTACGACCCTTTTACAATCAAGTTCGCCGGCATTACAGCCGTCAGCCTCTTCAGCTGGTGGATACCCTGCATCGGCTTCGCCTGTCTTGAATACATGGCACCGTCTTTTTCTGAGAAGCACAAGATGCAGCCAACATCCAAGAAGGTCAAGCCCAGAGATGTCTTACGCGCAGCCGGCATGGCGCTTTGCAACGATCTTCTCAGCATCCCGATGTATATGGCTCTGTCATATGCCTTTGCAGGAAAAAACCACAAAGCCGTTGTGGGAGTTGTCCCTGACCTACCTACACCGACTGAATTTGTTCTTGGATTTGTGCAGAATTTAATTTTGCGCGAGACCTTCAACTACTATTGGCACCGCCTTGCACACTGGAAGCCACTGTATAGGCGATTCCACAAGGTGCACCACGAGTTCACAGCGCCGGTTGCCTTTGCCTCCAAGTATGCGCATCCGCTTGAGTATCTTACGGTTGACTCTCTGCCGGTTTTGCTACCTCCACTAATACTGAAGACCCATATTGTCACTACGTGGGCTTTCATGTATTTGGTCTTGTTCTCGTCGACGGTGATTCACAGCGGCTACGACTTCTTTTACGAGGCAGCTTATATGCACGACCGTCACCACGAAGGAGCGGCGAATGTGTACTACGGATCCTGGGGGCAACTTGGCATGTTGGATTGGATTCACGGAACTGTTGAGAAGGACCGCAAGAGAAGACGCACCAAGGCAGAGTAACAATCTTGGGGCGATGAAATCGCAATGCCGCCAAGATTGCTTACAAGTGCGACGAGCAATTTTACTATTTGTAGGTAAATTAGTCGCTTCATTTTGAGGAAAAAGCAATATTGAATACAGCTTTTTAAAATTCCCCGATGCTTACTCGATCTGAAAACGGGAAAGATTTGTTCTTAATGCAAGTGTCTCTGACTATAAAACTGAATAGGTTGATAGTTGAACCATCGAGCACCAGGACTTAGTATTCTCACAAGAGTTATGTAAAGCTGTTTTACAGCCTAAACAATCGCGGCATACGTCTTTACGTCTGTCTAGTTCCTGAGTAATCGTACTCGATAAATAAATTGTTTCTGAACTATCTTTCCGAATGTGCCGGTAAGCGTGTCTCAAGTGTTATTTATGACCAGCATACTTCCGGTAGTGATTGTAATGAGCTCTCTTGCCAGAATCTAGTCATTCTAGCTCTGGGTTTCGCTCGACCATTCCCATTTCCCTAGCCAGGAACCGAAACCAAGCCTTGCCAGCCTTTAGACTTGAACAAAAGATGGACCTCGTCCTGCTTTTACCATGGGCATTGGACCCAGAGAATGGCAAGGGTTACACCATCAAGGACACCAAGATTGGACAGATGCCAGGATTAAGGCCCACAAGATAACCTAGCTAGAGAGGCACAGTGCATGGCTACCAAGCGGGTTTGAGGCGGGCTTGGCGGGTCAGCGATTCATCGAAGATGGACGATGCCCCCCGTCTTAGTTCTTCTGTTCCCGCTTCGTTTTGCGTGTGGTGTGGTACAGTGCGAGCAATATGAGAACTTACACATCTAGAGCAGTGAATAAGTATAAAATCGGTCATTATATGGTTGGCAACACATCAGTAATAAGACTTTGAAACTTAACTCTAAGATTCCCGCTCAATATTCTTTGGGCAGGTTGCTTCGCTGAAGGCATCTGCTTCTACGGCTGTGACCTTTTTGCTAACTTGCTAACTTGTGTCGAGTCTGTTGCTAGCTATCATATTCGTTGACGAGGCCGCCTGAAGCCATTATGAGTTCTCGCGAACCAAAGTTTAGACAAGAGATTCAACAGGTAAGCGCTCGTGAGCCGAATTGTGAGAATATCTCGATACTGATATTTTTGGAGATGATGTATGTTTCTGGAGAAACATTGGATCCTTCCACCGAAACCATCCTTCTTATCGAGACTATTGTCCAACAACAGGTCTTTCAAATGGTCAGCGGCCGCTCTTTCAGGTTAAATTGCCGCATGTCTCATATTATTTCTAGTTAAAGCAAAGCCAGGAACTCGCTTGGCGACGTGGTGCTCGCTTCTTTTCCAACGACGACCTCATTTTCCAGGTCCGAAATGACAGTGCACGCATTGAACGGATCCGCAATTTTCTTGCCTGGAAGGCAGTCCGAAAGTCAACTAAAGATGCGGACGGTAAGGAAGCTACGGATGATTTCGTATTTGGAGAAGATGATGCCGGCGCAGGCTCATCACAGGATACCACCGGTAGTACAACTCAAATCTTGCCAGTTTCGTTACCGTGGGATGTGGAGTCTTTCTATGAAGTACAGGTTCCCGTAAATGAGCACCAGGGAGAGTTGATAGGAACCACGTCACTTGAAAAGCTGAGAAAGAATGATGAACGCACGCGAGACATGACGGCCTCCGAGTATGCCATCTGGTCGCAGTACCGACACGCTTCGTTCACCTGGCGCAAGGCCAAGAGATTCCGCGAATGGGCCGGCTTGGGTATCATAGCTGAGCATAAGCCGAACGACGACGTGCTCGACATTCTAGGCCTCTTCACATCAGATATGGTGAAGAGTCTTACCATCGAGGCGTTGAAGATACAGTGTGGTGAAATCGAATCTCGAAAATACTCCATGGGCGGTTCACATGAGAAGAAGGATGCTGGGGGCCTATTCTCGCCACCGCCGAGGGCAAGAAACCCTCTAGAGTCTCGGCATATTCGTCAAGCATTTCAAAATTTGCAATCTCGCCGACTGAGAAAGAGTCCGTTCAAAGGCCGAGGACGGGTAGCATATGTCTTGGTAGGAAATTCCGTTGGTATCCCGCTCATGTAGCATACTGATTAATGGCCAGATTTGAACCCGCTGAGACTCGACCAGAACTCATCAAAATACTAAGAATGAACCACAAAGGCCATATCGAAGAGCTCATCGCGATCTTAATGCTAAGACCTAATTTAGTCCAGAAGTCTAAAGTAAAACTCAGATATAGGTAGTTATTAGCGTTGCCACCGAAAAACAAAGTTACCTTACCCTTTTCCCAATCCACTGTAAGCTTGAGGACATGGGGAGTGATCATTTCCCAGCCAGCATATCATCATGGGCGATCGGTGCCCCGCCCTTCAGAGATGGAGTTAATGAGTAGCTTGATAGAGAACGTACTGGACGATGAGTCTTCTAATCATTGGGTGGTGATTGGGGTGTTTGCGCCGGCCTTGCTTGATGGTGAGTTGTTAGGGAATTGTGGTCATCCAATTCCTGGATTTCCTTAGCTTGCTGAAGCCAGTTTAGCTTTCTGCACTTGAAAACAGAGACGATCCATGTGACAATGAGAGCAACGAAAATAGCTTCACTGGTAATCCAAGACTTTAGCCGGTGCATTTAGTCACGGTCAAGGGACAAGCGGGCGCTTTCGTAATGCTGTTCCTAATTTGAGACAAACAATTCTTCTGTTTGTACGTAGATAAGTTGTTTTATTTGTACTGGAATGAAAGTCGATGAGCGAGCCTGTGTTGAACCATATGTGGCGGGGTTACCGAAAACAAAATAATGATTTGACAGCTTCAAGGCACAACAAAGCCTCAAACGTGTGGTATGAAACTGGCCCAGTCTACTTCGATAAACGCCGCTGCATCTACCCTTCGAAACTCCAGAAAGGCCTCAACTATGAGATACATCCTCGCGATGCCATATACGATAGCGATAGGCATAATCGTCCAGAATTCCCAAGGAAGTGGGAGCTCAGTCCGCCCATTACTCGCTTCTCTCATCTGCTTTTCCTCCTTTTTGATTACCTCAAAGTCTGGTAGCTTCTTTCGGTCCGTTATCCATAAGTACAGCCATTTCCAGCGGCCAAGTCGCGTCCAAGATGCCACAGTCTCGAAAATCCAGAAAACACCCGTGACTGCAAATAGGAGCCAGCTAGCTGTCTGCCACATGATCTTTTCCGTCATGGTTGGGAATGAAAAGCCGCAGCCTGCAACGTGGATTCCCGTAAATAGTAGTGTTGCAAAGCATACACAATACTCTTGAATCCCATAAGGATTCATAGGAAATCGATCGTTAGGAATACGCTGGATTGGCCTCTGCGTCGGGATCACTGGCATGTTCATGAATGGCTGCACATTCATGGACCAGCCAGGCCCATTGACATCGATGAAGTCGAGAGGGGTATTCCGCCATGATCCGGTGTTATTGAGGACTTCAATTGTAGCCCTTGTGTATAGAGGAATCGGGATATGAACGTTTGAAGGCTTATGTTGCCAAGTGAAAGATGTCATCAGCGAGCATACAACAATAGCTAAAGTGTTGAGCTCCAATGTTGTGATTGTGAGTCGCTGCGCCGCACGCCCGATGCATTGAAGAACAAAGTAGCCAATTTGAAAAGCCGTTATAATCTTGGCAAGCTGGTCTTGTTTAGATTTGTCCCAGATTTCTTTCAAGTGATCTACATCGGGGTAGTCGACGTGTCCGTTTATGACGAGCCAGTGTAACTGTTTCGCGTTGAGAGGAAACGGATCGAACGTTGTGTGGCCTTTTGGGTGTAGCATAAACCCTCCCATATCTGCGAAAAAGCCCAATCGCATATTGAACGTTTCATGGCCCGACTTGGTAAAAGACTTGACTGCTTGTTTAGCCCGGCTCCACTGTCCAGCAGCATAGCTCAGAACTATCTCGGGTCCAATTATAGCGAGAAACATCCAAAGAACACGCCGACGAATTAAGACCAATGTAGAATCACTGGGTGCTGGTAGATTCAGACAGAGAAGTGTGTATGTGCAGACAAAAATTGTCGCAAAGCAGGTCCACACAATGTCCCAAGTGCCACGGATGTTGGGTGTTCCGACCCAGCTGGATATTTTGCCATCTAGAGCAGCCACAAGCGTATACTGGGAGATGAGTTGATCTCGAAGGGCTACCCCAGTGGAGTTTGTAAAGGTTGGTAAATGCGTAGTTGGAGCGGCGCAAGCCGTGCGAAGGAAGACAAAGAGAACGAGAGAAATATAACGGGTGTATATCATAATGGGTAGAAGAGAATAACAACAAAAGGCCACTGAAAAGCTTAAACAGATGAAACCCAACAGTGAGGATATATCGCATACCATCGAGCAAACATGTTTTACTTCGCTACTCATTTTGATAAAGAATGCATATACATATATATACATATTCAGTATGTTCTGTCCTGGATCGTCAGGTACATCCTTCTGGTATCCCTCCATACCTACTGCGCGACTTCTACTTAATATCACGCTCAATTTGTAGTACATATTCTGAAACCAACAACTTCTCGATTTAGAGCATTCTCGTAAAATCTTAAGAGTTTTGATGAGTGGTCATCCCAAGTCTTTTCGGATGCCCATGCTTCAGCTTGCCAACTATCGGTTACCGACAGGCCCTCTAGGCAATACAGTATCAACAAGAAAGAACATTGGTGGTGTGGAAGGTCTTTGTATTCAACATGTTATTGGATGTTGGCTATGCGGTGGCCTTGTCATACGGACCACACCGCTACATTTGAGGTACAGAACAACATGTTGGGTGGTGGCCGATAACAGCGGTTATAGAGGACTCGTGAGAGCCAATCAACTAGATAGGTGTTGGACGTACGAAAATTTTCTTCTGAGATACCCTCCTACATCGGAAGATGAGGGGGACCATTGTGTATCTGTTGGTCCAACATGTATCTTTCCAGGAATCCCATTGGGCTGTTGATTTGGCTACCAACCTTACTGAGCAATCCGTGGAACAAAAGATATATAGATATACCCTACTATTACTATAACTAAAACCTGAAATATACTGCATGGTAAATAACAATTAACAATATCACTTGCCCATTGGTAGAACGGCAGTAACTCAAGTGTAAGTAGTACGACAAAGTTGATGTTGGTTCTCAGTCATTTAATCTGGCTAGGCTCCGTGGTTTTGTCTATCCATATCTATGCCCGCTAAACCGCAGTTACATCGCGCCATAGTAAAGGGAAGAAGCGGGCGCTTAAGTAGTGCTGCTGTTCTGAATTTAATCCCATCAACATTTTGCCTCATGACGCGCCAGCCTTGCGCACAGCGCCAACTGACTGCCTCGATTGATTTCACTCTTGCCCGAGACTGTGGCCTCTTTCCTCAAGGTGAAATCACTGATTGTGGCACTGAATGCTCACAACGATCAAAAAATACACCAAAACACCAAACCATTTCAAACCTGCTCCTTGTGGGAAATCGCAAAAGACGATGAGCTACGAAATCGGCACAGTGGTGTGGTCTGGCGTTTATGCACTTCTCGCATCAACAGTGGGATATTTCCTCTTTTTGGGTGTTTTGACTATTCCCGCCTGTCAGAACCAGGCCATATACCTAAACAAAATCACCTTGACCTGGGGCCAAGATGTCACCGTCCCCGAGCAATGGGGCTTCCTTCACAATCAAGTCACGCCATTCACTCTTGATACTAGCGATGGAGAAACGCTGCATGCCTGGCATATCCTCCCACCTGGACTCTATCAAACGCATGAGAAAGAGCTTCTAGCAGAGCCTGCTAGTGTTGCGCTCAACATTACTTCTCGTCTGGGGTTCAAGTTGTTGAGAGACGATCCGGAGTCTCTGCTTGTTCTCTACTTTCATGGAGTCGCAGGCACACTTGGGTCTGGCTGGCGACCTCAGAGCTACCGGGCCATGTCTGCACTCAACCAAGACAAGATCCACACAGTCGCTATCGATTATCGTGGCTTTGGGATGAGCTCTGGATCCCCATCAGAACAGGGCCTGTTGAATGATGCTCTCACTTTAGCCAAGTGGGCAGTAGAAGTGGCTGGAATACCGCCATCACGCATAGTCCTTTTCGCGCAGTCGCTCGGCACGGCTGTTAGCGTTTCCTTGGCTCATCATTTAGCTACTCAAGTCGACCGGCCAATATTCTTTTCGGGGATGGTCCTCGTGGCACCGTTCGCAGATGTTGAGCTCCTGACGGCTACGTACCGGATTGGGGGTACAATTCCACTGCTTGATCCCATTGCTCGTTTCCCCTGGCTTCTGGACTTCTTTAACCGCTTCATTATTGCCAAGTGGCCGACTAAGAATAAGCTCGCAGAGTTGATACGATTCTGTGAAATGTCTTCCGACGACTCGGCACGGTACGACATTACTATTATCCACGCAGAGGATGACTATGACATTCCTTGGGAACACAGTGACCTATTATACTGGCACGCTGTTAACGCTTCCTTGCCTCATGGAATAAGCTATGAGGAACTTGAGAGGGAAAAGCTAGTCTCAAAATCGGATTTACAGGCTGGAGGCTGGGTTGTGAACCAAGAGACGCAGAAGGGAAGCCTTCGAGAAGCCATCACAACATGGGGGCTGCATGATAAGATCATGTCTTATCCTATTGTCAGTTTGGCAATTTCGAGGGCTTTCCAGGATAGAGACTAATGAGAATGTTTTTCATGATAATAATCAATTAACATGTACTACTTGAGATAGTCGTAGAGTTTTATCCACCCTTTTTTTCTTCTCTTTAGAGCTGCTTATTTCTCATTATATCATGTTGATATACATATTTCCTATATTTGACTAACATAACTTATCATTCATGGATGCTTGATATCTCTATGTAATATTCTATATGCGGTCTGTATGCCGTGGAAGCCAATCTCCGAGGACACAGCTTGCAACAGTATACATACTATACTCTATAACAGTCAGACTGTCCTACTTCCTCCCGGTTCGTTGGCTCATCTTTATCAGATACCCAAGCAAGGGCTTTGAGCCATACCACCTCTTCCATTTTATCGCTTTTTGATGGTGATTGGGACGCAATCATTGGATGAATGAAAAGTCCAATTGGACGGCCGTTTAACTGCTGACCCATCCTTGACATCAATGATTGTTCGACTTCTATCCACGGATCGCCAAGTTGAAAGTGTAGCTCTTCAAAGCAATTTAAATCATACCACTTGATATTGGTCCGCGTTTTCCATACTTTGAGTGCTAACTTAGCGAAGTCGGCAAATATCTGTATCAAGTCCTGGTTGCCATCCTCATCAAATTTCTCAGCAGAAAGCAAAAATTCGTATTCTTTCACAAATATTTGAACTTCTCTTTGCAGATTTTCATTCACTATTGGTACTGATCTTTCAAGGCATTCAACAGTCTGAATCCTCCAATCGATTACTGCATTTGGTTGTGCTATACATGCGTGTCAGTATTAGGCCGTTATCAGTGAGGGTACACATCATAGGTACGTACTTTGACCAAAGGTTCGCTCAAGGTGACATAGGCTGGAGCGGTTGTTGGACTCAATATGCAATTCTTCTGCCAAAAAGTATGCATCGTGCAAATACAAGGAACATAGTCTGTGGATCAAGACTGCCTGAAGTAACACCAAGGGACCGCTCCCGTCAGGCGTATTTAAGGCGAACTTGAGATATTCTGGGCTTTTCAAATAGCTCTCGCTTTTGTTGATGATACCAACTTGGAGAAGTTTATGTAGCGCCGCCTGTTCATCAAGAATGTTCTCTGTACACAAATCGGCACACCAAGAGAAGAGTTCAGTCTGTAAGAACTTATTGAGTTCTTCTCTAATCACGTCGTCTGTGATTTCTCTTGAAACATTGGCTGCTAGCGTAGAGATGGCAGTTGCATGCGCCCTGTTGATGATAGCCTCATTCTCAGTAACGGTTTTTCTAAGACCAGCCATCTCTTCGTGTGCTCTTTTGAGTTCTTTTGTTAATTTGTGAACACTGTTCTCTAGATTCTTTCTTATTTCTTGAAGTTCGTGTGATTCTCGCTTGACTTGTTCAGAAGGAGCCGGGGCTGATCTTGAAGCTCCTCTTGAAGCGGATGTTTGCATAGAGCGCATCTGATCCTTCTTCGAGGACTGACCAGAATCTCCGGGTGATAGGAATTGCGCTGCCGTTTTCACTATGCCAGTAAAAGTGTTCCTTTTATCTGACTTATTATCCAATAAATTCTGGGTTGTACTAGTATTTTGTGATGATTTGTTTGGACGAGTCTGCCTGTATTTTCCATCGGTAATGTCATTCACATTCAAGTAGTCCGCTGATATGTATTGAACTTTAGATGTATTGTAGTCGCGTTTTTGTTCCTGAGTGTCATAGCTTCTCTGTTCGATAAAAGGAATCATGAGCCGCTGACTAGCCAATTTATAACAAATGAAAAGAAGAGAGAGGAGAGAGAAACGAAAAAATAATGTGGGAATACCTCGTCTCGATTGTCTCTTTCAGTAAGACCATTTCCAGAGCGTCTCGGTGGCTCTGCTTCTATTATTTCGTAAGGAGATGTCATTGAAAATACAGGCGATTGCATTGCGAACACTGCCGACGGTAGTACAAATGCTTTCAAGTGAGACGTTCGTGCTGCGGCTTAGATTCCAATATTAACTTGCTCTAAGAAAGATGGATACTGAGCAAATATAAGACTAAATAATAGAGGCTTGAAAGTGGCGAGGTGAAACCAAACTAAGAACAAGTGGGATGTTGAGGATAGCGAGAACCACCAACAACAGAGGCATTATCATGCTGAAGTAAATTCAGTCTAAAAAAAGCTCTAACGGTTTGAATATCCACCCACGCCATCGTCAAGCTAATTGAAACAACTAGGCGGCGGTTTTGTCCTCTACTCTGCCAAGTGAGTGTTGGATACGGCTTGCTGGCACGCTACAGGTCTGCAAATATCGCCGGCGCGTATGCATGCGCCAGCCCGCGATCAACTCGATATGCCTTGGGATTACTAGTATGTATCGTAACAAGGCTGTGGATAATATGCCTCGTTTTTAATAGTTTCACGTAGTGCCAACACATAACATCTGCCAAAACAGGCCGGAATTTCTCCAAGCCCCGTACGTGTGTTATCTGCTCATAAATAAAACTTTGCAAGCCTAACTTATGCAGCGTTTTGAGTTCTATACCTATCGACTATCAACAAGAACAAAGATGGTCGTGATTGCTAACAGAACAAAACTGATTGTAGGAATTGACTATGGGACTACGTACTCAGGCCTCAGTTTTGCTCTTTCCAATGCGACCGACTTCAAAGACATATTTCCATGGACCAAGTACCCAGGTTCATCTTCGCATGGCGCCGAGCACTCTGTGAAGGCACCGACAAGAGTCGCTTTCATGGATGAAAACCCGGAGCTGGAGGATAACGCATGGGGCTATCAGGTGGAACCTGGCATGAAAGCGTACGCCTGGACAAAGCTTCTTCTCGATAAATCCTCGTTGATGTCTGAATACGATGATCCTGATCTGTATTCATCGAGCGGTACGGACGTTATGCGGCTTCCCAGATCAGCCAAGGATGTTGCCACAGAGTACCTCAGAGGCATGAAGGCTATGTTCGACGATGCCGTTAAAGAACACCTCGGTTCTCACAAGATCGAAGATCTTCCAATTGAGTTTTGGCTTACAGTTCCAGCATCCTGGAGCGAGAAGGCGAAGCTGCTCACAAAATCGGCAGCAAGAGACGCAGGATTCGCTACACGGCGCATGGACACGATTATGCTGATTTCTGAACCGGAGGCAGCAGCGCAGCTTGCATTGAAGTCAAGTCTACATCGCCTGGAAAGTTTTGTCAAGGTGTGTTAATATGCTCCATGTTGATGTCCCTGCTATATCTAAGCATTTGCTTACGTTTGGATAGCCGGATACTGGTGTAATGGTTTGCGACTGCGGAGGAGGCACAGTGGTACCTCTTACTTTTATATGCGACTTATCTTGTTGAAATCTAATGAATCTCCTAGGATATTGCCACCTATGAAGTGGAAGAGACTCGACCGACCTTGAAGCTCAGAGAAATTGCCGTCGGCATTAGTAAGTTTTATTGCTTAAGACCTATCCGTAGAGAAAAATCAGTGGTGTACGAAGCTAACCTACATAACTACTTCTATGTAGCGGGTAAATGTGGTGGAACGTTTGTGGATAGGAACTTATTCAGACTAATGGCCTACCGCTTCGGTGATGCTTTTACGTCACTTGGACCAGAAGAAATCGGTCCCGGCAGTAGCTTCATGGACCAGTTCGAGCTCAAAAAGAAAGATTTCAGCAAGAAGACGCCAAGCAAACGAGCACATCGTTTGATGCTCCACATGCCCTGCCTCAAACTCAGCCCATCTATAGAGAAGTACTATGAGAGACGTTCTTCATCTGTTCTTCTAACTCAAGAAGATTACAAGATGCTCTTTGATCCAGTCATCAATATGATTATTCATCTCGTGGAAGAGCAAGTCAACCAAATCAAGTTGAGAAAAGACCGGCCTGTTGAAACCATTGTCTTAGTGGGCGGCTTTGGTTCTTCACCATACTTGAAAGAACAACTGACGGAGTGGTCTCAAAAGAGAGGGATAAGAGTCACAACCCCAATCACAGGCGCGTAAGTTGAACTTTCAAGAGCAACTCTCATCATGTTTCATACCGGATATGAATTATTGTAAAGACAAAGATATGTGTGAGCCGACTAACTTATTTCCCAGGTGGTCTGCCGTAGTTTGCGGGGCGGTTTTGCGCGGATTGGAAGGTTCTATTGTGAGGCAAAAGAAGTGCCGAAGGCATTATGGTCACAATATGAGTGACGTCTACATGCCATCCATCCATGCACATTTTGATACACAAAAGAGATGGGTATGGATGGATCATATACGAAACAAGGAATATTTAACGGGATTCATGCAATGGGATGTCGGCAAGGTAAGCAACATCGAGAACCTCGACATATCATGCCTTCTCCTCTTCCCTAATCTCATTCAACATCTCCATTGACTTTTTACTTTCACTATAAATAGGGCGAATTTATCGATTACGAAACGGAAATCAACGCGGATTTTTGCTCATACTTCCAAGGTGATATTCCTAAAACGAGTGAGTATACTTTGTACTCGTGTAACTTGGATGATGCTCCTGAAACTATAGAGAATGAAAGTATGATGAGCTTCTTATTTGAACGTACCCTTTACATATGCATATGCATCACTAACTGTTCTTGCACGTAGGAATTGAAACGGTCGGCAAAGTCGTCGCTACGTTAGATGGACTGAGCAAAGAGGATCTGAAACACGTTAAAAAGCATGGTACTACATATTATTCTCTTCCGCTGACTCTGAACATCCGATTAGATGATGAAGCTGGTCACTTGGCATTTCGGATCTTCTATAAAGATAAAGAAGTTGGAAAAGCGGCGATCAACATCGTTGATGAGTAGTTCCAATTTGGAATGCCGTTTGTCACACCTAGATATGCACTAGTCTATATGTTTGCATCACTGAGAGTCAAGAAGGTTTCGTGAATGATCAAATGCATTGTATTAGATGACTATGTTTATTATATAGAACTTAAATGAAGGTATGATGTTATAACGCTAATACAACTCGAACTCCATCAACTTTCTGTTTCCACATTCTTAAGGAAAGACCTTCACCATTGGTAACTCAAATTCAAAACGCCCCTTTCATGCAATTTTGTCTCCTCCGAAATGATAGTTTCATGATATGCGCGTCGATAAAAAATGAAGATAGAAAAATGGTGGTATTAGTGCTTTAGAGCACGTTGATTCGGCGAGGCTCGTGCTTAGCCGCCTTGGGAACGACGACGTTGAGAATGCCGTCTGTAAAGTTGGCCGTCACACCATCCTGGTTGACACGAGAGGGAAAGTTGAAAGTGCGAGAAAATTCGCCGATGCTTCGCTCAGTGAGCCAATATTTGGCGGAGTCAGCAGGTTGCTTCTTAGAGGAGTCGGCCTTGACCACCTCGCCTTCAGCGGGGGCGGTAGTGTTTCCAGCTTCGTTTTCGTCCTCGACGGTAGCCTGATGAGGAGACTTGGGGCGCTCATGCTCGCCAGACTCAGTGATGGCGCCGCTCTTGGAAGAGTCTTCGAGAGCACCGGCAGGAGGGGTGCCGGCTGTGTAGGTGCGCTCAACTTTGCCGCGGATGACAATCGATTGAGGGTCGGTAAACTCGATGTGGACATCCTGCTTCTTCATTCCAGGGAGCTCGCCATGGAGTTCGTAAGCTTCGCCCGTCTCGCGGACGTCGAACTTGGGCTGCCAGTGAGCGATAGTGCGGCGGCCGGCACGCTGAGTGTCGTTGCCTTGGCGAGAGTAGTTGTCGAAGTCCTCAAGAAGGCGGAAGAGAGGAGTGAAAGAGGTCTCGGGAGTGTAAAAGTTGCGCTGAAGGAAAGCCATTTCGGTTGATTTGATGAGAGGGTTTGTGATTGTTTGTTTGTTGTTGATGGTTGATGGTTGGTTTATGAAGAGATGTAGTCTTTTGAGACTGGTTGTGTGAGTGTGTTGTAAGAGTGTTTGTTGTGTGTGCTGATTTGTTTGTTTGTTGTGTTGTGTTGTGGCAGAAGAGGACAGACGATGGAGGATTGTATCGACTTCTTTATAGTTGGATGCGTGCAGACAGAGATGATTCTTGAATCTTCGTCGGCATACTGGAAACGGGCCAAATGGAGTATTCTGGAAGCTGTGGTGAGATCATCCAGACTTCATCACGATACTGCTCGTAGCATGTGGAATTAGCTGGACAGTGCCGGAACTTTCTCGAAATTTCCATTAATGGCTGCCTACCGTATTTGGCAGGTGGGGCATCAATGGCGGGGTCCTAGCAGCGGGAGCTAGAAGAGGTACGTACCTTTAGTTCACTTCATGTTCGTACCTTATAACTCCACCAGGAATTGGGACAAGACGCCATACCTATGAGAGTCGAATTCAATTAGTAAAATGCATTGTATAGGTATTATGTTGCTGCAATACGTCATGGATTCGGATTGGCTGCAGATGGTCCAAACTCCAGTTCATCTCAAAAGTGTAACGAGCGTGTCCCTGCCTAGGTTACATCCAAAGCTCAGTCACCTGCTGTAGGTGATGCTTGACGGAACACGATACAAACTTCAAGTGCGAGTAATCCATAAACCTTTGCATAATCCAGTCTTTTAAAGGGGGCGCATCTTCTTGGCGCCTGGTTTTAGTTCCCTTTTTAGGGAAGCATCGATATCAATAGAGCGATGCGGCCCCTCCCATCTTGCGGCTGAGTCCTGGGCTTACCCTGAACTCAATTGGGGGTCGTGATTTTGTAGCGAATACTCCAAGTTTTTCTCTTCAGCAAGCTGTCAATTCTCGTTCCATTATTAAAACCGTCATTTTTCTATCCGAATCGACATCTACTGATTCATGTCACTTGCAAATTATGGGTATCAAGATGTGATCAGCAGCGGGATGTATGTGAGAGGGAGTGTTGAGTCAGTCCATATTAGCAAAAATAAATAAAATTTATCAATTTGGAAAGATCCAGAATGGAGTCTGTGAATGTAGGCTTTATTCAATTCATATCCAACTACCAATGTCACTGTTTTTGTCGTTGTTCTACACTTGTCTATATGCACCCCACCAAAATCCAACGGTGTATTTGTCAGTTCTCCTGATGTACGAACTGAATATCGCCATTATGCGCAATGTCAGCAGGTGCGTGCTCAGCTGTGCCGCTTGAGACTGCTAGCGTATCCTCAAAGCCATTACATACCCAGGGATTATGCTCATGCTCAGTTCTAACTGTAGGCCTAGCTCTCTGTATCGCTTGAAGAGTATCATTCGTAATGCGTTCAATATCTCCAGGTGATATCGAATAGTCTGCAATGGCTGAACGTAGCGACATTTCAGATCTGATTTGTCTGCTTTTTTCTGCATGCCATATGAGTTAGCAGTTAGTTAGCTTTAGTGAAATGAAAGTACTTGCCTGGGCTAGAAAAAGCCCCGTTGATGGAGAAAATCTGATACATCTGTTCCATTTTCTCGGCTTCTTTCATACCCCCCTTCATCCGTGTTTGCAATTGGCTCTGCTGTTCCGTACTCATATAGGGAGATTGTGCTTTCCTTTCACACTGCGACTTAGAGTGCTCCCGTAGGCTGTCGTCATCTTCGAACTCTTCAAAGCAATTCTCACAGAGAATGGTCGGGCGTTTGTGTTTGCGAAATAGATGTTCTCTGCGAGAATTAGTATTTGGCATAATGATGAACGTTGCTGGCGGTCGATTGTATATTAACCTCATTCTTTGGTATGTCCTCCAATTGCTCTTCGCGCAGAGTTCCCAGTTACCCTCCCCGTAATCTGATGGATTTTGCAGATAAAATGGGCAGTGGTAAGCATACGCGTTATGCCCGTCTTCATTGGCCTTGTCCACGCGTCGAATTTTACTCTTTCGTCCGCTCTTGCCATATTGATTAGGTCTCATCCTCCTCGTTGCATGGTGAGTAGAACTCTCGCCACCATGACTTTGTGTTTCTATATTACCCAAAGCAAGGCTGGCGATATTTGCCTGGTTTTAAGTCAGTGAATACATCAAAACGTGAGGAAATGTGCAAACTCATTAACCGGATTTGAACGCAAAACTTGTACAGGATCGAGATTATAGGATTCAAAATTATTACGATAGCGGCTTATATTAGTGGTGGGGGTGGTGGAAAGGGTCATATCCGAAGATGCCTCATCCATTGCTATAGAGTGAGTATCGGATGAGTAACTTGGCGTAGTCGTGCCACCATATATCAATGGTTCTAAAAGCGAAGGGTTCATAGAAGAACGAGAAGGAATTAGGCCGAAATGCCGCGGTGATGTGTAGTAGCCTCTTGAATGGTTCGTTCGCAGGCGATTGAAACTGTGTGTTGTATGTGTGGCGGAGGTACCATCCACAAAGTCACCGTGAGAGGAATATAAATTCGAGTTGAACGCTGAATGTTCAGTCGCCACGGGTTGTTGGCTTTCAGAAACACTGTCAATGATAGACAGCTCTTGATGTAGCTTGCCAATCTGTTGGAGTATGGCACGTCTCCTATCATATCTGATCTCGGGAATAAATGATACATCTGGAGTATCTAGCAATTGGTCGATCTCAGTGTTTTGTTGGATGGCAAAAGAGGCCCCGGAGTAATCCGTTGTCTCCAGAAAACCCAAGGGCATAGAGACCTGATCAAACGGTGATTCCAATGTTTCGTATCCAGGAGATTTAAATGGCACATGCATCAGATATTCTTGCTGCTGATGTGCAAAAGCACTAGCTGATTGGCTAATATCGTGCGCATTGCTGGATAGTTGGCTGCAGCCTTCTTTCGTGTGTTGATGATGGTAAGGTGGGATATGATGGTAAGGTGGGATGTGATTCACCAAAGACAGATTCCTCTCCAAAAACAATTGAGAACCAGTGATATGATTGAGATAATCAACGGATGTATTGCCATCGTTCGTCCGTTCTTCCGACCGAGCTTCTTCATGTGAGGTTTCTAGCGTCGTTCTCCACGCGTACGGTGCGCCGTCGTCTTTGGGATCCTGATCTAGCCAGCGGCCGAGCGGCATCTTGCCTTCGCAAGGCTGGACTTGAATATCATCAGGCTGGTTTTGTACATCATCAGGCGTCGGAGAGCTCGAAAGCTGATCGCCCATTGTGCCCTCCAAACAAGATGATTGCGGGATTTGGTGAGAAGAATGGCAGAATTCGGTACCGAAGTCTTGTGATGCCTTGGAAAGATAGAATGAAACCATTAGAATTCCGAAGCCGAAAATAAGGCATCTTTTAATCATCCGCGGCCCTCTCGCGCAGGTGCGCACACTCTGGACCCATTCCCATAATTCCTGCTGCGCTTCCGCGCATCTGCGCATATGTTGTTGCGTAGGTGCTTATATGCGCGGCGCATTGCGATGCCAATCAAAGTTGAAGGAGAATCGCGACAGGGTGGTTGAATCGAGGGGGCCTTATACACGTTGAACATCTTCATTCGTGTGGAAACAAGGCAACAGGCCGCCTTGAGGATGCAGTTGCATGTAACCTCCTCAGTCGTAGAGTTCTAGCGGTCAACCCATCGCATTCCGTGGGAAACAAGAGCGCCATACTTGACGCCTGCTGAGGTTCGAATTGCAAATGGTTAAAATATCTTCGTCTGATGGGTGAAAATAAAGACCACTTTACAGATCCGATTCTTTTCAACGTCTTGGCTGCTGCGTTATGTTGTTCTCTGTTGAAACAATGGAGAGAGCTGCATGGTTGCACAGCCTGGGGAGCAGTGACGGTGCGGCTCATGCTGGATGTGCATAACCCGGAAGGGTGCCGAACCATAGCAGTGATCTCGTCGGAATGTGTCCCGTAAATCTTCCACTTGTAGATTTAAACAAGGCTGGATGATGGCTGAGTTGCAGTGAGTATCATGGCAGTGGTTGTATGGCCCCTGCCGCATTTCCCCTCCTTAATATTGCTATGTAAGCAGTTCGGCGGCGCTCTATCTAGATAATATTTCTGAAAATGCTGTACTCATTGGCGGCGAATCCTGGCTTATGTGGTTTGGCGGTCCATCGACAGCACTTCAGTGAGGCATCTCCGCCAATCGCGTTTTGCTGAGATGGTATCAGGAATCCCATCTACGCGCAGATTACTATATGACTGGCGTTCATCTTAGAAGGCTTTCCCTCCAACCTTGTCAGCACAAAATAAGACAGTGGCTTATGATGTAAAGTTCCGGACACTAAGCCCTAACAACTGAGACTGCACGGTGACACTAGATGAACCAGCAATGACATTTGCCTCTGCCACTTCACTTGAGGATAAACAAATGGGTGCTATTTAGGCGATATGGAATAAGAGCCTAGCAGGCGAAAATGTTGCCGAACAAATAGTCAATTTGTCGGCTGCGCTTGGCTTGTCGCAGTTAGGATGATCCAAGAAGAATAACTCTAGCGGAAGAAGCATAATTGTAAGCGAAGTTAAAGAAGATTATTGATAATTTGTCTAAATATTATCTGTGGTTGCTAATGCTGAGTGAGGTCTGGAAATCCCCCCCTCTATAATGGACAAGCCACTAAAATACATGTAAGCTTCCTCTGTTACAACCAAGACCTTCTACATTCTTTTACGCCTACCTCTTCCGCGATATCTTGTTTTGTAATCCCATTTACTTGGCTAAGCTTACAGCATGTGTATGTACGTATATCATCATTAGTGTCTTCAATGCGTTTGGACGTTTATTGCACTTGATTGTCCCGTCTGAAGCAAGCGTGCAGTAATCCACGAACGAAAGCCGTGAAAACAGAACTCCCCGACTAGATAGTTCCATCCTCCTTTTGTCTATTGCTGCCAGAAGCGGGTGGAGACCTAAATTTACTGCTTCATGAAATTCTTGTGACGGCAACATTAGGCTCATCATTGTATGTAGAGTATAACCATGTGCATCGCACTCCCTCATTTGAAGATGCAAGAAACAGATTGGTCTTGGAGCTACTCGCATAGCAGTGGGCCGACATTCATGGATGGCTTTACGTTCTGACCTAAGTGGACCTTTTACAAGATCTTCCCCAGCATTACATGGAGGCTTTCGGCAGACAGTGTGCCCAAATAGGGAATTTTTCTGCGAGGAGTAATACCAAGCTGACCAATTGGTCCTCTGCTTGACTATGAGAGTAACTGACGGGTGATAGGTTAATAGTTTTCATAAAATTTGCTTTATTTTCTTAGTTTTGTAATGAATTCTTAAGCGTATTTGTCATAAATGTGACGTTGAATTATTAATTGTCTGCCAATTCATTCTCCAAAGCGGCCTGAATCAAGCAGTTATCTGCGAAGGCGCTGTAAATGCCCCGTAGGCACTGCCATCTGTCGTGTCGAGTTTAGGACAAAAGGGTCTGCTCTCTTTGACATTAAAATGTTCAAAAACTCCTCCTGCATATCAAATTCCTGCACAGCTGCTCAAGGGATTTCATGATCAAACTAAAACTGTCGATAATCTGATTTTGGTTATTCAGTAGACGATAACTTTCCCATTATGGAGCTTTTTAGAGATTCAGTGATGGGCCAGATTATTCGGCGTCCCACAAACGAAAAGATATTACTCTACAGCGAAGAAAAAACAGGGGCAGATTGGCTCATTGTGTGCACGATGTTCGACCTTTGGAAGGAAACGAGGATATCGCGTTGGCTATACGTGACACCATGATGAAGTCGCAATTCCAAGGGGCAGCGGAACTGTTACTTGGGAAATATCGTTGACACGTCGCCCTCTACTTCGCCATGACTCTGCTCTGTTTCCTACCTAGGTTGAACTTTGTATCTGAGTTAATAATACATGAGTGCTTCTATTAAACGAATATCCCATTTTTAGCTGTGACCTAATTTATTACCAGTAAGACCTTGTCACTTCAGCTGATCGCCTACGCAATCAATGGGACAATTTCAACCATCCCGCCCATATTTAGGCCATTGCATTGTATCCAAGTCGGTGAGGGCGCGTATCGTATCACTTCCATGCATATGCAAATTCAGCCTTCCTGCCGCTGACCTCGGCTGCCATCCTGATAATCTCCTTTATTCTCTCATCCGGGCCCTCAGCATCGACCTCCTCCTCCTCATCTTCTTTTGTACCGCGAAGCAGCTGAACAATAGCCTCGTGGCCTTTGTCAGTAGCCCAATCTAGAGCTGTCCTACCCTCCTTATCCTTGGCAGAAGGGTCAATTTTGCCAATCTCCAGGAGCTGTTGAACTATTTCCGCGTGTCCTCCGGCCGAGGCTGCCATCAACAATGTACTGCCTTTATCATTGCGGAAGTCCACTTGCGCACCTCTACTCAAAAGAAGCTGGACGACATCCGTCTTCACCTCGCCAAAGGCTGCCACTATCGCCGTTACGCCTCCTTTGCCTTTATTCTCCATATCAGCGCCTCCGTCTAGGAGCGCCCGAACAACGTCTATATGCCCCTTCTCAGAAGCTATCATCAGCGGTGTTCTGTTCTCCTCGCATTTAACCTCTATATCAGCACCTCTGTCAAGAAGAAGTCGAACAACGTCAGTGTGCCCCCTTCCTGAAGCAAATAGTAGCGCCGTTATGTTTTCCTTGGTTCTGGCCTCTATTTGAGCACCACGATCGAGGAGTAACCGAACGACATCAGCAAACCCACTGGCTGCGGCCGCTATCAATGGTGATTTCAATCGGTTGCCACTCCCTTCCACATCGGCTCCCTTATCAAGCAGCAGTTGAACGACCTCGATACATCCAGAGACAGCGGCTGCGAATAAAGCCGTCACACCCTTCTGGTTGTGAGCGTCAACTCTAGCGCCGTGTTCGATGAGGAGCTTCGCTACTTCGAATTGCCTGCCGATTGAAGCTGAGATGAGAGGTGTGTAGGCATAGTGCTTCCAAGCGTTAACATCAGCATCCTTCTCGAGGCGCTGCTTAACCACGTCTACAAGTCCCTTTGCAGCAGCCCACCCAAGTACCGTTGTTCCTGGCAGAGGACCACGCAGATTCTGGTCTTGCCCCAGCGTATACCATCGTTTTTGAACATTTCCCCATTGAGCAGATAGGTCGCTCAGTTTTGTTTTCACTCCATCTTGCTTGGTGATAATTTCGGTTCGTTTTCCAGTATACTCTTTTTCCTTCTCAACCAATACTTTTTGTCTCTCTTCAAGCTTCTTTAGATGCGCTAAAATTCCCTCCCGCTCTTTCTTGATCTTATTCAGGCTGGCGTTGCAGTAGTTCATCTGGCCTTCAAGCTTACTGCCTTCACTCTCGGTTTCTTCGTTTTCTTCCAGGAGTTGTAAACTTTCACGTATCAACTTTTTCTCCTCCAGTTCCACGGTTGCGTCAATAGTGGTAAATACTCCGTCCAGTACTAGTTCGGGCTTTAATAGAAAGATCGGTTGCCGCTCAACACGTTCCAGCGCAATGCTCAAGGAGAGCAGCTCATTCTTGGCCCGCCTTTTCCCATCCAGCTTTTGCATCATAGAGGGAAGATATGGAACCAGTTCCTCTAATAAGAGATTCCTGCTGCATATAAGAACCATGCATTCAACCAGAGTATCAGCGCTCTCTTTCTTATACTCAAGAACGATGACAAAGTCTTTAGCCTCCTGTGTGTCATGGCGGAGTCGAATCAATACTTGACCTACGGCACCATCGTTAGCTGTAGGCGTAGACATGATTAGAGCTCGCTCTTCGTCCCAATATGACTTGGGAGCCACATCAATAATTTTCAGATGGATATCTGTGAAGTCGTCATATTCGTAGTGAGAAAAAAGTCCGCCCAAATCCCCGGGTAGGTTTTCTTGGCTGTCGTGTTTGATTCGGATCGGCTTTGGCCCCGTTGCAGCCACTGTGGTCGGATACAAGGAAGAATTGTATCCTCGTAGCCGAGAATACTCGTCAGACGACGCCCCAGAAAGTTCCATCAGAGGTATGCCAACCACTTGTTGCGAATTGTTCTCGGGCCCACAGCTGAGAAGCCCAATTATCTGGCCAGTGGGAGTAGTGTGCAGTGGCAGGTGAGCTCGAATGCTACCACCAGATATATCGACCGAGTTTGTGTATTTTAGAGCTTGGTCTCGGCTGATGATGTTTCCGGAACTTGCAAAGTCTGCCGGGGACTTGGCGACAATTCCCCCAGCTGTGGCATCGCCAGTATCGTTGGCATACGAATTATTCGTTCCCAACCCCCACGCCAGTATGGAATCATCTCTTGTCACCTTCATTATCTGTTCCTGTAGCCGGAAGAATGCCTGCTCACCACCCTCTCCATAAATCATCGGCATCGTTATGTTGAAGATGCCTAGAAGGCAGTACGCGAGGTCTTCCTTGCGATTCGTGTCCCTGTGCGCCGCCCACGACATGCGCTGTGCGACGCTCGCCGTATGAAGCGCAGCAATTCCCAGTAGATAATGCCGAGGTATGCCTGTGACTGACACAATGGGGGTGCTCATGTTTCCTTTGTTTCCCAAGAGACGCCACTCCTGAACCCTGAACGGGCTGAAGGTGTCATTTGGCCGTATACTTGGTGCGAAATTGGTACCATAAAACCGCATCGTTTTAGGTGCAAGAAGTTCCTGCAGAGTCCATCCTCTCTGGAACCACCGGCTGCTTTGGAACTTGGAGCCCTTCTGCCTGAAATTATCATCGCCGGGAACATCGGAAAGAAAAGCATAGCAAATGGAGGCACGCTGGTACCACCGAAACATGGAGTTTATAGCCTCGCTAAGCTCAACCAGATTTGTCTTGTCAATGCAGCAGGTATCAATCCAGGCATAACTAAGACCGTCCTCCGCAGCTTGTCGACAGCATCCTCGAAATTTGACGGATCCGATGCCAGGTTTGTTGACGCTTCCATATTCAACGTCGCGAAAGCTGAGCTCTTCAGAATCGTCTCCCCAAGTATGTGATAGTATAGCGTAGGGAGGCACCCGATAGTCGAGGAATTCCTCTAATTTGAACGTCTTTACGTTGATGAGACGCATCTTGAGGCGGTGTTGTACGGGGCCTTTTGATGAATGTAGATTCTGGACAGCGGCCCAACGACTTGGACTTTGCGGCTGAAATTCATGCCCATTGGGAAGCACCTAGTATGTTTTCAAGGCAGGAGGGCTGTGAGGAGGGGGAATTCCAGTTCCTATTCGCTCTGAAGCAATGGATCTTGATATGAGCCGCATGATTGGCGGTCTGCCCCGCATGTCGCTCCGGAAAATGTGCGACATCGTCGTTAACTGCATGGTAAATTGGTGTTGAATACTGATTGCAAGATTAGTAGCAAATAAGTCTCTGTTTTGTGAATACTTTCATAGAATCCGCTGCGATAGCCACATTTCTTCAATTTCTACTATACATAACTTAAATCTGAGATACGGGATGCGGGACAGCAGAGTTGGGGAGCTGGCTATATATAACCTTGATTGAACGGAAAGACCTTGGTTGATGCAGCATCTTTGCTTGCCCTTATGAACGCCTTAAATCATTTCAAGACCGAAGCTTTGTTTACCGGCTGGAGCATTCAACTAGCACTTCATTTGAAGACTTCCCCAGAGAATCTCAGTTAATGATGGTTCGACAGTCAACACTCTTCCGTCTTGGGTCTCATTCAGTCGCCGCCCCGGCCTTCTTCTTCCACTATTTTTGTTTCAGTTTCGCCTCTATATCATTCCACCTCTCAATTTCACTTTCACGTAGGGCGTAATCAGGGAAAAACTCTCGCCTAATGGCAAGTCCGATTCCCGGAAGCTTATCTTCAATCTCAAAAAGAACAGACATCACCTTGGGCCTCTTCTTTTCCTTCTCCCTACGGCCGAAGTTTAGCGTTGTCTGCTTCAGCGGAATGCCAGTAGCGTCTGGTTTTCGCGGTAACCCTGCGACGAGAATATTCTGAGCCATTCCGACAGCTCCCACCGCAAGGAGAAACCAGGTATCTGTTTTCAGCCCTCCCGCCGTAATGAGAAAGACCAACCAAAGGATGGCCAGTATCACCGAGTTTACTCTTGTTCTCAGGTCGGCTCTTCGGGTTGCACCGGCAAGGTCATGAAGATATAGTCCAGCGTTGGATCCCGGACAAATGACAAATACGTGAGGATGGCCGTTTCCCCGCGTGAGAATATACGTATCTGATGTGTTTTTGCGACAACTATATTTCTGCAGTCTCCATTCTCGCAGAGATCCCGTGATGATGGCCAGGATTGTCCCAATGACGGTCAGGAACAGTATTGACCAATTCCGTTTCGTGATGACCGGAACGGCAGCAATTGCCAACTGAGTCGGCAGCACGATGAAGAACAAGACCCAGCACTTGTCCCATTTCTGGACTCCTGGGTTCTCACCGGCCTGGTGGCTGTTGTTAGACATTGACGTGATGTTTGTATTGTAGATTTTACTTACTTCAAAAACGGTTATCAGCATTCCCGAGTCGGATTCTGATGTCAGTTTGTTGATCATCTTGCCGTCCTCCTTGACCTGCTCCGTCCAAGTCTCGAACTGCTTCTCCACTTCGAATTCCAGGTCCCTAATCAATCTTCCGAGAACCCAAGAATTATTTGTTTTTTTAATGCCACTGCTGGCAGTGATAACGACTGCTGGGTAATCCGGCTCCGGCATGAGTTGACCGTCTCCAAACGCCGACATGAGCGCGTTGAATGCATATGCAACCCACCCGAAGCTGAATGAGACCAACGTAATTTTTTCGCCTGCCAACTGGGCGATTGCCTTTCGGATAATATCACCACCAATAATTAGTAACACTGAGAAGACTTCTGATGGGTTTTCCATCTGCTCTAGGAAAATCGCTGGAGTGGGATCCATTCCATCTGATCGAGGCTCGATAAATCGTTTGAGTGGCATCGGGGGGAGATACTGCACTCTTATTGTTGGTATACTTCCGGCCAGTCGTGCTACATGCCCGATCATCGTCAGATTCAGATTGAAGTCAGTTGCATTATACAAAACATACCGAAATAAAACAACGGCCATAGCAGCCTGACGAGCGCAGAAACTCCGTTACCGCGGGCCATGCTCGCAATGTTTACAGAGAATTTACACGGATCATGATGCAACTAAACTACTAGAAGGGGGACGACTTCATTTTGTATCTTCAGCCGCACGAGCTTTGCTAAGCAGGCGGACATGGATATCGATGCCCAACGAAGATTGGGTGCTTTTCCAATGGGAAACACTACATTGGAAGAAGCCCAATCAGATACGGCAGAGGAACATGGGGGACATGGAGACGTTGTAACCAGCTGAGACTCGTGGAGCTGAGCAATCGCGACAGCTGATTATTGGCACGCATAAAAATCATGCCGATCCTGATGTGCTAAGTAATATCCTATAGCCTGCTAATTTATCTTGAAGGAGTTGCACACATTCGCAGGTCCGGTTCAAATAGGCATTTTGCCTCGAATCTATTCGAATACTCCACAAGCTGCATATGAGGTAAGTATGCTGCTTATGGTAGATATTGAGATGGGTATGTAGAGCAACTCTGAGAGCTTCAAATTGCGACGAATGCCTGCTAGGCAGAAGGAATCTAGCAACATCACCTGCTGCTGGACTAGGTAGTATGAGGGGTTTTGCTTACGAACGAGGCTCTCGGGGATTTATGGGCACATACGACCTTACTGCGATAACTAGCAGGGGTTCGTTTGTTTCTTTTTCTTTTTCTCCAAGGTCCAGTGCTACCACAAACTCGTCCTTTTATATCTGTCTGCATCCTGTTATTTCATCCATATAGGCATTTTTGCCCGTTATATGGGTCTTTGTTATTACAGACGGGCTTACAAAGCTCCAGGCTACAACGATGGACCATTTACCCTTGCCCATGGATGATTTTACCCACGCTCCGTTGGAGGTGCCATATCTGTGTAACGACCGATTTCGCTATGACGACCACGGCTTCTTGACATACCCTCAGCGGGCGGGTCTAGATCTTGAGAAGATCATAGAAAGAGGCCTTGTAGATGTCGATACTCTTGCACCTGCATTGCAAGCATGGCTCTGGTTTGGTCTTGTGGGAGAGATTCTCGGCATCGGCTCCAGGACACATGCCACACAGCGCATAGCGAATTACCGCGTCTTTGTGACTGAAAATCCCGAAGGATCCAACGTGATTTCCACGACGATTTTGCCCCGCCTCATCAAAAAGGCTGGTGAGAGAAACAAGTCGCTGCGTTCGGATGGCTTCTATAGCCAAAGATATTACGCTTGTTTGCGGGTGGCAACAAACTCGATCAACCGCCTTCTATCTAGTGAGATGTGTCGCAAGTATCTCAAATGGGGCCATCAATCTGCTCATCTCCCGGTCTTGTTCCGAGTTATTCTCTCTATCCAGATTCTTATAGAGTCCCTTCAGGCGGCTGAATCCGTTCTCCTTCCTGAGAGCTGGCATTCACTCTCCCCGCCGACAATGGAATGCTCAAGCCATGAATTGGTCGACAGATTATTGATTGAAGCGGGTTGGTGCCAGTATGAGGCTGGCAGGCTCCCTGGTTCAATACGATTACGGTATTACCTTGGCTTCCTGCACCCCCGCGATTCCGATCCCGCACAAAGCTCTGGGAGACACTTATCTTGCACCAGAGATGCCTGCATCCAGGCTCCTCAAAGCATACATGACCAAAAGATGAAGCCTAATCATGTTACGAAAGACTGCAAGTGTTGTATGGAGACGATACGGGATCTTCCCCTTGCGGAGCTTATCAAAGCAGGAGGGAATCCACTGCTGAGATTTGCTCAGGTGGATGGCACTGCGCGGAAACTAGAGCTACTCGAGACCAATGGGAAGAACAAAATCCCTTTTGTCGCAATCAGCCATGTTCGCCACGCTGGACTTGGTAACGATTATGCTCACTCACTGCCCTACTGCCAACTTTCACGCATTCAAACGGTTGTGGACCAAATCCACCCTCACTCTGGCGATGTCACAGCTTCAACGCCGTTTTGGTTGGATACCATGTGCATACCACTGGACGACCGAGTCCATACAACCTCTCTCAAGCGCATTCGCGAAATATTCAAGTACGCTTCGCGTGTTCTTGTCATTGACCAGGCTCTCTGCTCTCACGCCATTGGCTCGCCCGAAGATGCTCTGATACAGATTCGATACTCACTTTGGAAACGTCGGCTATGGACTTTGCAGGAAGGCTTTGTGGTTTCTGCCTCGAATCTGATATTCTGTTTTGCAAACGCCCTCTTTTCACTCCGCGACCTCGTCGATCGCTACGAAGACAAGCTAGCAGTGCCATTCCCACTGTTGAAGAGCGCGCGGTTTGTCGGATTCCGTGTGCTTCCTCATCTACAAACAACGCTTGACGTGTTGGATGACGATATCAAGAGACTAGCGGAAATGCCGCAATCTCTTGTAGGTCACCTTGAGAAGATGAAGCTACGGCGGATATTGCGCTTGGGGTATCTAGCGTCCGACGATTTCATGTATTTCCGAGAGGATTTGGAGACGCAGCAGATACAAAAGCTTCTTTCACTGCTAGGCGATTTGTACTTGGATGCAAACAATTCGCCCATTGTCCCTGGCTCTCGTTCTGTGAACGAGGTTGCATCTTGCTGCGAGGCCTTGTATAGACTTGATATCTGACACATTCTCGATGGTTTGCACATTTGGAGCGTGACGCGTATTCAACCAATGTCAAATTCTGACAACAAGGTAAATCACCTCATCATATTCGTAAAGAAAACCTTTTCCAGCAAGTTGTCCGCTGTGGCCTGACATGCCTGGTGAATTTTCCAACTTCATCTTCATCTAGGGTAGCCACATGCATTCATACCGACCGTACAGTAGCTCACACAATGATACCCCGGAACTCGGCCTTGACCGCTCCGGCGCAGCGTCTCATCTCCGCCTAGCATCGGCGCCATCAGCCTCTTGTCTTGTCTAGCCCAGGCACAAACGAGACCCTTGACGCACACACAAACCAAACCGACGCTGCCGGACCCGAAAAATCGGGGACCCAGAAGTTGGGCGAATCTCCACCGGAAGCTGGGATTCGATTCGCTCAATGGGCGAGATTCTCCGTTGCTCACGAGAGACCCCGAGGGCCAGCCAGCAGCAGCAGCAGCCGAGTACACGCTGCGGGAACGCCACGAAACGAAATACTAATACTCGGGCTGACACGCAATGGCTGGAACAGAACAGAGAGATGAATTGGAGGCTTTTGGCTGACTGGCTGGCTACCCGCTAGTATAGGAATCCGGGGCTTTTCCCCGCCGTCGAGATTTGGTTTGATTTGATTTGATTTGATTTGACTGCAGACAGACAGACAGACAGCGGAGCATGACACATTGATAGTGCCAAGTTGCGGAGTCGGGAGGCGACGAACCTGCTTCGTATCTCTCTCTCTCTCTCTCTCTCTCTCTCTTACCTACTGCTTTGGCACAAGGCTCGGGAAGCTAGCCGGCACCGAACTGTGGAATCTCGTTGATGCGCCGGCCGGTGTGACAAACCAACCGCCTTTTTTGCTTTTTTTGCTCTCCTTCACAACTCGCATCACAGCCTTGCTGCAATGCCACCGCCCGCGACGCCCGTCACTGCGTGAAGCCTGAAGCCGAGCCAGCCCGCATCTCCGTCTGCCCTGTGCGCGGCCGAGCAGGGAGCCCGATCTGATCCGATTTGATTTTTCCTCTTCATTGTTCCATTGTTCCATTATTCATTCGTCATTCTCGCTGTCGCTGTCGCATAGCCGCTTCTCCGCACGCCGCCTAACCCGAGGCTTCCGCTTCGCTCACACGCCCTCCCCTCCCCCCCTGACAGACAATCCTCGCGAAGCTTCAGCCATGCCCGATAAGACGGCGTCTGTTGTTTCCTACGCCGCCGGGGCGTCTCTCGCCGCTGCCGCTCTCATCTACGTCTTCGGCCCGACCTTCACCATCGACCACGACACCACCAGCTCGCGCAAGAAAACCATCGTCGGCCTGCGCAACCAGGCCAACGACTGCTTCATCAACTCCGTCCTGCAAGCCCTGGCTGGGCTGCCCGAGCTGCGAGTCTACCTCATCCGCGAGACGCATCGCCGCCGCATCGAGGACCCGGCCGTATACGCAAACCTGGTGCAGCCCCTGGACGGGAAGCAGCTTGCGCTGTGGAAGCTGCAGGGCCTTCAGGATGGCCTGGTGACGCATGGGCTCAAGGAGATGCTGGACGCGCTTAACGAGCGGCCCATTTCGAAAAAGGCCATTTCTCCCTTTCCCTTTGTCAAGGTCCTGGAAATTGCGTTCAAGCAGCGCATCAGCAGGCAGCAGCAGGATGCGCAGGAGTTTTTGCAGATTGTGGCAGAGAGGCTAAAGGACGAGTATCACGCCGGCCAACGCGCTCGCTCGCATGCTCGGAAACTGGGCATTGCGGCCGCAGCCGAGTCCAACAGCACCAAGGACGGGAACGACACTGACAAGTCGGATGACGTTGTCGACATCGCCAACGGATTGGGGGTATCCGGAGCGGGATCCGAGATTGCGGTCGACATCGATCTGGCCGATGTGCAGAGAGTTGTTCGCGAGATCCAGGCTCCGCTGGAACTGGAGGAGGGCTTTCCGTTGGAGGGGAGATACGAGTCGCATATCCAGTGCCAGACCTGCGGCTACACCACCAAGCCGAGGGAGGAGACTTTCTGCAGTCTGACGCTGGCAGTCCCGCAGGTCTCATCGACAACGCTAAACGCATGCTTTGACGGTATTTTTAAGACGGAATATATCGACGACTTCAAGTGCGAAATGTGTCGCCTGGTGCAGACCCGGACCAACCTCGAGCACGAGATGGCGAAATCGACGTCCGAGAGCTTCAGGGCGTTGGCCCAAGAGAAGATTGAAAAGCTCAAGATGGCCATTGCGCTTGACCCGGAACAGCCGCCCGAGGATGTCGAACTCGGCGACATTCGATATGCGCCCAAGAGGAGGATCGCCAAGACGACGCGCATGTCTACGTTTCCCAAAATCTTGGCCATTCACCTGTCCCGATCCATCTACGGCATTGGCCAGGTCACGCAGAAAAACTCGGCCAAGGTCGCTTTCCCCGAGCAGTTGCCGCTGGGAAGCGTCATCGAGCAGCGCAAGTACAAGCTCCTGGGCGTGGTGACGCATCGAGGAGGCCATAACAGTGGTCATTACGAAGCATTCAGACGCCAGAATGCGCCATCTCCCTACGCAAACATCAATACCTTTCAGCCGTCCGAAATCTATAGCAAGACGCCGACGCCCATCTCAACGCCACAGATCTCCGCCCTCCGATCCGACAGCCCTTCCATATCGACTCCGGATTTGCTCTCGCCGTCTTCAGGCACGACTTCGTCTACGCCGTCGCTCGACTCTGCAGGACCCCCTCGAAGCGTCCCCGTAGATCTCCCAAGCTCTCTAACGAATGGCAGAGATGGCGAGACCAGCAGCCTCCGATCTGTTGCTGCATCCACCAAGTCAGCACTGTCCAAGCTTGCGCCTCCTAGGGCAAGCCTCAACGGATCCTCATCACCCAGCCCCCCGGGCGTCAGCAAGCCTCATCAACGGCCTAAGAAGCGAAGGCCCGCGGACAAGTGGTGGCGAGTGAGCGACGAAAAAGTACGCGAGGCCAAGACAAGCGAGGTCTTGGGCATGCAGAAAGAGGTATACCTGCTGTTTTACGAGCTGGACGCGGAAGAATGAAGTTGCATCATTTGCCCTGGAAAGCCGCCGCCGTTGTACCTCGGCACAAGTCCTTTCACCCTCACACGTCGTTTTTTTTTCTTTTGAATGCGTATTACGAAGTATTCACGATTTGGAAACCTCCCCCTTTCTTCTTCTTCTGGTTTTTTCTCTTTGCCTTTCTTTGCATTTGTCCGGCGTTTTCGTCTTGTCAAATTTCGGGGTTTTGTGTACTACTGTAGAAAGTTCGCCCGGGGGAATCCAAAAAAAGAACATATCTGGACTAGAACCTTGTCGGCTTTGCTTGGCCGCGGAAAAAAACTACATTGAACATACAAGTATGGCTGCGCGGTGGAGAGAGAGAGGGAGAGAGTATAATTGGAAATAGGAGAGAGAGAAGGGGGCGGTGCGGGAAGATACTTGTACGAGAACAAGAGATTTTCATTGTAAGAGAGTACAGGTACTTGTAGTAGTAGTAGTAGTAGTAACAGTAGCATCAGTAGCATCTAAAAAAAGGGCCGTCGCAGCGTTGTAAATTATAGTGGATTTGGACATAGTAGTATCCGCAATAATATTGAGTCGAGTCTGTCCGTTTAATTAGACAAAATGACCCTTTGTGGTGATGACGATGTTGCCAGCATGGAACGCAAAAGAAGCCATAATTTCCCCGACCGTCCACCTCGCAAATTTGTTCTAGAAGGCGCTCTTTTTCAGCTAATTTTAGTATGGGTCTCGCCCGGAGTTCCGTTGTGCCCCGTAATTTGGTAATCTTCTTCTTCTTCTTCTTTTTTTTCTTTTTTTTTTTTTTGGCACCCATGGCGGGAATCTTTATATAGAAGTTCTCTTTCATCATCTTCATCTCGCCTGGGCGGGCATAATGCTCATTATTTCATAATTAAGCTTAAATTGCAGAGATCCCAGCTAAATTTGCCCCTCTCAATTTTATGAGTGGCAGACGACTTTGTTGCTATGTAGAGTTGGTAGCTGATGGACAGCAATTATTATTAGCTTTGGGGTTATTCTGGTAGCTTCCCCTTGCTTGGACGTAGTGCTGATCGCTTGTCGTCAAAGATCGTACATAGTGTCAGCGTTAATAAGACTAAACTAAAGCAGATGGGTAGCTGCTTATGGGGAAGAACCCGAGTAGAGTTGTACAGCACCCGTTTAGTCAAACAACTCCAAGTCCCACCTACGCTCCTGTCGAAAAGCCACGATAGTAGCCATGTGAAACATTATAAGCAGGGTTCGTTTTTATAAAGACAATAATCCACATAGAGCATTCTGCACTGTACTCCCGCGCTCACAAACACGCGTAAGCTTCGTCGATCATGCCGCTAGCAACTGACAACGCAACCCCAATGAGGGAGTTTCTCGTTTGACGATCAAAGGTGGACACAAAGACTGTATCATAAAAGAGAGACGGAGAAATGGACTGTGGCTGGACATTTCTACCAACGGCGCCCTAAGTGGATTGATCATCGTACAGATTACGGCATGTGGAACTAGAAGGCCCAACTCTCGTGTCATACATGAGGAAGAACTCATTGTCGTACGAGTACACGCATTAAGAGGAGGCTTAGGCATGGTCACCAAACTCCATATCATTTATGCAGCCATCGGCCGTCGTCGGAGTATAGAGCGGGGGGGAATAGATGCCCTAGGACGTTGTTGAATAGAAATGACTTGACCGTTTTAAACATAGGAGCTGTCGTGGTGGCTCATCGACCTTATTTGTGTTATCAGTGACAATCCGGAGACGTTATTTGTTCCCTTTTATTTGTCGTCGAGTTACTATGTGCCGCTGGCATTGTGTTGTGGTTGAAAGCTGAAGGGCGTCTGTGAGACTTTGCGGCGTCTCGTTTGACTCGACAGAAAGGCGCAGCTGCGAGATCAAGTCGGCTGCCCTTCATCATGGCATTCATACCACGACCTGCTCGCCGGCGCTTCGCTCTCTTGCTTGCAAGTCTCTTCATCACGCTCAGCACCACCTTTCTTTTGCTGCCCCCCAGCTCGCCAATCCGACTCTCCATCAACTTTAACGCTTCTCGCCTATTGAATTCACTCCGAGCGTCAGCCGCGGACCGAGACGCCTGGCTGCGCCGACGACCTGCGCCATACCCTCTAGATTTGCGAGACGAGGTCGGCTATCTCGTAAAAACGGGCTATGGCACTCGCCATCGGGTGCCTGCCCTGATGAAGGCTTTCTCTCACGGTGGAAACATTCTGGGAGGAGAAAAAAAGAATTTCATCGTCGTTGGAGACTGGACGCCAACAAATCAGACAGATGAGGGGCTGCCGATCGTGTATAATGTTATTGACACGATGATGAAGACCAAGGTTGACCCGTCGCTTCAAGGCCACCCTCGCTTTGCCAAGTATCGCTCCCTTCGAGAAGCAGTCGACTTGGCCGACGAGGAAAAGGCGACAGAGATTGGCCAAGAGTTTGGGTGGGAGTTGGACGCGCTCAAGGTAATTCGCAGAAACCAATGGTCTTGATTTCCCCCCTGTCCCGCAACCTGCTAACATCTGAGCGGTCAAGTTCATAGCAGGCATGGAGTTGGCTTACGAGCAAATGCCTGAAAAGCAGTGGTACATCATCCTGGACGACGATACCTTCTTGATCGAGCCCTCGTTGCATCTACTCTTGAGCCATTTGGATCCCGCAAGGCCATACTACCTGGGCAACGCCGTAGGAGACTACAAAAGTCGATTCGCACACGGAGGCTCTGGCGTTGTGCTCTCGCGGGAGGCCATGCGGCAACTATTCGATCGCCCCGACATCGTCGCTCAGTCATACATCGACTCCCTCGATGAGACATGGGGTGACCGCCTTGTAGGCCTGACGCTGATCAAGCTGGGGATCTATCTTGATGAGCGGTATAGCCACCATTTCAACGGTGAGCCGCCTGACATGGCCCGGGTCCAGAGAGACCGCTTCTGCTCGCCCATTGTGTCCTTCCACGGCGCCCGCAGACCAGGGGCCATGGAAGCCATTGGCCGGGCCCTCTCCAACAGAGAGCAGCCCGTGGTTTGGGCTGAACTGTGGCAGCTGTTTGCTGACACCTCGCTCGAGAACGCTGGCCGCGAGCCGGTACGTCAGATGCGGGACTACGTGGGGCCGACGGGCGAGGACACGATGACATGGGAGAGGATCGCATCGGCAGAGGTGTGCCGCAGCAAGTGCCGGAATAGGAAGAGTTGCCTGGCGTGGACTTATGACAGAGAGACGCGGACATGCCGTGCCAGCCCGGGGATTGTCATTGGAAACAGCAACGCAGAGACGAACGAGTCTGGGCTTGATTGGCAAGCGGTGGAACCTCTGCTGCGACAGTGCGGCCGAGAATCCTTGTAAATGTGTGCCTTGCAACCTGTGGGTTGCATTTCTGCAGATGGATGAACGCCTTGCAATGGAATCGGATCCTATAGGACGGCCGCGAGGCGCTATCTATGTAATGCACAGCTGTACATATGATGGGCACGGAGCAGCATTACCGCTTCGTACAGATCCCGAAGAGCTTGGGGCAGCATCAGCTGTTGGTAGGGCCACGCAATAGAGCAGCAGCAGCAGCAGCATTAGCTGTATGTAGTGACACTGCTTCGTATATACTCAGAGCTGCCTGCATGTGATATGATACTACTGCGTGGCCATGTTAAACACGCGCACACAAACTGCATGCCTGCATGTAACCTATAGCATTCTCCGCACATTGCGGCCAGGGGCTGCCTGCCACATCCAATCTAGACTGGTAGCGAGACTACGCGAATAATAGGGAGCGCCGAAGGAGTGAAAGGGAAAGCTTGGGAGAGAAAAAGGATCGTAGAGTAGAGCAGGCGAGAGGAGCCCGTTGACTGGCCTGCTGCTCTTTGCCGAGGAAAGGAGACAAGCCGGACAGGGCATGGAATGACTCGGTGTTTCGGTGGGCTTGGAAAGCCCTACGGTACATGCTGTACCCAGGCCTGAGAAGATCAGACCAACATTGCAGGAGGCTGACCATTCCTGTATGCATAATGCGGAGTTAGCGCCCCGTACTGTAAGTTATCAAGAGCATCATCGAAGCAACACGCCTTACCGACAAGGAGGCCGTCTCGAAGCAAACCCGAGCCCGAACAACGGTGAATACGCAGCCTTTGTCTCATGATGGCATCTGTTGCGACTCTGTCCAGCCACCTCTGCTGCACTAGGCCCTCCTCCCTACTTGCACACCCCAGCCGTGCGTGAAGCCATTCAGGCCGCTCGCAGTCCGTATTTGTGTCTCTGCAATGGAGTGATAATAGGGGGCAGGCCAGCAGGCCTCAAAGTGGGCCAGAGCCAGGCCCGTCTCTTCAGCTTCTGTTGGCAATGTGACGCTCGACGGTCAGCGCTGCCACCACTTTGGACTGTACAGTGAGTAGTACTCGTACTGCCTGTATCCGTCCCCCCGTACTCCGTACAGTACGAGTAGTGGCAGCATCAGCAGAGCTAGGAGCGTAAAGGACTAAGAACCTTGTCCAGGACGTTGGTGTTCGCTTATCTGAATGTACAGCTAATTGTTCCGATGGATTTGGACGGTAAGGAGCGCTGGGACGGCGACTGATGCCTCTAACCACCGATGCCACCAGGCACGATGGACCGGCTCCTCTATTAGCAGAGGCGTTTCGCCTTGTGGAGCTGCAGAGGCATCGTAGAGCCGGCGGGCTAAGTCATGCGGCTAGATCCTCCATGCATCGAGCTGGCTGATAGTCGATGCAACTCGTGTGTGCAAGTCTCAGGCATCTCCCACTTATTAGCCTGCTCTGGAGGGACCGCAGGCTAAAACGACGGAAAACCACTAGGAGGCGACGACGTAGCATTACCACGTCTATCTTGACCGCGGATGATGCTGCAGCACCCCTCTCAGCCGCCTGGATCCCTGCAGAACATGTCAGGATAGCATCCCGCTGTACGAAGCAAAGCGCCTGAAGCCAGATGATACGGTCAGAGTGATGGGTTTTTGGGCGTGGTGGCGCCTGAGCTCGAATGCAGGCGTCGCAGCGCCTTTTGGAGCCCCCCTCCCCCCCCCGGGTGAGCATCACCAGGTTCATCGGCCGCTACCAGGAGCTGCTCGCACGGCTGTCGTCCCCTTTGATGGGTTGCCAAGGCTCTCGCTGGGAGCCAGGCGGAGGCGAATCCTCTTGGCGACGCATGGACGGAGCGACTGCGATGCTCAGGCGGTGGTCAGGTTCCTCCATTTCCATGCACATGTACAAGAATGAAGCTGCCAGCATGACACTGGCGCCGATGGTAAGCAGAGCTCCGCGAGACTATCGACTTGCACATACGAGTAGTACACCACGGACACGCGAGTACATGTACTTGTATGCATGTCCTGTGATGGGTGAGGGTTGAGAGTGCGGAGCAACTTGCAGCAGCGCGGCTTGCGGCTGTCTATCCATGTGGCTAATGCTCCCCTTTCGCTTCGCCAAGGAAGCAGCCGTTCCTTAGCGCCCTGGTCGATTTGCTTCTGCTTTGGGAGGTTAGTGTGTATTACTGCCATCATTGTCAGCTCATCTTTCTTTGCTTTTTTCTTATTCCAACTTCCCTTTTACCCCCTTCCCTCCCAGCATTCAGATCCCCATCATGTGAAAGGAACTTGATCCAAGCCGGTGGCTGGCTGCTGGGCCGCTAATGAAATTGCACCGCCCAGGGCCAGGCATGCTCAGCTAAGGGCTCATCTCTCCCTTGGGTTGCCTGTATTTCAGCATCTGGCGCCAGCCTATCATGTGTGCTCGTATGCACTCCGTAATGATCGGGGTTGCTAAGAAGACATTAGTCGGTGTCAAGCTATGGCGGTTGTCATATTACCGCGCTCCGCTTGTGGGTTCCCCCAAAATGAGCCCCGGGACTTGCAGTCGAAGTAGTACTGCATACTGCAGAGAGCAGATAGTCGCTCCATGTGCTCCGTACGGAGGGCCACGGGAGATGGCTGCATGAGGCAGGGAGATCCACCGGTGACAACTCCGCGAATGGACTCCGGATGTTATAACTACGATGAACAAAGAAAGTATATCGGCGGGCACATGTCGGAGGCGCGGGCGCGGGCCAATGAGCAGAGGCGGCAACAAGGTTTCTGAGAAGGTTCGGTGAGCTCCTATTCTCGGGCTCTCTCTCCCCTTCTCTCTCAAAAGAACAGGCGGCTCGATTGTCTCGCCTGTCCCATCGAGACTTGGATGAGATGCGGGCACGGGCTAGGCGGTTGAAGCTAGGTAGCGAGGAGAGTGCGATTGGTCTCCCCCCCCCGGCGCCGTTGCAGGCATTGTCTCGGGGATATTCGAGGCCAGACGCTGCAGCATCGATCTGGATGCCAGCTCGCTGCCCCTCGAATGGCTACGAATCGGTGAGCCCCCGAGAGGGGCATACCATGTAGGAGCAGGACTCGTATGTGCAGTGCATGCACAAAGCCAGTGCTCACATGCAGCACAATGCAGCTCTCACCGTTTATGACCTGGCCCCCTGGTTCCACGTCGAGCCGGCCCAAGGTATCCGAACACTATTGCGGAGTAGCGGTGTTTTAGCACTTGGTGGTGTGAAGCTGTAGGAGTGTACGAAGTGGTATGTAGTACGAGTACTCGTACAGGTACCATCCGTCCTCGTTGCTGCAGCTTCAGATGCCACGATGGTGGTGTTTAGTATAGTAGTAGGTAGCAGGTAGATTGTATTGCCGCTCATGACGGCCTTTAGGACCGTACGATACGCACGTCGTCCTGTCCGCTGCGTCGCCTGTTTAGGCATCTATTTTCGGCATACAAGCAGCTGGATGCATTCGAAGAGAGAAGAGCTGGGATACACGGCCATCCTTGTTCACCAAGCCATGCTTTGTCGATTCGCTGGTGCCGCCCAGCAGACGTAGGCAGGTGGTAAATGACCAGTTACTCGTATCTTGGTCGGCCAGTCCCTTCTGCCACTCGTATTTTATCGCTCGCCAATCTGCATCTCCATCGATCTCACCTATCCACTGGGAGGCGTTATCGGCCGTCTCTGGTTGCTGGCTGGCCGTGAAAAGACGCGGCTGTTGGACCAAGAGGTTCCACGTCTGAGACAACATAGCGTTTGGAGGATAGTGGACCGTTCTGCTAGCAGCAGTAGTACTAGCATAGCCGAATGCTGGTTCGCGAGAGGCAAAGAGACGGGAAGAAGCCCACCTGTCTCGGCGGTGTCCAGCGTGCCTGGTGCTAGCAATGCACGCTCCCTACAAGCGCCTGCTCGTGGTGCTCTGTCCAGCTCAGCTCGGCCTGGAGCTGAGGGAGAGAGAGAGAGAGAGAGAGAGAGAGAGCGGAATCGGTAGAGTTTGTATGTACGAGCATGGGAGCAGCCAAGATATCCAGCCGTTGACCAGGCAGTTTGGCCGAGAAGAAACCATGCCGCATCGCTATCAGGATGCTAGACCTAGCTGAGGTCTTACCTAATACCAACCTTGCCGTAGGTGGCACGTGTCGTGTCTTCTCCTCAACGACTCCTCAACGACAACCCCCTGAAGCAAGCAGGCGGGAAGCTTCCACTCCATGGGATTGCTGCTGCTGCTATACCTACGAGTACTCGTGGCTGCTCAATTGCTGGTTGGACGGAAAATGACGAGTAACTTGACGCTATTTCATCCCAATTCCACCTGGTACCGGCCAGGGAGTTTCAGTACCAAAGACGTCGTGTCGTGTGTGTCAACCTGCACCCTACCTTGGGGTGGGCGTCGAGCTGTGGCATCCGGCTTGGAAGCCTCCAGACTGCCGTGCAAGCACTCCTGTCTGGTGTGGTGGTAGTGAGGGCGAATCCAATAGATCTCCAGGGTTGCCGATGCACCTCGAGAATCGATTGGACCGGGTCCGTCGTCCGAGCCGCCCTACCGGGCACTCCATCACAGACAACCTAGGCCTAAGCATCCCTCCAAATACGGAGCACCAGCAAGGTTGTGGGCACGTCGCAGCTAACATCACGACCGCGTGCATGCATATTGAAGCACCACTAGGTACTGTGAGATACGAGTCCTGGCAGTATCTGGTACGAGTACCTGCTTGTCGCAGCAAGGACTCGCGTATTCAGCAGTGCTACCCCGTTATGTAGGGGCATATCGTTCCGCATCTTAGCACGAAGCAGCCACGGCACTAAACCAGCTGTGCTCGTACGCGCATGCATGCTGAGACTAGGTGATGAATCAATACTCGTCGGTGCTGTGGTGCCCTGCTGCGCTGGTCTCGAGGGTTGATTGATTGAATGGGGGGGCATTGGATGTGCTGCTTGCATCTCGCGGGCTTTGCCAGTTGGTGTTTGGGCGAGATGTGTGTGGTTTGCTCCAAGCAGCTCAAGGTACTCACTCATACGAGTACATGCTTCGTCCCCAACTCCCTACCAGATCCAGTTAGCAGCTCTTGGAGTTCTATATTGCCCAGATGCTGCAGACAGGTACCAAAGAGGTACTTGCGACCTTTGTACATACAGCACCTGTACCTTCGTACCTTATCCAGTCACATGCCTCTCGTGCAGCACCAAGCCCATCAGCCGCGCTTCGTCCATCACTCTCCGCTGAAGAAGATTACCGCCTCTCAGCGTTCCATTCTGTTCATCTTGTCTTGCACGGAGCAGCTTCCGGGAGTTGGCCAGGAGCTTGCGCTAGCCGACTAATAAGCCTAGCTGGGGGCCCCTGCCAGCAGTCGAGAGTCAAGGTAAGGTCGAGTGCTTGTGATCCGGTGTACTCGTACATGTACATGGACTTGATGCTCATGTGTCCAGGAGCCAAAGGACAGGTACCGACCGCTTAGTACTAATGCTACCTTAGTACCTGTGGGCGCATGCACGCCGCTGCTGCAGTATCTGCACTCGTACATGTACATGCACCTACTCGTACTACCTCTAAACTTTCTGCAGTGCAGTGGCACTCTTGCCGGCAGAAGCGCCTGTACCTATACCACTACGGCAAGTACCTTGGCTGTAGTAACGGGCCGCCCTGCCTGTTGATGCTCCAGACCTTCATTTTTGCATCCGCGCTTCTTCTGCCTGCACATCACAACAATCTCTTCCTCCGCTGCTAGAGCAATCCAGCCCAGCCCTCCCTCTCCTGTCGCTTGGACGGGCCGGGGTCGCGTCCCCTGTCGCGGTAAACGCTATTCCATGTTCGCTCCATAAAATTGGAATTGCAACAGACTAGAAAATGGTTCCAGACGATTCGGGAGACGACAAGACTTCTGTCGTTGTTGTCTCCGACTCTGCTCCTCAACCTGCTTCTCCCACAAGAGAGGCTTCTCCCAAGCTTCAATTCACACAATCCGCCTCTTCAGACTCGATTCCCACTGTCGCCGCCTTTGCGCCGCCTTTGCAGGAGCCCACGGAAGAGCAGCAATCGCAGCTCAAGGACGAGCAGCAGCAGCAACAGCAGCAACAGACACCGCAGGAGGAGCAGCAGCATCACGAGCCGCGACCGCAACCGCAACCGCAACCGCAACCGCAACCACAATCGCAGCCGCAGACGCAGCCGCCACCTCAGCAGAACGGCGAGAGTCGGGCATCCGAGGCCAATACTACGACCCCCGTGTCCGAGGCCGACATGGCGAGCCACCGACCTGCGGCCCTCCACGGCCTGCACGCAGGCTATCCCACAAGCTCCTCGTCGCCCATCTATCCCCAGACCAGCCTCCCGACCACTCAGTACGCCTCATATTCCACAGTCACAGCTGCAGCTCAGCAGGGCGATGCATACCGCGTCAGTCCCGTGGGCACTCCGCAAATGTCACTGCCCAGCATGCGGACCATCGACGCCATGTCACAGCAATCTGTCCCTCCAATGCCGCACCACTCCATGTCCATGGGCATGAGCATGCCCCTTACTGCCGTCTCGACCCCTCCTTACTTCACAAGCCATTCAGCGCCTCTCCCTTCCAACTACGGCTTCCCCCAGGACGCCCTGGCCCGGTATCCTCTCCCGCACGATCCTCGCCTAATCAACCACCGAGGCCCTAAGAAGGTATGTTTTGAGCAAGTTGCGGCACTCCTTGCCTTCTGGGGGGAGCAATTGATCGTTTCCTAGGCCAAGGCTGACAGTGGTGGCATATAGGAGATCAAGCGACGAACCAAGACGGGCTGCTTAACGTGCCGCAAACGACGAATCAAGGTGCGCATATGGACATCCAATTACCCTTTCAAGAAGCTCTCCACCACTACAATTGCTTGCCCATTTTACACAATTTTACTTCCCCTCCAATTGATGCCTTCATTTTTATTCTCCTTTGACTCGCCTCTACTGTCGCAATGGCTGAAGCGAGTGTTCGTATTACGCGTGGGATGGAGCAAAGGAAAAAAAAAAGCGGCCCCTCGGCAGCTGAAGCTGCTGAGAGCTGAGCTGCGTTGAAACTCGTGGCGCGCCGCTATAAAACCAACGCGAGCGTGAGACTTGGCACATTGCGCCAATTGCAAACTTCTTCCTTGTCTTGCACTCGAGACATTGACTTCTCCGCTCTTGAGCCACACCGCCCTTAGCTCGCCTTTGCCCTCGCTCTCATTCCTCCCTTTTTGCATCATCGTCACTTTTTTTGCTAGCTAGCTGCTTTCTGCACCCATGCGCCCCACCTAGAATCTTGCCGTTGACAATCCATCTGTCCTTGCAGTGCGACGAGACGCATCCCACCTGCAACAACTGCAGGAAATCGAAGCGCGAGTGCCTGGGCTACGATCCCATCTTCCGACAGCAGCCCGGAACCCCCACCGGCAGCAGCGTGCAGCCCGTGTCCAACAGCCTCTCACAGCCCGCCGAGCCGTCTGGCATTGCTTCTGTGCACTCCGGGTCGGTTGGGCCTCCTACACCGCGTCTGGTCAACTCGTACGGCAGCCAATCGCCGATGCTGCCGAGCGGCTATGCGACAAGCTCGAACCCCGGCACCCCGTCGATCCCCCCAAGCACCTACAACCCTTCTCTCGCTGTGAAGCCCGAACTTGGCTACGGCTACTCTTCAGGCATCGATCCTGCTGTGCGCGCCATGTCTGCCATGCCTGCCAACCAAATGCCGCTATCGGGCCCCGATAACAGCTACCTACGAGGTGAGTCCAAAGCCTATCCCCAATCTTTGCTTTTCTGGTTTCTCTCTTCTCATTCCTCTCGGTGATCATAAAAGGCAATCTAAAATGCTAACCCGGACGGCATTTTTCCAGCCAAGAAGATGAGAATCGACGAGATTATCGATCTGCTTGGCCCACCCGCACCGGTTCAGCAGATTAGTCACACGGAAGAAACATTTAATGAAATCACAAAGGTCTACCATGAAATGTATGCCAGCGGCCTCAGTGCGTTCTTCGAGACCAGCTGGTACTACTTCGCCGAGAACGGCAAAATGTCATTCCCCAAAGATGCCAACCTTATCGAGCACATGGCCACTTTCCTCAAGATCCTCGAGGCCGTCAAGGCCAACGATCACACCCAGATGGCGTATTCAGGCGTTCTAGAAACCAGAATTGTGTGGGAGTTGGCTTGTACGGCATACCAAATCCCCGACAGGGCAAACAATTCCATGCGTCTTAGCCTGCCGCCAGACAACGACCCCGCCGAAGCCAGAAGTCGCCTTCAGGTGGTCGAGGCCTTGCTGTGCGGTGATGAGCTGCTAAGCAACCCTCTCTCACCCCCAGTGGCAGACGCAGACCACCACCGCGTGCGCCAGTTCGACTTTTGGTATAGCCTGGCCGAATTTGTTCGCAGGAGGGACAATCCCAACTCGCCTTCGACTGTCAAAATCAGGGAGGACGTTCTGAGCCGCATGCGCCACCTTCTCGACGGACGAGAGAATCGCGATGTCCTCTACTCCATAGCTGTTGTCCGAGAGCTCGCACCAAACTTTGATTCTGGATATGCAGCTACGATTCCTCAGCATCTGGACGAATCAGACCCAAAGAACAGACTGGCCGTTGCGTCCAAATTCATCTTGGACGAATCCCAAGTCACCGGTGGAACAACAAACGTGGTGCGTCGGTTCAGCGACATTGCGTCTCGAGCCTTTGTCAACCCTGGAGTAAACATTGCTCGAAGAGTATAATCGATATACGCGCGAACTCATATCCCAGCTAAACCGATCCGACTCCCATAATATCCTGCATTATCTCTATAAAAGATGAATATCTACCTCCACATGTTATTCCCATCTCAGTTGCCTGGTATAGCCAGCATTACTATCGATATACCGGCGCCTTACTGCTTTGAAAGGAACAATTCGTGGAATACCTCGTTTCCAGCTCACATGGCAAGTCTTTGCACTCGACCCGAAAAGTTCCCTCTTCTCCCATCTTTTGCTTTTTTTTCCTTTTTTGTTTTCATGGCGTTGCGACATTGTGGGACCACGGCCAAGGCAAAGGGGGTAGGCATTCTCTCTACTCGCTATTGACTTTCTTTTTGTTGCATTAATTTCCTTTGTTGGCGGCCCCTTATTTCTCTCTACAGCCACATCAGGGCACAGGCGTTTACATGCAATTTATTGTATTAGTCGGACTCATTCTGGCTGCAATGTATTGTTCGATATGTTTCCCCCCCTTTTGCTTATTTGCTGTCCCAAGCAAGGCAGGCGAGGATACGGTTGTCCAGGGCCATCTCTCGATTGGTGAGGAGAGAGATTGGCATGAGTATAGTACAGTGGACTAATGTTCCCAGTGGAACTGCAGTTCAGCTGAACTATAGGGTGGGAGCGGGGGAAACTGAAGAATGAACGAAGATAGACTTTTTTTTGTTTGTTTCCACCACACTTTAGACAGGAAGGGCTGGGCTTTTATGCTCAGCGTTCCTCGGGATCGGGGCGCGGGATGGGATGGGATGGGATGGGATAATAGATGGGCGGCTCTATATAGCCTGCATCAGACTCTCTGATTCATACTCCAAAAACCAAAAAAGCCAAAACAAAACAAAGAACACTGCTCTGAATAATTTTGGGCAAATATTTTCCTTCCAAGTCTCCTTTTCTTTTTGTCATATGTTTTTCCCTCTTTTTTTTCTTAGTGTTTAATACCCTAGTTGGGACATTCTAGGTATACATAGGTAGATAGATCTGGTACATTATATATATATATATACATATATATGTGTGTGTGTGTGTGTGTGTGTGTGATTGGTGTATTTCGTCGCTTCTCATTGCGCTGTAATCTATTATGAAGCTTATATTCTCGTAAATCCTTCTCTTAAATACCTTTAAACAGGTCATCATTTCTTGCCAAAGTTGCCAAACCAGATGTTGTCATCTGCTCTCATGCCCGTCGTGACGCCTTCGAGGCCGCACATTGCTTTCGCCTGATCGCTGACAGTCCATCCTCGGACCACATCGCTCCTTACAAGAAACTGCATCACCATGCCCGACTCGGCGTGCCACATGTTGTGGCAGTGAAACGCCCACATGCCGGGGTTGTCGAGCACGAGGCGGATGACGGCCCAGCTGTATCCTTCCACCGTGACGGTGTCGCGCCGGACGGGGTTGTCGTCTAGATTGTGCGCTCTCACGAAATCCGGGAAATCCGCCTCGTAGGGAGGGTACCCGCCACGGCCTTGGTAGAGGACGAAGAATTTGTGGCCGTGGAGGTGGAACGGGTGGTTGCCGTCGTCGAAGTTGTTGATGGCGAGGTCGACGGTGCGGATGCCCTCGGTTTGGATGACGAGCTCCTTCTTGTAGTCAAAGGCCATGTTGTTGACGCCGATGGGGGACTTGAGAGAGGTGGCGTTGGAGGAGGCACCGAGGAAGCGGTGGAGAGATGGACGAGTGACGTTGTGGTGCCATGTGGATTGGTTGAAGAAGCCGCGTGCAAGGCGCCAGTCGCCAATCATGAAGCTGGCGTCGAAGCGCATGTACTTGTCTGCTGGAGGCGGTGTCATGGGAATGACTGGGTGTAAGGCAGAGACATTAAGATCACGACATATGACTTCGATGGCTTCGGGCCAGTCTTTGCTTGTGGGTTCCTTGTCCAGGGTTTTACTTTCGGGAGAGTCGTAACGTATGACAGCTCGCATCTCGGGCTGTAGATGGTGGTTCTTGGTGGTAAAGCAGTGTGTCACCATTCGGGCTCTCATCCAGAAGGCATCGGTAGTGGTGACGTTGGTTTCAAGAATGATGCTGTACCGCTGGGCGGGGAGGATGTTGAGACGATGAAACGGTTCGGGGAACACGTCGGTGCCGTCGACCTCGGTGACGTAAAATGGATGTTCATCAAACTGTATTTGGAACTCGGCAAAGGCACCAACGTTGATAATACGTAGCCGATGACGTTGACCAGCAGTAAGATTGAAAGTTGGGATCGAAACGTCGGCGGTATCGCAATCCCAGCCCTGGAAATCTTTACAGTCACGCACGCCACGGCCGTTGATGAGACCGTTGTCTGGGACAGGCTCATTATTCTCCATGTCATTTTTGAGATAGCCCATCAAGAGCTCCGAAGTGAGGTTGTGGTAATGGTCTTGAACCATGATGATTCTGTCCGAAGCGTATTTCAGCTTCTGCAGAGTAGTTCGCTCATCTTTGGAGTGAATCACGACGGGTCCAAGGAGGCCATCGGATGCTTGGGCACTGTGGTGGGCGTGATACCAGTAGGTGCCTGACTGGTCTTTGATCTGGAACTCGTAGGTGAAGGTTGAACTGGGGGCAATTGGGCATTGTGTGATCCCAACGGCGCCATCCATGGAGTTGGTGCCGTTTTGGAAGAGGCCGTGAAAGTGCATCGAGGTAGCATTGATGGCTTTGTTCTCCACAATGACTCGGATGGTGTCGCCTTGGTTGCATTCAACCAATGGTCCAGGGAACTGGTTGTTGATGAGGATCATTGGGCGATAGATGCCATCAGGGTTCAGGCGTCCATCTACAATTGTCCAATGGTATTCCCTGGTGGTGGGGGCGGCGTCAAAGTCCCAGGAAGGTGACAAGACGTACTCTGATACATTTCTTAGCTTTGGCATACTGGGCATCTCTTCTTCGTGGTGGACAATCAGTGGTTCAGAACTACTCTTGTCCCCATCTCCAGCAGCAGGCTCAGACTCTTCCTCATGATGGTCAGCCTCATCTTCCCCAGAATGATCTCCTGGAGAGTGGTCATCGCCGTCAACCTCATGTGCCGAATCTGAGGGAGATTCCCTGGAAAGTGATTGAAGACCGAAAGGGACAGCGGCCAGCGCCAGTACAGAGACTGTGACGATGAAGAAAAAGAGGCCTAGCTTCCAGGCAGGCAGAGAGCGGTGTTGACGTCGAGAGGGGCGAAACCCCGAGGACGAGCGGTGTGATTGACGAATGAAGGGCTGTTCTTCGCCGAGCTCTTGACGAGCTTCGTCATCAAAAGCACCAGTCGAGTCTCCTCGTTGATGCGCTCCAACAGCATCCATTGCACTCACCGGCGAAGCTCTAGAGGGTTGAGAACCGTCACGGCCGGTATTGTCATGGTACGGCAAGCTCCGAGACCCGGTCCTATCAGGTGAGCTCTACCGTCTCGATTTGGACAATCAGAGCTTGTTCATTCAGGTACGAAGAAAAAGAAATATCGTTAGCTTCCAGTTGACATATCGGCCTTGTGTGGAGCAGCAATTCGAGAAAACGCGACCATAAACAGCCTGTAGGAGACGACGGGATCCAGGACAGTCCAATCGGAGGGAACGCAATCCAAATCAATCCAATCCAACGGGAGATCAAGAGGCACGAGCTGGAGGACAAAGAAGTACCGGCGTCGAGAGGGCACCAGCGTGCGCCCGCGTATAACCAAGCGACAGCCGGCCGGTGTCGAAAGAGGCGTAGCTGGAGGAGGCTGTAAGAGACCAGATGGCGTTTGTCTGAGTGTTGGACGGACGCCGGATTTGACTGCTGAGTGGCGGATGGAACAGTATTTAGGCGTTCGGGAGAGGCATGCTTGCGGGCGCAACGGCGATTGGACAGCGGGATGATCCGCTAGAAGGTGGTTCTTTGACAAGCGCCGAAAAGGCGACAGGCTCGGGAAAAGATTGAAAGTACGAAGTAGTAATAGAACATTGGTGGCCTCGTTCGGGGAGTTGTGGGAGCCGTGCCTATCGGAGTCTTTGATTTTTATGTTGTGTGATGCTATGTGGTAGTACGAATAACTCAAGTTAAATTAAATCATGTCTCGGTGTGTTGCTTTCTGTGATATTGCTACCATCTTGCCCCAATGCTCGGAATCCACTGGGCGTATAGGAGTAGGATTTGAGTTCCCGTTGTTGTACAAGCGTTGATTTATTAGTACTCAACTCTCAATCTAACAACATGCTAGTACAGCAGGTACCTTGTCATGAATCAAACTCGAAAGCAACGTCCTCGTCTCTCGGTCCTCTTCCGAAGCCCTCCTCGGACGCAACTTGTTGCTTCGCGTCTTCCCTGAACCTAGTTCAACACACATGTGCTCGATGGGTTCGGTTATTCCGTGCTTCTGCAGCGCCATTACCCACACAAACAATGACTGTCAGCTCGCTCGTTTCCGTGTCCAGCCTAGGCCATGCTCGCTCTGTAACCTGGACTCGCTCATTCGTTGACCGAAGCCGCAGGTTCGGCAATCAGTCGACACGCAGGCTGGCCCCCCCAAAAGAACCCTGCAAAGCAATGGAGCAAGGCTTAATTGTTAGTGCCAGTACGGCAAGATGGTGGCTTGATGACACTCCAGCCCACTCAACTAAAGGGTCGCTAGCTACCAGACTTGAGCTGCAGGTCCGCCCTTCTCGTCTCTTCCTCAACGGCCTTCTCACACGTGGGGAGGCAGCGCTGCCAAGAGGCGCATCGTGGATTTTCCAGCCTCGATGTCGATTGAGATCCATTGAGGGAATCGTGTGCCGTTCTATCCGCTAGGGCCTTGGTATTCGAATCCCAGTGGGCTGTCGCCGCTCACTGACAGGTTGCCGACCTCACAGGCTTTACTCGGGTTAAGCACACAGAAGGGGGAGTGGCTAGGTAGAGGCCAGGCTGGATGGATACCTGTACCCAGGTCTCTGCCTACATGCAGTACTCCATCCACTACTAAGGATAGAGTAATACAGGTCGGTCGTGCTCCAGCATCGGGGTAACATCGCAGTAAACCAGCCGCTGGACCGGACCCCGGCTGGCTGATGACTGACCTTGCTGTCTCGGCTCGGACCAGGGCGTGCTGTGGTTATATTAAACCCCGCCGTCTCCCTTCGCTTCCTCTATCGGTCTATTCCTCTCCAGCAAAGGCTCATTTTTCACCAAAGACCGTTCAAGATGCTGTCCAAGGTTGTCTCTCTGCTGGCCGCTGCCGGTCTGGCCTCTGCCGCCGCCGTCGACAAGAGCCAATGCAAGCCTTCTCATACCACGACCGCCTGGGAGTCTCAGTACACTGCCACCGGCACTGCTGCTGTTGCCGCCGCCGCTGCCACGGCCAAGACCAGCAGCCCGACCAGCCACGTCAGGGGCAAGGCCTTTGATCGCTACGTCGTCGTTTACTTTGAGAACCAGGACTTTAGCAAGGCCGATGGTGACCGTAGGTTTAGAGCGTCGTCTTGAGAAGAAGATGGGAACAAATGCTAACGGCCACCTACAGCCAACTTCACCTTCTTTTCCAAGAAGGGTATCAGATTGACCAACTTCTTCGGTGTCACTCACCCTTCCCAGCCCAATTACATGGCCTCCATTGCTGGTGACTACTTTGGCATGGAGAATGATGACCTGTGGGCGCTCGACTTCAACGTGTCGACCGTCGTCGACCTGCTCGAGGACCGTGGCATCTCTTGGGGCCACTACCAGGAGGACCAGCCCTACTCCGGCTACGAGGGCCTCAGCTACGTCAACACCAAGACCGGTGCCAACGACTACGTCCGCAAGCACAACCCGGCCATCCTGGCCAACAGCGTCGCCCGCTCCGAGCAGCGTCTGTCCCAGATCAAGAACCTGTCCATGATCGACACCAGCCGCTCCATGTTCCACAAGGACCTCAAGGAGAACAAGCTGCCCCAGTGGATGTTCATCACCCCCAACATGACCTCTGACGGCCACGACAGCAACGTCGCCGTTGCTGGCAAGTGGTGCCGTGCTTTCCTCGAGCCCCTCCTCAACGACAAGCACTTCATGGACAACACTCTTGTTCTCCTCACCTGGGATGAGAGCGAGACCTACTCCCAGCGCAACCGGATTCTCGGAATCCTGCTCGGTGACGCCGTCCCCAAGCACCTTGTTGGCACCAGCGACGACAACTTCTACAACCACTACAGTGAGATTGCCACCGTCGAGGCCAACTGGGGCCTCCACACCCTGGGCCGCTGGGATGTCGGCGCCAACGTCTTCGACTTTGTTGCCAAGCAGACTGGCGACCGCCTCCGCAAGTGGCCTTCCACCAATGCCGCCAACAGCCACTACTGGAACGCCTCTTACGCCGGTATCTTCAACGAGGAGGGCGAGGGCAACAATGCCCAGTACCCTGCTCCCAACCTGTCTCTCGACCGCAGCTTCTCTGGCCGCACCATCCTGCCCGCCATCAAGAAGACGTGGGAGCACAGCAAGCTTCCCACCTACTACGCCGACACCATTGAGCTCCCTGACGGCCTGAACCCCCCCAAGGGATACAAGCCCGTCACCACTGACTACTAGGTGTTGCTCGTATTTTTTTTTTTACATTTCTCTTTCACCTCGTTTGAGAGTATAATATGGAACGGTGAATATAGGAGAAGACAGGACTTGTGCTGCTTGGATAGGTAGCCAGGTAGATGGCCTGAAATTAGGTAGAAGACTCAGATAAAAAAAACAGATAATTGTACACACACCAATTGCAAAGTCCCAGACTCGCATGCTTTCGTCCCCCATCCCTCTGACAGCAAACAAACAGAGTCCAGCAAATAACGGTGATGGTTATCTTGTGTCCAGCCTTGGCTTACTGCCTAATTCTGCAACCCACGCCGACTTACATCGGCTCCTACGCGGCGCCACCTCCGGCAGCCAAAAGTCCCAGCTTCCTAGTTTGGCAGCTGTCTCTCCATATTTTCCCCTCTAAAAACCAACCGCCGGGGCGAAGAAAAAAAAAAGATCCTCTGTTGATCCTTATCTCACTTAGTATCTTCTTACTTTCCTCTCTTCTTGATAAGCACAATCTCTGATTTTCCTTTCTCTCTTTATCCACTGCCCAACTGACCGTAAAGCCACCAATTATGTCAAAGACATGGCATTCCAAATCGCAGAAATAGAGGACGAGGCGAAGTGAAAATCCTCTGATCCTGTCAGGCTCCCCGCGCCTAACAAGCACACGGCGCCACCCCGCGGACCCTACTGTAACTAAGTCATGCCAGGCACCCCCTGCTTGTTAAGAAGAAGAAGAAAAAAGAGGCTTATGCACCTTGTGGGTTTTCTCCGCTCTCGAATCAGCGTCTGCGCATTCTTAAGCACCCGGCGTTGTAAGTGCGACGCACGTGGGCCGAAGTCGAGCATCTGCTTGGAGCGACATTGTGAAGCCCAGCTCGGAGTGCCTGGCCCGGGCCACGGAAGGACGGCAGAACTGCAGAGGACTATTGTCTGGCACGAGGCAAATCAGAGCCTTCTTTGAGAGGCAGCTCGGTGGCCCCTCTGGGGTTGGTGTTGGCACAGCCGCAGACCGAAGGGGAGAGTGGGTTGGATGGGTGGGTTTGGATGCCTTCGGGGAAACAAACATCTGGACAGGCGATGTAACGTGCGTGCAGAACGCAGGGAAGCGGGCGGAGCCTTTTAGCCAGAGACTGCGTGCACAGCTGATTCGGCCTTGGGAGGAAGAAGAACCATTGATTGTACTGCTAGCAATTGCTCAAGAGCTTTGCCGATAAGCCGAATGTCACTCTGTCACGTCGTTGTGAGCTATCGACAAGCCAATCCTCCCTCGACGCGTTGGGCTGGTTGATTCACTTTTCTCAATTTTCACCATTGCTTTTTCCCCCTGGCTTTGACTCACTGACTTCTGCTGAAGCTCCCTCCAAAGGCGCATCTCTCCCAATCATCATCACAGCTGCGCCGAAACACCAAATCCTTCCACCATGACGAAATCAAGAAGCCCCCTCCTCATCCGGTTTCTCTCAGACTTTACCCTCGGCTTCTCAGATGGCCTAACAGTGCCCTTCGCCCTCACCGCGGGCCTCAGTTCTCTTGGGAGAGCAGACACTGTCATTTACGCAGGTCTAGCGGAACTTTGCGCGGGAAGCATCAGCATGGGCATTGGCGGCTATCTCTCCGCCAAAGACGAACTGCCCTCTACTGCGGCAGGAGACCAGGATGGCGATGAGGAGGAGCTCAAGGGCATGCTTCGTCATGAGGGTGGGAGGGAGAGCATTGACGAGAAGAGCAAGGAGGCACAAGAAATGCTTGTAAGACGGCATCTGGAGCCCCTCGCTCTGCCCGGATGGATGGTCACAGACATCGTGTCGACTCTCAAAGATCGTCCCGAGGGCTTGTCCGACGTCGTCCGCCAACTGCATTCCTCGCGAGCCACGTCCTCAATCGAAGAGACCTCTAGTGGCGCTGATCAACTGCCCGTCTGGCCACTCGCGTCGGGCCTGTCCATCTCTCTGGGTTACATTATTGGCGGCACCATTCCATTGCTGCCGTATTTCTTCGCTTCGACTGTCGGCCTTGGCCTCCGGTGGAGCATTGCCTTGTGTCTGGTGGCTTTGATGGCTTTTGGCGCGGGAAAGAGCTGGCTGCTGAGAGCAAGAGACGCCTCGAGCGGTTGGATACACTGCGTTTGGGAGGGCGTACAGATGCTGATCTTGGGGAGCTTGGCTGCCCTAGCATCAGTGTTGTGTGTAACGCTTTTGGGGGCGAGCGAGGAGATGAAGAGATGAAGAAAAGACCAAGGCAATGTTACTTTCTTTTTTTTTGTTTCTGGGGCCTAGAGACTGGCGTGCACATGAATTACATGTAATGGGAAAACATGGCGTTGCAGAGTTTGGAGGAATCAGTCAGCGGGTAAGGGAGCAAGACTATATCTAGGTGTCATCTATTTACGGCTTTTTGGTTGAACCCATCGAATAATGGATAATTCAATTATATTTAAGCAAAAATGAAATCATCCAAAAAAGAAAAATAAAGAGTGCATGATCTGATGGCTGGGGAAAGCCTCACGCGGGGTCCGGCACCGCAAGCTGGAGATTGCAGGAGGAGGCTCACGTTCGACCGATTGAGCTGGTAAGGCAATCAAATCCGATTTTTGCCTTTTGAGTATTGGAAGGGCACGATGCTATTTGCCATCATCAACAATCTCACTTCGTCGAATTGGCCCTTGTTCAAGGACAAGGCGAGCACGTGTAAACGTAAAATCTCAACAATAACGCAAAAAGGTATGGTCAATTTCAGGCATATATATGTCAGTTTAGTTGTAAATTGAATGGAATGTCGCATAGGTATTAGACGTCAAGCTCTTCTAACAAGTAGTATATCTGTACACGAATGACCAACTGGCTGTTGACTGTACGTCATATCGTGACATCAAATTGTAGAGTACCAATGGCCTCTCGGATTCATTACTGTGCTTGCTTTGGATTTTTTCAAAAAGAATTTTGGATTTTGCTGTGCCTACGCTGTAATTGCAACTGTTTTAACTTAATATAATAGTCGTGTTCGTGGGTTATTCATTTCTTGTGCTCAAAATTTGAGACTAGCAAAGCTGCTTCATTTGAGGGTTTGCATGCCTATGTATAAACTCACTCCATCGTGGCAACAAGCATGCGGGTCAAGGAATCCATTGCTGCCTTTGTAAAACTCTCCATTGACGATCTTTCCTTGGGCTTCGAATCAAACACTTCAACAGAAAGCCAGCCCCGAAAACCGGTTCGCAAAACAGACTTTAGAAAGTCTTGAATCGGCAAATACCCTCCATTGAAGGGTAGCGGGCGATAATCATGACTCCATACTGATCTCAGCCTCTCCTTGGTGTCGTGCAGAGGCGGCTTCATTCTGTATGCATCTGAAATCTGAAGCAGGAATATCTTATCTCCTGGAACCGTGTTCTCTAGTTCGGCCAAACTATGTTTCCATCGGCTGTCAAGCTCAGCTGAACTGAAGTCTTCGATATAGCCTGACTCCGTAGATGGATCACCATATTCTCCGCCAGCTGATTGGAAGGTGTCCAAGCAGAGACCGATATTTTTGCGATCGGCCTTGCGTGATATCTCCCAAACATCTTTCCATGTGGGAGCATAGGTTGCCCAACACCAGTTTTCGTACGCGAGCCGGAAACCTTTCTCCCCGAGCAGGTCCGCCAATTCTTGAAGGTCTTGAGCATGCTCATCCAAGGAGGGTGATATATCTTCTGCATCGGATGAGCCAACCTAGATATAATTAGCTACTATTAGATTTTGGATACACAACTCCAAGGCGGACATACCTGCAGCATATCGGTGCCCAACGACTCCATAATCCTTATCCACCCCTTGGCGCGAGTAAAGGCTTCGCTTCTTTCCTGTGGGTGCTGATCTTTTTGCCATCCCTCAAATCTCGAAAACGGTTGCAGCATGAGAATCTCAAGGCCAAGTTGATCAGTCAGAATACGAATCTTCCCAGCCACGTCCGATAGGGTATCATAGTCATCCTCGCGAATTTTCTTCCCTTCGATATGACTGCCATACGCCAGTATATCTGGCATGGAGATTTCTATTCCATCAAATCCAGCATTGCGAATGGCCTCCAATTTTTCAGGTAGACCGGCTTTGAAGTGGGGAGGGATGCTGCAAGATGCAAAAGACGTGGGAAAATTGTGACCCTGATATTCGATGCCCATGGTGATGATGTGAGATTTTCTGTAGAAGAAAAGTGATGAATTTTGTTTTTATCTGTTTTTTTCTAGCAGAAGGATATGCTTATAAAATGTAAGTTTGGTTCGCTGGGGACGTGATTTGCCGGCGTCATGCTGATGCTTGCAGCCTTGTCGCAGCAATTGCGTCATCCACTTCGGCTCAGCGCAACTTGTAGTTGAATAAGATATAGGTGGCAATTGTACTCTGTAATTCATTCCAGTTCAATTGAATTTCTGTACAGAAATCTTCTTGGGCTACTCTTCATTGAACGACACTCCTTGTCTTTGTGGATTTTTTCTCACCTTAACCATTCCTGTCTATGCTTCATTGAATAGCAGCTCTGTGCGCACAATCAGAGGCAATTATGGAATTCAAGCAAATTGGCATTGTTGGTGCAGGTAATATGGGATCCATGATGGGATTCGCCTTTTCTGAGCTTGGCCTCGATGTGTCTATTTGGGACGCTAAGAGTGCGAATGTCGACAATTTCATGAAGCAGGTGGACCAGGCCGACGGTCTCATTGGAAAAGTTTGTGGTTTTCATGATGTATCAAAGTTTACCGCAAGTTTGGGCCAGAATGGTGCCCGAAAAGTGTTCCTGTTTTCCATTACACATGGCCCGCCAGCCGATGAAGTTTTGAAGAAAATAAAGCCCGAGCTACGCAAAGGCGATATAATCTTGGACGGTGGCAATGAACACTATCGAAACACAGAGAGACGACAAAGAGAATGCCAAGATGCGGGCGTGGATTGGATTGGGATGGGGGTCTCTGGCGGTTATCAGTCCGCTCGACATGGACCAAGCATGTCTCCTGGGGGGAATAATGCGGCATTGGACGCAGTCATGCCGCTTCTGGGACAATACGCAGCAAAAGACCCCAAATCTGGTGCGCCTTGCGTGTCGAAAATCGGACCGGGGGGTTCAGGACACTTCGTGAAGATGGTCCATAATGGCATCGAGGTCGGCATGCTATCTGCTCTCTGCGAGGCCTGGGGTTTCTTAAATCGTGGGCTGGGGCTCGACTACAGCCAAATTGGTGAACTATTTACCAAGTGGAACAGCGAAGGCGAATTGCACACAAACTTTCTGATCAAAATTGCTGCGGATATCTGCAAGACAAGAAAATCGACAAATGGCAAGCTGACTGACGATTACGTCCTTGATGATGTCCTCGACAAGGTTGTACAAGATGATGATCGTACAGAAGGGACACCCTCATGGTCCATTATGGAATCTGCAACGAGGCATGTGTCTTGTCCAACACTTGCGGCCGGATTTTACTTGCGTGTGGCCTCAGGAAACCGCGAAGAGCGTCTAAGGGTCGCCGAAAAGCTTTCCATTTCCGATCCACAGTCCATTCAAGATGTCAAAGATCGCGATCAGATTATTGAGAGTATTCGCTGCGCTGTTTACTGCGCCTTCTTGGCCTCTTATTGTCAAGGACTGGAACTGATTGCGCGGGCATCCATTGATGAAGATTGGAACATCAGCTTGTCCGAGTGTATCCGGATATGGCGAGCAGGATGCATCATTCAGTCCGAATTTATTGCTGATCTACTCGAGCCGGTTTTGAAACAGGACAAGACATTCACCAACGCTAAGCTGATTGACTGTGTCGGACCGGAGCTGCAGCGCAACTATTCAGCACTCAAGGACATTGTTTCTCAAGGGATTGCGGCCGACCACTATATGCCTGCGCTCTCTGCTACTCTTGAGTATATCAAGTATATTACAGGTGAGATGCTTCCAACGAAGTTTATGGAGGCGCAAATGGATTACTTTGGCGCGCATTCATACAATAAGCCGGGCGTGCCAGGCGAAGACCCGGGTCCAGTAGCTAAAGGTTCGCATCACTTCGAGTGGAAGCCGGCTTAGAATATTAATAATGGATTGTTGTATCCAGTGATATTTTTCAGTATTTCATTTTCATTTTCTTGAACTGACTAGACTTATACACATCTGGAGACTTGGAATGAAGTGTAGCAGACCACATAACTTTCGCGGATAAGAGATCGTTACTGCTCTGATCGAGCCCCGATCGAGACCCTGCAGCCGCTAAAAGCACACAATGGCCATGTTCTCTTTGACTTGAAAGATTTCTATGAGTCCTAACAGTAAAGTAACAAGTCATATCAAATCAATCCGTAGAAACCCCAAATTCACACGTCATTTGGTCGCTTAAAACTGTAACATTGGCCTCATCCCGTAATCGGAATCCACTCCATGACGAAACCTTCGCATCATTCAACCCGAAGTCTGCGAGTCATCGCCAAGCTGACGCAAAGTTTATGAACCCATTTTAATAAATCTTTCGCAGCATGTGAGAGTGATTTATCGCAACTCCTTTCTATTGTCTGTTCAATCTTTGGGTCGCTTTCGTGGTATCAATTAGCCTGAAACTTGACTGACTGATTCAATAATGACATCGCAATTTAAAGATGGTACAGCATATCTTTCCAACATACGCTTGATCGCTTGTTCTAACAGTAAAATGTCAAAGAAAAAAATATCCCTGTTTCAAAACAGGAGTTTCCGGGGAAGGATAGGGACATGCCCGATCCTAAACCCACCCGTGAGGAGCTACCAGATGCAGGCGGAACAAGCACAACGTACAAAGCAGCGGATAAGCTTCATGGCAAAAGAGCGCTCATAACTGGTGGTGATAGCGGCATAGGAGCAGCTACCGCAGTGTTGTTTGCAAAAGAAGGCGCTGTGTCGACAATAGTTTACCTCCCCGAGGAAGAACAGGATGCTCAAGATACTAAGAAACAGGTTGAGTCTCTTGGAGGAACCTGCCATCTATTCGCCACAGACCTTGCCAAGAGAGAGAATTGCCAGAAGGCAATTGACTTTTCCTTGGAAAAGATGGGCGGGATAGATATTCTCTTTAATAATGCGGCTTGTAGGTCATCATGCTCTCGGAGAGCGAGGGAAGCGCTAATTCCAATGTGTAGATCAAATGATGGTTGAGGATATTCTTGATTTGCCAGATGACCAGTGGGTTCATACGTTCAACATCAACATGCACTCTTACTTTTACATGGCCAAATATGCTCTTAAGCACATGAAACGCGGTTCTGTCATCATCAACAACGCATCTATAAATGCGTACATTGGCCGGCCGGACTTGCTGGATTACACCTCTACCAAAGGAGCCATAATTTCCTTCACAAGGGGACTGAGCAACCAGTATATCGGAAAGGGAATTAGAGTCAACGCTGTCGCCCCAGGGCCAGGTAAGCATTTATGCAGAGAAATCTTTAAGACTTGCTGACGAAAACCGTAGTATGGACTCCGTTGATCCCAGCAACCATGAATGAAAAAGCGCAGAAAGAATTCACCAGTCCCATGGGTCGACCAGCCCAGCCCTCGGAAATCGCAAGCTGTGTCGTATTTCTTGCTTCAATGGATAGCTCTTGTGTCAGTGGGCAGACCCTGCACTGCAATGGTGGAACTGTGGTGAACGGCTGAACGTGGATTGACTGGGTAGATAATTGCTGGAGGCTCATCTGTCTCTGGCATTAAAAGAGACTTGTTTTAAATCTAATCATATTGAAATAAGACAGTGACAGTGACAGTATGGCCACTCGCATAAGATCAGGAGTATTTTCAAGCTACTAGGCCTATAAGGCTGTTCCATCTCGCTATAGGCCTCGGTTGTTACAAGCAATATTTGTCTTTATTTGAATCACTTAGTTTGCTTTACTACACCTGCAACACGATAATATCCCACGACCCATTTTCCCTTCCGTCACTATGTGATGGAACTACGCAATCAGATGGAATTAGTGTTGTAATCTGAACTATTCTATTAAATTTTCACGTCCTCCAAGCCCATATTTCTTAAACAAGCTGCTGCTTATTGCAGTCAGACAAACATATAGTGGTCCCGCATCCACCTATAATTATGGCGTGCACCCAGTCGTGAGGTAATCATGATGTTGCAATCCCGCAGTGGCCCAGTCAAAAGTGACGCATCTTCGCATCTATAAAAAAACAGCCTATTGCCCTTTCAACCAAAAACTCTAAAACTGCCACATGTAATACCGGCATTTATTTCTTTACAAAATTTCTCTTTGGGTTACTTCTATCGATCATTATCATTATCCTGAGCACGACCATATACGCCTGGATTAATTGGAGTAATCAACATGGCGAGTCAATCACGACTGTTTCAATTAAGCGGAACTTGCAATCATTATCCATGGGGGAAGAAAGGACGCGAGTCACTCGCAGCGAGGCTCTGCGAGAGGACACCGGGAACTGACTTTGCTATAAATGATGATGAATATTACTCTGAGATGTGGTTTGGTGACTATCCGGACTTTCCTGGCAGAGACTTGGAAACCGGCCAAACGCTCGCCGAAATCTTGAAAGAACATAAAGAAAATTTACTTGGCTCATACTCGATTGAGAAATTCGGGGACCATCTTCCGTTTCTTCCAAAGGCATGCCAGATTTTGCCCCTTGGCAACAGTTATGGTCTAACCTAGACATCACAGATCCTCTCGATAGGCAAAGCTCTGCCACTACAAATCCATCCAAATAAATCACTTGCGGCTAAACTTCATGAGAAAGACCCCGAAAAGTTCTCAGACTCCAATCATAAGCCAGAAATTGCGGTGGCACTGTCGCAATTCGAACTATTTGCTGGCTGGAGGGATCTGGGTCAGATTTCTGCGATATTCAACATCCCAAGTCTGCGGCGCTTCATACCTGAAGGATCAAACTCCTGGAATGAGGAAACTCTCCGAAACGTTGTACGCGGGATATTGAAAGCAGACGAACAAACTGTTCAAGATATTGAAGAGGATTTGAAACGACAATCTCAGGAGGACATTCAGAAACTTGGGTACCCAAGCTCCATGTTTGAGTTGATTCGACGCTTGCAATCCCAATACTCCGCCACAGACCCAGGCTTACTGATTGCAATCTTGTGCATGAATTATCTTGTCTTGGAGCCTGGCGAAGCAATCTTCATCCCGGCTGACGGTGTTCATTGCTACCTTTCCGGGGACATTGTGGAGTGCATGGCTCGTTCTAACAATATGCTCAGTGGTGGACTTTGTCCCGTTGCGGATCGCGACAATATTGATCTCTTTTCGGAGACACTGAAAATCGACTCAAGCACTCGAGTGGATAGTCTCAGATTGCCAGCAAATCCAAGCAAGGACGGGGCCAGCGGGCATACTCTGGTGTATCAGCCTCCCATTGGCGAATTTGACTTGGTTCGAATTGACATGACGGCTGGCACGGAGGAACTCATTTGGAATCACAAGGGCCCGACTGTGGCTATAGCGATTTCTGGGGACGGCACGATTCGAGGGGACGGGAAAGAGCTCGCCGTCAAAACGGGGTTTATTTTTTTCATCGCGGCAGAAACAGAGACGATGCTACGGGCTGATACGGGGATGCGAATCTATGCTGCTGTCATACGTTAAGTAGATGCTACTCTTCAGTGAAAGAAGACAATATCTTGTGAAAAATGCTGTTCAGAACTTGTCTAAACGTGGCTGCGCTGCGAGAACAATGAAAGGGAACAGCTGGATCTGTCAATGTCGCAATTCATTAGCATGATTGCAGTCTTATGTTGTTCAAAGTTGATATTCATTCTTGATTTGACTATCTTTAGGGTAGGCACATGAACTGAGACACAGGTGCAGGACAAGGGGAGTTGGCAGCATCACTCTGACCACTTCAGTTAATACTCAAGGAAACAGGCGAGTGCTTCTGCAATATGTCAGAAAAAGAAGGATGGAAGGCTTTAAAATAAAACATTCCTTTCAATGGTGGGATCTGTCTCATCATGTTCGCGTTGTTGGTTGAACCGACGCTAGTAAAGTTCTGCAGAAGGCTGGATGGTCAAACCGCCAGTCGCCTTGCGTGAAGAATGAACCATCCTCTTGACAACTCCAAGATTTTTTACTTGCCTCATAGACAGATCAAACTCACCCGAGGCAATGCCAGGCAGTTAATTCACAATATCGCCAGGCAAACGGCAACTCTTGTTTGCTTATCGCGATTACATAACCCTGCATTAGTCCGTTTGATGGAGTAACTCTCGAGCTAGATCGCGTCGCACACCGATTCTAAACCTGACCGGAAGGATTCAAGTTACAAGGGAGCAGCATTACTGAGACCGACATGAATGAGGTTACATTAATAGATTTGACGGGTGAGACACCCGAGTTGACGCCCGGATCAAGACCAGAGTTTGAAGAGCCTCCCTCAAGCATCGCCAACGCAATCCCTTCATCCGACAGGCCCGTTTTGTGCAAGGAGCAGCGGGACTTGATTGAACTCATTCTCACGGGAAGAAATGTCTTCTTTACGGGCTCGGCAGGTTGCGGCAAGTCTACCGTTCTCAAGGCCGCTGTCAATCTGCTGCACATGATGGGGAAGAATGTTCACGTTGTTGCACCAACGGGCCGGGCAGCGCTACAGGTCGGCGGCATGTCGACATGGTCCTACATGGGTTGGACGCCAGACTATCACAGACTCGATATCGATACGCTTGTGAACAAGGGGTTCCGAAAACACATTGAGAAACGCTTAAAGGACACGGATGTGCTCATTATCGACGAGATCAGTATGGTGGAGAATCACCATCTCGAACGTATGAATATCTGCATGAAGGCCGTGATTGCCTGGAAAGCCTGGCGGATGGAGAGAGACTCGGCACGCCCCAGGACCAGGAGGGATGCTTTCGCCATTGCGAAAAACATTCCCGCCTTCGGAGGAATCCAGGTCATCGTTACAGGGGATTTTTGCCAGCTACCCCCAGTGAAGCCATTCGAATTCTGCATGCACTGTGGGCAAGAGATGATTGCTGACGACGACGGAGCCGAGTTCAACTGCCCCGGCAGCCATGGGCCGTTTTTAGAGACACACAAATGGGCCTTTAGGAGTGCAGCTTGGGAGGAAGCCGAATTCGTTCACGTCAACTTGCAAGAGATTCATCGCCAGAAGGATGAATACTTCATCAGGATGCTTCAGAAATGCCGTCTTGGGATCCCCTTTCTACCCCAGGAAACAGAAACGCTGATGGATCATCCTTGCGATGTCCAAAAAGCCACAAAGCTCCTGTGCACGAGAAACGAGGTTGCCATGGTGAACCGAGAAAACTTTAATAGACTGAAGACGCCAAAGCTCGAGTACCACGCTCTGGATGGGTTTATTGCGAGGCAAGAGGTGCATGCGGAGCTACCTCAGTACCGTGATCGTTTGTCTGATGGAACATTAGCGGCGTGCAGAGATCAACGCCTGGAATCCCATGTTACGCTGCGGGGAGGCATGCTTGTGATTCTGCAGATAAACCTCGATATAAAAGGAGGGTTGGTCAACGGAAGCCAAGGTATTATATGCGGCTTTGAAAGGTTTAGTTCTGCCAATCTTCCCAAAGTATACAGAGGCAAGGATACCGAGTACATTCCTTCTGATCAGCGCATCATTGGTGATCACGCAAAGCTGAGGGAGAAGCAGATGCAGCAATTCATGGAACAACAGGAGGGTGACCCACGGTTGGCAAAGGCTTGGCCTCGGGTTCTCTTCCACAACGGCGTGAAGCGTGTCATATACCCCTCATGTGTTGTCGCCTCTGTTGGCGACAAAGAGCCGTACTCACTGCTGCATCGAACACAAATTCCCCTTCTACCAGGCTGGGCTATGAGTGTTCACAGAAGCCAAGGCATGACTCTGGATCGCGTCATTGTTGACTTGTCGCATGCCTTTGAAGAAGGTCAGGTATATGTCGCATTATCTCGGGCGACGAGCCTTCACGGTCTGAAGGTCATGGGTAGCTCAAGCGGATTATTCGTAACTGGTGGAAATCCAGAGGTGCAAACATTCCTACAGGCAAAGTTCGGAGACGGACTTTTTCAATCAGTCAGAGACTTCTCGGGACATCTTCTCAATAATGGCGATGGCGAGAAATACTGGGCGCAGGGCTGAGAAGAAGGCGTCCAACCTTGATGATCGACGAACTTATGCGCAAAGACCTTGGTCGAGATTGGAGAAAATAAGACTGCAGTCATTCACAAGCTACATTGGACGTGTCTGTAGCATTTGCGTCAAGAAGCAAAGCGCAAAAAAGATTGTTTTGAATATATGAACAAAGACGCGAACAAGGGCATATTCTGCCAAACAACGATATCCATATCGCGAGATTCCCACTACCATCGCACGGCATCACGCCGTCATCATCACTCAAGTGGCAGCAAGATGCTGTATCTCACCACTTGCTGCCACTCTGTTGCAGTTTCGGACGCCGTGTAACTCACACAATAGTGAGTTACGGCTCATGGCCAAATATTTTGGTATATATCGCTGAGCCCCTGGAGATGGAGACTGGGACGTTGAGATAGTGTGGTTACTTGGCACATCCAGACCAGGAGGATACCTCCTAATAATGCATACATGCTGGTGGATATAAAGAGAAAGGGGGAGATTGAGATGTACTGGTATTAAATTAAGTTTCAAGTGTATAGGAGCAACGATATTGTCGTTAGTGTATCCTGATGCTACGAAGCTGGTTTGCTGCCAACCTGTTATTCTTCATTTAGAATGATGCTTTGCCTAAGGTACGTTCGAGCCACAAACTCGATACACACTAAAAATGAGAACTGGCCCGATTTCGAAGCTCTATGTTCACAAATCAACGGTTTGTGAGGTTGTTGAGTAGGTATACTCAGCTCAGCAGCCAATGTTCAACATACGAATATCATATATATCTAACTCCAACATTTCTCACATTATCTCTACTGCCATACAATCCTGCTTTCGTCGCCTTTGCTCCAGTAACCTGAGCCACCTTTCTCCGCTATCTTTGAACGCTCCTTGAACGACTCGTACATACCATTCCAGTCTTTCTCAGCTCTCAAAGACTCAGAGTTTTCTGGATCATTTTCAAAAAGCTTCATCAGGTCATATCTCTTGAGACGATCCAAACTCCAGAACACGTAGGCCCACGCTCTCAGCCCCGAGTTGTTTGGAAGCATGGCCCGCGCGCTACGGGGCAAGTTGTTGCTGAAGACCGCCCGCCACGCTTCAACTGGACCTTTGTCGGTGTCTTCGCTATCGGAAGTTGGGAACATGGTCTCTAGAGCCTCGTCGGTGTATTCGGCGAGTGGGATATCGTCATTCGAGTCACCATCCGAGTCATCATCCGAGTCATCATCCGAGTCATCATCAGATACGGCTGTGAGCGCATCGTAGAGATTCGCGCTATTGACACCTTTTGAAGACCATAAGAGTGCTCTTTTTGCATCGTATGAAGTCTCAATCGTCATCCTGTAGATAAAACCACTCCCTAAGGATAGCTGCAATGTTTTATACGTAAGAAACTGCGACGACAGAGGGAAACGAACGTAGATTGCGGCTTACCCAGAACTGCCTCCAGTCATCACCACGAGTCCTGAGATAGTCGATTCTCAAGGCGCCAAACTTGACGTCATGAGCAAGAACATCATATGAAGCTTACAATAAAAATTAGGAATGAAAAGATGTTTTGTCGGATTCCAGGAGCAACATACCTTCGGATAACTTGAGCATTAGAAAGTCATAAATGCTGCCTAACTGTTCATTTTCCCACGGCGCGTATTGTCTAAAGAACCACGGTCTCCCGCTATCACTGCCCCATTTGAAATTAGACGGCATATTGCTACGGAAGAGGTTACAGTAGAGTTCGAATCTATAAAAAGCTCGACAAAAGCGATAATATTCCATCGGTGACAAGCAGAGGTTATGAAACGTCTGTGATCCTTGGTAATTGGAGATATGAACCCATGCGTTGTTAGCAAACTGAATCGTCAAGCTCTGTATTGCCTCATGCAATTTTCCCATTTTCACAAGAACAAGGACTGGCATCTTTCTCAACCGGCTTCTTAGCTTGGATGGTTCCTTATTCAGCGTATTGACCAGCTCCTGGGCTGAATTTTGGGTCCGTCCATTGAGGTTCGTTGTTTCAAACACGGCGATTGAATATGGTAGGAGAGCCGGAGTGAGTTGCTGCTCCAAGATGTCGGACGCAACCGTCGAATCCTCCTTGAAGCACAAGTAGAAATAGCGACAGGTAAGAAGGCAGGGTAGAAGGAAGCGTATATTGCCCAAGTTTCGCATCACTGAGGCCATGACCTCGCAGGGGAGCTTTGTGATGGAAGTCATCGTTGCAGTACATATGTGATGTTGTCGCTTATGACCATGTTGTGTATTCGAGGCGCCTCAAGAATGGCTACAGTGCGCTACCTTGCTTTTATCTACATGTAAAGTTGATACGCCGCAGTGATCACTGGCAAGTGTCGCCCAAGGGAACAAAGGGCAGGCAGCCTTTGTGAAATGAGCTCGAAACAAAGGGCAACATTGAAACTGTGTGTAACACCAAAACCAATCCCATCATCTCTCCTAGCAAAGCATTCATATTCAGCAGCACCGTTGCCTCATTTTGAACGTAATGGACAAGGGTGGGATGGGTCTGGATTTTAAGAGACATTAAGCTCTATGCTGAAGTCCACATGTTAAATTTATAATATGTATTGATCATAAATCCTCGAAGTGGTGGTTGAACAATGCCGATCAGTATCCAATGGATTGGAATTTGCAACAATTAGACCAGTACGGCTCATCAAGTAAGCCAAAGAGAAAAATAGAAGAGCTAGTAAGATCTCGTCAGAAGCTTTGGCTTGGTCGAAGCGATAGACGAGCTGACCCAGTATACGAATCAAACGGACAGAATGAATAGCAGGCGATATGTGGGACAGGGAACAGATGTGTAAAGGAGTTTTCGTCATTTTCGGTACGGATCGCCACAGCCTCGTCAAGGTTTTAAGACATCGCCGACCTTCTTCTTCAGCTAATGGTCCACCACGGGCCCAGTTGTCTCCAACGGCAAATCAATTGTAAAAAGCTATGTGATATCTTTCCTCACTGAACCAGATTTGTCTGACAATGAGATCACGAGATGATCGTCTCTAACAATGGTTGAGCTGCTGAAGGCATGGTAGTAGTAATGTAATCATTTAAAGATCTAATACATGACCAATTCCAAGTATTTAAACGGCACTGTTTCCTCCTGCAACTGAAAAGAAAACTGTGACTCTTTACAAGGCAATACTCTTACCAGAATTGTATAGAAACACCCTTAGTTCCCAAAATCCATATTCTTTCTATACAACTCAGAATGAAACTGGGTTTCCTGGCTTCCGTCCTAATTGTTGGTTTGGCCACTGCTCTTCCTATCGTGAGTACAAATTAGCCTATCTAAGAGTGAATAAGGATAAAGGCTTATAAGTATTCTAGAGTGGAAGGCAACCTTCGCCTATCGCTGAGAATTTGCCACAAGATGGGGATACTCTCTTAAATTCCCCGCCGGATGGGGCATTCTCAACGGTGATTGAAGAGGCTGTCAATGCACTGGACCAGGCTGTGAGGGGATTCATTGATTCGGTGAAGATGGTCGTTGGGTCATTGACAAAATCCTTGAGTGACATAGTGAGTAATTTAGGTGCGACATCAAATAGAAGCTAGAATATGGCCCCTTTGGAGCAGAGAATATACGGACTTGAGTTGGACGCGATCGACTGTGATGAGAAGGTCTATTCTGCTAGATATACAAGGTACGGAGTAACTAAATCAATGGCGTAAGGTGGCGTTTAGAAGCTACGATTCTGTGACATAAACTCTTTGGGCGTATATAACATATACATACATGATCCCTTGCTGACCTGTGAAAATAAAGTCCAATAAGGTAAACACCAATAGCATAATCACAGGTGAATTTAACCCTTCCCGTCCACAGCGCGTAATATAGACTATGTAGTGTAAGAGGTGAGCTGCATGGTCTTCCAAGTTGAGATAATTACGCTTGTAGTTATCTTTCACAATACAATATTACGGATTTGTCCCCAATTCTGTGTCTGGTTGGGCATTTAGCACAAATCACGTACCTATGTACATAACCTGAATCTCTGACAGGTGCACCTACCTTTCTTTAGCAAGTACAATGGGGGAACTTTACTACCCATCCATGTGTTTAAAAGCAGCTTGATTTATCTCTTCTTCTTTCTGTCTTTCTGTCTTTCTCCTAGACTAGTTCATCCATGGAAAATATGTATTATACTGCGTGTACATTGCGACTCATCGTGCAATGTGCGTATCGGGCTTATAGTGATCTGCTGCTACCCATGAGGATGTTCTGCATCTAAAGGGTCTGCTTCATCATCGAGCCAAGTCCATCCGGAAGCAAAGTGACTTGGCCCGTTTCCTTCTACTAGAACGCAAGGTCTAGGTCCAGTGTCTCCCCATGCAGTCCAGAAACCCGTTGGCAGCTCGGCCATCTTTGCACATTAAAGCGAAATACAGTAATGTAATGATTTATGCTACGTAACTGACAAAGAGTCCTATAGCCCTAAGAAGACAGCGTAACTTATTTATTAGATACTTTTCTTTACGTTAGTAGGCAATATTTGGGGCCAACGCGTCGAGGATAATAAGGCTGCGGTTACGTACTTGACTACTTGGAGGGCAAAGTCGATCCTGAGAGAATCGGTGTCCTAGGAATCTGCGCATCAGGTGGATATACCTCGTACGTTGCACAATCAGACACCCGCATCAAGGCTCTTGGAACAGTCAGCGCTGCCTGTGTAGGTCGGATGACACGCAATGGCGGTCTCTATGAGAGCAACAATAAAGAGTCGCCCGAAGCCATCGCTGGCGCTCTCAAGGCCGCGGGAGACTGGCGTACCGCCCATGCCAACGATACCCAAACTCAAGCACCTCGTATGTTTGAAACAGAAGCATCTGCAGTGCCAGAGGATTCTCCCTCCTTCTTTAAGTCGGCTGTCGCATATGATGGCACAAAGTGCGGTCACCATGCTCGATCCGACCAGCGGGTTCCTCCATCGATCTACGATTTAATGATTGGTTACGACTCGTTTATCTACCAGCATCTCATCTCGCCACGACCTTTGTTAATGATTGCTGGTACTGAGGCTGAAACTCTACACCACAGCAAGACGGCGGTGGAGGGGGCAAGAGATCCCAAGGAATTGTTCATCGTCAAAGGCAAGAATCATTTCGATTTGTACGATAATTTTATAGAGTCAGCGCCAAAGCTAGTCGAGTTTTACGCAAATGCGCTCGCTCAGTAAGAAAAAAGGATAGGAATGTAACTACTTATCTTACATTGTATTATTCTACTTAGGCCGGTATGAAGCAGTGGCAATTACATCCTGTTTGAATAAGCATGATTTACCGGAATATTTAATAAACCAAAAATTTAAGCGTCCGAATTCTGGAAAAGGGTTTACTCGAGGGCCATTTAGTGTAAAGCAGCGTCGGCTTGAATACCCGTTGGCTCCTCCACCCTTCGAAAGCCAACTGTATTACATGATAACACATGACCCTTTCTTCTCGAGCTTGTGGATTCTCTCCGTCAATTCCTTGATCTTCTCGTCACTTGACCTGGCCGCCTCTTCATTCATCCGCCGCTCGTCTGATATTGTCTTTTCCATGCCCTGCATCATCTTCTTATAGTGCTCCTCGAGTGCAGCCAAAGCAGCCTTGTTCTCTTCAGCGGCGGTCCGCAAAAGCATCTCCTTCATCTCAGTAAGCTCTCTTTGTTGTTGCTCCTTGAGTAGTGAGAGTTGGCTCATAATCTCCCTCCCTGCTGCTGTGTCTTTGAGCGCCTTGTTGTCTTTCCCCATCTCCTCCTGCAGCTCTAGGTAAAAAGGCTCGTTGTCCATAAGCATGGATGCGATTTGTTTGGCGGACTTGGCCGACGTATCTTGTCGACAGTACTGTGCGCCGAATGCTATGAATACGCTCCAAAATTTGTTTTTGAGTTCCAACTCGCGATTTAAGCCCTCCTCTGGAGTAACCTTGTCCCACATGCTGGTTGCCAGTATTACATTCTTGAGGTTCTTCTCCCCAGTTAGCTTTCGAAACATGTCGAGATTTTTGGTCGCATGGTGGGTAACACGGTTATCCGAGATCGGGTGAAGGTATATTATGCCCGAGAGGCGCATTTCCTTGGAGTATCCTGCCGATAGGTAGTCTGCAATCATTTCGAGGACTTCGGTATCTGAGAGATATGTGTCGGAGAAGCCCGGGGTGTCAACAAAGCGGACAGTACGGCCGTCAAGTATCGTCTCGATGATTTGTATCTCTTGTGTGCCTTTTGGTGAGAATTAGTTAGCCAATGAGAGCATGCTGAGCCGTTTGATGGTCGTACATGAAGTAAGATTGTGACCAATCTTTAAATCTGTCCGCCCGGTCGCATTTGCAATGAACGTCGTCTTTCCGGATCCCGTCATCCTGAATTTGAAGCGTAAGCCGAGTACTTCGCTGTTAGGAGTCATGCATAGCTGTACCCCATGACAGCAATCATTATATCTTTGCTGGTGAACTTCTTGTACAGCGATTTTACGCTGTTTTTCAAGCCGGTAACATTATCTTGGAAAAATCCTGTGTGGCTGCCATCCTTTGTCTGTAAGTCGGAAATTGAACTATCAATGCGAGATGCAGAAGACTTTTCGGTAACAGCATCGCCAGCACTATCTGAATTTGCTTTCAAGGGATGCTGGTTTGGCTGGAGACGGCTGATGAGCTTGGGAGTCTGATAAGAAACCGGGGCAGGGCTGTCGGAGGTGGTCGAGTTGACCATTGCAAACTCGTCATCGGAGACGTCTGGAGTGCTGATTATCGCCATTGTTTTGACGAGATAAAAATTCGAGATATTTCAAAGATAGAAATGCACTGTCTATGGGGGTTTTTAAGAAAGCTGGATGAAAACATCGAAGCCTCATGTTTGGGCTTCAATGTGGCCTGGCTTGAAACAGCGTTACGTCACCCGCTAATAAGGCGCTTTGATTTGATAGGCCTTGAACTCTCGCCACTCAAGGCAGCCATTCTGAAGACGCGAACTGCCAACTGATCATTCTGTGATGAAGAGGAGAGATGAAACAACTATCCTCACTCAATCGGATGTTGTCAATGGTATTGATAGAGGTCATTGCATAACATGAGCCCCCTCTCCAGGGTACATACAAACAGGATGTGTGTAAATCCCGACCTTTGCTTTGCATAGGTAAGTGAAGAGAAAGCGTGAATACAAATGATCTCTTAAGATAACTGCTGTGTCCGATATTCTACAGCCGGGTGCTTTTGACGCTGCCTTGGTATGTTAACCACCTGAGACTAATTATCCTAGTTTTGATTAAATACATCTGATTTAGGCATACATTTTTCTTGGCCATTGGACGTGCTACCCTTACATCGGTGTGTTTGGCGTACACATCCTGGAGAACTGCTCCGTCTTTCAAGTGCTTGACATAAACTTCAAAAAGTCCACCCGAGGGACATACTGATCTCTATGCAAAGAAAAATTCTGGATTTTAGGAATATCACCCAATATGAAAGCTGCTGAATGACAAAGCCGTGATGTTCTGGGACAAGGGAATATGCCCAACCAATCATCAACAGATTCGACCTGGTTGGGCTTTTGGGCGGCTGAGGCGGGCGCAGTGCATACATGCAATGGAAAAATCATACTCACTCCTCCTTTGCATCAGTGATTTCATTCATTCTCTTCACCTTTCCTCTTTCATTGCAGCTCGGCCACTCGAAATCCGCAACGCCTGGAGTTTGATGCTTTTATGAAACCTTTTCTGAAGCTCATTTTTCTTTGACGACAGTCAAGTCTCCGACTCCAGACCTACGTCTACCCGACTCGACAAGCGAAGCAAAATCCCAAACGGCGAAGGTCGCGAGCACAAAGACCATTTGCATCTCTACTCGATCGCCGATACATAATATGAAGATTTCCGCCAATCCATAGTTACTTAGTCTAATGGCGGAGTTGGATCCTAGCCTTTATACTGTCGCATGGATTGCGCCGCTGGAGATCGAGGCACAGGCTGCGTTGCATCTGTTGGATAATCGACACCAAGGCAGATTTCCTCTGACACCTAGGGATGACTATATCTTCCAGGCTGGAGATGCTTGTGGACACAACGTCATTATTGCGACACTGCCAGCCGGAGAAGTCTATGGAACAAGATCTGCTGCCGCTCTCGCGACCCAAGTTAAAAATCTTTGGTTCGGCTTGTTGGTTGGCATCGCAGCGGGTCTCCCAAACCTCTCGCGAAATCCACCACTGGATATTCGTCTCGGCGATGTTCTCGTAGGGTTACCTGTGGGCGACAATGCTGGTCTAATAGACTATGACCTGGGTAAAGAGACTGGCACGGATGGATTCCAGCTTCTGCGTGCTGGCCATGCGCTTGCGAAAACACCAACGGTGGTCAGGTCAGCCCTTGGTAGTATCAAGCTCAGGGCGCCGGATGATTCAAACGATATCATACAGCAGTACAAGATAATCGAACACAAAGAACACTCTCTCGGCACTTTTGCCGACCCAGGACAAGGCCGAGACACGCTATACCAGGTCAATGAGAGCGGAATAGAAAGTCCTGTGATACGAGGCCGAAGGCCGGATTCGAAGCGCATTCGTGTGTGGTACGGGTCAATAGGTTCAGGCGACAAATTGATGAAGAACGCGCAGAAGCGGAACGAGTTGAGAGACAAATATAATGTCATCGGCCTCGAGATGGAGGCGGCTGGGACGATGGATCAAATTCCAGTCGGTGTCATCAGAGGGGTTTGTGACTATGGAGACGAACATAAGAATGATGAGTGGCAGCCGTATGCCGCCGCAATGGCTGCTGCGTACGCAAGAGTAGTCCTGGCAGAGATACGACCAAAAAATAGTGAGTACATCAACCACTGTCTTACATTCAGTTAACCTAACTTCTTGTCGTAGTGGTTCAAATGCCCCTAGTGAACCTTTCGCCGAAACGCAAACCCGATCAGGAAGACTCTGCCTCTGAACATGAACATAGGAAACGCCAATGTTACACCAAAGGGAAAGAATATTCTGTTGTAGAAATGATGGACACCGAAGTGAAAAAGTCATTAATAGAACAGCTCTATCTTGACAAGATCGACGAGCGCCTAATAACTCTAACCGCAGCTCAAGGAAAAACCTGTCGCTGGTTTCTCGACAAGGACGAATATATATCCTGGAACGACGTATCACAACAGCCAGATCATGGCGGCTTTCTCTGGGTCAAAGGTCATCCTGGCACCGGGAAATCAACTCTCATGAAGTTTCTTTTCGAAAGGGTTAAGATCAATGCAAAGGGGGATTCGTTACAGATTATACTGTCATTCTTCTTCCTCGCGCGAGGTACGTCAGAAGAGAAGTCAACGATGGGGCTTTATCGTTCACTTCTTCACCAGCTTTTTGAGAAGGTCCCAGACACACAAAACGGTTTAGAGTGGATGACGACGGATGGTGCCAAAGTTATACAACGAATGGATGGAACGAGAAAGCATTAAAGCAGACACTTGCACATGCCGTACGAAAACTCGGTAACCGGTCGTTAACAATATTTGTCGATGCACTAGACGAATGCAATAATAATCGGGTTGCAGACATGGTGTGTTTCTTCGAAGAGTTATGTGAGACTGCACAAGAATCTCAAGTCCGGTTGCAGGTGTGCTTTTCAAGTCGACATTATCCGATGATCACAATAGCAAAGGGCAATGAAGTCGTCCTTGAAGCTGAACGTGGTCATATAGAGGATATTGAGTATTACATAAAATCCAAGCTCAGGCTAGGAAAATCGGCCCAAGCTCTCTCACTACGATCTGAGATTCTCAATAGGTCTTCCAATATTTTTCTCTGGGTCGTGTTGGTTCTTGATATTCTCAACCGGGAATATCCCAATAGCTCTATTTCCGTAAAAAAGATGCGTGATCGCTTGAAAGAAATTCCACCAGAATTAAACGACTTGTTTCAGATGATTCTCACGAGAGACGGCGAGAGCCTCGATAGGTTACACATTTGTCTCACCTGGATTCTCTTCGCAAACCGTCCACTGAAGCCACAAGAGCTCTATTTTGCGGTCCAACTTAGTTATGATGAAGAGTGCTCAGGCTATTGGGACGAAAATGACATCGAACTCGAAGAGATGAAGACTTTTGTGAGAAGTTCTTCTAAAGGCTTAGCTGAAGTCACACGAAATAAGGCTTCGGAAGTCCAATTCATCCATGAGTCTGTTAGGGACTTCTTGCTGAGTAAATACGAATCTCAATGGTCCGAAGCCCCTGGTAGTTTCATGGGCAACGGCCATAATCTTCTAAGGGATTGTTGCTTAGCTCAGTTGAACAACTTAGCCCTTCAAGATGCCGGTATAGCAGATCCACTGCCACCGGCATTCGAGACAGCAGAACTGCGACAGACAATACGTTCAAATTACCCATTCCTTGAATATTCAATACTTAACTCTTTTCAACATGCCGACAGTGCCCAACAAAACGGCATAGACCAAGAGCATTTCTTCATCGATTTCCCTCTTAAGAAGTGGATACTTCTACATAACACTCTTGAGCAACACCAAATTCGGCGATATACGAATACGATCAGTCTACTTTACATCCTTGCGGAAAGGAATCTAGTCAGCCTGATTGCCGTTCATCCTGAAGGGTTTTCTTTTTTTGATACAGAGTTTGAGATTGAGCGCTATGGCACTCCAATATTTGCGGCACTTGCCACTAACAATCGTGAAGCTGTCAATGTGTTCTTGGGAATGTTGGCAGCAATTTTACCTCCAGAATCCCCCTTTCACGAACTCTGTGAACTCCATCGTCGAAATACAACGAGCTCAAGGATATTCAGACGTGATTTCGGATATAAAAGACAGACAGGCATCCTCCATTGTCTCCGAATAGAAGGTGATGAAACCTTAATCTTGGCGTTTCTTTTATGGTTAGGGTTAAGCGCCAGTTCTCGTCGTGTGCTCGGCCGGGCGTTCGTACCAGGAGCTTTTGAGCATAAATGTGAGAGAATTTGGGGTCTTGAATTAAATGGCAGGGATTTGCAGGGTCATACGCCGCTGGCATGGGCTGCTGAGAGTGGTTACGAAAGTGTTGTTCAACTACTACCTGCGCAGGATGGCGTTGAGCTAGACAGCAAGTCTTGTACTCGCTGGACACCATTGTTTTCGGCTGCTGTAAATGGTCATGAAGCCGTGGTTCAGATGCTTCTTAAAAAAGGCGCCGATCCCGATTGCAAGAGTACGAACAAGGAGACACCGCTATTATATGCTTCTCAGAATGGCCATGAAGCTATTGTTCAGCCACTGCTTACTAGAGGAGCCGACCTAGGTTGGAAAGATGATTGGGGCTATACACCGCTGTCACGGGCTGCTGAGAATGGTCACGAAGCCGTCGTTCAGCTGCTACTTGCAAAAGGTGCTGATCCAAACTGCAAGGAGAATTACGGCCGGACGCCACTGTCATTGGCTGCTGCGAATGGCCATGAAGCTGTTGTTCAGCTGCTGCTTACAAAAGGCGCTGATCCAGATTGCAAGGATAATAATGGCCAGACACCACTATCTCACGCTGCTGGGAGTGATCATACAGCTAACTATTGTTCAGCTGCTGTTTGGGCGAACGGGATTAACCCAGATTGCGAAAATGAAGATAACGAGACTGCTGCCACGGACTAATATAAACGGCCATAAAGTTGTCGCCCAACAGCTTGCTGCTCAAGATAGTATCAACCTCCATAAATCGTCATGATGATTATAATAGGGCGCCGCTATTATACGCTGACGAGATTGGTTATAAAAGTATTATTCAGTTGTTGGCTCTTCAAGACAGTGTTGTAGTAAACTGTAGGGATGGGATATATCTTCTTTCTCGTAGTCTTGCTGGCTATAACATACTTAGAAAAGCATCCTTTTAGGGGCACAATTAGCACCCACCAAGTCGAGTTTTGGAATGTTATCAGCATTTGAAACAGACTGTTATGATTAATGTCATTAAAGCATCTATTGATAACTCATGTACTCAAAATACAGCATGATATACAACTAATAGCTCGAAGTTCTTTCATTCTTCTATATATCAAATTGACAACCATAGAAATATCTAGCGGATAGTTGGATCAGTAACGGGCAATGTGATAGTCACTTAACTATTGGATGTGGTAGATGAATCCAGTCTGATTGCTATGTTAACAACTAGCGATCTAGTTATCTAAATGAGCGAAAGCACGTAAACTTGTATATCCAGTCGTATACCATAGATGAGCTGGCTTTCCCAGCTTTCTTTGAATCATTTGAAATACTAGCTTTCCTAGCTTTCCCGGTCAAATTGAGCGACAGTCCTGATTAACCTATCGAACCTATTAAAGCACGACTTGTCACAATGAATAAGTATACTCTCCAACTACTTAACTTTAAAGAATACGGTAAAATCAAAGGGCCCAGGACTCAGGCGATCTCCCTGAAATGCCAGAGGCCCACAGCTTCCGCTTCCTAGACCATGGTGAGCAAAATCTAAGTTCAACACTGCCTCGTCCAACTCTGTCAGCTCATGGGGATGAGTTGACTTGTCTAAATCATCCGTAGAGTATTTTCTGAGTGAGAAGTTCAGTGGCACATCCATACGAGCCTCTAGAATAGCGTCATTTGCTTCGACCCGAACCCAACGCACGTCACTCCTATTTCCATTTTCTTGGGGCCATTCATAATTGGTCTGAAGATCGTCAATTGAGGCCTCCCACCTACCAAATCTGGCGGCTTGTTTCTTGTCTCTGTAGGATTCTCCAGGGCCCCGACCATACCATGTTGCCCTGTTAAATTCCTTTGGCAACGACATAGTGAGACCAACACGTGGGATGTGACGAGGAACAGTCCCAGAGAAGCTTCCCTTTGCGCGAATGGACATATTGCCTATACCAAGCGTGTAAATAAGTTCGGCATTGCATGCCCACTCTAAGACCGGGGGAGCGACCCTGACAGTCGCCTTGACAGTCATGGTACCGTCTCCGTTCACGGACCAAGTGAACCCGCGTACATGCATTTTGGTCTCGGCGAGCCTAAACTTCAACCATTCTTTGCCGTCCCCACCAAAACCAAGGTCATTCTGCGTAAGGGCGCGGTATAAGCCCAGTTCTGGCCCTCTGGCGAGAATAACGCCCTTTTTATTGGCCCAGGTAAAGTTTCCATCGACAAGATTGAAAGTGAATATCTCATTGCAGCTTGGCCACGTCAATACTAGACGCCCTGGTTGTTCATATATTGAAGGCCCATTGATGTCACCGGCAACAACCGATGGTAGCTCAAATCTATGGTTCTCCAACAGGGGAATTTGAGTCCAGGCAATTTCGTGACTTTGAGGTGCCCAAGCACTTTCGTTTCTCAGATAGAGATGGATCGAGAGCCAAGTGTCTCCATGTAATTCACCGCCCCAGTCGGGAAGGTCAATAACGGCTTCTGCCCCCGGGGTAATCTGTGGTAGCTCGAACTTTGTGGGATTGGTGTTGCCCAACTCTTGAACCAAATGCCAAGTCGCAAAAAGATGGCTCAGGTCGCTAAAGTCGTAGTGGTTATGAATATGCAGCTTACCGCATCCAAGCCGGATGGATACCGGCTGGATACACTTTTTGTATTCAAGTAGCCCGGGTGTAGGAGAATGGTCAGAGAAGACTAGGCCATCCATAACGAAGTCACGATCGTTGGGGGTATCCCCAAAGTCGCCACCGTACGCAAAGTACGACAATTTGCCTTCTCGTTTGAGGAGCCCATGGTTACACCATTCCCAGACGTAGCCACCTTGGAGGAGCGGCTCAGACCGATACAACTCAATGTAGGTAGTCAGCCCTCCCGGTCCGTTTCCCATGGCATGGCCGTATTCGCACTGTATCAATGGCCGATCTGAATGTTCGGCGATATGCTTCTTCAGTCCATCGGGCGTGGCGTACATGACGCTATAAAAGTCGGTCGATGTGCCTTTACGATCTCCCTCGTAGTGGATGAGCCGACTAGGGTCTCTCTCTTTGATCCAACGATACATGGCCACGTGGTTTCGTCCATAAAACGCCTCGTTACCAAGAGACCAAAAGATAATGCAAGTATAATTTTTGAACCGTTCCACAAGCTGAGAAGCTCTATCCATATAGGCATCGTACCAGTCGGGATTATCTGATGTCCACCTTTTCGCGCGATCGAAGGAAAGCTCCTGAAGTTCCCGGCCATCCATGAGGTGCGCGTCATTTATGGCCGTTCTTTCTACAGGATCGAAACCATGAGTTTCAAGATCCGCCTCCGCCATAATGTAGATGCCGAGCTCGTCGCAAACTTCATAGAGCCGGGGGTCATTTGGTTGGTGAGAGCACCTCAGTGAGTTGATGTTATGCTGCTTCATCATAATGATGTCTGCTCTCATATCTTCGTACGGCACGGCTCTGCCATAAAGGGAGTGATGCTCATGACGATTGACGCCATATAAAATGATAGGACTCCCGTTGACCATAAAATTGGCTCCCTTCATCTCAACCCGACGGAATCCTATTCGCTGAGCAACAGTGCAGTCTCCCACTGTCAGGAGTAGGGTATAAAGAATCGGCTTCTCGGCAGACCATAGCTGAAGAGATGCGCCTTCAACTGTGAGGGTACCCATCGCAGTCGATTTCATTTGTCCCTCCTGTAAGACATCGCCAGTAGGACTCCGTAACACGACGGTGACATCCTCACAGTCGCTTCCATGGAGGGAGACATCAACGTAGACAACACCTCTTGTCAAAGACTCATCTACCTGAGGTAGAATGGTGAAATCCGTGATAGATGGAATGGCAAACGCGACTAGGTAAACGTCTCTAAAGATCCCGGAGAGAAGCCACTGATCTTGGCGTTCAAGGTAGGATCCGTCGCAGAATTGGTATACGCGGACTGCAATTGTGTTGATTGCCCCTGTGTCCCTAAGGAATGGGGTAATGTCGAATTCACTAGCATTTCTGCTGCCTTGGCTATAGCCAATTTCATTGTCATTGACCCAGACGTGAAACGAACTATCAACGCCTTCGAAACGTAACCGGATCTGCTGCCCTTGCCAATCTTTGTTTGTGGTGAATTGGCGCCAGTAAGACCCCGTCTCATTAAGAAATGGAACATTGGGGGGGTCCACGGGGAAAGGGTAATTGACGTTGGTGTAAAGCGGCCGGCCATAACCTTGAAGCTGCCACATGCCGGGAACTGTTATACTAGCCCAGGTTATTGGGTCGAGGTTTTTCCAATCAGGGAGTTCTAATGGCGAGACATCGTGACGAAATTTCCATGTCCCATTGAGTGATTGGAATTGAGCATTCTCACGATTCAAGGAGATTGCCCCTTCCTTCGTGGTGAATGGGTAAAAGTGAGCACGCGGCGGGAGAGTATTGCGATGGAGGACATCAAGATTGTTCCAATCGGGCTGCGTTTTTGGAAAAGACATGGTGATTATATCTATTGCGACTATCCAACAGGTTTGCTGTGTTGATCATGCCAGCGAGAACTCCTTCAGTACGGAGAGGATGGCAGGATTTATAATGATTGAGAGATACTGCGGAGAGCGCAAGACGCGATGAATCATTGAGAACGGCAGCCCACTAGGTACTGTCTGCTAGCTTCTCTCCAATTATAGAACACAAGCCTCTTGTAGATAGATCCATCCAACAGCACACGACATAGCTTCAGCCCGATAGATAACTTGAGGCTGGTCATATGTCCATTTCCCAGAGGCTAATTAATACCCTGCAGTAACGACAATACCTAAACAAATACCCTAATACCCGATGCTGCTGGCTACTCTTCAATTGAGAAAACAGACCTTGTATAAAAGTTATGCTGTGCATGGCCCAGCTTCAACCGGATAGACAACTAGACGTTAGCTGTATACCTTGTCCCGGAGGATAAAAAAAGACCCCACGACGAGGAAAATACCCAAATACCCTAATACCCGACTAAGCCAACCAAAAGCGTACGCACTCACTAGCTATGACAGCCGGAGGGAAGCCCGGGCCTGACACCGAAAATAAGCAAAATGTAAAATCGGGTCAGGGGAACAATGAGCCCTCGTTGTCGTTTCCCTCCTAGCTATACTGAAGGTAAACAGAGAGGGAAGGGCAACTTCTGGAGAAGGCATTCATCCAATTCTCACTCCGTGACTAAATCAAAATTTCCTTTATTTCGGACTTAGGTAGAGCGAATGGATAGCATCTCACTATAAAGTCTAAGGGCGCATCATTCTCCTCTCAATTCACAGACTCAACTTTGTTTTGGTATAGAACCACTAGTATTATCCAAAGGGCTTTCTGCTACTCCTGATTTTCTACTCTCGTTGAATCTGCCACCATGGGGTTCATCAACATACTCCTAATACCCTTCTTGCTTATTCTAGCCCGGGACAGTATTGCCATGGGCATGACCCCAGGGGTTCCAGGATGCGATACTACCATTCAAACCTACGCTATTCCGGCGAATGTATCTATCGCGACTTCGTTCGATGTCGAAGTACGCTCGCCTGGGGGTGAATGGAAGAAGATTGACTCTTACTCTCCCACGCATAATGAAGTCAATTTCACTACTGGGAGCTCAATTCGGCACACTTCCTCCATGGTGTATTTCGACTTCAATGGAACCGTCGAGATCGAGGCCAAATACCTGAACGACGGAGTTTCTGACGCCGTCATCAGACCACAATCTCTTGATATTAACCCGACGAAGTCAGGCTCTACCGTTACTTTCATGCTCACTGAGCCTCGCGATGTAATATTGCAAGTGAACGGCAACATCTTTGATTGCCTGCACATCTTCACCAATCCGCCCGATTCGGATGCTCCGTCAGCTGACGACCCGGATGTCATATACTATGGTCCCGGCTATCACAAACTTGACTCGCCTCTTAATGTCCCATCCAATAAGACTTTGTACCTTGCCGGGGGAGCTGTGGTCACGGCTCCCGACATCACGGTGACCAACTCCAGTAACGTCGCTTTGCGTGGACGTGGGGTCCTGTACAGCGGCAAAGGAAATGCGATATCCGTTGTGCGATCCAACAATGTTGTCATCGAAGGACTCATTGGCATCAATTTCTTTCCAAGAGCTTATATGTCCAACGACGTAACATTTAGCCACTGGCGCGGCTTCAGCGCTGTGCAATATGGAGATGGGCTTGACTTGTTTTGTAGTCAGAATATCCTCATTGACTCTGTCTTCCTACGAAACTCCGACGATTGCATCGCCGTTTACAATCACAGAGATGAATGGTACGGTGATAGCAAGAACATCACGATTCAGAACTCGATCCTCTGGGCTGATGTGGCGCATCCTATCAACGTGGGGACTCATGGCAATACCGAAGATCCTAAGACCATCAACGGCTTGACGATTCGCAATATTGATATACTCGACCAAAATGAGAAACAGATGCTATACCAGGGGACAATCGCATTGAACCCGGGCGATAGTAACCTTGTTGAAAACGTTCTCATTGAGGATGTAAGAGTCGAGAATATTCGCGTAGGCCAGCTCCTCAACTTTCGTGTAATGTACAACAACAAGTACAATACTTCGCCCGGACGAGGAATCCGCAATGTTCTCATACGGAACCTCAAGTACGATGGCACAAATGCCGATACCTCCATTTTTACAGGCTACGATGCGAACCGAACAATCTCGAACGTTACGTTTGAGAATTTAGTAGTCAACGGGAAGGCAATTTATGACACAATGAAAAAACCCGGCTGGTATTTGTCTACGGACTTCATACCCCTCTATGCAAACGAACATGTCTACAACATGACTTTGAAACCTTCTGAAGGTTGAGGTACTAGATTTGGAAGTGATGTTTTTCCATAAGCCAGTTAGGGGCTGTTCAAATGGTAGGATAATGGATGGGGAGCTATGCAACATAGATAACTAAATGAATCACCAATGCTCCTGCAACACAACCTCATGCAGCCACTGCCAAACTAAGTTTCAGGTGCATCATCTAAAAAAAATCATAGAAAGGCCAGATGTTTAAGTAAGTGCAAGGCGTTTAACAAACAGACTAAGCCTGAGCTTTCATGAAGCATATATGCATGTGCAGGGCCCGTTACAGCACTTCCCACTCCCATATCCCAACCATTGGCGCCCAGCGACGAGATCAGAAACGACCCGAGACCTTAGTAAAGTAGCACAAATGGCGGCTCCTATCTTTCATGTCTGATTCTGTTCTATACTACTTCAAAAGTGTAGTCTCTGACCATGTTGCCGCTAAATACCTGCCTCAATCCACCTGGACACAAAACGTGAGCCGCATCAGCTCCCGCCATAGTGGAGCGAAGTACCACTGAGCCGATGATCTGATTCTTGCTCCATTGGAAAGACACAAGCCATCCTTGCTTTGCTCTCACCCCCTCGAGGTGGCCCCTGTCCCATTTACGGGGGCATGCTGGAAGTAAAGATATCTGGACCACATTCTCTCCATCCGTCCTATGTTCAGTCGACTGCATCAAACATTCCAAGATTCCAGCACACGATCCAAAATTTCCATCAATCTGAAAAGGAGGATGAGTATCTAGTAAGTTGGGTAGCGTGGAATTATGCAAGAGAAGATCCATGTTCTCTCCACACGCCTCTGCATCAAGCAACCGTGCATAGAAGTTTAAAAGCCACGCCCGGCTCCAGCCCGTGTGGCCACCGCCGTTAGCGAGGCGCTTTTTCACACTTTTTGGGCCGCAGCAGCGAGTTCTGGACTTTGCGTAGGGTGTATCAGATCTCCGGGGTATAAGCCAAAGAGATGTGATACATGGCGATGCCCGGGTTCAACTTCTTCGTAGTCATCAAGACCCCACTCCTGAATTAATCCCTCTTGATTAAGTGTAAGAGGTTGAATTCTAGTCAACGCTGCCTCAACAGGCCCCTTGAGAGAGTGGTTTACGTCTGACAGTCGCCCTGAACTCCAAATATACTGCGTTAAAGCTAGCTTGATAAGAGTCATATCTATGGTAGATCCTTCGCAGAATATGCCCTCATTTCCCGACTTCGAGACAAAAGTATTCTCTGGAGAGAGTGAGGGGTTTGTGACTAGATATGAACCGCATTTGGAGGGTATCATAAAGTCGAGAACAAACTGCACAGCACCCTCGTGAATGCGGAATAAGCGATTGTGTAGCGCCTTGTCATATTGATACTTGAGAGCATCCATTAGCGTTGTCGATAACCAGAGACCTCCAAGGGGCCAGATAGTGGCTGACATGCAACGATCTTGAGGGTTCGTATCGGCCCAAATGTCGGTGTTGTGATGTGCACACCAACCTCGGCAGCCATACATGACCTTGGCCGTTTTGCGACCTCGGACTGACATTCGTTCCAAAAGATTCAACAGTGGAATCGAGCAATCATCGATTGGACTACACGGGCCAACAGGCCAGTAGTTCATCTGCGTGTTGATGTTGATAGTATATTTTGATCCCCACGGCGGGGCAAAGCTCGGGTTCCAGATGCCTTGAAGCGTTGCTGGTAGTGCTTTGTAGCCCTTCCGACTACATGAAATAAGCAGGTATCGGCCATAGTTGTGATATAAGGCGACAAGGCCAGGGTCCCTACAGCTTCGAAGGCGCTGGTCTGTTGGCAAGTCACAAGCGTCTGGCCACATTCTCAGGCTCATCCGGTTGAAAAGCTTAGAATAATCTGTCCTATGCCTCTCCACTACTTCATCCCACGGCCGCGCCAGGGCCTGATCGATCTGAGTCAGGGCGACGACTTCGGGGTCAGCATGACGGAATGTTGTCTGTGCAGCGATGCCGACTCTACAGGAGGCAGAGTCAATGACAAGGCAGTTTCCGATGGCCTCAATGGTGCCGCCATCGTCGCAGACAACTCCAAGAACAGAACACAATCGATTGCTATTCATTCCTCCCGGAGTTGCGTGAACCACAATGTGGGAACCAGAAACTGTGATGGTGTCGGCATAGACGTTCGTTTCGGTGTCGTTATCGCTCAGCCGGTCCAGGCGCACGATGAAACGAGTACTTCTTGAAGCAGTGAATCGTAAAAGTAATGCATTGTCAGGGTATGAGGCGATAACATCTCGATGATAAGAGATGCCATCGACCGTATACTGAACAGAAACCTGCGAAGTAGCCAAATCGAGGCAACGCCGATAATCAGCGATATTCTTGTGGTTGAATTCCAGTGTTGCGGTGCCCATCGGCTCGTAGTGACGCATGCTTGCGGGACTTGCAAAAAAGCATTCCTTGACTAAAGCCTCAGCCTCCGAGTGCTTCTCTTCTCGAACCAATTGTCGAAGTTTGGGCAGCATACGATAAGCATCCGGCGGTGTCCTCTCTTGAGGGCCTCCATACCACACCGAGTTTTCGTTGAGCTGCATCAGCTCTACCTCAGTCCTCCCATATACAACAGCACCTAGACGGCCGTTGCCAATGGGTAGGGCTTCTGACCATTGTGTGGCTGGAGCTGAGTAATGGATCTGAAGATGCCGCGATGGACTCGTGTCGCTATTCATCTTGGCTGGTACTAGTGCCCGGCGGTAAAGAAGAACTGCTCAGTGCGCTCAGTGTTGGTTTTTCTTCCGAGTTGAAGTGATTGGTGAGATTGGGACGTAAATCTGCCGTGAGAAACGCTTTTCAAAAGAGTCCCTGATATATGTGAGTTACTTATGCCCTAAAACTGAGCAGATACTTGGGTCTCATCTGTAGATCCTTCAGAATTGTGATTTGTCAGTCGGCCGAACGTTCGGATTGCACCAACAGTATTCTGAGCCGACATAACATGCGTTGAAGGCAGGCTATGCTTCTAGTATGGCCGGATTATTACCCGAACGTTCAACCTCGCCGCCTAGTCAGTGCAATCCATTGACTCACCAACTGCGGGGATTTTGTTATCTTTAGTCAACCTGGAACTAGATAGTTCATTCAAAGTGATGCTGCACTTCATGTGATTTTGTAAACGCGTGAGGTAAATTCGTGAACTTAAGTATTTAAGCCGACGGAAAATAGAGACGGACATCCTGTTACTTGATTCGTTTTAAGTAAGAGAAATTCATATTGCGAATGGGATACTTCCCTCCCTGTCAGTCTCTAGTGCTCTTCCAAAATTGTGTCAGGGCTGTGTGTGATATGTTGTCAGGCAATACGAGTATATGAGCCCAGCAGGTTCATTATATGTGCTACTTGGGAGAACAGCCTGCTACCAGAAGGGTATACTGTGACTTTTTGCAGCATCTAAAGCTTGTTCATTACCATAGCATCACGTTGTATTGAACAGGTATACTGAAAGACCTAGCTATAGCCGGACCCGGCTTGATTTGATAAAGGTTAGAACCGACACCCAAGTCTTAATAATTAACTGACTCAAGCTGCTGGCGTGATCAGAGCCTGGTTTGACCAACGATCTAATAGTGGTGGGCTAAATGAGATGAGCCTGAGCCACCGCGATGAGCTTTCAGGGGAAGTCTCACATGAAGAACATGAAATGCATACTGCAACTTGTCAACTGCATTTCGATCCGGTCTTTGAAGTGGGACTCTTCTCATCTAATTTGTTTTGGCATATAGCCCTTAGCGAGCAAGAGGTAGGTTGTTATTTGTGAATTACCATCGGAGTTGCGAACTTGCGATGCATAGATTAAGTGGCATTGCTACATCAAGATATATATTTGTCTAACAAGGTGCCTTATTCCATTGTTTTGAAGTAATAAGGCAACGCTCTGGGACTGGCAGACATCATTCAGACGTTAATCTACCTCATTTTCTTACCGCCCTTCTACCCCAGCTACCTGCGGCCGCAACGACAACACAAAGTCGACAAACTGTTGGCGCCTAACTGGCCGTATTCATAAACCGATTCATCCTGTCGTCTCTCTCCTTTTCAACAGCTTTGCCTTCTGGAGCCGCTTGGACATCTTAACTGGATGGACCCCGGGCGTCTCAAAAACGTAATCGATCTCCTCCAAAGAGAGAAAACGGAACTCTGGGAAAAACTGCCAAGTGAGATAAAGGAAAGCCGAGTCAATGGCAATGAACATGAAATAAGTCTGAGATACATATGTAAGCAATCGGGTCATCATAGCTAAAGCAAAAGTCTGTAAATGCTGACCTTCCACCCGATTTTTGCGAGCAGTTCGCCTACACCATATGTCATGGCAAAGCCCAAGCAATTCTGGAAAAATGAATACAGCCCCATGCCCTTGGCACGCTGGCTATAGTGGAGAACCTCCGTCGGGTAAACGTTGTGAAGGGTTGACGCTGCAAGCAATTAGGTCGCGTGTAATATAAACCCGATCAAGGATCAACTTACAGAGAAGGCCATTGGAAATCTGGAACAAGTAAATAGCCACTATGGTCAGAATGCCCATGGCATCCTTGGCGATGCCGTTGTCAAAGAGTCCACCGGTGACAGACATGAGAGACAGAAAAAAGATGAAGACGACCAATGTACTTGCGAGGAGGAATCGCCGAGTGACGCGATCGATGATCAGGGCTCCCGCAAGAGTGGATAGATATGAGGCAACTGTCATACCTAGGTTGATAGCTAACTGTTGTTGACTGTTTGTAATCCCAACAAGGGTCAGAATCCCAGGTAGATAATAGCCCAACATTCCTAGATTCAGTGTGTCAGGCAATCTCAATGATGAGTTTGTATAATGATATCCTAGCTTACCAGTTCCATTGCATTGCTGGATAAAGGCAAACATGAAGATGAGCAGAAGGCGATACCTAGCACTCTTCATTTTCCAAAGTGTACTAAAGTCCCATGGTTTTGAGTCAACAGACTCAATAGAGCGCTGGATCTGCTCGACCTCCGCGGTGACGATGGGATCTTCGATGTTCTCACTACTTGTATGGTACAGAGCAATAACTTTCTTGGCGTTATTAATCTGTCCTTTGTAAACCAAGTATCTTGGTGATTCCGGGGTTAGGGGATAGACTAAGAGAGCCACGGTTAAAGGCGGAATGATCTGAACTATCATGGGCATCCGCCAGCTCCAGTCTCCCGTCATGTAAGAGCCTCCTAGAATCACGCAGGCGATGGCAATAGCACCGATGCTATAGCACGAACAGAACATCCCCACTGCCATGCCGCGATGAGAGGCGGGTGCAATCTCACTTATGTACATTGGGCCGACAGTTGCGCTTAGAGAGCAGCCCGCTCCTCCAATGACGCGGCCCAGGATCATACTGATATTGTTTGGTGCAGCTGCTTGTATCACACAGCCGATGACAATGATGGAGTTGCCGAGACAAGTAACACCGCGGCGACCGATGAGATCAGAAATCCACTGGAAGATACTCGCCACTGCGTTTCCGATAGACATGCCTGCTATGATGATAGCAATTCCTGAGCCACTGGTACCGACGTTGAAGTACTCTCGAAGGGCGGGGAGCGAGGCCATGCTTCCGATAATGGAGCCATCCATAGCAAACGCGGCAACGCCTAGAAGCCGTTTAGTTATATGAGGAACATATGTTCGCGACCAAGGCCGCTTAGGTTAATAAACGTACTAAGACCCTGGAGTAAAATAACGACCGCCAGGCGCCAGATGGCCTTGGTCCTCCAAGAAAAGGAGTGGCTAGCTAGAGCACTGAGATCGATACGGTTGAGCTCATACTCAGCCGCCTCAATATGGTACACCTCAGTCTTCTCGTGTGGTATATCGGAGCCCAGAATGGTCTCCTGAGCGACGGGCTTGGGCTCCATTGTGAGTATCGGCAAAATGAACAAATGTTGGGGCTCTTGGAAGTGGATTACCTCTGAGTCCGTTAGATTATCAGGCTCTAGTCGGATCAATCATCCTAACGCTGTGGTCATGATAGACTTTATAAACCATAACCATCTAATACTAGAATTAGACGGGCAGATGGAAACTTGCATTCCCAAGTCTACCTCAATCGTTTCAATTATCCGATTATGTGAATATAATCCCAAGACCCGACGGAACATACAAAGTAAATAACCACAGGCATTTAAAGAAAATTACCCAACCCGTCAATATCAACTCCGGCCCGAGACCTGACCCGACCTCCGGTATAATGCTTTTTCACCGGCTGGGGTTCGGAATATTCTCCAGACTATTGCGGGGTGAAATAAAGTTATGGGGTTTAAATAAGATTTAGCGGGGTAATTTGGCGATCAAGCATGCTGGTAGGATATTACTGCTACTAGATAGAGGCTAGACCTGCGTGCAAAGAAGGTAATTCATTGGGCACATGTGGTGTACGAGTAAGTTATGGATCAGGGCAAAGGCGGTAGTCCACAGAGATACCTTCTAAAAGGTCCCATATAGGTAATTGTTAGGGGTTTGAACCAATTGGTTTGTGCTAGGTGAATGTAGTTGTTCTATTATATTCATTGCTACAAATGCAATACATAGCCCGATATATTCGCCTAGTAGGATAAGGGTGTAACAGGGCTTTGGCAATGGTACAGTTCGGTTAGCAAGTTCTAATAGTTTACACATTAAGCATAACAGATAGAGGTAGTTATGATTATAATAAAGTGCAATACTAGCAGATGCAGCTGGCCAATGAGAAATAAATATGGCTAAAATAGAGCTAATAGACTGAAGGCAAACAACAAAGAAGCTCAGCCAATACTTGAGACAAAGGTATTTGAATTGGCCATGATACCATGTCTTCTCCTGCTAGGTTCTGATGTCATCATTTCCACGGCCAGTCTTCCTTACGCATCCAATCGGTACAGCACGGTTCCAAACCCCAGCTGGTCATATCCACCACTAGTAGAACCATAGTCGCCGCCTCCGCCCTCTGCGCCGCCCCCATTAGAAACCACCAAATCGCGGTATGCCTTGGTCCACGAAGCATTGAGACCTTTAAGCACTCCATAATGCGCATAGAGGAGCTCGCCCATGGGTCGGATAGTGCCACGGCTGCCAGTGCTGATCACCGCCTGTGTTACATCTGAGTTGGTATAACTAGTGTACGGGACATCATGACCAAGATTGTATTTGGCCATGTATTCCGAGCTGAAGGATGATAAGTCGATTACTGGATATATTGGTGTGGGTGTGAAGACTTACCCGGCAAGTATTTTGTTGCTGAGATATCCAAACAAGTCCTGTCCTTGGTTATAGCTCTGCTGCGCCAATATACCGACCAGCGCGAAGTCAAGTGTCGCATGACCTTGATCTCTTCCAGCTTCTTGTCCCTGGCCCAAGCTCTTTGAAGATCCTGCTTCGGTATACAACTTCCAGATAAACTTGTCAATGGCGCCATTTCCGCTACCACTCTTAAAATACGTAATAGCCTCGTTCACCATGCTCGAATCATCCGCTAAGACACCGATAGCATGCATAGACGCGAGATTGCACAGATCCCACTATCCCTTCTCATAAGTACAGAACTGTTTGGGAATTTTGTGATGTACTTGACTTACGTTGGCCCAGTAGTGGTCAATCTTGGCACCATTATGGTTTGTCAAAAATGAGTGGTTCATAGGGTAGAAAATTGTTCTCAGCATGTTGACCAGGTTACTCAGCCCTTTCCAGCCGCTATAACCACGAAGAATTTCTCCAGCATTAGCAAGCTGATACCCGTATAGACCAGATGCCAGAAACTTGTCGCTGCTACCCCAGATTTGTGTAAGCGTACTGCTCCAAGCGTCGAGAATCTTGCCCGCATTGTCCGCATATTTGGTGTCTCCAGTGACTTTCCAGTATATAGCGTTCACGTATGCAGCAGAGGCGTCCCTGTAAAGGTTCGGATAGTTCTCAGTACAATCTGGTGAGCTTCCCCGACAGAGCGTTGCTACCGGCCTAGGGGTATAGGAAGTGCTAGCATGAGCAGCGAGTTTGTTCCATCCCGTGATCCAAGGAGTTTGTTTGCTGTTGACATGCGATTTGATACGAGTGAAATCCGCTTCAGTATGCAAAAGGCCTGGGTGTATAAAAGCGGCACGTACAGAAGGGCTCTGCAAGACAGCCAAAAGACCAAGTAAAGATACCAACTTCATATTAGTTGATGATTATCGCTTCCAATGTAAATGGTTAGACAAAGATGCTTGTATTAGTATTCCTCATAATAGAACCAGTTCTACATGATATTTTATATTTTATACGTTCCTTAGTCCATGAAGTATTCGGGAAAGCCCGCGGCCCGGCGATATTCAAAATTTGATAACTCAACTTTGATATGACTCATATATCTCTAAAGTTTACTTACGGAATAAGTCTCGGGGGCGGTAAGATAGATGCAAATAAAGCAAGCTGTTGGGGTATCAATTAGACGGACGTTGCGCCGTGTGGTAACGTGTGGTACAGTGAATACACACAGTGTGTCACACTATCCACCTCTGTGTCGGCACTGTAGTATGCTTTTAGTAAGCAGAATCAAGCTTCTTGCACATCTCTCCATGCTTTACCACATGTGCTGAGTTTCTATTGATAATATGCTATAATAAATATATTAAGGAGGTATAATAGTAACTATCTAGTTATAAATATACTTAATATAGAAATGAAAATCTCAATTTAATTACAAGTTTTTATTTCTTGAAAGCTTGTATATACTAGGTACCTATAGGTTAGTATAATGCTACATTATTGAGATGTGAGTTATAATTATAAATTATACTAGTAAATAAGTTCAAGTACACTGAGTAAATAAATATTTACAAATATATACCTTATGTGAAGTATTAAATAAATTTGATTATAGTAATACTAAACTTCATGTTTTTTTTTGATTGGCGCCGTGTGTGTAGTTTCTGTTTTCTCCTTTGGTCGTGAGGCATCAGTATTACTTTGTCAGACTCTCCATATGATCTTATTCCTACGTGTTTAGTATCAACCGCACATACTAACTCGCAGGTGCTGTGAGCCATACGCACCATGGGTAACTGTTTTTCAACATCTCAGAGGTGCTGTGGTCTTTGCTATTTTGTTCTCGATGAAGAATCGGCACTTTTGAAAGAACCATTTGTGCAAAGACTTTACACTTGGCGCGAGTCATCCCATATTCACGATGAAGAACGAACAGAATCTCTGGACGAGCAATTGCCGTTTCCACTTCCTGAAGCCTGGCATGAGTTTCTTAGAATCGAGATTCGGACAAAACTTGAGATATTCCACGCATCTCGCGAGCGGGGTTGTCGCGGCTGCGATGCTCTTGTAAAGGCTATGGAGTCAGCGTGCCAAGACGACGGTGTGGTTTTGGACGGTAAATCATGGGCGGAAGATGTGCGAGTAACTTGGACAATGCCTTCAAGACAGGATAAAGGTTTAAGTAATCTCAAGCTAGAGGTGACTGTGAATGTTGGCAATCGAGAGGCTCATAGCAGCGGCACAGAGGATTACCGTCTTTGGACGATCCTAATCGACGTTGACAGAATGGATGGGCATGAGAAGGAACAAGGTGGTAAGCAGCATAATGAAGACTAAGCCCCATGACTGAAGATTTTTAACAATGCACAGATCATGTATTTGCATATAAATCTTCAGTCTTGTTTAACAACACTGGAGCAGAAACATCTTTGAGCAGAATCAGCAATTGGCTAAATGAGTGCAGCTCATTGCATGACTCTTGCACATCTGCTTCGGTCGCACAACTGCCCAAACGAGTACTAGAAATGACGCCGGATTCGCAAAATAACATCAATGTTCGGTTGGTTGAAGATTTAGGTGGGCATGAGAAATACGTATGTCTTAGCCATCGATGGGGAGCATCAACACATTTATGTCAGACGACGATTGAGAGCCTGTCTGCGCACCTCGACTCAATACCCTGGAATCGCTTACCCAAGACTTTCCAAGATGCCGCCAAAGTTGCCGTTTGGCTTGGGATCAAATACTTATGGATCGATTCGCTATGTATCATTCAAGACAGCAGCGACGATTGGAAGGATCAGGCAGCCCAAATGTGTGAGATTTACTCTGGCGCGTACGTTACCCTCGCAGCGGCATGGTCTGCTGATAGCGATGTCGGTCTGTTTCGTGAAAGCGCGTCTTTCAAAGTCCAACCTGCAACGCATCTCGGGCCTCAAGCTGCATCTTATCTTATTCGCAGAGTCCCAGAACACACGACTTGGGATGTTGCTGGCGTGCTACAGATGACACCAGAGCTGCCTCTTCTCAGCAGAGCGTGGGTCTACCAAGAGCGTCTTTTGTCCCCAAGAATCGTCTATTTTACAAGATATGAAGTCGCATTTGAATGCGCGGGCGGCAAGAGGGACAAAATCTGCGAGTGCGAACATATTCCAGGAGGACTATGGGGAGGCGGCAGTAATGGCGCAGGTGGTGGAAGCGGCGAACATACCAATGATCGCAAGGTGTACCACTTTGAGGGCCTCCGCGCATCGAATCTCGCCGAAATCAGGAAGTACTGGCACCAGATTGTGGCAGAATATTCTGGACTGCGCATCTCGTTTACATCAGATCGTCTACCTGCTCTGTCTGGTGTCGCGCGGCAGTACGGAACAGCTCACTCAGCCGATCTTGGCCGATATGTCGCAGGAATGTGGGAAAACTGTTTTCCTTCTGAGCTACTATGGTACTGTGCATCTCGGAATATTCACGATCGCCCGGATTCTTATTGCGGCCCAACGTGGTCTTGGATTTCTACTGGAAACATTGCGAGTTACGCGACGGGCTGCCCCAGAACGTATCCGGACGATCTGGAGATTCTCAATATCAACTTTAATCTCGATGGCCTAGATAAATATGCGAGCATTTCCGAGGCTACCATGGAACTTAGAGGCCATCTTGCTCCTGGAACGTTAGTCGAGGTGCATAACGCTCATTCAAACACAACGAGTATACACTTCAAAGGCGTGAGTGGGAACTCTCTGACCTTCCATTACGATTATCCTCTGGATCAACCAGGTCCTCGACATATTCCATTCGGAAGTCAGATATACTGTATGAAAACAGGCTTTGTATGGGGAGGGAATCACATTTGCATGCTGTTACTCCCAGTGAATATCGGTGAGAATGTCTATGAGAGGATCGGTCTCGCGACGAATGTGAGTAGATCCGATCTTGATAGCTGGTTCATTGACTTTGGAAATAAGCAAACAGTCAAGCTTTTGTGAATTGAGACATTATTGTTACAAAGGCACTATTAGATAGAACGCGGCATCGTATATCCGTAAAATGCAACGGGATACGAGGTTGGTGGGTTGGCGGAAAATGCATTTTCCGTCCTTGGACTTTGCCATAAATCGAAGAGCTCATTCAACATATGCTAGGTATCTGTATCTTTTGAAGAAATTGACCGAGTATGGTCGTGGAATGTCTGATGGTATCCCTACATGTGTGTCTGTGCAACCAATATTTTCCCTTTCATACGGAGTATATATGCTTCATTTAGATGTGCTGATCATACTCCACGTCATCTCTACCCATACGTCAATCCAAATGAAAAATAAGTCTCTGCGTCAAATGTCTCTATCATTCTTCTTATATAATAAAGGCATCTAGTTCTCCAGTATAGGTATTCGTATATCTACCTATGCCATCGTCGAAGTATATTTGATGTTGAATGATTGCGTCTGTTTGGTGACATAGTCATCAGGATTACTTGCATCTCCAAAAATCTTCAACGCCCGTAGTAGTACGGCATAATTCCCTTCTGGCAAGATTGTGCCCTCTTGTGTTATGCCATTGAACGCGACTTGATGAATATTCGTATTCAGCCATTGCACGGGATACCCAAAAAGGCTACCGGCTACATCGACTCCCAGAACTTTCGTGATTTTGGCTGGTGTACCGCCAAGAGGAATGATGTCTGCTCTCATCAGTGGAATACCAGAATCAGCCTCAATCCCCAGCGCAGGATAGTCGACAGATGACGATGATGATGCGGAGGGCTGACTACCTAGTGTAGGATAAGGTATCGTCCATGTGTCGTTGTCAGGGGCCGCCTGGGGGAAGCGACCCGAAGTATGGTAAATGAAGCTATAGTAAGGATCTATGCTCTGAGTATTTGCAAGGCTTCCAGCCACTCCGAGATATGGAATGACTAGATGTTCGCCAGTAGAACCATTCAAGGTAATGTATCCGCCATAGATGGGGAGGTTTGCTGCAGTGAGCCCTTGGGGAAGAGTTACTTTGACTGTCACCTTGGCTGATCCACCTGCTGGAACTGTGATCGTGGCCTCGGAGAAAGCAAGAGTCGCTGCGATATCGCTTGAGTTTGAAGATTGTGACGGGTTGGACTGCCCAATTTTGTAAGTATCCCTAGATCTAGAGGGCGTGTGACTGATTGAGTATATAACTGCTCGGCTGGCTCCATTCTTGATTGTAAAATCCGTACTGTTGACAAAGTGATCTGTGTCGTTGAAAGAGAAGCTTGATACGCTCAAAGAGGTGATTGCATGAACTGCATCATAGGCTTGCGCCAAACCGGCACCTTGTTGCGCTACAGGCGCAAGTCCATCATAAAATATCCCCAGATACGAGTCATAATACTTCGTCTGCTTTGCTGTAGATGAGACCAAGCTCATGAGAGTCTTGGGATCTTTGATGGAGCGGGCTTGCATAATCAAGGCATAAATTGAAGCCATGATAGGTGCTGCCATGGAGGTGCCAGAGTCGACGTAATATCCTCCCTGGTTCAACGGATAAGTGGAAAGAATCGAGCCTCCCGGTGTCGAGATGTGAGGATCCAGATCTGCCTCCCATGTAGGACCCCAGCTTGAGTAGTCATCTACGTAGCCGCCGTTGGAGTCGTTTGGATAATATCCCGCGGCAAGGCTGGCAGACTGAGGCTCAACCAGTGTCGCATACAGTTCTGTGCCGTTTCCCAGGAGATCTCGCCATTCCGTAGCTTGCTGCAGGGCAACCATGCCGGCACCGAGAGTACTAGAAGAGGTACTGACGCTGTATATGCTGTGAATAGAGTGAAAACGGGTGGTTAGCATGCTATCAAAAAAAGGTTGACAAACATATTTCGTACTTGTCTAGGTCGTCATCAGAGTTATAGAACATGATATATGTTGCGTTATTCTTCGACAGGTTGTCTGCGATAGTTGAGTCCCCGCAGTCATCCAGCTCCACGAGAACGATTTTATCGCTGAGGTCTGTAGGTGCATCATCATTCAGCGGGCTGCAGGCGCTCCAGGTGCCATCTGTAGTCACATTGGGAGTCACAGCCCAAAACGGCAGAGTGATATTGGGAAACGCGGGAGTTCCAGGAATCCAGACAAAGGAGGTCAAGTTATCGGAAGAACTTGCCAAGCTGGTGAAGCCTTCGGTCCCCAGCAAGGGCGTCATAGTGTTCTCTATGGATCCCACATTCATGACTCCGCTGCCAGCTGCAGGACTAGCTGAGGTGAAAACACCAGGGCCATTGTTACCGTTTGCAATAACACAAGGCACACCGGCGTCGATGATCCGGGATACTGTGATTGCGAGCGGATCTTCTTTCCAGCCAGAGATGATTCCGACGGAAAGAGAAATAACATCCGATCCGTCCTCATATGCCTGGTTGAAACCGGCAATCAGAACGTCGTTGGAGGAACTACCCTCACAGTCCAAGGCCTTGTACATGCCGATCGTTGCGCCATACGCAGCACCAATGAAGCCCAGAGGATTCTTTTGGGCGGCAATAATCCCAGAGACGTGCGTTCCATGGCCAAGGCAATCCTTGGGGTAGGGGCCAGGAACGGGAGTGTTGGTGCCGTTGAAGGCATCCCCAATTAGGTCCATTCCATAGCTGATAATGCACCCAGGGCCGAAGCAGCCCCCTAAGACAGGATGGTTATAGTCAACTCCAGAGTCGACAATGCCGATGCGAATACCTTTGCCGGTGTACCCTTCTGCGTGTAGCTTGTCCACTTGGGTCATAACATGTGGCGCATATGAATCAGCGTCGTTTACTGCCGTTGCTCTGGACCAATGTTCTGATAGGCTGTCTAAGCTGTTGAAATGTTTGTTTCCCACTCTAGATTTGGCGCTTCCTAGGTGCTGAAGGTGACGGACGGGCCACACATTCTTTACTGAGGTAAGGGATGCGATTTTGGTGGAAGCGGAATGAGGATCTAAATCGACTGCGTCCAGTTGAAAGGAGGCTCCTTTAAACAAGGAATACGATAAGCTCATCCGCTTTGAGGCCGGTAGTCCACGAGTGTGGAGGTCGCTGAATAGCGATGCCTCATTTTCCTATATTTCGTGGCCAATTGAGTTAGGCAGATAACCAGAGGTGGTTTGTCACCCGTAACTCCCAAGATTGGACTTACATGACCGTCTTCATACTCGATGATGTAGGCGCCGGGAACATACTCCCAACTGCCTCCAGTCAGACTCTCGTCAACTGCTCCATGGGCAACAGTACCGGATCGAGCCCTGACTACAAGAAACAAACCCAAAATGGGCAACAAACGCAGATAGGCGACCATTTGATCTCCAGAAGAGGGTTTGTAGGTTTTGCTTTTGGCAAACAGCAGAAACGCAACCACTGCTCTTGCGCAAACCTATTTTTATATCCTATATCTATTCTCGATACCCCCCTGACTATTACTTGCGCCTGCCAAGTTGGGAATGTCTCATCCGATTTTCTCTCCGCATGCTGGCATGGTCAAGTTGACGAGCTTCCATTTTCGACAAAGGGCGGGCACAGATTCTGTCCTACCCTAGTTTATTCAGTAAGCAACTGTTGTTGACATTTTCAACCTCTATCGTAATGTCTCCTGAGTGAAAACCTAATACAGCAAGTTTGTAATGGCAATTTGTCGCTTGAAGTCTAATTTCCATGTACATGTAGTCTTTATGTACCAGCAGAAAATGCCTGTACGGGTGTAGGATCATGAGGCCGATAACTTAAACAAGAGTTTCTGTTGAAGATCCATGAGGGATAGCGCTAAAAGCACAACCTGCGTTATTAGCTTGTTGACATATTATTTCGTATTGCTGACTAGGACTAATGCAACAATATTTTCTCGTAGAAAGCAAAGAAAAACACGAAATACATCAGTAATCATAAAGGCAGATATGCCATTCAAGATTTTCTTTTGGAGGTGAATTCACCTCATAATGCTTCGATTCAAATGGGTACGTGACGCATCACACTGAAATACTAATAGCTAATCGTTGCCAAGGTACATATGTTCGTTGCAGGACCCAGACTTTCAGGCACGATCCAACGCAACAAAGAGCTGCCTTTTTAGGCGAATTGACCAAGGAAATGTCTCATTACTTCTGTTTTCACACGCCGTGTTGCCGTGATGAGATGTGATGTTAATAATGGAGCGGAAATGGCAAGTAGATTTGCACGGTGAAATATGGTTTGATCAGACGTTTCCAGTTTTCGTGCCAATTATGAATTGCCAATGATCAACTAAGAAATGAATAGAGTTGCGGTCGCAAGTCCTAATGTTTCTACCATTTTCTGATCCGCGGTTTGGTATATGTATCTGTAGGTCCACCTTGCGCCGCCAGCCTAGGCGCTATTCAGAGTCTGGTTATCACTAGTTCCTGATCTCCTTGGTCGTATAACGTTTATTTCTTCTCATGGGACTGTATCTAAGGTACAAACTGTGCTGTATTTATGAAGAATGATCAAGAAATGCCATATAAGTAGTTTATTGAGATTTATTGAGTATAAGGTACCTTAGGAGCTCCTGCAGTCCTGTTACAATACTTCTCGATAAAATTGAAAGAGGTTATAGAAAGAGAACAGTGAAATTCTAACAACTGTAGAGGTTGTTAACCAATAGGTTCCTGAGAAAAGATCGTTAGTCAGAAGTTTAGGGGGCAGACGCATTTGTAATGGATTATATCTATCCTCCTCAAAGGCACAACCTTTGATAGTCGACTTGAGCATCATCATCACAAATATATAAATTGTAATCGTCCGTAATATCTCCAGCACTACCCCAAGCTCAAAGGTCCATCGCCGAGTCCGCAGAATCTCCAGCCAGTCTGTCCGATCCTTTTTCCGCAATCGTTCTTCCCATATAACTCGAAGAATTTCCTCTACAGCGGCTATGTTCATCATCTTGTTGGCTTCCCTAATACTCTTGAGCCTTGCTGCACATAATGCCATCTCCACCTCGGAGTTCAATTCAGCGCCAGCCAGGAATAGAATTGGAGTCAAAGCAGAGATTACCGCACTGCTTGGAGTTATTCTAGAAAGAACGCCTAAGATCTGTGACGCCAAATGTGGTAAACAATAAGATCGACTGGGATAACGCCGATAGAGGAGGATCAATGCGGTAAGACGATGACATTCAAAAAGTGCAATCAAATCTAGACGGGTGTTGAAGTCTAAGGCCGATGCCGTTGCATGATCGTACTGCCAGTTAGTGAGATCAGTTTCGATCTTGAGAAATGCTGGCGCTTCCATATCAATGAGCTCGGAGTCTCGACTGGGCAGACGTCTCAGCTGAGTAATGGTGCTGAATAAATCTTTGGACAATCCAAGAAGACAGTCGACGCCCTGAGGTGCGCTTCCGTATTGATGAAATTCCGAAGAGGTTGTAGGATTTGTTACGACTTCCTGACGTGACAGATCTTGCGTTTGGGGTTCTGAAAGAGTCGCGGCGCAGTCGCTGAAAGGGCCACTTCTCGTTGACAAACCTGCTTGCGTCTCTGGGTCCAACACATCCTCCATGATGAGAGACATTACATCATGATATAGGAAGTGTCTATGAACAGATTCAGCCTCCCACGTGCTCCACGCTTTGGCTGCGGTTGTTGGGTAGGTTTGAAGCAATTGCCGTACACAATTGACCCGCTGCATCCATCTTATACTTCGGCCTCCTGTTTGAGATTCCAACCCAATCAATAGCAAGAGAACCACAACAACTTCGAGTTTGCATTCTTCCCATCCAGAGCTCTTGGGGCATGTCGTATGTTCTGTAACGAAATCACGCGCCAGCTGCTGGCGGCGGATGGCCACGGAATTGAGCTCCTGCATCTTTTCTGATCTATCAACGGACTTTGCGAGATGAGCTGCAGAGCAAGCAATGATTGCATCCATGACACCGCTATAATGGAATGCCATAGGAATGTACAACGATGTAAAGAAATTCGATGGCGACTGGACGAGGGTTACTTGAGGGATGAACGTATGTATATAGTAGGATAACAAATACCGCTCACGAGACGCTTCAGTAGGGCTGAGATGACGCGCAAACATAGTTTCGGCGGCCAAACTCCTCGGTATGCTTCCATTTCCATTTATAGTTTTCGATGTAGTAGGATATGCACCTGCTACTGAGCTAACATCAATGTTGTCGGTCTGTGTACAGAGTGCTTCTGAATTTGAGCGGATCGTAGTGGTCCTATTCTGGTCCTTCAGAGACTTTTCTCCGCTATTGAAATCTCTAATCTGAAGCTTCTCTGGCCATCGGCATTCTGCATTGACACGGGTACAACTGCGGCAAACAGGATGTTGGATATCGCAACGCTTCCGGCGAGCACGGCAGGTGAGACAGCCTTGACGGCTTCGCGGAGCGTAACGTCTCTGTCGTTGCCGGGGGATCGCCTCTTGCTCAGAAGTCTAAGTGTCCGACTGAAGGGCTGGAGGCGCAAAAGTGCTGGCATCATCAAGTGCTGGAACTAGGTGAGCCGCCGGGGAGGCAGTATTTTGCGGAAGTGATAGGAATGCGTCGCACTCAGAGGGGAGATCTAAGCTCCCTTCAATATCAACCAGGTCGTAAAGGTTAGGGAGATCCATGTCTGTTGATTTCGGAGGCAGTGAACATTGATTCCGTACAAGCTGGGCCCAAGACAGCTTTCCGGGCCTTCGTAGTGAAGTCAAGACGAAGCAAGCATAGGGCGTCTACGGCGTCTACGGCGTGATACAGCCAAGGGCTAGACGCCCCATACAGAGAGATGTATTCAGCCGTGGCTTACTCGTTCTTGGTCCATGACTCGCAACCGTAACAGCTGCAAAGTTGAACCCCGCGCCCCCCACAGCCACAAGCCTCTTCCTACGTCAACTCCACCAAACCGCCTTTTTGTATTCAAGGATAAGACGTAGCGGAGTCCGTATATTCTGAATTATGTCTTGATGTTGCCCCTTTATGTCTTCTCTACCGAGGTGCACACCATTGAAGAGTTAAGTAACCCATTACATACAGATGAAGAAGTGAAGTTCACAAAAAAGTTGAAAGTGGTCTGGTCGAATAATGACAAATTGTCGAACTACTGCGTAACCCGGCTACTGGGGTCCATACTCTGAGATACAAAAAGGTGTCGATTTTACACATTTTATGATGCAATATGGGTTTTACTCCGTTCGAGTTCTCAGATGTTTGTGCCGTTTATTTCAGGGCACAGACCAGACTGCTTCCCTCTGGCGGCCAGCTTTTCCGTGCTGGCTTTATCAACTTTTAAGACGACCCAATCCTCCATTCGTTTTGCCTCCAGTCTTTCATAGAATTTTAGTGCTCTCTTGTTATCCAAAAGACAAACCCAGTCCATTTTTATACAGCCTGCTGCTTCCGCTGCAGATGCCATGGTCTCAATCAGGATTTGTGCATAGCCCTGACGCCGAAATTCCGGTACGACATACAATTCTTCCAAACAGACACCCGGAGCGGCCATCCATGTTGAGTAATTATAGAAATAAACCAACAATCCGGCAGGCTGTCTGTCTGGGGAAAAGATGAGTAGTGCCCATGCAAACCGAGTGCCTGTCTCTGCGCTTGATTCTGAAGGCGGCCCGAAGTGCAGTGTCCCGGCGAGACTTTCCTCAGTTGCGGCTATCTTAGCCCCAGGGGCTTGATCTTCTGCTGCTTCCCGAATGAATCTCAAAACGAGGGAAACGTCTGAAATCATTAGCCTCGAAGTCTTCAGCCTGTCAAGGATATACAAGTACCTTCGAGACGAGCGTACCTGACGAGCGGCCGGGAAGCCATAGTGATGGATTTCCTAGAAGAGTAAAGCTCGTGAAGCACAAACGATGGAGAATGGAACTGGGAATAAATACTGGCAAGGTCGTAGTGCATGGGTAGTCACTACTCTTTTTGGGTGCGAAGTTGTCGAGTACGCCCTACTTGTTGTAGAGTTGTCAAACAAGGGCTCTGGGTGGAGAATAGATGTTGGTCTAAAGAGGGAAAAGGTTAGCTTCTGTCACTCTGCAGGCAAAGTGTACGCCAATGGCATGACTACACGCCTTTGTTTATAATGACTGCATGGAATGACACTGTGCACGACTCACATTCGGTGCCGGTGCTGTTATCCAAGCAGTCGATATTTGGGAAGCAATGCCGTAAACTCAAGTATACTATTCCAGTTCTAGTAATATTTTCAAGCAGTTGATTCCCTCCATTCATTGAAATCGCCGTTGGGCTGGATCCTAGACAGTTGCCCATAATGGCTATGAGATGCTTAATCTCAGGAGAAATCTCACTTTCGTGCAAGTATGATTGCAGAGCATGCCAAGACCACACCGGTGCATAAGTAACCCAGTAATGGATGTCGTGAGCCGATAGCTACATATCCTCAAGTGTTAACATTTTGCAAATACGATTTAAGATACGGGCGCTTAATCGGCGTATTCAGACCGGGGCCGCCGTACACGCCACATACGGGCTTGAAAGAAGAACGTATAGTGCGAAGAAATTTGACTCCTATTTCCCTACTCGCCACAGTCGGAAAAACGCAAACACAAAGATTCCACAAGACTACACCAAATTCCCTTCAATTCCGTGACTTTATATATGCTAGAAAATGGGCATATCACTCACTTTACGCATATGAATATTAAAAGATTGGAACTCAGCCACCGAATAACACGAACCAACCCCCTTGTCCTGATCTAAATCAATCCGATATGAACGAAACTCGTCTCGACGGCAAAGAGAATCCTAGCTTTGCTGGCTTAAGCGAAAATGAAGTAGCAACACCACTAAAAGATGGATATGATAGTACAAAGGATGATTACGACACCGGCGTCACGGCCTGGCTCCAAGTTCTCGGTTCATTTTTCCTGTATTTCAATTCATGGTACGGTGCCATACTAGCTGCCGCATTGCCATATATTTGGCCTAGCATGACCAACCTTGACTCACAGTTTCATGTTTAGGGGAATTATCAACGCTTTCGGAGTGTTCGAAACGTACTATGAACATCAAATTCTGTCGCATATGTCGCCATCGGCGATTGCTTGGATTGGATCCATTCAGTCAGCCCTGCTCATGGTAGTTGGCGTGATCAGTGGTCCGCTCTTTGATGCAGGCTATTTCTACGCCCTGTTACCAACTGGCACCTTTCTGGTTGTGCTAGGAACGATGATGACGAGCCTCTCGACGAAATATTATCAAATCATGCTGGCACAGGGCATCTGTGTTGGAATCGGAGCCGGCTTCTTGTTCATTCCATCAGTTGCGATTTTGCCGCAGTACTTTAAGAACAAACGAGCTCTAGCAAATGGCATTGCCGCATCTGGAAGCAGCATTGGGGGCGTCCTTTTTCCCATTATTTTTCATCAACTTGAAGTCCAGATAGGGTTCCCCTGGGCAACCCGCACGATTGGCTTTCTCTCTCTCGCAACTTGCGCTATTTCCATCGGTGTAATGCGATTGCGTTTCCGAACCCAAGAGAAAAGAGCACTGCTGCAACTTTCTGCGTTCAAAGAAGCTCAATACTCGCTCTTTTGCTTGGCGTGTTTCCTAGGTTTCCTAGGCTTTTATAACTTCCTTGTTTATGTACAGCCTTATGCAATCGAGACTAGGATTGTAGATGTCAACCTTGGCTTTTATCTCATTGCCATCTTGAACGCCGCGTCAACATTTGGCCGGGTTGGCCCAAATTTCGTCGCGGATCATGCAGGGTCACTCAACGTGCTCTTTCCAGCATTGGCCATCACAGCTACCCTAGCCTATTGTTGGGCTGCCGTGCGCAGTACATCAGGAATCATTACGCTTTCTGCGCTTTATGGATTCTTCTCAGGAGGGTTCGTATCCTTGATACCGGTAGTCTTGATAACGATCACTCAGGACCTCCGCAAGCTTGGGACTCGGCTAGGTATGTGCTTTGCGCTGGAGTCTATTGGGTTGCTAATAGGAACTCCAATCGGCGGGTCCATTATTAATAGCACTGGGTCGTATCTTGGTGTCCAAATGTTTTGCGGCTCATGTCTTGCTGCCTGTGCCGTCCTGCTACTCAGCGTTAGATTGTTACGGAGTGGACCGAGACTCATGTATAAGACATGATGCTATACTGTATAAAACAGCTTTTTGAGAAATAAATCATATCCATATAGACTCGCTCTAATTAATATTCTTACAACATTTACCTTGGTAGAAAAGACTTGGCCAGCGTAGGAGCACGGCACACGGCACCTTTTGTTAGGTCGGGTCAATTTTCGGAATGATGTTGCTGGTATAAATAACAAGGCGATCGGAGTCAAAGTTATATTGTATTGTGTTTCACGTTTTAGACTTATTGAGCATATATATGACATTGATCTACAACCTACTATAACACTTCTGTTGCTGGTTGTTCATTGGTATCCTGACCATCTTCTGGAGTCTATCGTAAATTACCTATTTACCTACAAATACATAAGAGCTCGCCCATTGCGTAATACAATCACTCCTGGAATAACAGCTCATTCTGCATTCCTCTGGCTTGCACCAGCTATTGGCTGCACCCACTCTACCCTCGAGCGCGTAAACACCTCTGCATCGAATACCGAAGTAGAGATAATCTTGCCGCTGTCATCCAAGGTCCCAGCTTTGACTACTTTATTGGGCCCGCAATTGGCGGACTCACGCCACATCATACTACCGCAGTCACCGCAAAAGTAGCTGTTGATGGTGTCGCCAGAGTCAGCAGCTTTACTGAAGATTTTTGGCGTGCCGACAGTTACTTGGAATGCCGCCTCAGGGACAAGAAAGTTGACACTGTAGTTGCTGCCACTGATCTTGCGACAATCATCGCAATGGCAGAGGACCTATGATAGAAACCCAAAATTATTTTAGTTTGATTCTTCCTGACCTTGTGATGAAATGAAAGGACATACTGACTTTCTTTATCGGCTCCGCAATGTAAGTGTAGCGAATCTTGCCGCAGACGCAGCCACCGCTCTGGATAACCATTTCTTCAAATAATAGTACGCGTGATGCTATTTGATTTAATTAGTAAGATCCGTGCAAGAAGCTTCAGAATATTAAAGAATAGATACATTTGGACAATATTGGGGTTTATGATCAGCCCTCAAAGACAATCTACTTGTGACTCGACTTATCGAAAATTTACGAGATAGGACTGTACATCGTTTTTATATATTGCTATTTCTCAGACTTCCAAGCAAACGAAAACATTTATCAGCCCTCAATCAATATTCGATTGCCGTAGCTCAGGGGTTGCGCGGGATCTAAGAAATCGGCCTCAGAAACTTAAAGACTCAAGCTAATCAGATGTGTGTTTAGGGCGTGAAGCGCGTGTAGCGTGGATAGCGCGTACAAGAGGCGCATATTCATTTCTTTACTTGCGGGGTCAACTATAGCAACCAGGAGGCTCGAAACGCGCCGACCTCCAGATGGACATGTTTATAAACTAGGAGGATTTCCTCTAGTTTGATAAGCTGCGACGGAAACCACTATGCCCGCTAACTTTATCTTCTAGATGGAATACGCGAAGCTATTGCAATATGTAGGCCTTATCCTCAAGTTTATTTTTGTGGGGTGGATCTGAACAAAAGCGAATGTGCCCAATGTTGAAACTTCATGATCTAAACGGGATGTAATCTGCTGCCGTATACACTTTTCACGATATCCCTGTTATCACTTCTCTGCTGCAATATTTCCACGATGACATTCCATAGCTGCAACAAATTGTTTCTAGTCTCTACTAGTGGTGGAAGGATTGCTAACTAGTGTTGACTTACTACTGTACGAGACTCATTCCACGTCAGCTGACGGATAATCTTAACGAACCTAACAATTCTCGACATTAAAGGAGCTCATTCGCCTTGAATGGCTATATCAACTGCACATACTATCATAGGGCGAACTACACTGCCTACAAGTACACAGCTTTGTTCGCTATGGATCCTCCTCGTGGTCCCTTGATCCTGCATCTCGCTCTCATCCGCACTGGCACTGCGTCTATGGCCAAGGCCTACGAGATCCTTGGCTACAAAAACGTTTACCATGGGCTGACAATGTTGGACCGCAACCAAGATTGGGTCTTGCTGGAGAAAGCCGCCGATGCCACTTACCCTCAGGTGTTGAACCCTGGCAAGAAGCCTCCGCCTCCGTGGACTCGGTCCGACTGGGACCAATTGTTTGGAGAATGTGATGCCGTCACGGATTTAGGGTCTTTCTTTTCGCTGCAACTGCTTGAGGCGTACCCGGACGCCAAAGTTGTCCTCGTCGAGCGAGAGTATGACAGATGGTGGCGCAGCGTTGAAGATGTTGCTATTTACGCGTTATGGAGCCTCCCGGCACGCATATTTTCCTACATTGAGCCTATCACAGGGGTTAGGTCCGGTGATACTGTCAGAAAGATGATGCTGGGTTTTTTCAACGCCCGAGATGTTCACCAACTCAGAAAGAACGCAAAAGAGAGGTATTTTGAACACTATCGTCAGGTCCGCGAGTTGGTGCCGCCTGAGCGACTTCTCGAATATCGCCTCGACGACGGATGGGGTCCTCTGTGCCGGTTTCTGGGACGAGAAGAGCCCAACGTCGAATTCCCCAGAACAAACGAGACAAAGGAAATTAGAAAGATCGCCTGGGCTCGATTGTGGAAGTATACAGGAATGGCTGCAATTATTGTGGGAAGATATGCCATCGGCATCATGGTTCTCGGTGCGGCTTTGTGGTTCGCGCGAGAACGAAGTGCAGATGTTTTTGCTTTTCTTTCCAGGTATATTAATTGAGAGCTTTGAGGGAGCCTTGTCATATTCATGGATTATAGGTACAGCCGCTTATATACAACAGTTAGGTTGTGTTTTGTATAACTTACAGACAGCTTGCCAATGGCCATCAGCAATACATCGCCCAGGCGCTACGCAGATCTTTCGCTTCGTCACTAAATACTATCTGTTTGCGCTATATCTCTAACCTTTCCAGACATCTTATTAAGCTTTCTATTTCTCTGTAGAGATCTCCAGTTTTTCTGTCAATTGTGTTGATGTCGCAGCTAATAAGTACATGTAGAAATAAATCGCCCCCAAAGGTATTGACACAATGCGGAGTGCTGGGAGAGTTGTGCTCTCTAGGCTTGGCTCCTCTAATACGCCTAGTATCCTTGCGCCAGATGCAGATAGATCTTTTTACAGTCAATCTAGTCAGTCAATGACATAATGGTTGGAGCTCAAGGTATTGAAAAATTTAGCAGCAGGTATAATTGTCTCTCCCTCGATGAGCATTTCTCCCATTGGACACTGAGCTGATAAGTGGCCAATACTTCGATTCATATCAATTCAATGCATCCCTGTTCACTTACTGCACTGCGGGTGCCACTGCTAATTAGAGTCCCGGACTCTACGTGCGGGTCAGGTGCTTATTGAATTGTAGTGCAGCTTTTACTGGGCTGTTTAGGTTCTCTCTGTAATCTGCCAATCTGCATACTACAACCTTAATACTTTGCATTTTGTATGCTTCCCAATTCAATCCCTTTGTTAACTATAACGTCGTTGAAATCAATATGCGTCCTTCTAATATAGATTTTGTGAGAATCCTCCGTGCCGGCGGTAGTTATGTCCCAGTCATTCACGAAGCTGGTTTCTACATCATCGCCGAAGATAAGAATGAATTGAGCGAGTTACGATGGGTTGGATCCCAACTTGCCAGTGAGACTCTCATAGGATCAGGCATTAGAAACAAGTCTCCAGCTGTTTATGTCACTCGCAATCATAATGTGAGCTTAAAGAAACTCCTATGCTAAACACCAAACCTACTAATTATATGCATCTGGTCCTTGCTGCAGCGATCTGTCTTTTGTGTGGGGGAAAACAATATCTTGAAATGTTTCACCCATGGGGATGAGTGGCAAGAAAAGAGGCTCAGCAATAACGAGGAGATTCTTGTTCATCCTTTGAGCAAACTAAGTGGGAGCGCTCATGGCAGTCACAGCCTGGTGTTCTTTGAGGATACGGCCGGGCATCTCCGAGGAGTCAGGATCCAAGAAAGCGGGAATTGGGAACTTTTACCCTTTGCTCCTGTGAACTCCGTTTCCGGAAGCCCTCACTTTACCTATGTTCGGGACAATACCGTGTTCTTGAGCTATGTTCACCAAGACGGCTGTATTCACCGGCGAGCCATAGACGTCATAACAAACAATCACACCGGTACAGCAACCAGACCCTCTCCTTTCATTTTTGGGTGACTTCTAAGTTACTAACATGCACCAGATTTTATTGTTAAGGGCACCGAATTTGCTAATGATCCGGCAACTAGTTTCATTCTTGAACTACTAAATGATTCCGATTTTCGAGTCATTACTTTGACTAAGACAGAGCAGCTGGTGAGCGTCCATGGCGAAGGAAAGGTGAATCCCATAGGGCGCATAAATGAAAAAGGCATCTACGTCCCCTCAACATCGGAAGAAGGCAACAAGCCAGTCGGCAAAGGTACATCTGGTGCAGTAACCAGCTCCACAAGTGGCAAGACAAAGTGAAGGCAGACATTTACATAATACTTGAGTTACCGGCATAAAGGGGGAGAATGGTAAACCTTGGATGGGGCGGAATCTCAAGCAACCTCTACTTTGCCTTGTCATAAAATGCCATGAATTTTTATCGTTGATTACCTGGATGCTTCGGAATTGTGGGTTGGAATCGCTAATGGCCATGCTGATTGGGGGTAGATGAGCGTGTGATCAGTTGCATGTACTTACATGTACCAAACGATGGTGATACGTGCCAAGTCTGCTAATCGAGCCAAGGAATTAATGAAAGCATGACACGTCACAGCAGAAAGAAGATGCGTTCCGGTAATAGATAAAGAAGCCCAAGCGGCTGCAGTTAATATCTGGGCATACATGCAGTAGGTCAGGCTGAGTGCTCCCAGGCAACCAGGCTGTCGGTTGCACACCATTGCTTTGTAAGGCACATGCCCAAAGTATTGGGCAATAGGTCTTGTATTATATGGATTTACAATCAATCTATAAAACATACATATGACGCGTTCATACCATGCGGCTCAAAACATAGAGGAAGAGCCAATCATGCGGCTGAAATCAAGGTGGGGGATTGGCCAATTATGCTCATGCGGCTGAGGATAGAATGTGATGATAACCAATCATTCTAATGCCGCATGTGACTATTATCTGATAATGGCCGACACGATACCGAACCCTACAGGGAATGGTAGTTCTAATGCATTGTATCGGCCGTTGGTGTAACGATGTTGTATCAGAACTATAGTTTATAGCTTAGTGAACACTTGCACGGATCTAAAACTCCTAGCAAATGACAAACTACTTCGCAGTAGATGCAACCTAGGAATCACGGATGCCCAAAATTGGTAATGATTTAAGGCATATGCATTGAGAGTAATATGATTCAGCCAATATAGGGACTGATGGCGGAGAAAGCATTCGGTGATGACTCAACAGACTTGTGAAGCGGCTCTCGGCTAGACAAGGCGTAATGGAATCTTTCCCTTAATTGTTGATACCTAAAGATTGCGTAATGAAAGGTGGCAAAATTCGGGCACAAATGAATTCAAAGCATGGCACAGAGCCTCAAGACAGCTTGTGCCGTGATTGTATTCTTGAATCTTGATGGAGATATTGGTCCGTGTTCAAACTAGAGGCTCAATGGTTGCGAACAGTGTATAAATAGAGCAGAAAGCTTCGCATACATAAAATGCGAATTTCTTTTAAAAGCACAGTCTAGAAATGATTCATCCCAGCATCATACATACATCATTTACTACTTCTTCAATATTTCATGCACAATGACCTCCATATTTAACCTAGCACTCAAGGGAACTCTCAGCGCGAGTGACCTAGTTGGCAAAGAAAAAGAAATCGATAAAGTGGATGAGAAAACGTTGTACACTCCCCTTGGCGCAGCTGTACACGCGAATCGCAAAGATAACATCAAATTACTGCTCGCACATGGTGCTTACCCAGATGGCGCGCCTGGCTCACGTCCACCTCTTTGGATCGCAGCAGCAAGAACAAAGGGTCACATCGGCGACATTGTCGAGACACTTATTGCTCACAAAGTGGACGTGAAGAAGGCGGATCCTCATGTCAATGACACTGCGCTGCATGCCATTGTACAGAGATACCGGAATGAAGATGATCTGGACGTAATCGAAGCTCTTGTAAATGCAGGTGCAGATCCAAAAGCAACGAACCAAAGGGGAGAATCGGCAGAGTCGCTGGCAACTAAGCGCAACGACAAGAAACTATTGGCTATCTTGGCTCCTGAAAAACGCAAGAAAATTCACACCAAAGATGTCCTCATGATCGCATCTCTCATCATGTTCGCTGTTTCGTGGGCGAACCGGAGTAACCCTCTCGTGAAGATCACCGCTGCTGCCGTTGGGACAGCTGCGGCAGTCGGCTCTCAGTTCTATAGCCCTATCATGAAAAGATTCAAGATGCTGGGCCGGCGAAGCAAAAAGGTTCCACATGTACGTTCAACCCCCCCCCCCTTTCTACCTTTCTGGGGAAGTTCGTTTGCTGACATCCCATTAAGCATGTTGCCGAGAAACTCGAAAAGGCAGCAACTGCAGAGGCCTTCAAAAAGGAGATGCACAACTATATCAAAGACGCTCATTTAGACCAATTCTTCAAGGACGATAAGTTCTTGAACCATGTCATCTCAAAAGCCGTGGACATGGAATCAGACTCAAAAACGACCGTCAATGTACGCGACTTGACCCGTCTCGCACTTTATCAGCCGGTACTTTACTGCGGTATGAGCTCACAGGGTTTTCCAACTTGGAGCAAATAATATTAACAATTCCCATATTAGATGATAGTGGTTCAATGAATCAAGATAACCGGATCCAGGTCCAGGCCGACCTTGGCAAGCGGATCACCAGTCTGACCACGAGGCTTGTCCCAGAAGACACTGGTATTGAACTGCGATTCATCAATGCCCCAAATGAGCTGCGCATGTCGAAACCTAGCAGCAACCTAGTCAACGATATTTTGTTGAATATCCCGTATAGTGGACCGACCGAAATTGGAATGAACTGCAAGGCAAAGATCCTGGAAGAAGTCGTCTATGGGCCGATAAGGGAAGGCAAATTTGACCGCCCAGTATTAGTCTCCATTCTTACTGATGGCTGTCCCGGCGGACCAGAGGGAAGTGATGAGAGGCAGGATACTTTGAAAGAGGCCATTTTAGAATGCGGTACATTTCTCGAGTTTCACAAATACAACAAGAAAGGTATGTTGAATTCCCCCGCTCATAGAAGCCAGCAGAAATATATTTTATCTGACATGGCATGATTTAGTTGTTCGTTTTCAAATCAGCCAGATTGGACATGATGAATCATCCAAAGATTTCATCAAGAGCCTGGCCTTGGATCCCGCGTTAAGCGATGTCTTGTACTGTACTACTCGTAAGGTGCCCTTCCTACTTAAGTTGTGATCTTTTTCCCCATAAGGGAACGCACAATTTCCTACCCAGAAGAACGCTTGATGGACACGGCCATCTCGATTGCTAACACAATTCATGTAACTAGGGCATTTAGATGATGAGTTCAAGGACTTTCGAGATAATGAACATCGACTAGAGCAATGGGTAAGGAAATTCCATTCTCCGCCAGGGTTTCTAGAATACTTGTTTCAAGTACTAATGTTTCATTACAGCTCTTGGCCTTATTGATGGAGCCAATTACCAAAGCCGACTAAACCTAAGTAGTAGCAGTCGTTCTTTTCCTGGTAGGTTATCGTATGTCTTCATCTTTCCGAAGTAGTGCAGAGAGAAGACTTGGGACTCGAAATATCTGGAGCCGGTGGGGTTCACGCTGTAGATGAGCAAAGTACAGATAGTTACAATTTATCTACATATATGAGAAATAGCATTCAGTTTCGTAAATATCCCAGATTCTGAAAATCCGTTCGTTATCATCTCTTGGTGTGCGACGTGTTCATCTAGTATACATGGATCACTGGACTTGGAAACCATGCTGAACTTTGTACAAATCAGGCCATCGGTTATAATTAAACTAAGTAAGATCATTCTGCCTGGCTTGCCCCTATATGATGATGAAGCAAGTGAATAATATCCCTGTTCCCCCTCTCTTTAGCCCAGTCAATTGGTGTCACCCCGTTTTCATCTTTGTTGTAAATATCCACAGTGTTTGTGCTGAGAAGCAGATTCACAACCTCTTTGTCACCAGATCCGATAGCAGTGTATATTGCCGTTCGGCCCTCTTTATCCCTCGCATTCATGTTAGAGCCCCTCTCTAGCAAGAGTGATATAATGTCCTGCTGGTGCAAGGCGGTTGCGAAGAATAGCGGCGTCCGGCCTTCTACATCTATCGCATCGATATCAGCGTCTGCGTCGAGCAATAAATTGACCATTTCCACAGTTCCATGCGCGGAGGCGAGAAATATTGGAGTCTGTGCATCTTCATTCCTTGCATTCACATCGACGCCCCTGTCGAGTAGCAGTTTCATCACAGTCTCGCTATTTTGCCAGCTAGCGGTGAAAAGAGGTGTATAATCAGAGTGATCCCTGTGGTGAACGTTTGCGCCGTTGTCCAGGAGAGCTTGAACAGTTGTCTCATGCCCGCTTTCGATTGCCAATGTCAACGCTGTTTCCCCCAAGTCATGTTCTTTTACATTAACATCTGCGCCAGCATCGAGGAGCAACTTGACAATGTCCTGGTGGCCATTCCTTGCCGCCCATATCAGCGGCGTTTCTTTATGCTCTCCATCTCTGCCATTGACGTCCACTTTGCCAGTTTCCAATAGCATCTGCACAATTTCTTTGTCTCCGCTCTCTGCGGCGCGTGAGAGTAGCGTCCGACCATGCTGATCCATCTCATCAAGAGTGCCATCATCCTGGAGAAGCTTCTGGGTAGCAATTTCGGACCAATTTTCGGCGGCGGAACATATAATGGCTTCATTAATAACAGCCTCTTCCGCCGAAGATCTTCTAGAGTAATTCTCAAGTAGCATCTTAAGGACCGTTTGGCGCTCCACGTGGGTAGCAAGCAGCGTCACGTCACCTTTTTCGTCCTTTGCATCAATGATACCGCCCTTGTTAAGGAGCAGCTGTATAATGGACTTGTGCTTGTGAAGCGCAGCAAGCGATAGTGGTGTCCGTCCGTAATTGTCCTTTGCATTGATCTCGCCACCCCTTTCTAGGAGAAGCTCAACAACATTCTTGTAGCCTTTTCGGGCGGCCCAAATCAGGGGTGTAGCGCCCTCTTCTTTATCCCTGACTTCAAGAGCGGCGTTTGCATCTATCATCAACTTGATGACATCTTCGTGGCCGTTGCGCGTGGCCCACAACAAAGGAGACTGTCCATGACTGTCACAAGAATTGGGGTTGCATTTGTACTGCTCACCAAGAAGAATTCTCATCAGCTCGGCCAATCCAAATTGTGCCGCCAAATGCAGCGCAGTTACACGTCTCGTCACCTCTTGGCTATATCCCGCATGGGACGAGTACTGCTTCACAGCTTGCTGTGCCTGGACAGATGCCTCGACCTTGGCTGGATGCATGAGGAACTCCAGGATTTCCTCGGCTGGCTTCTCATTTTTTGGAGCATGGTCCCCCCAATAGCTAGCAGCGTAATTGCAAAACGGAAACTGAGCCTTTCGTCGTTCGAACTCGTCATCCGTTGAACAGAAGCCGCTTTCAAAGTCTTTGAATGACAGGTAGGTGATGCAGGCTCCTAGCAGAACAGAATCCGCTTCAGGGAACCAATGCGACTGCGTGTTCTCAAAATATTCCTGTGTTGTATAATGCACCAGTTGAATAACGCCGTTCTTCTCATCGACTGTCACCAACCCAACACATACACGGCCCATATCTCCAAGATCCGAGAGGTCTTCATCGTCCAATGTCTTCATTCCTCGTTCCGTTGCTAATGCGTGCCGGAGCTCGGAGGTAGTAAGTGCTCGTTTCGCAAATGTAACCCATAACAAGACTTTCATCGCAAAACTCTTCATATGCGGACTTTGCTTATTGATCCTTTCAATAGCCTTATCATATGCATATGTCAGTACCTTTGTCTTTTCATTATCACCTCGACCTCGGGCATCGGTCCTAAAGCCTTGCAATTCTTGGCGAATTTCTTTAACATTTATTTTATCTTGAAGCAATTCAAGGTAGAGTTGCGCCAGAAGAAACCTATGATAGATTGGATTGTTAGTATTCACACCATTCTGCTCATTATCTGTAGCGCCTCAGCAGTGGATATGACCTACATTCCATCAGCCGCCTCGCAGATTTCTCTTTTTATATCTTCCTGTAGACTTATATTGCTTTTGATAAGACTTGTCGACGATTGTTTCATTTCCGTATCCAGGTACGTGGCAATATCGCTTGCGAGAGCACGGATTGGTAGAAATGAGCTTTCGACCTTTGTAAACCATTCTCTGATGTCGGGTATAAATCTCGATGTTGCAAAAATGTTCACATTGCAGTGTTTCTGGAGCGTGAAGAGTTCAGAAACAAAGCCATACATGGTATTCAAGTCGCATTCATCAAGGGCGTCGATAATGATGAATACACGTGAACAGAGCTCTATCACAGCCTTTAGGTCTTCTATAAGCTCCTCTTGGGATGCATGTGTCTGTTTTGCCTTGTGTTGCTCATATAAGCTTCTGGTGGTAGCTGGGAACGTCTCACGGCCACCCGCAAGCTGCTTCAGGACACTGGAAAGAAGACTTCTTGTAGTCTGTTCGCTCTTCGGTTGTTTGAAGCTGCAATAAATGTAGGCCATGCCGATGTTAGAGTCTTTCTTGATTTTTTCCGTCAGATGATCGACTACAACGGATGTCAGGATCGTTTTTCCTGCCCCCGGCATTCCTTCGCACAGCAACCTTTGGTTGCTATTGTTAAGCCAACTCTGTAACTCATCTGTTTTGAGAATCCACAAGCTGGTTCCATTCTTGTGAGTCTCCGAATGTTTATCATGCTGTTGGCCGTAATTTGCCGTAGTGAGCCAATCAACGATCATCCTCACTTCACTTTTATCCATAAGTTGCTCGATATGAAGTACACCTTGTTCAACTGCGTGAACTTATTATCAGACCACGAATTCTTCATTCAGTTAAAACTGGAGAGTCGCTAACCTTTCTGCAAGATATCCTTTACAGGGCGTTCGCTGTCAACGTCCGCTGAGCGTACATGTTGTAAAAGCTCCTTTGTAAATCCCGCTGCTAAAGCTGCAGCGTATTCTTGCCAGTCTTTGTTCTTTCTTTCATCTGCATAATCGCAGATTCCTCTTATAATAATGCATGGGAAATTATTCATTAACCCTGCTGCTTCCATCTCAATGCATAGAACTTCCCCTCCAAGACTCTGGTTGATTCGATCTCGGATGGTTCCATCTTTGACAACCTGATTTCCAGATGCAATCAAGCCATAGTGAATATCTATGCCTCTAGGCTCTCCACATGTGCTTTTCTCATCGGACATTGAAGGCATAACCTTTTCGACGGGGACTTGGAGACCAAATAACAGCCTATACAGTGCGAGAAGTGCTTGGAAGATTATCACAAATATACTTCCCCACAGGCTGGCATTGGCCTTGCTGATGTCTGGTTCAAGCATTGGATCTTTGAGTCGAGGAGACCACGTATATTTACCCGCTAACTTGGGCCATTTGTTTGCCATGTCTTTCAGATACTTGGGAATCTGAGAGTCATCCATATCGTGAAAGGCTTCCAGCTTAGCCAGGGCAGTGAGTAGGGCTCTCGGAGGACGGTCCAACGCTCCGGTTCTCTTGAATCCAAGCTTTTCTGACTTTCCAAGATCCCACTGGACAACTCCAGGGTATGATCCACTCGGCCTGCTAACGACGATATCACCAAGCCTGACCCGACCGGGAATCCCACCACCAATCCCGACCATGAGACCAAACTTGATAGATGGGAACGTGTTGATCATTTGGGTCACAATGTTTGCTGCTGCGTTGTTCCCAATTTCACCATAGGGAAGGCAGGCTATAACAATATTGTGGTTGTCGATAGAGCCTAGGGTATAGGTGTTGTGATCATGGTCAGGTTGCGAAAGAGGCTCATGTTCTTTGTCTAGCATGGCATGGGCCGCTGCTCGCTCTTTTGGTAGCGCGCAAATCCATCCCACGCTGTAATCTTTATGACTGAGGGATTTAGAAGGCATTATGATGCCAGAGAAACCAATGTTAGAATGGATGATCAGGATAAAGAGTTGTCGAAAGAGTACGCAAAAACTCAATGAGCGATTGCACATATGAATGAAGGATTATATGGTAAAGTACATGAAGAAATGTTGAGACATATAAGAATGGAGGTATTTCAGGATAATCAGCAACGGTATTGTGAGAGTCTATACGTTCTAAAGAGGAATATAAACAGAAGAGGTGGAGAGCGCAAATACACGTAGTTGGGCACTGATAGTTGTTGGGCAACATAGATTGAGCCCGGATTGCCAATATTTCAACAGCTTCTTGAAAGACCAGGCCAATTGAAGCATGATTTAATATGGATAGCTAATTAAATAAATCTATGAATCACAAACGTGTCGGATTTTTAGGTGTGGCTCTTTAATGAGGAGTGCATGTGCTGATCCACATAGTCGGATGCTGTCAACCCGCACATCCTATCTATAAAGATATTGGGGTCATCATCCGTAATCATTGTGAATATTCACTGGATATATCTAGCGTCTTCCATAAGGTATCAATTAACTCCAGGCATTATGGGGCACATATGCAACCATATAGCCTCGTGATGCGTAATGGTTCAATCATGAGCCGCTTCGGTGATGAGATTACTCTCTGACGTATGCATGCCCGATGTCGCCTGAACTGCCGGCCACACCTTTCCTACGCCCTCTTTTCCGCTGCTATTGGCGCCCAAACCCGATGATTGAGGCTCTTCCTCAATTTATTTTTTCTCCTCCAGAAGTAGTGACCTTGATTGAGAGCCCAGGGTTGACTGTCAACAATTGGCTTTTCTCATACAGCATCTCATTTATTTCTAGTGCTAAGAAGCACGATGGACTCAGATTCCGAAAGTTATGATTCTGGATTTGAATTAGATCCAGCAGACAGAGATGCCAGCTGGGACGACGATATAAGCCCCGAAGAGGAAAAAAGGCTGAAACTGAGCAAAATTCAAGATCGACAGAAGTGGATTGTAAGACTACAATTTAAGCAAAATGGTTCGTTTATATCTTAGGAGCTCTTTCATCTCATTTTATCCGCAATTATTAGATCTTGCAAGCTGACATGTGAGCAAAAAATAGGAGAGGATGGAGAAGGAAATGGCTTCTATGTCAACATACCACATCCCACACACCACGTCATCTTCACTGCTGGCCATAACCTTGTCGGTGTGAAAATGGAAGACTTAAAGATATATCAAGCTTCAGAGGACGCGAAGGACACGAATCCCAAACCTACCGAATTTTACGTCTCGGCCGTATATCAAAAGAAATTTGCTGATGAACGGGGAAGCCCGAAGGAAGCAACTCAAGAGCAAGAAGAGGCAGATTTCGGTATCATTTTAGTGAAAAAGAACCGGAAATATCCATATCGAGGTTTTGGATTTGCCTTGAAACTTGGCTTTGATGTACTCGATCAAGCTCATTTTGATTTCATTGGCTATAAAGACGCCGACGACGGTACGGGTGTCGACGACAATGACGACGATAACGACGAAACCCAAATCCCAGACCAGAGCAAGATAGAAAAGCCGCCATGGGACGCATTCACAAGTGAGGGAAAATGCACCGCTTGCCGTCCCAATCAGCTCGATTATGAAATGGAAACCGAAAAAGGCTTTAGCGGAGCACCTGTAATCATGCCTCATAAAAATCGCGATACTGCTATTGCTATCCAGTAAGATTCTTGAAATCGTCCTTTGCTACCCTTTCCTCTTTCTACACATTATTGACGCTCACAATGGCTTGTTAATATATGTTCTAACTAAAGTGAATTATGTATCTGCAGCAACTACGGTCGTTCAGATAATAAAAAAATAAGTAGGGGAACTCGCATCAACGAAAAGCTTCTCGACGAGGTCTATGGTTGGCTTCAAATAGGCCTTTATGACAAAGCTCTTCAAGCTTCTAGGAATATTTCTGGTCCATTACAAGAGCGTTTATATCTTGTCTTCACTCCCGATAGCAATCACGCGGTGGTAAGGCTTGGTTATGACCAAGAGATTGTGACCAAGTTCGATATCCTGCCTGCTTATGCGCCACCTTCAAACTATGGCTTTCCAAACGACTTTCGGTATGTATTCCGTATCAAATCGGAGGTAGGAAACCCACCGGAGAAACGCTGGGTGCTTTGGAACGCCGCCAGGCAGACTGTCAGCTTGACCAGCTCTCTGAGAGATTTCTGCTTTGTGAGTCTTCTCGAGGATAAGGTACAGAAAATAGTGGACCTGGAGAAGATCTACTATATCCACGTCGAGATGAAAAATGATCAAGGAGAGTCAACTGAACTCAAAGAACTTCGGATGAGAGCCGCTGATCTTACTGAATCTGACATTGTGTTGGACTCTCTAGAGACTCCCGAGGTCTTCTTCGAGCGACATAAGAGAGGGAAGTTTCTATTTGGGAAGATTCCGTGTATGCCAACTGTTCCGAGTGAACCAGCAATCCAACGGGAGGAATTTGACTTTAACTTATTTCGTTTCTACCCCAGTAAGCTTGAGCGAAATAGGAGAGAACTTGAAGTTCATGATGGATGGAATTAAGTACAGGTAGATTTATCATATATGAATGCTATTAGGAGGAGAAAATATCCTTGTCACTTTATGTAGTACTGTGATGTTTTTCATTAGATCTTTATTTCTAACATTAATCCATCGATTCCATCCTCTGGCTTAGACCAAAGACGATTCATACCATGATAATGAAGAACGGAAGAGAAGTCAGGCCAGTGGATCAGCCACATTGGCCAGAGAATGCAATCGGACATGAGAAAAGAATATATAAGAATGTAGCTGTACAGCAAGTATCAGCAATTCAATTGAACAGATTCAGAATATACATAGCCTATATACTCACATTGTCAAAAGCAATAGAATAGGTTCCCATGGCAAGGGTTTTGATGAGTCTCAGCACGCCTGTCGTGGTAATGGCGTTAAAAAACACCTTCTTCGAGTCGTGAGCTATGTGTATATTCTAGTTTCCTGTCTCTTTTCGAAGCCTCTCAGCTTCTTAACATAGGAGAGCAGGTGCAGGACTCTAGGGAACAACGACATAGGCCCAAAGTCCTAACTGCACCAATTATGCTGAGGGTCATTTAAACAGCCACGCTGCAATCAGTCAGATTCCAAAAGTTGGTCAGGGCGCCGCTAACAATGGCCATGGTCGAGCAGCCAAAGACATGGCCGAAAAGTATATAGGTTAGGATGGTCTCGACATTGCGTGCCACGGCAACAGGGATGTTGAACAGGGCAAAGATAAAGAGCCCAGTGAACACAAGTCCCTTGCAGCCGTGCAACTCTGATAGAGGCCTCCGAACAACTGGGCCAAAAGCAAGGCCCAAGACGAGTAGACCAGAGCATAGCACCCTCAACCATCTGTCGGCATCGGATGATAAAATCCATCCGACCACGCGAATGCCAGGCCCAACAGCAATAACGAACACAGGTCGTGACACCAGAATGCGCCTGTGGAACCCCAGCCATCGCGACAGACGAATCAATTGATTGAAGATACAGTCGATGTACGTATGACAAGGACCAGCTTTGCAAGAGGGGGTGAATGAGAGAGGTTGGACCCTCGTCATAGATCCTTGTCGTGTATCGCCAGCTAAATTTGGCGATTCGGTAATAGAGCAGGCTGCTGGAAGGCTTAATTTGAGCCTAGCTGCAAAGCTCGCAGTTTATGTTCTTTGATACATCCGTTGAGGTATTACGAGTGCATGCTGTGGCGAATAAATATAGTCACCTACCTGAGCAGCCAACTCAGCCTTTGAACTTCTTGTAGTGAATATGAACAATTGAAGGCTCTTTGTAACTTGATTCCTATGCTCTATTTGAATCGTCTGCTCTTTTCAACTCCTTTCTATATTAACTTTGGCTAGCTATTTTTCCCTTTGTTCTTTCTTTCGTTCTTTGTTTTTTTTTTTTTTTGGTTTTGGTTTTGGTTTTTCAACAATCCAGGCACTCTTGTGAACGTGCTGACTGTTACTCTGTTACTGCAGTGTATCCCTAACCGATTTGTCTCTATAGATCTCGTAATATGTCTATATATAAGAGGTCATGCCCCCGGCGTTAGGTAGATGAAATAACGAAGATCTTTAATCAACAAAATACAACATCACATCTAACCTACACATCCCAGTACTGGCAGGCACAGTATATTCGCTACGACAAGTATCCGATACCATTCAAGATCGTCATTCATCTAAACTCCACATCAAGCTGTTTCTTGCCATCTCTGACATTTCGCCTTGAATATGAACAACTCAAGAGCTGCTCCGGATAGCTACGGTACAAATGGCGCCGATCCTCCCGTCCTGCCTGTCGCCGCGTCTCAGCTTCAGATTATCTTCGAATGGGTTGGCCTCCTTCCACTAGCAATCTACCTCTCCGGTAGTGGCTTGTCTCATTGGTTAGTTGGACAGACATCGCTTGCAGGATTCATCGGTGTGAGCCTCTTCCCCCGGTTGGGTATTCTGGACAACCTTGCTGCCTTCTTGCATGAAAGTGCCAACTTTCTCGATCGTGCTTCGTCCGTCAGCGAGCTGCGGCACACTGTCTGGGACGCCAATTGGGGCAGCGTCTTCCCCTGCGCAAACGGAGCTGCAAGCGATATACTCACAAGATATGTCATTCCCACAGCTCGCGATATTGAGATCCCAACTGACTTGGCCGCCCTGATCGCTGCCGATGAACTTGGTCGCAATTCGGAAAAAGGAAAAGGCAATGCCGTTACCGCGGAGGCAAGCAACAATTCAACGAGCCATACGAATGAAGATGCTGGAGGCTCTCAGTTCCGCCGCTATCAAACCTTGTATATTCTGGATTGCACAATTGATGCCGCCAAAAGAAAGAATAAAAGCCCCTCCGCTACGTGCTTATTTTTTCTCATGGAGGTTCTATTCATTCTTTCTTTACTTGGCGCTTGTGTCTCAACAATCCTGTTCGGTCTATACGGGACTGCCGCAGCCATTCTCATCAGCATCGCTTTCCGTGTGGCACGGCAGTGCATCAAAGTCATCACGCCCCCAAGATACCTGGAAAGTAATGAAGCTAACCATGCTGATGCCTACATGCTCACAGCGATACATGAGAACTCATCAACCTGGTATCTCTTCAGAGGATCCCGGGCAGTCGTTGATGGGCTTCTCAACAAACCTATGATCTTGGACATCACAGCACGTCACAAAACGACAGTGGCACTCGCACTGCGCGGGCTCGCTGCCTTACAGCTTCTTGCCATGACGTATGTCGCGGCACAGAAAGGCTGGGATGGTGTAGGCTTGTTGGTTCTCATCGCTGTAGCGCGGACGCTTGACTACGCACTTTATAACGACGATAGATTGGCGGCAACTTGGCTTCGGCGGGAGTGTGTTGGTATGAAAGCATGGAAGTGCCAGTTTAGTGGACGCACGCCCATGCTCGGCACTATCCAGCTACTCAAGTCGAACGCAATTTCGAGTTGGATGAACCAGATTCTGGCCCCTTCGAACCGCCGCGAGGCTTGGTTGGAGATGTTACCGTTGGATTGCCCTGATTTCGAAACTTTGGAGTCAAAGCATACATTGACTGGAGAGAGCGACCAGACTTGGGTGAGGAACAATTGGTTGCTTACACGCGCTGCAGTGAAAGCTATTAGGGTCGCCACAGGCGAGGGCGCTGCGTGATCGCTACATGTAGCTATATCTCATACTCTCAGTAGTATATTGGGCGTGTGTAACTACCAGGGACCATGAGGATGAAGAGCTGGGCTCCATATGTGGGATCTCTTGGTTAGCATAAGCGTGTTTGATGGTAAAGAAGAGTGTTATGTAGTTAGTCTCTTGTAAATTGTTTAGTTCAGAATAGCAGACCATGAATTCATCTATCATTGTTTAGTATTAATGAAACCCTCAAATTCTTGAAATTTTCAGCGTTCAGAACATCGTGCATGTACAATAGGTCCCCAATGAGATCGATTGCGTCAAATTGCAAAGCAACAGTCATCTAGATTCCATTCAACAACTTGAAAGGTTTTTCTTTACACTATATGATATGATAATCACAGTCTATGAGGTACAAGGCTATCTTACTTCAACCTAGCCACCTACGACGCCTGCATGGCCTACAAGAGAAGGCTTTGAGCCAGTCGAGCCATATTTCTTGACTGCACTATGCCTGATGCTCATCTGCAACAGAAATGCGAATGTAGAACAAGCTACAGATAACACTATCCCAGTCTCCGGATCTACACCTTTTTCAAGCCGGTCCCAAAGCCGCCAGCTAAATGATGAAGTGGCATAATCTCTGCAGGCCGCGCAAATAACCCATCTTCCGTCAGAACTCGTACTAGTTCAACGTGCACCGGGTTTTGTCGATGCACGAGTCGTGCCGTAGCGTTTTCGTATCTTGCCTAGTCGTTAGCATCATGATCTCAACTTGTAATTACAAAGTCATGAGCCTGATAAGTGGGTATATCTCACACTTCCCACACAACAATCATCGGTTCCCCCGCGGAGACATCACGCTCATGCACGGCCCAAACGAGCGAGCCGGGTTCATCAGCCTGGGCTGTGTCCGCAAGCCGCTGGAAAATCTGTCGAACCTACACTTGAACATTTAATTATATGTAAATGACATACAGGATTAGTCTCGTACAGACCTGGTCCAGTTTTTCAGGTTTTGGGTGAATGAAAACACATTGGTGAATGGCTTCTGAAGTTGACATCGTGGGCGTTGTGGCGAATCTATTTCATAAGAGCCAAGTCGCAAATGTTTCAACCGGCAGCGTTGTCATAAGTAACCCATGATCCAGTAAGCAGGGCTTACATCCGTTCTCTGCGGGTTGAAAGAGTGGCCCATATCTGTAAGCCCCGCCGCCCTAGCTATCAACTTAAAATCTGTGATACGACGTCATTCATGTCACTTTCATAAATAATTTGCCTCTCGGCCAAAGAGATATGCGAGGATATGCGGGGATAGGCGGCGTAAATATGTCTGTCAATGTTGACCATAAAGGCACTAGTCCATAGACGTTACATAACGGGACGGTGATCAAGTCAAAGCATTGAGCAAATGCAAAGTGAACGAGGGCGAGAGATGGCCGTCGTCGTTATGGGATCATTGTATGCGTGGCTTACGAGTGCGAAATCTCACACTACAAGCTTACGAGTTGTGTAGACTATCAGTATAGTGTTTATTCGCTAGTGGATACCAACTACTCCATGTGGAGAGCAAATATGCGCATGTACTAAACGAAGATGGACTACAACATTAGTATGTAACCAGAGAGATCCTTTTTCACCTCCGGTGGCCGTACAGGAACGTATGTTGGAAGAAGTCCGTGGATACACCAGACGTTACATATTCGCTTCTGTAGTAGGCTAGTTAAAGTAGTTGCTAATCACCAACTTCTTGAAATTTTGAGCATTGGGAAAATCATGCACAAGAAGCAACTGAAAATATATATTGTCTCAACTACACTAATCCCACCTCAAAGATTTCTAATTATCATTCATAATCTTTCTCGTGCCCCATACTACATCAATATATATACCTACATGTATATATATACTACACACACGCGCGCGCGCGCGCGCATATATATATATACCACACATATATATGTATTGTAAATCCACTCGTCCTATCTTATGAGCCCCTTTTGTGCTGGAATTAGCTATTAAGCTCTCTAATGTGTGTCTTAAGGTATAAATACTATATATTCAATCTTTTGGTACGGTTATTACACTCCGAAGAGGGTTACCACATGAAATCATTCCAAGGAGCGTGTAGCCGGATAGTGACTACTTCCGTAGAACTAGATAAATGTTAATTCCAGTATACTATATTCATAATTTTAATCTTTGATACGTACCTAGACGGCAGCCATCAGAAGCTAATCGTACCATATGTCTCTCAGACACTGGCACTTAGTACTCAAAGCTTTTGCAGCAAATCTTAATATACCTCGCCTCTTGTGTAGTAAATATTAAGCTTTCTTCCAGCTCCACGATTGTCTGCCATTGCCAATAGTCATCGGTTTCCCCTTTTGTGACGACAATCGCTCTACTACACTCCATGAAGATGTCGCTGCGAAACATTCCCTGAACCGGACCTACTGTGAAGCCACTTCGATCTTCGTTGGGGTTTCGCGGGTCTCCTTTCAAAATTGGGCAAATAAGGCCAAAGAGAGTGCATGCTCTTTTGTCCCTCAGCTTGGGAAGTATTTGCAGGGCGTCTTTCCCCAGCGGCGAATCCCAATTTACGTGTTCTCTCAAATCATCGCCTATTTTCATCCACCAGCGGCACGATAGTCTTCGCGTATCGCCGTTAGCTTCAATCGTAGCCTCGATGCCGCCATACGCTGTACGAACCCACTCATTTGCATCCGTCTTCCCAGGCCTCCAACAGCGTGAATGGTAAAGAGGTTGGAGGCGAGACGCATTAGAACTGATAAATGCCACATCTGCTTGACCTCCTGCATAAAAGTATGGGTCATCAAAAGCAAGGTCTGTTACATCGGCAATAGCCTCAACAGGGCGAAGTAAGCCCCAGATTGTTTCCGAGTCACCAGGTCTCGTCGCGTGCCGCCCGGTCAATAGTAATCCGGCTGCTTCTATCAACATTTTGGAGTCGCTATAGGGCAAAAGTTCGATGAGTGCTGACTGAATCCATAGTGGGACATTGGTCTGAGGAAGGAAGGCGGATAATACTGATTCTTCGAGAAAGAAGAGATCAAAGTCGTTTTGTGCCCATTGTAGAAAGCACATACGGCTGAAACTGGCTCTATTGCCTTCAAGAAGTGTCCAAGCCCGCCGATGCCAAGGGGAAACAATTAGCGACAGCAGCATGGTCCTAATGTCACGAGGTACGGTGGTGAACCCTTTGTCCCAACATAACACAACCTTTGCGTGATGAAATGTCTTGTTGATTCTTCCAATCATTAATCTCCGCGTCTCCTCTTCTATCGGTATCACAGCGCAGTCGATCCAATAGCTTTTGCAGTTTTTGCTCTCAGCAATCTGAACAAGGAGTTTGTGGACGCATATATTCAGCCCATCATTTCTTGTGCCATGCACACCATCTCTCCAAACATGAGACACAGCCAATGTCTCATTATCGGCCATAACCCACCACTCATTGTGGTTGTTTCCAGCGTTGACACTCACTGCTGGCATACCCCGTTGAGCGATTTCGTCAAATTTCGAAATTGTGTGATTGGGAGGTCTCAATGTTCCGCACAGTTTGTCGCATGATGGGACATGGTAATCTAAATTGGCTAGATCGTGATTGCCAGAATCGAATTCGCATTGTTCGACTGTGCATTCCTTATGAATGAACCAATTTTCGTTGTTTTTAGCTATATCAAGCTCCTCAAAAAGCTCACGAGGTTGAATAAAAGGTGCGATTTCTTTCCGTGTAAGAAGTTTCAAGCCTTTAGGACAAATGAGTCTCTCGGGATTCAGACTGTAGTCTTCCAACGCCCGGGCGACAGCTCGGTGGTAGTGAGGGGGTTGGACAATTGGTACCCCAGTAAATTGGAATTTCCGTTGGAAGCCACAACGAGCCTTAATGGCACCCAGTAGGCATATACAGATATCCCATGCTCGATCTAACTTCCAGCGCTCAGCCAAATTTAGATACGGTGGACCTGGGATTCGGCTGGTCCTATCATGCGAAGCATGAAGAAAATAAGTCAAAGAGTTGACGGCACGAACACATTTATCAAAGGCTGCTTCAATCTCTCCTCTATCGAGCGATGGCATCTCCTTGTAAAAGTGTGCGATTGCTAGAACACAACCAAATGAATAAACCTCATCAGGGTCAGTGACACCAGCTTGGATATTTCGAAATTTTGAAAGACCATGACTTTGAGCGATCGAAATAGCAATTCCTCGCTGTTCCGGGTCCAATAACATGGAGAGAATAAAGTCCGCAAACTGTTTGGCTTTATAAATGTCCCTTCTGGGTGGCACCATCGTCTGCCCTACGGTTGTGCTGTATGGGCTTTCGGCAGCGTGCAGAAAAGGAAGAGAGTTGGTGTTTGCCATTTTTGTAATAGATCGATGGCGGCGTGAAAATGTTCATAGAAGGATACAATCAAATTGGCAAAGAACTCGAATGCTTTCCTGAGAAGATGGTATGCTTTATGAATTTGAGCGTATTTCACTCTTCTGCATCTGTTCGGTGCGAAAGCGAACAAAATTTATACTTAGTACCTATTATCAAGACTGGGTACCTATTACACGTAAGAAAATGTAGTGATACCTGCGTTAATGCCTTAATTGCCCAGGTACTTTATTATTAAAGCCTGAGTAACGGATATAAAGTAGGGCACACAGCTATCAGAAGGCGCCGCATACTTGAAAAACTTGTGTTGCCCTCTTTTGCAGATAGGGGTTGTGACGTGGCAGTAGAACTGACGTACTGTGAAACCAGTTGAGCACGAATCGATAGATATGTTGCCTCATTTAAAGGCGGGATACATTATTTCTAAAGGCGTTCATATTAACAAAGCCTTTTTATAGGTTAACCCACCTATGTAGACTTTGTAAACGATGTGTCAACTAGTGAAAGGCCGATTGAAAGTACCACTCTTATATAAAATATGCGGACAATAATCAGGCTCTGATGGAACTCAACAACCTATATCAAGCTCCCAAAGCAGCATTTTACAGGCCATAAAAAGGTGGTGGATTGGCAGCAAGTGCCTAAATTTGGTTGTTTATGCGCCAAAACTTAAGGGGTGCAGCGATACAGGTACATGCGCACTGGTATCATCAAACTGAGCTCGTTTAGCTACCGAATAGTCGTCCTGCGTAAAAATAGCACATGCTCTACTCTACGACTCTCAGCAAATGATGATAGGACAAGTAAACGCTGCTGAGTACCGTCGGTGAGCTTTGTGGCGTCAGCTGGTGTTTCACATATATAGCTGTTGAGAGAGGGGAGCCAACGCACACACAAACCCACATACACGCTCACACTACCTACCTACCCTTGTAATCTGGACCTGGTGTGACAAGCCGGGATCCCACATGTTTGTTTAGGAGAGGATTTCCAAGGGACAAAGCATAATCATAGGTTTATGTTGGCGGAGACCAGGCTAGACTATCAGGCAAACAAGAGGGATAATATTACCTAGGTACACAACTGTAAAGAGTATCAAGTAGATTCAATCAAAGCGATGTATCACAACTGGCTAACCAAACTATCAAGACTAGCTAGGTAGACAAAGGTTCGATAGCAATTGTTCCGACCCAACTTCTAGGCATTTTATCCTCCATACCCAGAAAACACATTAGATATGATACATTTTGAGTATACAGGATTTCGTATACCTTTTAGCCGCTTAATATTGAGAGAAGGCATGTACAGTACGGGTACTCTACATGATCAACGCCGAGGATTGAGGCTGGTGGATTAGTTTACGATGGTGCACAAGGCTGCACAGAGATGGAGACACTGACATCTCAATAGTTAGATATCTATACGATCCAGCATAACTGAACATGTTGGCAGTGTCATTGACTAGGAAGTTCGCAACAGCTTAGCATAATGTACATGCATCCATCAACGTTCAAGGAGGCCAAGGTCATAGATTCAGCCCCCCAAATTAGACACAGCGTATAAGCCCATTCAACACACACCAGCGCAGTTTTGACTTAACAAAAGATTTTTACATGATGTCGAATTTCATCTCCAAAGACACTATCCCTAACTGATGCAGTCACAACACATGTGCAAACTACATGTACATGAATTCCACTTCTTCTCCTCAACACAGAGCCAAATCTTTTCCCCATCACCACCTCTCTTTCCTCCGTATAACCGACAACATAGCAACAGATCCATGTAACAACTAGCTCCCGTCAAGCGGTACTTCGACTCTACTCCCTTAGGCACCTCGAAATCGTACTTCATCAGATTATGCAACAATGCGACCTTAATCTTCCGGGACAGGCACGCTTACCGTTGCCAAACCCGAGATGCCGCTCGCTAGTGCTGACCAGCAGCATTTCCTTGCCTTTGACTGGAAATGTGCTCGCAGACTCAGGCACATCATGGATATTAAGAAAGCGAAGGCCGTCCCATTTCTCGGACTCGGGGTGCACGATCGCATCCCACATTTTGTGTGATGAAACGGCCAGCTTGGTGCGCTTGAAAAGTAGGTGCCGTCTGAGGGTGTGACGGGAGAGGTGGCAACACGGCGCATAGAGACCTGTTGCATCGTCAAGTGTTAGCTTCGTCTTCCACTTCAAGCACACGGTAGTAGTAACAACTTACCAATACCAATAAGTTTCAGCCGCAAGCTCTCTTTTGATAATATTATTTATGAGCTGAACCAAGTTATATGAACAAGCTGTCATTCAATTGGTTATTCCACCAATCGGCGGGCCATGCCAATGAAGCGATATTGAAGGTGTCCATGATCTGGGTTTCTTACTCTCTTTGATACCAAGAGACTTGGTGCATTCACTTGCCCGGCAATAAGTAGAAGGGGAACACGAGACAGATTTCAGAGCATAAAAGTGATTACAACACAGTTGTTAAAATATTGCTTGTTAAATGTGTCACCTAATTATCATATTCTCCAGGCAATATAAAATACAGAGCGTATCCTCTCGACCCCGTCATCACAGTCATTCGGCTGAACTCTTTGGATCCTTCCCGGGGATTTACCAAGGAAAGATCTTCATCGCTTTCTGAGGTTCATCCCATCAGCATGGCTCGTCTCAACGCAGCTGTTGTGCAATTGCATATGCCTCCGTTCACGTACGCTCCTCCGCGTATTTATGTTTTGTAGATGCCCATACTTCTCCTATGGGAGTACATAGATCTAAATATCCGTGTCAAACCGTAGATAGCAAACGCTTCGACAATTAAACCTAGTCTCGCTTTGTGGAGATCGATGTGTAAGTGTACGGCACATGGCCATGCAGTCCGTGGTCAGTCCGTGGTCAATCCGTGGCCAGTCCGTGGTCAGTCCATGGACTTTCACAATGTAACCTTGTAGTTATTTGCAGGGTGATTTCCATTACATGATTCTGCAAGTTAGGCGTTATAGATTATAATTTGTCTATTGGCCGGCGGGTTTTGCGGGGCGAGGCAGCGCGAACATGTACTCGTATCGATCTCATTGCCGACCGTAAAGTCACTAATCTATGGGCTTCACGCAACCTTGATGAAGACAAATTTAAAGTATTAAGCAACACCAAAATGGAATGAGAGCAAGTGATAATCATCATCACTATCGAATCATTGTATATGTAGCTCTGTGAATCTAAAATCCCATACTACACTTGAAACTACAAGTCATGTCGACTATAGACACACAATGTCTATTTGCAACTGGAAACTAACTGCTTCATATGAATAGCAAAACATGCACATTTATGAGGATGGACTGCAACACAACCAGGATGGCAGAAACGGATATATCATATTCTCGTCAAAATTGCCTGTTCAACTATCTTTTCAAGCCTCCTTTCTTTTCCCCTGAAACAAGGTATAAATACTGCTGCTGCTGCAAAGTTATTTTCTAAATACCAACGCTTAACAATTACCATTGTGCCTACGATACACATCGACAATTACCGCCATCCTGCATGCGTTTACATACGTTTAACATCACATGTTCCTAGCTAGCAGGATTGTGCAACTCCTGGCCATGCTCGCATCTACCCTGTCCCTAGCTCTTGGTCCCTTCCTCCTCTTTGGCTCCGCTCTCATTGTCATATCCGCCGGCTATGTCGTCTATCAGTACTTTTTCTCGCCCATAGCTGCTTTTCCGGGCCCATTCGCAGCCAAACTCACCAAGATATGGCGAGCGTACGCCACATACCGAGGCCAATGGCATCGGGAAATAGTAGAGTTGCATCGACGATACGGCAATGTTGTACGAATCGGACCGAACGAACTGTAAGTCTTTGGACTACCGTCCGTCGCCTCCTAATGCCCCCTTTCGATCTATCTCAAAATATGCTTAGTCGTATATATGTATTCTTAATTGACCCTGGCTGACCATTGTTCTCGATATTATTGGTCTCTAGAAGCGTGGGGGATCCGGAAGCCTTTAAGACGATTTACAGTATAGCTATACTCCCCTTCCTCTTTTCCCTCGCCTACTATATCCCGTGCTCCACCGCAGAAATGCGACAGATGATATATAATGCGCAGTGTTGCACTCGGGTTCGGGAAAAGGATATCCTTGCTATGGGCGAGTATCAAGTAATTACTAACCTATAATCTCCCAACCAGGAGTTAACGGTGCCTTTGCCAAATCCGCTTGCTACTCGGTGCTTCAGGGATCGCGGCCCTTTGACTTGACAGGGGAACGGCATGAGAAGATTCACTCGGCCCAGAGACGGCTCGTAGCACGCACTTATTCCATGGAGTCGGTTGTCCACCTCGAGCCCCAGGTCACCCATCTCATCGGCGACTTACTCATCAAGTTTGATTCCTATGCTGCATCGTCACGTCCCATTGAGATTGGTAACTGGTTTCAACTCTTCGCTTTTGATGTCATTGGAGCCATCTCCTTTACAAAGCCTTTTGGGTTTGTTGCCCTGGCTAATGATGATGGCATGTTTACTCGAATGGAGCGATCGTTGGGCAACACCGCCTGGCTAATGCACGTCCCGTGGATCTTCAACTTTCATCAAAAGTTCATCCTGCCGATTTTTGGAAATTTCCTCAGGGCAAATGATAGAAACGACTTCTTTTTCAAGTTTGCAAAGTCCGAGGTGCAAGGCCGGAGAGACAAGGGAGGCAACGACAACGATCTTGTGGGACAGCTCTTCCAAGCTGCACATTCCAAAACGGAACTGTATGTCCAAATCAATAACCTACAGCCGTATCCAGCCTTTGATTGCTAAGCTGCTACTGATTTTACTAGGAACGATCTCATAATCTCTTACATGATGGCGTCCAACGTCTTTGCAGGGTCTGACACCACGTCTGCCGCTCTTCGTGGTATCTTCCTCAATCTCCTCCGCCACCCCCATGTCCTATTGAAGCTCAGGGCCGAACTGGAGGAGCGGCGGGCCGCGGGCCATCTTTCGAGTATAGTCACCTTCCAGGAAGCTGAAGCCTCTCCATATCTGCAAGCCGTCATGCATGAGGCGATGAGAGTCTACAGCCCAGTGGGATTCAATCCCGACAGGGATGTTCCCAACGAGGGAATGACGATCAACGGCATATTTGTTCCCGGTGGTGTAAGTTGATAGACGACCGTTTAGTCTTGGCTACATCAGCCTGCTAACCTTGAATTCCATTACATACATAGACTGTCGTCGGCAGTAACGCGTGGGTTATCCACCGTGTGCCTGAGGTATGGGGTGCCGATTTTGAGGAGTTCCGGCCTGAGCGCTGGTTGGAGCGCGAGAGCTCGAGTGAACTGAGTGAGAAACGCATATCAAGATACTAATGTATGGAAAAGCACTAACCCCTTAGCCAGAGAGATTCTTTTTTGCATTCGGCGGCGGTACGAGAACGTGCATTGGAAAAAGTAAGTGCATATACGAGACTTTGAGACGTCCGGCTCTGCAATAGGACAGTGGAAAACTGCTAACCAAGGATACCTTGCCCACGGCAGATATCAGCTGGCTGGAGATAGGGAAGCTCGTTGCTACTCTCGTAATGCGATACGATTTTGAGCTTGTGGACGATGAAAACATATCTGAATCATGCAGGTGAGTGACGCTCTGGGGGCTTCCCTATAGGCGTAACCCCGTCTGCGATGATTCACACTGACCATGTCATTCTCTATTTTCAGAGGACTCGTATTCATGAAGGGATTGAAGGTTAAACTTAAGTCCAGAGAAGCCTAAGTTTATCCCGTTGGTGAGCTCACCGTAGACCTTGGGGTGCTCGGTGGAATAGTACCAACGAGGTTCCTGGCCCTTGAAAGACACCTGCACAATATGCAGCACAAACGGCCAAGCAAAAGAATGGCAGTCAGTTAACTCGCATACTGTATTTACGTGGACCACCTTGTAGTCATTTCGGATCTCGGCAGCAACCAATGCCGGGTTCTGCTTTTATACTGAGATGCAACAGGGCAACAAGGGCAGCGGTGATTAAAAAGTTAATGTCGAAAAGGAGGGGGCATATCTGGCATGCAGACAGCAGACAAACTAATCCACTAGGAGCCCGTGTACCCAAACAAGAACTTCAAAACGCTTATTCGATATGCAGTGTATATAGTCCGTAGCCGTACAACGAATCCTCAAAGGCAAGGTTGTTTAGCCATTGCGAAACAAAGGGAAAAAAATGACACTTGATAACCCTGACCCAATAATAGATGAGGTTTTTGAACCATTGTCGACTCCTTCCCGTACGAGTGTTCTTAATGTTATATCGGTACGGTGTAATTTAGATTTGAAAGATTAGATCTAGCTTCGCATCCGTTGAGTCTTTTGACATACAGACTTGGAAAACCTGGAAGTGGTATGGAAAGGTTTAGTTCCGGAATTGGCAGTATAAAGCCCAGTCAAAGACAACAGTGTAATCGTGTAGTAATACTGTTCACTTGCATTTCTAGTAAACCCTTTTTGGCCGCACGCATTCTTACTGATATTCCATCCATCAGACGCATCACAAGAGACAAACATGATACACACAAGTCCTGTTGATGCCACCACAACATTCTACCAATATTTTCTTAATCTGCAAACCACCTCTTATTATCCGCCAACACCTTTACGCGGATACCCGGGCTATCCCGAGAAGCCTCGCCTAGGAAGCAGTCCCGCGTGTACGACACATCACGCTCCCAAGTCGTCTCATACAACTCCAAGTCGAAACGTGTAATGAGTGCAGAAAGAGACATGTACACTTCAATATATGCGAAACTATTTCACCGGAACTATCAGCCAGTAATTTTGGGAAAGGGGGAGACAAAGCGCTTACTCGGCACCAATGCACATGCGAGTACCCTTGCCAAATGGAATGAACATTTTGTTTTGCTGCTCAGTAGCGTTAAACCATCTATCGGGCTTGAATTTCAAGGCTTCGGGGTAAATTTCGTCATTGTGAAGAATGTCTGGGTGACTCATGCTCACAGGTGTCTGCCGTCGAATGGGTTAGCGGAGTAAGATTTTACTAATAACAAGAGCCACTCACGCCGGCGGGAATAACCCAATCCTTATATATCAACTCCTTCTTGGAGACAAGGGGAAGCCTTGATTTCACAGTGGCGCGTAGGCGAAGCGACTCACGGACTGATGCAGTCTATGGAGTAACAGTTAGTCATTGTCTCATCAGATCTCTCCTAACCTGAAGGTATTGACTTACAAGCCAGGGCAACGATTCAAGGACTCTGACGTCAGGCAAGTCTTTAGAATCTCCAGCAGCATCTAAGATCTCTTTGCGAACCTTTTCCAAAACCTCAGGATTGTCCAACAAGTGGTAGATGGTGTGAGTCAGAAGTCGTGAGCCAGTCTCACCACCAGCATACAACACAGTGAGACCCTCTTGCATAAGTCGAAGACTCGTCTTCTCTTCCTTGGGTAGGGCGCTACGGTCGATGGAATGGAAGATGGTCGAAGGCTTCACGTTCCTCTCGTCTTCTTCGAACTCAAGTTTGCCTTTGTCTGTACTCCGGTGCGCAACATACTCGTCGGCAATTCTGCCCATGAGCTAACGGAGATGCCAGGTTAGAACTCTTTACGAAACAAGAACAGAGAACCGTGCATTCAACAAACCTTGTGTGTGGCGAGAAGACCAGCAATATCGGGCTGTATTTTTGCTACAAGGATATTTAGGATCCACTCTGGCAGCATCAGGAGCTTTCCGTTGAGCCAGGGAAACTGTTTGCAGAATGGAGTTGCTTGGGCCACTGCTTCCATTGAGTGTCGCCAACTTTGAGCTTTGCTCCAATCCTTTTGGAAACCGACATCCTTGTTAAACATATAATGATAGATGACATCAGTCGTGTAGGCAAGGAAAGTAGTCTGCATCTCAATAGGCTCGGCAGAGCCAACCTTTCTCTCAAAGGCCTCAGTAAGCTCTTTGATGTGGCCATGAATAAGCTCCTGGGCGCTTGCAACAGCACGCTTTGAGAACATGCGAGAATTTGCCATTCGTCTGCGACGGTGCATATCGTGATCCACCGTACCATGGGCTACGTAAGTGTCTATCGTCAGCGACAAATTGAGGTCAGTAACGCTCATTGCATATACTCACTCCCATATGTCAAGCCAGCCAGCTCCGCGGATGGTGGATATTTGTCCCTTTTTGTGGGATTGGTAGCATATAGGGTATCGAGAAAGGAAGGGTCGCGAATGTGAATCTCATCAGGGTTGACTCTGACAATTGGCCCTAAATGTTTTCAAGTTAACTACCCTTGAGAAACAACACAATAGTAGTGCTTGAGAATTCTCACCATACTTATCGTGCATCTCACTCACTCGCACGAAGAATTGGCCGCCCTGTCCTTTGATGATATCATAGTAAAACTCATACCATTTTGTGGTCGCCGCCAGCTTAGGACCTGGAAACTTGGCTAATGGATGGAAGTAGAGGCGGTAAACAGTTAAGCCTACGACGTATAGCACAGGCAGACCGATGAACACCAGAAAGTTTTGCTCTATCCACAGAGTCGGCTCCATCAGCCGAGCTTTGAGCTGCTCCATTGTCCTCAATTACAGAGAGAGGCGAAGAGGTTCAATGGTAAAGTCAGCGTTAACAACCGCGCAGAGGAGGCAGCCATGAGCATTTAATCAGACCAAAGAAAACATACTCGTACGAGTAACGACAAATAATTTGCCGAACTGTTACATTCATGATGACAAAGGCCCGCTTATTAGCCAACACATCAACATGGAATCCTGACAAGGGGTGCGCCAACCGAGAGGGATCGAGAAATGTTAAGCATGCTCCCGATAGAAACAGACAATCCGCACATACGTCGAATTCTCCTCATGTATACACATTTTTTGTTTACGCTCAATTCTTCTTGTTCTTCTTCTTTCGTTGGTTGCAACCCGCTAGCCTTGGCGATGCTAGTCGATCCATTGCGTAGGCTCGAGCAGTAAAGTGGTAAGCCCTGGCAGGCTCAAAGTCCAGAATCTATTTCGTGATCCATATAATTTTGTCTCATCCAAGGTTCCCTCGCAAGCACGTTTACAATCTCATGGCATAAGTACGAGTATATGGAGTTGATCTTGAGACCAGGAAGAGGGCGTATCGCATGTGGGTTGGTCGAGGGGTGTCAACAACACGACAGACACCCTACCATTCATCACCCCTCCCCTTGATATTACATACATTGTAGATCAAGCCCACCGGCATTTTGATGCCGCTAATGTTAAGTCGTTGCCGTTGTGGTTAGTTCAGCGCTTATACGGAATACACTCGACTACATGATTATTGCTGTCAAAGAAATGGGCTAGTTGAAGTAAAAGACATTGTGTATTGATCAAGTCCACATACTATCAATTGATCGTTCTTCAGTATGGGTAACGTAGACACAATTGACAGCAATATAATACATCATCAGTGGGATACTATAGATCCACTTGACTTCGTCATCGCACTATCGTCATAGTTGGCCTATGGCACCTGGAATTTTACTGCTTATATGCAGGCTCCAAATCTTGGGGCTTTCCATGAAAATGAACATCACTAGTGGTCACAATCCTCAGTAACATCAGACAAGCTACTAATGATATACGGTGATACCATTATCAATGATATGCAACAACTTTCCATATCCGTATTCACGCTAATTGTCAGACTAACTTGAACGTATAGCTATCCAACGATATTCTCTCACTCCGAAAGGAAATGAAGACTGGAGACGTTGACAGCATAATTCTTGTCCTGACATATAATCGTAACATGACTGTTCAAGAAGCCATTGCGGTGGGTGATACTTCCTATGATACATAACTATACCAAAGCATTTGTCTAACACCTTCTCGGAATACCAGTGTAGAACTCAAGAAGAACATTGATCGATTTAATGTTGCAGCCGAGGGTCTTCTCGCAATTGTCGCAGAGAGAGATCATAGAGTTAGGCAGATACATCGTTGGATGCAGGTACAACACGATGGGCAATCTTTTGTGGAGGTGTGTGGCAAAAATAACCCAAAAATCTACCCATGGTTGTGGCTTTCTAATATCATATACAGTCCTACGACTACGCGATTGGGCCTTGGAAAAATTGATCGTGATATCCATGGTGGCATGACAGTGGTAGTGAATCACGCAGCTTGATGCCTTTGGTATACGATTTGTGTATCTCTTTGAGTATAGTACCATTTGCTTGCCAAATTTCGTGATGGGGAGAAGCGAGAGCGAGTGTATGGAATTTCATAAGCTCCTTGAAGGGGACCAGAAGCAAATTTGAAAGAAGAATACACTTTGTTACTCCAACTAAATGTATCAAAATGAGCCAAAGTTGTGAACCGGAGCTTGGACTGCCGATCGCCTCTTTCATGAGCGAATAATGTGATTCTACCAGCTACACCCATGAACTCACCTCAAAGGTTCAGTCATGCCAATGAATCGTCATAAGCACGGCACCGGTATCATATTCTCCCGTTTGCCTCTCAAGGTTGCCAGATACGAAATAGCAATCCTGGTAGAAAGCACGGGTGTTTTTGATTGGACCAAAGCACGTTGCGAAACCCATCTACACGCAAAATCATAGGATACATGTATAGATACGACACAAGATCCATTCTTGACAGGAGCCGTTATCGCCACTTTAGTACCACTAACACCCCTGTCTATCAGATCCCGCCCCTTGCAACGATCAAATAGCGCTCAATATGGTAGCACGCACTACTGCACGTCACCACACGCCAGAGGTGGTGTTAACGAGCATCAGACGATGCTTGCGGACGGTCGACTGTCTCATGTTGCTCCAATTCCTCCAGATGCTACAGATTAGATACAGGTTGGGTACTGGGATATGAAGCGTTGGTTAAGAGTCTGACTGGTGATGGGATTGTATACATGTAGTCGTGCTATTATACTACCGCAATAACACCCAACAATCACAAGCATATGACGCAATTATACATTTAAGATACGACAGAATTTTAGAGAGAACGAGCCAATCCATGATGCCTTCTCACCGAGTTTGCTCCTCTTCTCTCGCTCTACAAATTCTCTCCTTTCCCCCTCTCTGTTCTCATCTTGCTACATCCTTTCTCCTACAGTTTCATCTTCCTCAAGCATTGTGACAATACTATTGCTTATAGAACTCACAATTCTCTGGACTTCTAATAAAAATGGTTCCCAAGGTTGGCATCAACGGCTTCGGCAGAATCGGTCGAGTTGTCCTTCGAAATGCCCTCGAGACGGGCGATGTTGAGGTTGTGGCACTCAACGATCCTTTCATTGAGCCTCACTACGCTGTAAGGAAGCCAACTTCTTAATTGTGCACCTCTTGAGCCTATGAGCTAATCTCACTAATACACCTTTGTAGGAATACATGTTCAAGTACGACTCCACTCACGGCCGCTTCAAAGGAGACATTAAGGTCGATGGCAAGGACTTGGTTATCGACGGCAAGAGGATCAAATATTACCAAGAGAGAGACCCTGCCAATATCCCTTGGAAGGACAGCGGCGCCGAGTACATTGTCGAATCCACTGGCGTTTTCACCACCACAGAGAAAGCCAGTGCCCATTTCAAGGGTGGCGCCAAGAAGGTCATCATTTCTGCTCCCTCTGCTGATGCTCCGATGTATGTGATGGGTGTCAATGAGGACACCTACGCAGGTGCCAATGTCATATCCAACGCTTCTTGCACAACAAATTGTCTGGCGCCGCTGGCCAAGATCCTCAATGACAAGTTTACCATTGTCGAGGGTCTCATGACGGCTATCCACGCTTACACTGCGAGTCAAAAGACTGTCGATGGTCCTTCGTCCAAGGACTGGCGTGGTGGTCGTGCTGCCGCACAGAACTTGATTCCTAGTTCCACGGGAGCTGCAAAGGCTGTTGGAAAGGTCATTCCCGAGCTGGCAGGCAAGGTTACGGGCATGTCTGTCCGAGTTCCCACCGTCAATGTTTCGCTTGTCGACTTCACGGTTCGGTTTGCAAAAGATGTAACTTATGATGAAGTGAAAGCTGCGATTAAAGAGGCTTCTGAGGGGCCTCTCAAGGGTATGAAACTCTTAGTCTACGGAATTGTTTGAACTGAAGCTAACAACATCCTTGTGAGCAGGCATCCTTGCTTACACCGATGACGATATCGTGTCCACTGACATGCTTACTGACCCTCACTCTTCAACTTTTGATGCCAAGGCTGGAATAGCCTTGAACAAGAATTTTGTAAAGGTCATGAGCTGGTACGACAACGAGTACGGCTACAGTCGCCGTGTGGTAGATTTGATCGTCTTTGTTTCCAAGAAGGATGCCGGCCAGTAAAACAGACCGACATCCTTGAGTACTTATCCCATGGCTGTTAGTGCTCACCAGTGGGCCAGGTATCTCGCATGTATTGAGATTTCCAAGGGTAGAATTGTCCGAGATGCGGGCGGTAAACCCGATGAATAAAATAAAGACCTGTAGTAGCAATCTTCTCTCGCCGATCGTGTTGCTTCCAAATTGACGAAACCCCAAAAATTCCCTCAAGTCACTTCAAACTACGCTTAAAATACCCCCAAACTACTGTCAAGGCTCTTCTGATACAAGCTCGGAACACGGCAGCATACACCACCCCGGCCTACTATTATACGAAGACATCCTTGTTCACGGCACACAGTCGAGAGCGAGAAACTACCCCTGTCCACATCCGGGCATAGATGAGGCAGTCAATTGCCCTAGAAAAGCGTCCAATCGATCACATGGGCGAAGATAGTCGTCTTACGGGCATGGATCTAGCAGGCACCGACTAAAGGAATGACACATGCATACAGATACGCCTGACCTCCGAGGTGCATAAAAGGGCATGACTGTACAATGTCAAGGCTGAGTCGCTATCGACATCAATTAGCAAATTGCCTGCTCTTTCACATTGTTTCAAGAAGTCATAGCGGACCCGCGCAGTCTTTCAGCACAATGTCCAAGGCCACGAATGCCCAAGAATTCATCACCGAATTCGCCAATGCCTTTAGTGGCAGCGGTGATTCGGTCAAACTCGACGAGTTTTTCGCTGATGATGTTGTGTTCTCTGACTACAGTAAGTACACGTAGCACAATACGTTATTGATGCACAATGTGTTACTTTTTTATCAACCCAATCATATAAAGAGAGAGAAAAGCTGACAAGATTTCACAACAACAGTGATGCCCAACACCGTTGGTCTGGATAAAAAAGGCTGGTTGAACCATTGCGCCAACTACTATGCCAATGTGCACAACATGAGGGCCAAAACATTCAACGTCTTTGGTGATATTGACGATTTAGTTGGGTGGGAGTACCGGTTTACCTTTACCTCCAAGAAGGATAACCCCGAGATGGGCGTCAAAGAAGGCGAGGATATTACCCTCCGAGGCATGTCCATCTTCAAGCTCCAAAGATCGGAAAAGGGGTTGCAGATTGTGGAGGAGAGAGATTATTACAGTTTCTTGCATAAAGAAGATTAGAATACTACATGTATGTATTGTAGACGAGTGATTACGCTAGCATCGATTCTCATGTTACGTCCGAGCGATGTCTCTGCGTTGTGTAGTAAATAACGGTTTCCTTCTGGCTTCTGTTCATCTTTAAGAGATATTAGAAGACGGCTATGCTGACCACTACGATGAAATAAGAGAGATTATGATTATCTCATAGCGCTACTGACTCGCAACAGAGAAAGATTGCTTAGAAAGGGGCTGGTCTGATGAAAAGATAACACGTATTAAACGTGTCACATGTCTCAGATGTTCCTGCATTTGGACTCTTTAAAAGGCAGGATGACCAGGTACGCATACCTGTCGCTACTAATGCGCCACTGGGATATCACAAATATGTCGTTATCTCTTTTAACAATTGTTCCCAACTTGGAAGAGACGTTGTTGAGATATCCGGTATGAAAGACAATGAGCAACTGAGAAGACGTCCCAGGCATGGCTCCCTCAATACCTCCTTTTTCCTGAAGTAGGGACATGTACCCAATGAGTCCTATCTAAAGATACCAAGAGCTTCATACAAGAGGATGGTCTGTCGATCAGTATCCGCCATGGCTGTGGTAACAGCAACTCAGCCTCAACAGACAGACTTATTTTAGACATGGTTGACCTACCCGACCTAGCACGGCCAAAGCAATGTCACAGGGCATGCGATTATATCCTCTTCAAACAAGACAAGTGTCAGCCCAAGCACAGATCGGGGGTGCCTCATTGAGTGCTTTCATGACTCCGACGAAGGCGCTGCATATATGGTCCTCCCAGGACACCCAATGGTATCATGCCAGGAAGACAGTACATGGTTATACAATGGCTTCGATAGCACAGAGGCGGGCAAGCAATAGCTCGCTTTGATATCGTATTTAATTATGTATGTACATTTTATTCTAATAAAAAGACGTATAAGCCAAATTCCGGGGCGCTCAATAGGCCAGTTCCCTGTATCTCCTGGATTCACTTATGCATATAGACCCTATATTCTACCCGTAGAATCTTGAACCAGCGCGAGTTGTGCTTTTCGATCAATTCATGATACCTGCGGGACTCCCAGGTTACACGAGCTTTAAGATGAGACCTCTTCCTTTGTCACTTTGTGCAAATGAGTGATAACTGTTTGAGTGACTCTTTTACTGCTCTACCAGTAACATGCACGACATTTTGTTTGACGAAGCCGGTAGAAGCCATTGGACGTCTAGAATAGAGCAAGTCAAAGCGCAGCATGAATCACAGCTGGCAAAGAGTGCCCAAAACCACATATGTGGCAGTGCAGCCTCTGTACAGGCACCAAAACTTTTGTGCCGAGCTCAAACTGCTTCTCTGAAACAAACAGCGTCTTTGCTTGTTTGCCTGCAAACACCGCCGACTGCGTTTGGGGTCATTCGATTTATAGCACGCAAGAGCTGCGGCACGGCGTTTGGCATATGACTTTTTGGTAACTTTGTTTTTGTGTAGAGCCATGATTGCCTTGACACCAACAGCTGACCTTTCCAGGCGACTTGAAGGTGTTCATTTCAGATTTCCTTGCCGCCGAGTTTCCCCAGGAGGAGCCATCCAACATTCCTTTCGCCCCTCGAACACGAGGCAGCCAGCAGAACACAAATGTGTGGCGCAAAAGAGGTTTACTGTTGCCAAAGCCATTGTATTCGGCCCGTCGGGTGGTATATCGTGCAACCATGTGAGGCGTTCGTCGTTGCCAGTTCTCTCCTTACCCAACACCCCGCTGGCAGCGGAAGTTGGAGTTGGAACTGGAATACCAGCACATGCGGGTGTTCCGTGCCGAGAGTCGTGCGAAGACAGAGGTGCCGGTATCGGAGTTGTATCACATGCTCTTGGAGTACTCTCTATTCAACGTTTACGGCGATGGAGCAGTGGGCAAATGCTGCGAAGGAGTATCCGGAGTGGTGGACACAGAGTCACGGAGACGATCTGCTGCTCCGAAGGACCAAGAGGAGACTGAGGATCGAATATGGCCAACTTCGAAATGATAAGGGCAAGATAAGGGCTATTGATGTTCAACAGACGCTTCTTTCTGCGAACAGTTGCGAGCAATGGCCGAACCATCACGAGACGTTGGGTATATTTTCGGACCAAACAGATGTGTTGGACTACTTGCCAAGATCTTCTTTGGAGAACCCCTCAAATAACCAAAGCATATCCAACTCAAATCTCTATCCTTCGTCTTCGGCAGCAAGCAGCCAAGTCTGGGGCGACGGCTTGGGAGAAAGGTTTCCGACCGTGCAAGGGCTTCCGAGGACAATTGGTATGCCGAATCTGGGTCAAGAAACAGTGAACGCAGCGAACGCGTCTACCATGTACCCTAATTCAGAGGACCAAGCGGATATTTGGACAGCATACGAACCATTACAACCTAATTTGACGTTTGGGCAAGTCTGGGGTGAGGGAGATGACGCAGTTCAACCAGAAAGGCCGCAGAATGAAATCATGCAACAAACTCCAAGTTTGAGCAACGTGGTGCTTAATCTCGACGATCCATTCTGGAATGAAATGTTGGCATTCGGCGGTGGATTTGCGTTGGGAAGTAATACGGACACTGGCGAGGGCGGCAGCAATAATCCGGCGCATTCTCTGCGATAGAGACGTTCTATAGGATGAACATGGTAACATGTCGGTAAGGGTCCTGCTTGACATTTTGCTGCATGACTCATAGAGAGTCAGAGAAGATTAGAGGTTGGTTTATATAGAATGAGGCCGCGATGCAAGAGACTTCCGTAGCAACAGTCAACCTTGTAATGGATAGTTGACTCGATCTGCAATAGACGTACCCAATGACTTGTCCGAAGTCGGACGTTTGATGTATCTCCTTCATTTTGGCTTTCGAAGAAGAAAAGATAGAGATAAATCTCAGAAAGCAGGGATATGGAAAAGATGAAGATAGAATTGAATTCGTTGAGATGCATGAGCCTGGATTTGGAAGAGGTGAAAGAAACCACAAAACAAGTGCTGCAATGTCTATATACCATACCATCCAGTCTGTCAAGTTCTAAATATCCAGTTGAGCGTATATATAAGTCATTTCATAACTATTAACTACCGTCGCTGGTGTTATAGAATATGAAGAGTCACACGCCACTTAGCCATACTGGGCTGAACCGCCGATGGCATGAAGCAGTGAGTCACCCAAGTCAATCCTTCAACGGCCCTCCTATTTGAATGCGCAAACTCTACCATTTCAAAACAGACACCTTCACTTCTATTGTTACTTTTTGCGACCTGGTTAGAAGGCAATTTTCAGGTACAGCCGACACCTGCCCCCGAAGCCGTCGCCATGCCAAGCAAAGTGGTAGACAGAATCCTACCATCGCCATGCCCTCCCAGCGCCGAGCCCGGCACCGTCCTAGTGGAAACTGAGAGGGTCATTATACGGCGATATCTCATGTCAGATGCTCCGGCCATATCATTGGCCGCAAATCACGATCAAGTTGCCAGCTTCATGAGCGACCGCTTCTCTAGCCCATACACAACTGCCGACGCCGAGGCATTCATCCAACGGGGCGTTCACGACGATGATTCCGCCGTATACCCTCATGCCGCAGCAATACTCATAAAGCCAGGCTGTCCATGCAATCCCTCGGCAACAGAGCCACTCCTCGTTGGTGGCATTGGCACTCATCCTCTCGAAGATATCCTCTACAGGACCTGGGACTTGGGTTATTACCTCTCACCGTTAGTATGGCGCCAGGGCTATGGAACTGAAGCGCTCAGTGCATTCACGAGATGGGCGTTTGAAACATGGCCAAAACTGCATCGAATACAAGCGCAAGCGTATGAGAGCAACATTGCAAGCCAAAAGCTGCTACAGAAGTGCGGCTTCGAGTTGGAGGGGAGGGGAAGAGGGGCGGTTGAGAAGAATGGCGAGATTATGGATGAAATTCGATTCGGCCTGTTGAGAAGCGATTTGAAGTAAATGTTATGGAGATGGCTTCTATAAAATGAGAGAGTGTTTTACGAGTAATTGGTTGGAGAGAGTTTGGATGGAAGATTTGACGAGGTTCCGAGTCATACTTGGCGAGAGACCAATCAGTATATATACTGTTAGAGATGGAGGTCCACTTCAATTTGTTAATCGATGTTTCTTCGACAACAGAATAAACACGCCGTTATCTGTGTTTATATCAATTATTTTCTACAGTCACAATAACCTGAAATAATCGACAAGGTAAACACTGTGTCTGTTGGTTTATTGATTGCTCTTTTCACTGGCTCTATAAAAAGTCTATGAGGCAAACCAAATGGCCATTTGCCAATTGCGGCCCGCTGATTGGCTCCCCCAGCTGCGGCGCAAAAATGATATCCCGCGCCCCACCATCACGGAACTGCAAGCTTCCCCGATTCTTCAATCACCAACTCCAAGGCGAGCATCACCCGTCTAAATCAGCCATTGATCTCGGGCCAGCAGAGGCTCTCCTGGGGATTGAATTCCTTCACCTCCCTAGTCCCTAGCGCCTAATCTCCAGCTCTCCCGCCAGGGTTTCGATCCTCCGCAATGGCCATCCTCCCCAGACTCATTGGCCAGAGTGCCAGCCGACTGTGTCTGCGACCTGCCACATCTCTCGCCGCTCGCCCGTTCTCGTCAACCGCGCTCCGGAGATATGCGACGCCCGAGCACACCGGCACGCGGCTGATTCCCACCGACGAGCACTTCAAACAGACCGGCGACGTGTACGGCTTCCCCTCCCGGTCCGAGCCCTCGACCACCGACAAAAAGCCGCGCGACAACAGCGTCGAGGACCGCAAAGTCAGGCACTACACCGTCAACTTCGGACCCCAGCACCCTGCCGCCCACGGCGTGTTGCGATTGATCCTCGAGCTTTCCGGTGAAGAAATCATCCGAGCCGACCCCCACGTCGGTCTGCTGCACCGAGGCACCGAGAAGTTGATCGAGTACAAGACCTATCTTCAGGCCCTGCCCTACTTTGACCGTCTGGACTACGTCTCCATGATGACCAACGAGCAATGCTTTGCTCTGGCCGTTGAGAAGCTTCTCAACATTGAGATTCCCGACCGTGCCAAGTACATTCGAACCCTGTTTGCCGAGATCACCCGTGTCCTGAACCACCTGATGTCGGTCCTCTCACACGCCATGGACGTTGGTGCGCTGACGCCCTTCCTGTGGGGTTTCGAGGAGCGTGAGAAGCTCATGGTATGCGACGACCCCAAAGCAGATGCAGAATTTACAATATTCAGACGGTTGTGTGTGGCTAATACTGTATACTCGGGATAGGAATTCTATGAGCGTGTCTCTGGTGCTCGTTTCCACGCCGCCTACGTTCGTCCCGGAGGTGTCCACCAGGATATCCCCGTTGGACTGCTGGACGACATCTACCAGTGGGCTACCCAGTTCGGCGACCGTATCGACGAGACTGAGGAGATGCTTACCGATAACCGTATCTGGATTGAGCGTCTGAGGGGTGTTGGTGTCGTCTCCGCCGCCGATGCTCTGAACCTGTCCTTCAGTGGTGTCATGCTCCGTGGCTCCGGCATTCCCTATGATATCCGCAAGAACCAGCCCTATGATGCCTATGACAAGGTCGAGTTCGATGTCCCCGTCGGCACCAACGGCGACTGCTACGACCGTTACCTGTGCAGAATGGAGGAGTTCAGACAGTCGCTGCGCATCATCCACCAGTGCCTGAACCAGATGCCCGCCGGCCCCGTCCGCGTCGAGGACTACAAGATCGCCCCTCCTCCCCGAGCTGCCATGAAGGAGAACATGGAGGCCCTGATCCACCACTTCCTGCTCTACACCAAGGGTTACGCCGTTCCCCCCGGAGAGACCTACTCTGTGATGGAGGCGCCCAAGGGCGAGATGGGAGTCTTTTTGGTCAGTGACGGCAGTGAGCGCCCCTACAGGTGCCACATCCGTGCTCCTGGCTTTGCTCACCTGGGTGGCTTTGACCACGTTGCCAAGGGTCACTTGTTGGCGGACGCGGTCGCTTTAATCGGTACTATGGATCTTGTGTTTGGTACGTATCACCCATATGGAACGGATGTGATGATTGAGAAGTTCACTGCTGACATGCTGGTACAGGTGAGGTTGACAGGTAAAACTAAGGGGGTGGAAGGCAAAAATATTAGAATTTCGTTTTCTTTGTCTGTAGCCATAGCTGACTGGGAGAAGTTTCGTAAATACTCTCAAGAATTTTGTCATGTTCACATATGGCGACGCCCCATGGTCATTTGCATGGAAGTGAATGCGCGATTTTATGCGATGTGGTATTGATACAATTGGGCTACTTCCTTTCTTGAAAAGGGGACATGCTTTTCTGTGCGGATGGATTGGCGATGAGGCCTTGTTCTATACAACAGCTGCAAAGCAGAAACTCGTTTCAAACCCTCAATCCCCGACCAGAGGCCTGCTCCATGAAAAAGCTCTTCAGCGGCCCGAGGGCATTGGCAGCCTTTAGGCCAAGCGATCTCAGGGGAATCAGGGGGCCGCTCTCTACAGAATACAACTTGTGAAGCTTGTCACACACTCCCATCAACACGTGGTTTGCCGCATATCTCTCGCTGTTGTACGACTCGAGAGACATTTGCGTTCCCAAGTCTTGGCCGTGAGCGACGGCATATTCGATGGTTTTGACCAGGCTCTGAATATCGCCCTGTCCTTGATTCAGGCCCTGTCCAGCAAGGGGGTGGACGGTATGCGCCGCATCGCCGACCAGAGCGACACGCTCGCCGATGTAAGTGTCTGCATGGCGGAATTTGAGGGGAAACGATGCGATGCTTCCCTCTTGAACGCCAACAACAAGTTGAGGGATGGCCTCGGCGTCAAAGTGCGTGTGCTGGGTCCGCCAGGCAAGCTCATCTTCTTGGCCAGCAGCCTGAGTATGCATATAAGCCAAGTCGACGGGGCCAAGTCGAAACGCAGAGTTGACCAGTGCAATAAAGTCCTTGGCGCACAGCTTCTTCAGCAGCGAGGCATTCTCAGGCGTGGTTGACCAAACCAGCGTCGCGTGGTTTCCAGGCAAGGGAAGCATGGCAACGGGTCCGGTTGGGAGAAACCGCTGATATGCGGTTTTGCGATACTCGCCTCCCCATCCATCGCCTTCCAACTCCAGCGTTGCGACAACTCCATGTCGGTGATAGTCCCAACCCCGACTCTCAATGCGCGCGAATGATCGTACAGGGCTGTTGGCACCATCAGCTCCAACCAGAAGTCGAGCCGCCAGAGACTTGCCGCCCTGCAAATGCACGACAGGCCACTCTCTCAGATCCAAGTCCTCAGTTTCCTCTCCAAGCGTAATCTTCTCAACCCTTGAGCTGTCGAAAACATCCACCCCGCCGATTTCATGAATTCTCTTCAAAAGACCAGATGTGATATTTATGTTCTCCGCCATATAAGCAATGACGTTTCCTTGGCTGGCCGTGGAGCCGAGCTGATGGTCAAACTCGATGCGGGCATCCGTCACGCCGTCCCAGACCTGCATCTCGTGAAACTCTTGAATGCGGCTGCGCTTCATGTGCGGCCATGCCCCGATCGTGTTGAGGAACTGGGCTGTTGTGGGCGTGAGGGAGCTGCATCGGTTGGAGAATTGTGTTGGCGGTAGAGAGAGAGTAGCTGTCTTGGAGAGGTCTTGAGCTTCGACCAGGGCGACACGGAGATGAGATGTGGTGGGATTGGCGCCTGGAGGATCAAAACCATTAGTGCTCGTTCTTGAACAAACTTGAACATTGATAGTAATTTGTTCAGTTATTTCTTACGTAGCGCAGTGAGGAGACTCAGCCCAGCTGGACCACCTCCAATGCAAACCACATCGTAAATGCCCTGGGAAGAAGAAGCTGTGGCATAAGATCGTCGATAAGAGCCAGAACCGCGCGCCTGGCGAGAGCAGCTACGACAAATAAAGCGAGGACCCGCCATCAGGGCCCTGTTCGACGCCATTTCAACGAGGCGGCAGCAAACTCGAGCCTTCAATGGCAGATGCGACAGTTTGGCATCTCCGTTCATACGTGAAGCCGCATTTGCATCGCACATGGCATGACGGCAAGCTGTGGCGGGGTGTGGCGCACCCTCTGTGGCTGTGCTCACGCCAACTGCAGTCTAGAGTTCCAGGCAGATAGCCGATCCCAAGCCATGTGGCATCTGCCTGGGCTCAACAGAAATTCTACAGTGGAACTGGATTTATTTTTCTAACTTTTTTTCTTTCCAGGCTCCAGAGGTTGCCACTGACAACGGCGCTACTACAGCCTCAGAAACTCACATACAAGCAGACTTCGGCCAACAGCGAGCAGCCGGCAGAAGTTTATTCTTTACAAAAACAATTATCAATCATCCATCCAGACGAACCGTTGGTCCTCGCACTCGCAGCTCGTCGCAGAAAAATCCCAAAGCTTCGCCTTTCATTTCTCGAACTGGGGGGTGAGACCGGAAGCTAGTTTCACATTTGGAGACCCCCGGCCTTTATTTTGGGGGGCCCTTGTCGCTTGTTTTGATCTGCTGTGGCGGTTTTGTTCGGGCTAGCTGTCAAGTTCCGAGACAAACGGGCCAAATTGCGTCGCATTCCTTCTGCGCTTCACATTTTCTAATTTTTTTTTAATTGTTTCCTTCTTCACGCAAGTTAATACTTGGGTGGTTTTTACTCTGCGCCGAACAGAGATACTGTTTGATCTTCACCGTTACAACCAAAAGAAACCCCCAATTGACATCGTGTTGGGAGAAACACTGCAATCATGGCGGACGCAGAGGACTATCTCCAAGACGGCTTCGACCCGCGCAGCGTCACCGTGCCGCGACTGCGCTCGATCCTCGTCACGCACAACGTCGAGTATCCGGCCACGGCCAAGAAGTCTCAGCTCGTCGAGCTCGTCGAGCAATACATTCTGCCGCAGGTCCCGAAGCTACGCGCCCAACGCGCTCGTGCGAAGCGATCAAGCCAGGGCATCGTCAATGCGGGCAGCCCCGAAGACAATGGCAGATGGGAAGACTATGGGTTGGAGCCTACGCCAACGGCTAAGCCGCGTCGATCAGCGTCGCCTCGAAAGGCCTCGAGCAGGGTCAAGCGGGAAGAGGACGAACCAGCGCCGGCACCGGCCAAAACGAAGCGCTCGTCGCGATCCGTCAGCCGGTCCGTGAGCCGCCAGCCATCTCACTACGATGAAGACGAGGCAGATGCGCCGCAGTACGAGGCGCCTAAACCAACGCGCCGCTCTGGTTCTCGGAGGGCTGCGACGCCAAAAATCAAGGATGAGCCCGAGGAGGAGGAAGAGACGCCCATTTCCTCTCACTATGCGCCCACTCCGCAATCGAGCACCCTTTACGCTGCCTCGTCTCCATTCACCCAGAAAAACACTCCGTTCGCTACCGCCAACGCTACTCCATACACCTCTACTCCCTACTTTAATGCGCCCCAAAGTGCGGTCCCCCCATCTGTTGCTACTGCCTATGAGGAAGAAAGTGTCTTTAGCGACGACAACCCATTCCAGAGGGGCTCTCCCGCATTCAAGACGCCGAGCCGAAGACGAGTAGGCGACGAAATCGCTAGAGGCGAAAAGCTTGCTCGACGGCGCCCTGAAGAGTTCATTGAACCCCTTGCCATTGAAAGACCATCCGCTGTTGTGCGGTCACACGAACTGTCTGCTCGTAAGCCGAGACACCAGTCACCAGATTTTTCAGTGGATGCCGGCGAAGAATTCACTCCCGACGCGCAGCTGGAGCTAGAGGAGGCTGCCAGGAGGGGAGAGGCCACCATTGTGCCTAGGAGACACTCAAAACCCGCGCGCAAGACGAATCTCAAGACGCCATTCTTTGTGCTGTTCATCTCTCTGCTCGGCGTCTATCTGGCCTGGTACCGACAAGAAAAGCTTGCCGTTGGCTACTGTGGGCTGGGCCGGCCTGCGACACAAATCATCCCCGACGATATTCCTGTGCCGGACGCCATCATCCCATTCGTGGAGCCTCAGTGCGAGCCATGCCCTCCGCACGCCTACTGCTACGAGGACTTTTCTGTCCGCTGCCACAGCGACTTTGTCCTCAAGCCCCACCCTCTGTCCTTTGGTGGCCTTGTCCCACTGCCCCCGACTTGTGAGCCCGACGGAGAAAAGGCACGCCGAGTTCAGGCAGTTGCCGACAGGGCCATTGAAGAGTTGAGGCAACGACGCGCCAAGTTTGAATGCGGCGAATTGGTCGATGAGTCTGGCACAAAGGTCGACTCTCCTGCCATCGCCGAGGAGGAGCTCAAGTCGACCGTGAGCAGGAAGCGCAACAAGCGACTGAACAGCGATGAGTTTGAAGATCTCTGGGTGGCAGCCATTGGCGAAATCACCACTCGCGAGGAAGTGATTGTGGAGATTGCAACAACCACGTAAGTTTTTAAAAATCTTTCTTTTCTCAATGGGGGCACCCCTGATGCTACGGCTTCAACCCTTAACCTCCCCTCCCCAATTTTCAATCTCTCTTCTTTCTGACACAAACAACTAATCAGATCCGCTCCTGATCCCACAGATCGCCCGGTTCCCCCGATATTTCAATCCGCAAGCTATCGTCCAGCTCTCTCGCTCGCCTTCCGATCACCTGCGCGCTCAAGCGCTCCGTCCGCCTCGGACTGGCAAGATATCGACTCCCAATTGGACTTTTAATGTCCGTCGTGCTGGCAGTCTTCTACCTGCGGGCTCGGTACCGCCAGCACTTGGTGGATTCGGCGCAGGTCCCGGCTCTCGTTGACCTCGTCCTGGAACGGCTGGCCAACCAGAAGGAGCTGGGCGCGGAGGACTTGGACGACGCCTGGCTGTTTCTGCCCAACTTGAGAGACGACGTGCTCCGCTCTGTCCATAAAGTGGCCGAGCGCGAGAGGATCTGGCAGAGGGTGAAGAAGGTCGTTGAGCTCAACAGCAACGTCCGCACTGGTCAGCGAGAGGGCCGGAGTGGCGAGGTTGGTCGAGCCTGGGAGTGGATCGGCCCTATCAAGGGTGAGGGAGCCCGGAGAAGGCGGATGAGCGGTCGGTGGACGCGAGATCCGGTTGCTGATCCACCTGAATCGAAGCCAGCTACAGCAGCAGAGGGCAAGAAGTGGACAGAGCCAAGGGTGATTTACTAATGAGGGTGATGTTTCATTTTATTTTATTTTGTTTTATTTTGTTTTATCGATGGGTTTACTTGTTCATGAGAACGGGTGCTTTCAGGGAGGATGAAGGAGTTTCGTCCAACCGCTGTATTTATTATCAATTGTCAACTCATGTTCATAAATGTGCGCATGTGTTTATTCACTGGTGGGATTGGGCAGGGTATCTGGGTCAGTAGGTAGATATGAGTACTGCTAGGCAGGGTTAGTTTTAGTTGTATTAGTTTGAATAACATCAATGGAATAAACAAGCAACGGCTTTACAGATTATGCTCTTTCTCATCTCCGAGTAGATTAAATAATGGCCGGCCTCATCAACTTCATACGGAGCGAGGTATTCCTCTGCATGCCTATGTGGAAAGCGTTTTTTTATTCTCTTAAAACTGCCAACTTTCATGCTCTCCCAAGCTTGAAAAAAATACAGAGTATATAATTTACACCCGCAATGCCCCCCCTCTTTCTCTAACGCCTAGCAACTAGGACGGCATGCACTCATCATCTCAGTCAAAAATCATCTTGGTGACGAAATAAATGTCGACTAGTGTCTTGATTGATTGGCTAATGCACAGGTGCGGTTATATATGCACAGGGGGTTTTTGCTTCGTGACAAAGGAAAGTTTGCGGGGACCTTGAATCTAGACTCTAGTAGTTTTCGTCCTCTACTGCTTGGCAGAAACAATCTCTGTGGAAAATAAACAATGTCAGCGTCTTCCATCTTCCACAAATCGGGACTTGGTTAGCGTCAAACATACTCTCGACATCAGCGACACTCTGCTGCAGAATCTGCTGCAGAACCTTGGGGTTCTCGAGCTCCTTCTGGACCTTGGCGATGATGGAGGCAGCCAGCTCCTGCTGCTGGCGCTGCTTGACCTGACCCTCGTAGCGGACCCAGGAGTCGAGGACGGTCTTGGCCTCGGCAGCCAGGGCGGTCTGCTGCTCGAGCTCGAAAGCCTGAGCCTCAAGCTTGGCAGTCTCCTATATAGAGAAGAAGAAACACATCAACATCTTGGTCGCATAACACGGCCCTTCGCCAGGCTCGGTTTCACAAATCGCAATTTACCTTGGAGACCTCAAAGAGGGCCTTGGTGATGTCGACAACGCCGCTCATCTGCTTGACGTCCTCAATGCGGGTCTTGACGGCCTCGGTGTGGTCGGCGCGGGCGCTGTTGAGGATGTTCTTGATCTTCTCGTTCTGAGCCTCGGCCCACTCCTTGTAAGCAGGACCACCGTACTTGAGCAGACCGGTCCAGACGGCCAGCAAGCACACGGCGACAACCGTCTCCTCGTTCATGACGTAGTACTCATTGCTGAGGGCATAGACGCTGAGACCGGCGGCGCCGCTGAGGAAGGCGGTCTTGCTGACGAGGCTGCTGCCAGGGAGGGCGTCGATGATGCTCTGGGCCTTCTTCTTGGGCTCCTCGGCGGGCACGTTGCTGGAGTATCGCACGGCGGCGGCAGAAATGGCCGGGGCGGATCGGGAGATGGTGGTTCGGAGGAGGGGAGCAGCGCCTGCGATTTATTGCATCTCATTGTCAGCGTCGGCGCACCAATTGCGATTGAGCCGCCCGTCAGCGGGTTTCCCGTCTCTGCTATGCCACACATACCGACAGCGCTTCGTACCAAGCGGGACGCCATTGTGAAGAACGTTTCGGACGGGGGATCTCGGCCTTGTCGTTGATTCGGGAGCTGGGAATGAGGTTTGAGGTTTTATCGCGCTAGTTCGGTAACACGTTTGCGTCACGTGATGCCCGAGCTTTGGTGGTTGAGCAATCGATTGGGAGCGTAGCCGAGCTTCTCCCGAGTGCGGGAACCGAACCTTGGCTTGGCGCGGAAAAGGCCCGCCCGCTGATTGGCCAGAAACGGCAAGGCTTCAGTGAAATCTTGAAATTATCTTTTCATGAGATAAGAATTTCTTGTGTCTCTCATATCAAAAGCCCAATTGACGGGGAACACTTGTCAAACAAATTGCGGCAGCTCTTCGAAAGCTTCATAAACTGATTCATCATCTTACTTTTTCTCTCAAACAACATTGTTGGACTGTTCGACCTGTACAGAGTTTTCTTTTTTCTTTTTTTTCACATCTCATGATGCCTGTCGGCTCTAAAGACAGCGCGAAGCGCAAAAGGGCCTCCACAGGAGACAAAGTCACCAAAGTCACCAAGCGGCGGCGATCTTCAAATGAGGAGGCCGAAGATCCCAGTGCAAAGATTCTCCTCATGGAACAGGGTATCTTGGAGTCCAAGAAAAACTACAACGACATTGCCACTCTTCTCAGCATCGCCAGTCGCTACGAGGATGGAGATGACGAATCGACACTTGCCGCTGTGACTCTGTGCCGGATCTTTCTGCGGTTGCTGGCCCAAGGCTCCCTCATCGCAAAGAAGGGCTTGTCAGAGAAAGATTCGGTGGTCGTCGGCTGGCTAAAGGATCAGTTTTCTCAGTACAAGACGCTGCTGCAGACCATGCTAGGGGATGAAGACCTCGCTGTGACTGCGCTTACCCTCTGCATGAGGACTCTAAAGGCAGAAGGAGAGCATCTCTACGACAAAGAGGAATACACATTTCCACAGGCGTTTCTGGAGAATATTGTTGCGGTTTTGATCACAGCAGATAACGAGGATGCGAGGAAAGCATTCCTCGAGTCCTATGTGGAAGAGTATGATGATATTCGATACTACACCTTCAAATCAGTAAAGTAAGTGTCTCCTGGAGGAAAATATTATGGTCTACAGTATGATGCTGACCAGCATTCAGGGCAATCCTAAACAGACTTGACAAGGATGATATTCCAGACAACTTATTCGACCAAGTGTATGCTTTGCTGTCTGCCTTGGACGGCGTCCCCCAAAGCGCCGAGGAGCTGGAGGACTTCTACGTCCCACGTCCTAAGAAGAAGTCTCACGATCTGAGATCGGCCGTTCAGCACAAGCGGCAAGGACAGGATGCTTGGCTAGCCATTCTGAGTATTGTGCAGACCAAAGACGAGCGTAAACGCATCCTCAGCGTCATATCCACAAACATTGCTCCATGGTTCACAAAACCAGAGCTTCTATCCGACTTCCTGACGAGCTGCTACAACACGGGCGGTTCCATGTCTCTACTGGCCTTGTCCGGTGTCTTTTACCTCATCCAGGAGCGAAATCTAGACTACCCATCATTTTACACCAAGCTTTATTCTCTTCTTGACAAAGATATCCTGCACTCCAAGCACCGCTCACGCTTCTTCCGCCTCTTGGATACGTTCCTTGGCTCAACGCATCTTCCTGCGGCTTTGGTCGCCAGCTTCATTAAGAGGCTTTCAAGACTCTCATTAAATGCCCCACCAAGTGCCATCGCGACGGTGGTTCCTTGGGCTTACAACCTCCTGAGACGCCACCCGACGTGCACATTCATGATCCATCGAGATGTTCAGGATCCGGAGCTGAAGAAGCACATTCAAAACAACGGGGCAGAAGACCCATTCAACGCCACTGACACGGATCCCATGGATACCGGCGCCATTGACAGCTGCTTGTGGGAGATTGTTCAGCTGCAGTCACACTATCACCCCAACGTTGCAACGATCGCCAAGATCCTCTCTGAGCAGTTCACCAAGCAGTCGTACAACATGGAAGACTTTCTCGATCACTCATACGCCAGTGTAAGTACAACCGGATCGTCCTTCTATCAGTGGGCGGGTTGACACATTCACTAACACATCCATATCACAGTTGCTGGACGCAGAGATGGCAAAGGATATCAAGAAAGCCCCGGTGGTGGAATTCCAGATCCCCAAGAGGGTCTTCTTGCCCCAAGACGAACCTGCCACCAATCCAGACAGCCTCTTGGTGAAGCTGTGGGACTTTGGAGAGCCAGCAAAGGGTGTGGCGGCTGCATAAGGAGACCAGGGTAATGTGCAGTAGTGCGTGCGTTTGACCAGCACCTCTGTCACTTGACATGTGCATATTAGCATCGGAGAATAATCATTGGCCCGGGTTTGGGAAAAGGAAAAGAGAGCTTTATTATTCAAGATTTATTTACTCATATAAAACAACATTTCATTCGAGTGACTCGTACATACAGGCACCCGGAACTGATAAGGGAAGATACACGGATCGTCGGGCGGAGAAAGCATGGAAAAGATACTCCATTCTTTGCTGAGCTGTTAGTGGAGACGGCAGATGTGGCACGCAAAACCTTATCTCAGGACAAGTACCTCCGGCCAGCACACACAAAGGTGCACAATCAAGTGGCCGGGCATGCGCTAGCGGAATTCTCCCCCGCTAAGCTTCATGTTCCCAGCCGCTAATTAACCCCCAGCTTGCAGTGTAAGAAACCGGGCAGGGCTCTCTCTCAGCTGTGCTGACATCACTATGCTTGTCTGCCCATCAACGATTCCTCGACAGGGCACAACAAACCCCGGACAGAGCAGTTTGACGGCTTCTGACCCCCCCTATTCATGCCATCAATTTGCGATTACCATCATTACTGCTGTCACCAACCCCTAGGCGCAGGCTAAGCAGAGGATCATGGTGCCTTGCGCGTCCTGAAGAAGCTGCTGAAGATGTCGAGCAGCAACCGCTTCAACCCCCTGGGCCATGAGCCCTCAGCAGCTGCATCCATGTCGTCAGCTTTTGCTGAACCATCGCAGCCGCAGCGGCCGCCCAAGAAGAGAAAGGGCCATCGCGGCGGCAGGAAGAAACGGTCCAGGCGGAAGAGCTTCGCCATGCTGCATGATCATGAGCTGGGCGAGTCGTCGGGGAATGGATTCTACCAGGTGGCGCAGGCCAGCCTCAGCGGCACGAGCATCGACAGCGAAGCGCTACTGGATCACAGGTAAGACCTCGTGATCACGAGCTACATGCTCGTCCCCCTTTGTTGCCTGGCTTGACTTGTAACCTCTTTGTCTCCTCCTGCAGAGAACAGCAACCGATGCGTGTGCGCCGATCGTCGACGATAGCCGGGCCCGGCTCCTTTCAGAATCCCTTCTCGTCGATCAGCGCCACCCGCCTCCGGTCGATGCAGACGGCCCAGAGCGGCGACGAAAGCCCTTCTGGCCGCTGGGATGAATCTTCGCCGCTACTTACAGAGCCGGCACGGCGCCCGGGGTCGCAGACGGGCGTCCCGAGCTATGGCACGAGCGATGCGCGACTGGGCCGGAATCGAAGTCGAAGGGCGTCCAGTGCGTCTTCTAGAGCGAGGCTGAGGACCGCATACAGCACAAAGGACAAGTACGACATCAACCACCCGCCGTCGATCCCCGGCTCCCCTACCTTTGGTCCGGCAGATGGCATGGATCTAAACTTTGGCGATGTCATGATACGAGATGAACTCACCATGGGAAGCGGTGATGAGGCGCTTTCCGACGCCGAGGCGGATCGTGGCGACAAAGACAGAAGGCTGGCACCGGAACCTTCCGGCGACGTTTGCTTCCCCGGACCCGGCATGTCTGATATTGGCGACGATGAGACCGCCTCCCGATACGAGAGACGGTATAGAACGCGCCGGCGCCGTGGTCGGTGGCCAGACCTGTCTGTTCTGGAGGACTGGATGCGATACGAGAAGGAGGATCGCAGCGATGAGCGGCGAGTCAAGACGATTACGGAGCCGCAGCTCATCAACGGCCGTCTGCGCCCGGTGCGAAAGGGCTGGTTCCAAACCGACGAAGAGGCGCCCTATAGGTTTACCTATTTTAACGAAGAATTCCAGAGCACCATTCACAGCCAGTCTATTTCAGAACTTGTTCAACAGGGAAGCGATTTTCAAGGACTGTTCATTCCCGAACCGCGCATCCTCTCGTCAGATGAAGAGAGTGACTCTGAGGATATCGTATCGCAGCGATCCAAACCACGATTCTCGGCAGAGCTAGAGGCCGACACGAAGCCCCCAACGCGGCAGCCTTCCCTGGATAACAGAAAGGACGGCTTCATTTCACCACCTATGAGAGACGAAACGAATTCCAGCTCAAGGTCCGCTTCGATTCGTGGCGGAAACAAGTCACCCGAGAATCTTGGGCCAAAAGACAACCACACAAGCGTACCAAAAGTAGCGGCGAAGCCGGTTCGATATGGAGAGAGGCCAGTGTGGTGGCTCGACGTACTCTGCCCAACGGAAGACGAGATGAAGGTCCTGGCAAAGGCATTTGGGATTCATCCTCTGACGGCCGAAGACGTGATGCTGCAAGAAGCCCGTGAAAAGGTCGAGCTGTTCCGGCATTACTACTTTGTCAACTACCGCACCTTTGATCAGGATATCAACAGCGAAAACTTCCTGGAGCCCGTCAACATGTATGTGATTGTCTTCCGGGAGGGAGTCTTGAGCTTTCACTTCTCCGTCACGCCACATCCCGCCAACGTTCGCCGACGAATACGTCAGCTGAGGGATTACTTGATCCTCTCCTCTGACTGGATCTCATACGCCATCATTGACGATATTACCGATGTTTTCCAACCCCTCATCCAGAATATCGAGGACGAGGTTGACGAAATCGACGACTCTATTCTGCAACTCCACACGTCCTCGGGTAAAGGATTACAGGATGAAAAATCTACCAAATTCGATGATAATATAACAATCGAAGATTCCAGTGGCGACATGCTTCGACGTGTTGGAGATTGCCGAAAACGAGTCATGAGTCTATACCGGTTACTAGGCAACAAGGCGGATGTCATCAAGGGGTTCGCTAAGCGCTGCAACGAGCGGTGGGAGGTTGCTCCCAGGTCCGAGATTGGCCTGTATCTTGGCGATATTCAAGATCATATTGTGACTATGACTTCCAATCTTAGTCACTATGAGAAGTACATAGCCCCCCCTGACCGTCCTTTGGTGTCTTCCACCATTTGTTCAGCCAGCTAACATTTATTCCAGGATATTGGCTCGATCTCACGGCAACTATTTAGCACAGATCAACATCCGGATGAACGAGCGACAAGAGCAGACCGCCGACGTGCTCGGCAAGCTCACCGTCCTAGGTACCATTGTGCTGCCCATGAACATCATCACCGGTCTATGGGGCATGAACGTCTGGGTGCCGGGGCAAGACATCGAGGGCGATCTCACCTGGTTCGTATGCATCACGGCGGGACTGCTCTTCTTCGGCTTGGCGTGTTATTGGATCGCGAAGCGAGTATATAATATCGTTTGAACATGTTGTCAACGGGCGAATTGGATTTAGGCGTTGCAGGCATGCATTTACAATTTTTTTTTCTTTTTTTTTTTTTTTTTGCCTTTCTTTTTTCTTTGGGAACTGAAATCCTGTTGGATCAGAATGATATGGCATATCGCATAGAACAGGATATGGAAGGGGCGTCACATTTTGTGCCCGTACAGCGGACGATTTTGCTTCCAGCAGTAAAAGCACGAGCTTTAGCATACTTTGTCTTATATCAGTATCATTGTAGTTACTCTCTATATTGGCTCTTGAATAGAGGTGAAATTATTCTTCTCGTCAACAAATCCTCTTTTGTGTATCGTTTTCCAGAGGTCGTGCAATGTGACCTCTATGTACTTGGGTATATTCTCAGGTACAATCCTATAACAGACTTTACATTGCCCTAGGTACGGATATCACATACAACAAACACTCTATTTCCATTAGCGAAATTTCCCTCAATCGCCGCCTTGATACCAAAAATGAATTCCTTCTCGGTCTAGAATCAAAATACGCATCTTCAAATTTGTTGAAACTTGGGCCATCTAGGGTAGCAAGGCGGGCGGGATCTTACAAAGGCTTCCTCTCACACGAAAATAGCATTGTCACAGCCTACAGCTATCATCGTTTCACGACATAAAAAATATCAGTGGAAATTATTATGGCAGTAATTATTGGTCCCGTAGTAGTAGTTGGGATTTGCTTTCTTTGACACAATCCATGGCACAAGATTGAGCGCCCTCCACGATATTCCCCCCTAGTATAAAATCCATACATTGGTGCCCTCAGACGCCATCATGCCAACGTGTTTGCTGGCAAGAGTTGCAGCAGAGCATACTCCGCAGTTCTTTTTCAACTCAAAAACACTTCCTTTTGTGTCATCCATGTGTGAAGCCGATGATGTGAACACCCGGCATTGTAAATTGTGTATGCTCTCCCTTCCTAATGTTCTCATGCAATTTGAATATTTGCTATGCTCAACACTCCCGAGAGATGAAGTGTACTGTGCATCTCTGCCCAGAGCGTGTATTGTCGCCAAGTAGTGGGAGAGCAAAATATCAGTGGCTATCAAAGCAATACGTTGCCTGTGCCCCAGTTCCCCTCAAAGATTCTGTTAGTGGTCAATACATGCCATGTAATTCGGCCTGGGGAAACTGCTGTCCGCGAGGGCGCAAAGTAGATTATATCAAGACTGCAACGCTCTACATCCAACAGAATTATCGCCGTTGGCCCGCAAACGTAGCCCTAAGTGCCATAATCTGGTGCCTATCTGCCTCTGGGAGCATGTCAATCTGAGCCTGGGGGAGCTCCATGACTGCTCGCATCAGAGCATCAGGGTCCTGTGCCATACCCGCGGGAGCTGCTGCAGGTGCCGCTGCCGGAGGAGCATAAGCCGAGTTATTCGCCGCAGGAGGCGCATAAGGCATCGCATTAACGGGGGGCGTGTGATTTGCGACGGGAGCACCGGGGAATCCTGCCGACGGGTAGTTGGCTGTTGGGAGTTGGGTCGGAGGCGGCGCGTTCGGGTCAACAACGGATTGAATGGATTCGGGAGAGACGAGTCCCATCAGGAGGAGCGATTGGAAGACAGCATAAGCCAGCTGAGGGGCCTGTTGAAGTAGTTCCGTTGCCCGCTGAGGTTCTGTTGTAGCCAGCGTCTTCATCTGGCTCAAGATGTCCAACAGTTGTGGCGGCGGTAGGGTATTGAGAGTTCTTGAAATGGCATCGGTGCAGGTCAATCCTGGAGGAATCTCCTTTCCGGCTGGGAGTGGAGGAAGTGGTGTTGATTGGGTGTAGTTTGAAGCAGCACCTCCGTTGGAGGCTCCGGTGTTCTGTCCAGGCGTCTGCTAGGGTCAGCGAAGGCCATCTTCTACAGAGAGCGTCGCAACATACTTGGCCATCCTCATCGCCGCTCTTCTGCTCGTTGGAAAAATCGACTCGGAGTTTCCGACCCATGATTTCATATTCGTTGAGGTTGCGGACAGCTGAGGAAGCCGAGTCTGCACGGGAATCTGGTTAGCCAACATGCTGCGGAGAGAGCCTGGCGAGATCATGCCGTACCAGTATCGGGATAGTCTGCGAAGCCGAATCCCTTTGGCCGTCCGGTTTCCGAATCGTAGACGAGGCGGAATCGCTCTACCTTGCCGGCACTACTGAAGATGTCTGTGATCTGCTCCTCGGAGAGGCCTGGGATCGAATCTTGCTGTCAGTCACATGCTTCGTCCGGATGGGCGCATCAGCCAAGCCCATTGACCCTTCTGCAACTGACCATATGGAATGTTTCCCACAAACACGACCCTGGAAGGAGGCCTACTCGACATTTTGGGGGGCTTGAAAATTTGGGGAAGGCTTGGACGATGGTTCGCTGTAGCGTCTTGAAGATGATTGTGCAGCTCCGAATAGCAGATGCGCTTTGCTTTCTTCTTCTTTCCTTTCGATAATGCGTATTTCACCGCCCGGCAGCTATCAATTGCCGAATACGGATGCGCTACAGGGTCGAACGAGGTGCGAATGGGTATCTGTGGCTGGCGGACGAGATGTAATTGATGAGATTGTAAAAGCTGGGAGAGCTTCGCGTTTTGCTCTGCTCTGCAAGAAAGCCTAAGCCGTTTGATACGGGCCATTCGCTGCACCCGAATAGGCAACGGACCAGCAGCCGAGGATTCGCCGGCCGCCCCCCCCACCGGCCGCTACAGCCCGCGTTAGTTCCAGGGCCTTGCGGCGAGTCTAGGCGCCTGAGCCCGGGGTTTAACTATGTGGTGCTAGGATTGAACAATCAGTAGTCAGCTTCAGGTGTTGCGACAGGTGGCCTCAAGACATTTGACAACCTCCAGCTCTTGTCAGCCGCTCTCTTGCGCCATCCTCGCCCATGGTTCTGGTTGCTGGCCATCGATGCAATTGACGAGCGAGATTGACCTGTGCTGTTTTGCCTTGTGTTTCTGCGGGCTCTGCTAAAGAGACTGCGCTTTGACAAGAATAGTGAACAGCGCTGCTGCATCTCGTTGGCCAACTTGACACATGGCTCCCAAGTCGCGATTCACAAGGCTCGATGCCTTTACCAAGACGGTGGACGAGGCGCGGATCCGGACGACAAGCGGAGGAATCGTCACAATTGTGTCGCTGCTGGTCGTCGTGTTTCTCTCGTGGGGAGAATGGAGCGACTATCGGCGCATCGTGGTGCACCCGGAGCTGGTCGTGGATAAAGGCAGAGGTATGTCATGTCATTGTCATTGTCATTGTCGCCTCCGACCTGTGCCCTGCGTATGGTTTGGCTAATGCAATCGTCAAGGCGAGCGAATGGACATCCATCTCAACATGACCTTCCCCAACATGCCGTGCGAATTGCTGACGCTGGACGTCATGGACGTCTCTGGCGAGCAGCAGCACGGCGTCGCCCACGGAATCACAAAGTTTCGCCTGAAGCCCTCTGCTGAAGGCGGCGCCGAGATTGAGAGCAACACGCTTGCTCAGCTGCATGAAAAGGCCGAGCACTTGGATCCTAACTACTGTGGTGGCTGCTACGGAGCGAATGCTCCCGCCACTGCCCAGAGGCCTGGCTGCTGCAACACCTGTGACGAAGTCCGAGAAGCCTATGCGCAGGCCTCATGGGCCTTTGGACGGGGTGAGGGCGTGGAGCAGTGCGAGAGAGAGCACTACGCCGAGCGACTGGACCAGCAGAGGGAAGAGGGCTGCCGCATCGAGGGTTTGTTGCAGGTCAACAAGGTTGTTGGAAACTTCCACCTTGCTCCCGGCCGAAGCTTTAGCAATGGCAACATGCACGTTCACGATTTGAAAAACTACTGGGACCTCCCCGAGGGCAAGTCGCACGACTTCACCCACATCATCCACTCTCTCCGATTTGGACCCCAGCTTCCGCCTGCTGTCGTTGAGAGAATGACCGGAAAGAACACTTGGTCCAACCACCACCTCAATCCTCTGGATGCAACCCGCCAGAGTACAAACGACCCCAACTTTAACTACATGTACTTTGTCAAGATTGTTCCTACGTCGTATCTTCCCCTGGGCTGGGAGAAGCGGACTCCTGGCTACGGTGACGGCAGCCTCGAAACACACCAGTATTCCGTCACTAGCCACAAGCGAAGTCTTATGGGCGGCGACGATGCGCAAGAAGGCCACCCCGAAAGACTGCACGCAAGAAATGGCATTCCCGGTGTCTTCTTCTCATACGTAAGTGTTTACCGCGCATCATTTGCATAGACAATTGGTGAGAGATGGCAGGCTAACTGTGTATCCAGGATATTTCTCCCATGAAGGTCATCAACCGTGAGGAGCGGGCCAAGACATTCCTTGGCTTCCTGTCTGGACTCTGCGCGATTGTCGGTGGTACCTTGACTGTTGCCGCTGCCGTTGACCGTGGATTGTTCGAGGGTGCTTCCCGGCTGAAGAAGCTCCGAGCCAAGGATATGTAAAAAAGTAAGTAGGAGTATGGTCAAGTGAAAAACGTCCTTCTGTAGAATGCTTTGCATGGACTCTTGAGGCGTATGGACCAGGGCGTTTTGGCTGGCATATATGCATGTATTTTTTTCCTCTCCTTTTTTGAAAAGAGTTCATTGTCAGTATATAGATGAGGACGGCAGTGATGAGCACTTTCAATTGTGTTTACGGCTCCACCATCGACTTTGTGGAATGTTTTTGACGATTTGATATTCCTAGTACATGGTGCTTTGTATAGATTGCTACAGCTTTGAGCACGAATGAGAGACTATTTTTTTCAGTCAATGATGCGAAACGCGGATCTGGTTTATACGAACCTGAGATGAATACAAACGACGTCGGCCTAAGCCTTCAGTGTATCGTATCAGCTGCGACGCAGAGCATTATCGATAAACGGCAGGGAAGCCGACCGTACTCCGTAAATCCAGGCACTGCTGCGATCAGCCGGTCTTGGATTATGGAATAATTGATATAAATAGATCCAGGGCGGGCTGTTCCGCCAATCTAGCAGAAGACGACATGAGGAATAAAATAGCGCCAGCAAAGCTCTCGGTAACCCGGCTGTGGCCTCATGACCATCAACGTTGACCGCACAGCTTACTTGCTGCAGCTGCAGTACTCTCGTAAATGCTCATTGATTGAATGCCGAGTATCTGAACCTGACGAAGCCTGCGGATGGATGATTTTACGAGCTGGAGCTGTTATTAGCAGCGCTCCATAGCGCTAGGCAAGGCATTGGCATCGCCTCTGTTCCCTGCGGCGTCTCAGAATCAAATCCTATGCGGCGCCCTGTGTTTTGGCATTTGCATCACCGCTGTTTCACTCGTTGCCGTGGCGGAGTCTGAGCCAACCTGCTCATCTGTCTCCGTCTCTACTGTGCGTACATGCTCATGTGCCACCTGTTTTGTTTCTTTCGTTCTTCTTCCTTTGTTCATTTTTAGGGCCCGCAGTTTGGTTGGTTGATTGGGCGACCAAAATTGGCATTCACATGATGCATTGTCGGGGCTTTCGCTGGAATTTGAAAGGAGACGAAGAGATGGAACCCCCTTGCGTCAGGTAGCAGAATTGACCTCATCGTGCATGCACTGCCGACATCCCCCATCACTGTGCGACCGAAGCCTCGACTCACGTAAACGATATTAATATACATTAATAGTTTCTATCGGTGCTAAAGCAGCAAGCGTGCATGTGCAGCGAAAAAGCGAAAAGCAAGGGCCAATTGCTGCGTACGAGTACGGAGTAGAGTAGAGTAATACACGTAACTCGCACATGGGTGGAGGGAAAAACGAAGCTGCATGACATACTCCGTACATCGTTGTCACTTTATCGGGTGGCCACTAGTGGCAGGCTGTCCAATTTCAATTATAGCAACATGGGCCAACCTTGGGCGTCTGATGCAATCTGCTCAATAGCAGACTTTTTGTTTTCGCTTTGCATCCCTTGCTGGTATATGGACTGACTCGGTTGCTAGGCGTAATTATGGACATGTACGAGTATAGATTGGAAAACAAATAGTGTGGAACATGGGGCCTGTTGAATTGTGTATTTATAGCTCAATTACACGCGAGATGCTCATGCGGCGAGCATATCCTTTTGCCACGAAGACGCCGCAGCTGAGTTGTTGCGTAATCCTGCAGTCTATCAGCTGTTGGTGCTAGTAATAGCTTTTGATACTATTGATGTAAAAATGAATCATTGGGTATACTATGGATCAGATGGATGTAAAGATAGATACAGTGCTCCGCAATAATGCTCGTAAAAACAAAAAAGTCAAAAAGTGAAAAATAACAAGAAGGTGTATATACGGCAAATCCATTAGCAAATCACCATCTTGTTGGTACGCAGGAAATAAGGATTGGCCGCTTTAGCCTCTCTAGCCACTGTTTGAAAATAATGAAGGGCTCCGTCCAAGGTACCGGATACATCGACCCTTACTGTGGCCAGTCCCCAGAAAAAAAAAAAGGCCCGTCGCTCTTCTCAATTTGTTGAGCCCAATGCACCCCAGACGATGGCGGTCGCCAGTGCGCCCAATGATATGCCAAGGGTCCCTGAACTCGCTCCGAGTGGCTCTATGAACCACAAAGTACCTGTACACGGTGTTTCGTGGGCTCTGTAGCAGTACCTGCGGTCGTGAAGGGATCCGGGGGTGTTTTTGCGTATAGATACATGACCGTGGGCGGGAGGGTAGCATGGGCACGGGCGCATGCATGTGCGCTGCTGCAGCTCGAATGAATTGAGATTTGAAGAGATTCCATCAATTGGTTTCAACCAGACGTTGCTGGTGCTGCATGAGTTTGTACTTTGGCTGATGGCATTTCGGTTGTACGAGCAGCATTGTTGCGCAAACTGGTGCTAATATCAAGGTGTTTCTAAGGTATGTATGTACCTCTAACAGGCTGTAATATCTTGCTCGGCAGCACCCAAAGGGCATTGATGGCGAGTGAGTGCTCATCCGAGCGAAATCACACTGATCCGTCTGTAGCGAGACGAGACGAGACAAGACAAGACATGGGGTCTGTCTGATGACTTGCAGGCCATGTGAGGACTTGATGCACTGAAGGGGCCGCGACGTGCTGGGGAGATTGCCCGAGATTACCTTGGTGCTACTAAACCTACCTTGCCTTTAAGCCACACGAGCCAGGGTGGTTCCGCAGTGGCATCCATGTCTTGGAGATTCTCGGACGCACCTCAGTTGTTTTTTTGTCTTGTTCCTTCGTACTCTTCTATTCTTCAATGCCGTATTTCGTATTGATGACGGGCTACTACTATGGTGGATCTCTTCAGGATCGTAATACATGGGCACTATCGTCTACTTACTATACCTGATTACCATCTGTATCAGCATGGCTTGTTCTGGTACTCCTCATCCGTACTCCTTGCACCTCGACCGGAAAATAAATCAATACTACATGTGATATACCGTGCAGAAACAGGCATTTTCCGCCGGGGCTTGCATGCACACTCGCTCGTGCTCGACCTCATGGATCAAATGTTATGAGATGAGATTAGCCTTTTGTACCTTGAAGTCTAAAGGACAAGCCACCACCTTGGGTTAGGTCCAGCCCTCCGCTTCCCGCCGTGCCCAGTACCTGGCCTGCCCACGCCGCCTGCCCACGCGCGCAAGTACAGAGTACCCGGGCCGCCAGCCGCAGCTACGGGGCGCCACTGGCCTCCTAACCTCCTTTTGCTGGCGGTGCCTCGTATCCATCCAACCATCTTTGGTATTCCTCCTCCTTTCTCCGTCCCATCAGATCAGACAGGCAAAAGCAGAAGCGCTGAACTTGCCGCCAACGGGTTTCTGTGCAGGCCTCATTGCCGTGCTTCTCATTCTGCTTCTTGCTTTCTTGCTTTCTTGCCCTCTGATTCTGATTCTGCTTCCACCTTTTGTGTGCGTTTGAGCCATTCGTTTGTCGCGAGGCTCATTGCCGCTCCTCTTCACTTCACTTCACTTCACTTCACTCGACTTCACTTCTCTCCACCTCCTCTCCTCTCCTCTTTCTCTTCTTCGTTCTCTTGTTCTTTCTTCTTCTTCTTCTTCTTCTTCTTCTTCTCTTCTTCCCCGCGACTCTTGCGACCCCTCTCGTGTGACGGCAGACAGACGCACGTTGTCCAGTGCAACGCCCAGGTACCACTACTCCGTGGCTCCGTATTTTCTGTGCTCCGTATCTCTACTTTTGCACCTCACTTTTGCCGCTCGACCTCCAACGCCTTGCTGCCCACTTGCGGCGGCTTTTGATATCGCGCATCTGCTTCTCGCCCCGTCTTCGATTCGCCCTTTTCAACTCACCCCAGTCCGTCCTTGGCGCCTTTTCTTCGTGTTGCTCTCTTTTGTCCCTGTTCCTTACTCTATCTCGGGATCCATCGTGCCACCCGTTGCCCGACGCCCACGCCTCCACCTTGGATACCCTTCGCTCCTCTGGTCATCCGAACATCATCGCCGCACTGCCACGACAACCTGCACCCTCATCTGCACCTAGACCTGCAACCGCAGCTGCGCCAGCGCATTCATTACGCAGCGATCACTACCGCAATAGCAACGACGACGACGACGACTTCGATTTCTCGACTCTCTCGCGCCCAACCGGCCAGCTAATCGTCCGGGTTGCTCCCTCGCTGGCCTTGCTATTTTGGCATCCTGCGCGTCCCACCCGGCCTTTGATGATACCGTTTTGGAGCCTGCTTGTACTATTTATTTACCCCGTTTAGCACCCAGCGCTTGCGCCTTTGCTGCTATCATTCATCACCACCCGGCTGGATTTGGGCTTCAGACAACATGAAAGACTCCTCCCTCACCAATCGCCCGTCCTTGTTGGACTTGCGATCCCACTCCGCCAACTCTGCTGCGTCTTCTTCCCGGCCTCTTCGATCACCACGGCTTCATGTTGCTGGAGAAGCACCTCCCGAACTTTCTCCCTTGGATGCCTTTGCCCTGCAAAGCCGACTGCTAGCTCGACAACTCCAAGAAACAACCAACAAGGATGGAAATCGCGTCAGCCGACTACCACCTCTCACGGCGGAGAGCCCTCTCATCATCCAAGGTCGATCAGAGTACTTTCGATCCATGTCCCAGGACTCGGGATCCGAACGTGATGAATCTCCCGCCCCTCCATTGACTCCTGGCTTTGGCGGTTTGGGGCTACGCACCGAGATGGAGGACGCCTTCTCAGACGAGGTCCAACGCCCGAGGTCCATGCACCCACGGATGAGTCGAATCCCGCCCACCCCCGATGAAGGTGTGCCTCCTCTGCCGGAAGACATGCCAGACGTACCAGACATACCGGAGTATGCTCGGGGTCGGCAGCTGGGACATCAAAACGACAATACCAACTTCTTCGGGGCCCGCCAGGACCGTTCTCCATCACCACTTCAGAGCGATACCCTCTCTCAACTAGACCGCCAATCAACAAAATCCCCCACTCCCTCTCATCCTCAACTAAACTCCTTTCCTTCCCTGCCAAACTCGGCCCCTCGAAGAACCAAACAGAGCTCTTATGACGAGGTTGGATTGGCGCCACCTAGAAGCCTCCTCCCTGGACGATCGCCGAGCGCCTTGTCCTCCCCTGTGCCCCCAGATGAGGAAACGTTTGGCAACATGTCTAGCTCCGTTCAGTCTCTTCCTTCTAGAAAACTCTCTTCTGGCAGCGCGGCCCTGCCACCTCACATGGCATCCTCAGTCCTTCCCCCCTTCCAACGATCCCCATCCGTTGCCTCTGAATCCTCCGCTCTTCCTCGACCCGCCTTCAACTTTTCTCGGCCCATGAGTAGGGCTGGAACGCCAAACCTGGACCATCCCATTCGACAGGCTTCATCAGACAGTCAGCCGTCTTTTATACTGGCCGATGAGTCGGCTCATACCCCCATAAGCATGCATAGCGAAGCTTTCGCAGAACAGCCATCAGACGACAAGACCGGCGGGTCATATGTGTATTCCAAATTTGTTCTGCCTCGAGGAAAGTCAATCCAGCGTTCAGAATCGTCGGACCTCCCACCTCAAGCGGGTGCACCACCCTCGCCCCCTACTCGACCTTCTAGCTCATCAGCTCGCGCTATCCCAGACGATGCCGCCAGTATTTCTAGCGCCATGTCGAGGCAGCGAAGTGATGTGGGCAAAGTCAGCATGGAGAGCTCTCAGTTTGCACCTTATGGACGCGCCTCACCGAACCCAAGTAGACCTTCGACTGAATCCAGGCGGCATGCTGAAGACAGCTCCAGAGGTAGATCACGAACACTGCATGCTGGAGAGGCTCCCCGGGGCAGAACACCAGCCTCAGTCGGTACAAGCGACTCGGCTCAGACAATACGCCCTACCATGTCTGTCCGATCTACTACGAGCGCAACTACACCTACTGCTGCCGAGATGACAGCCGAAGAACATCTTGCCAAGGGAATAGAATGTCACGAGAACGGCTCGCTGAACGAGTCGACCTATCACCTCCGTCACGCCGCCCGACTAAACCACCCAACAGCTATGCTTCTGTATGCTCTTGCCTGTCGTCATGGCTGGGGTATGAAGCCCAATCAGAAAGAAGGAGTGCAGTGGTTACGAAAGGCAGCCGATATGGCAAGCGGTGAAGTTGCAGAGGACGAAGGGATGGCCAAGGAAGGGAAGCGCATCAATATTGCTGAAAACAAGACCCACAAGGCCCAGTTTGCTCTGAGCATTTATGAACTGGGTGTAAGCCATATGAATGGATGGGGCATCGAACAGGACAAAGCTCTTGCGCTGCGTTGCTTTGAAATCGCCGGCAGTAGGTTTGAACCTGAAGAATCTTGTATGATTAGGTCTTGCTAACAGGTTTTTTTTAAAACAGCATGGGGCGATGTTGATGCTCTAGCGGAGGCTGGTTTCTGCTACGCGCAGGGAATTGGCTGCAAGAAGAACCTGAAAAAGAGTGCCAAGTTCTACCGCATGGCTGAAGCCAAAGGCATGAGCATGGTGGGCAACAGTTGGTATGTTTATTTACTTTTCTATGCCTCTTCTATAGACGTTGGCTAATTTTGGAAACCATGTAGGATTCACAAGGCAAAATACATGGATGACGAGGATGCTCCTCCTAAACCCTCGGCAGAGGACAAGAAGTCTCGAGCCCGCAGCAAATCCCGCTCCCGCGCAATGTTTGGCAAGAAGTGAGGGGGCAACTATAATGATGATGAAATCTCTCTTCGTCTTTACCCATCTATACTGGAGTTTTTGGGGTTCGGCTGTTCTCGCATCGAATAAATCGGGGTTGTGTCGCATGGAATACTGGGAATCTCTTCTTATCGGCCTTTTGTTACCCTTTTCTCTTCTCTCTCCTCCCTTCTTCAACTTTTTTCTTTTCCCCTTCCATTCTCGGCATATCAGTAGAGGCGGGCTCTTTTGCTACGTTTACATTCATGTGCTTTGAAAAGCATATTCGGGCTTTACGACGAGCCTGTTGGGGGGGGGGGGGGGGGGGGGGGGGGGGGGGGGGGGGGGGGGGGGGGGGGGGG